GGCTTGCCATAGGAAATTACCTAACACTGCCATTGACGCACGTCCCATTGGTATCAATTAAGGAATTAACAAATATTTGTTGTCGATTTTTACTATTCCAAATGGACGCCGCCATCTTGTGCATGTATTACCTTGATCACGACCGCGAGCCAGAAAGCAGACGATGCTATAACATAATTTCGACGTAGAACGTTATTTTCTCAACTTCGGATTTCAGTGGTAACACACAGGAAGGGAGGCAACTCTGGTTAATACACTATCTCCCAGTCATTTAGGAGTTACTCTCTGGCCGCAGACGTCAGAGCTGCGCTCATGTTTAATTTCTAAATCGCAAAAATAACAACCCATGTGCGTAGTTGCCAGTCAACGACTTGAAACAAGTAGAAGTCATAAATCAACTTGACTTGCAACAGTTGTCGGACTTTAAAACAAGAAGGGATTTCAAGTGTAGTTCGACTGCCGCCGAGGGCTGCGTGTTTTTCATGAATACTTCCTTCTACACTAGAACTAAGACAAGTAAGGTTAGTTATTTAAGGCAACCAAGTAAATTGTCATTTTTTACGTCTTAATAATTAAGAATGGGGGTGTTGTATAATAATTTATTCTCCATTTATCATATTAATCGGAAAAGATCGCATCTCCACCAGGACCTGTGTCACCAATATGTCGAGGCTTTCGAAAGTAAATCACAAAGTAGCCTATGTTGTAGTTAGTGAAATGGCTATCTTTCTTTTCCAACTAGACTAGCAACCATTCACATTTGAGAAGATCATTAGAAATATTTGACAAAACTCCAAAGAGAAAATTCATTAGAAAAACCACGCCTAGCCTCTTCTAGATTAGGCCTACTTCAGTGCTTAAACTTAGTAAAATGATTAAAACATTGATTTATCAGTGAAAATAAAGAATCTAAAGCATTAAATCAGACTCAGTATACCATTTGACTGGTTCACATGTTGACTCACGGACTTGTGTATTTAAGTCCGTGGTTGACTTTATTTTGTTTATTATTGAAACTACATGTGTATGCCTTATTTACTTTTATCTAATTTTTTTCTTTCAGTTTATTTTAAGGAAAATGATATTTTGAATTTTGCACCAAATTACTGATGATTGTGTTCTGTTCTCAACAAATTTATTTAAAAAGAAATCTTACAGGGATCTTGGCAGCCATCAAAGTCATTTCTCTACATTTTTTTGTTTTTTCATATAATAACATGAAATTTCTAAATTCCTCATAAGAAATAGTAATAATAATCTTAAACTATAAAATCCGAGATTGGCGGCCATTTTGTTTTTCTGATCAGTCCCATCATCAGAGGGGCACATAGTAGTGGGGCAGATTGCTGAAACAATCTTTCACTTTGTGATACAAGCACCATATTTGTCAAAAAAGTGCTTTAGAACCTACTCTCCACTTGAAAATACAGATTGGCCACCAATTTTCAAGATGGCCACCATTCGAAGTGGTTTTAAATGATATTTGAACTATCTATTTTGATTGAATAATCCTATTTTGATGATCTGTACATCAAACTATATGCTTTTGAGTGTGATAAATCCAATTCTGCATTTAGGAAATCAAAATTACTGAATATTATAATGATATTGTGGATTACACTTTGTCAACACATAGGGTACGTAATGTTAACATCCATTCTGTGTTTTACAAACAAAGTGAAGATTTACTTGTTGTTTGAGTTGGGAAACGGCTTGCTGTTGATGTACAGCTTGGATAGGTTCTCCTTTTAGTCCTCACATTTGCAGGCGCACAACTGTGTACACTTCAGGCTGAAGCGATAGCATTTTCTTCGTCTTCGGCATTCAGTCTTGCAGCCGCATTTTGTCAACTGCTCACAAGTTGGGGGAATAGGTGGAAGGGTTGTCAAGAGAACTGGCCACATTTCACTATCTTTTTGCCAGCACCAGTTGGCAGGGCTTTCAGTGTACATTTTGCAACCTGTTGCCTGGCCTCATATGCAGGCAGCTTGGAAGGCAGACCGTTTCACATGCTGAACGACGGATGTGCTTGTCAGTGGAATGGCATCATAAGACCTTTGCTTCTGAGCAAACAAGTCCAGTCTTGCCCCATCAACTTCGCCTGTTGTATTGTGCTTGTCATACAGACGTTGATGTCTGCATCATCTATGCTAGGTAGGTATTGACTGAGCTTTTGAAGACTGGGCTCACCTCAGGGAAAACCTTCCATGCTTGCCATGCAGTTTTTTGCCTTTACCACAGAAACATGACACAACATCACAGCCAGTGAAGGCGTGAAAAAACAACATACCACTGGTTTTTTCTGGGCCAAGATTCACTACCATATCATGAATTTGCCATCACCTAATGGACTGACCCTGGCCAAATTCTACCCAAATAATTTCTAAGCCTGCATCCTGAAGAGTCGCAAAAACACTGATTGCAACAACAAGAATATCTATGTCATATGCCTTAATCAACACAGACTTCATCTACTGATAGGCTGCATGAAGAGCATGTGTGAGCTGATATGTCAAGTACTCGATCATATGGAATACTAAGACCATGGTCATGAAGCAATTCCATGAGATGTCTCTTTCTGGTCTTAGCATAAATAGACATCCCCATGTAGACCGGAAATGGGGTTTTTCTATCGCTGGAATGCCTTTGTGTGGCAGCACCTTCTTTGTACTTGGCAAAGCAGTTGTACTGAAGGAGCTGAGCCATTGCCAGGTCAGTTGTAGCTACTTTAAACCTTAGCTGAGATTATATGTCTGCCCCATGCTCAATTATATATACAAACTGAAGCAAAGCTGGAGGCAGGGAATCATACACTGAAGTCTCAAATATATTGCCCTCAAACTAAGACTTGTGTTTGACCATGTGTCTGCACAATATCTTAGCAGCTTTGGCGACAATGATGGCATCAGTATAGGATGATGCTTCTGACAAGACTGGACCAACGTCTTTTTCAAATGCCAGAAGTATATCTCGCCCTTTCTTGTTGGTATCTCTGCCAAAGCCTCTCTTTTAATCGAGTCCAGTTCACATCAGGTATGTCTTCCCCAAACTGCTCAAGTCTCTCCCTGTAAAGACTAACCAATTCTGCAAGTCGGAACACAATGGGCTCATTACTGTTGTTTTCTGTCACAATGACATAGGTCAGAAGTTCAGAGAACACCAAAGGAAAGGCTTCATTTTCTTGAGATGAATGGAGTTTTTCTTTGATCTCCACTGCAATGTGTGTCCTCTCTCTGTTATACAGGGCTGTTAAGCAAGAGCAGTGGTATTTTAGTTCCGGGGCCACCACATCTCCACCACTCAATAAAGCTAGAAGATTACCATCATTAAGTTTACGAGTGCATTCACTGAGTCTCTCATTTAGCTGCATGGTCATGGATTGTCGCAGCTCTGATGTTGGTTCCATTTATTCACATAAGAAACACCGCTGCACTTCAATGCTAGTCCTTCGCATTTTTGAGTGTTTTGACCAGGATCATTCTGAATTTCAGCTGCTCTGTTAGTGGCATGCTTGAGTTTGCAGCTGCTTAACATTTGGCAACAATTTTGGTGATACTTTGCACAGTTTTGCCTTAATGTATCCTCAATACCACCTCCATCATCCAATCTGGATGGGTCTAACCTGATGGGCAACAGGTTGATTGGCTAAAATTGTGGTATGTTTTTGGCTATCATGGAATAGCCATCAGAACTACACTCATAACAGGTAGGGTGAGACTTCAGCTCCTCTTTCGTATCTGTCTGACAGAGGCAACTTTTCCTCCAGTCTTTTTAGTCACGCAACTCCATGGATTATTGGCGGCTATCTTGTGTTATACAGTTAAAGGCCGAGGGTTTATCCTTTTATCACCCAACCGTATGATACATCAAAGCACATTAAGATATGGGATACAACTAAGTTCAAGCATCTGTGCCCTACACCTAGCCCAATCATTCATACAGTGCTATTTAAGTCCCGTGCGATCTGTACACCATCCAGGTAACTGAAACCCCGTTACCCTTGGCTGGGCTCTCCCGCCCTGGCACATCCTGTCAATTCAGGTGCAGCTATCGAAGTACAATACTACAACTAACTAAACTTCCAGTTGAAGTATATACAGGGGCTTATTAGATAGCATTTAGAGCCAGACCACAGCATTTTAATGAATGAACATGGATGTTGCCCTTCAACTTAATGCAATATCTGTGATCAGACAGCTTATGAAAACACTAATTTTGAGTCACGTAATAGCCGCCATCTTGAAAACGGGCGACCATATTGAATTCAATTGACACCTTTGAGTTTTTCCAGTCAGAATACTTTCATTTTGATGTTTGGGTCATTAACACATATCTGTTAATTCAAGTTCTACTTAAAAAAACATTTTTTTGCATTTGACAAGGCGGCTATCTTGAAAACTGGTGGCCATCTTAGATTTTCAGCTGGTTAACATACTTTTCTTAAAAAGTACATCCTGAACATCATTTGTGCCAAATTTGGTGCTTGTATCACAAAGTGAAAGATTCTTATGGAATATTGTCTTAATCTGCCCCACTATAGAGACTGAAGGGAACCAATATTTGAAGTCTGAGAAAGATCCTCTATTGGTTTTCAAGTAATAGCCTTAACAAACTTTTATAGTCCATATGCAAGTTGGCTACTTTTCGTTTTGATTTTCTGATTAATCCCAGAAACTAAAAAGAGCAACTAGCTATCAAAGGGAATCTTCATATAAAATTTGAGGAAATCCATCCTGTATTTCTCAAGAAATAGTAACATTTAATTTTCATTGACAAAATCCAAAAAGGCTGTCTGTCAGCCATTTTGTTTTTTCTGATCAGTCATGAAATATATGACTGAAAAAATCAAGATGACCATCGTATTTTGCTGGATGCTTGGATAGTGACAGTCTGTAATAAGGGTTAAAGTGATAGTATAGCCTGTTAATGCTTTAAGGAGGGTTTGAGACACACCCATTTCTTTATTTCTATAGCTTTATATCTATTTGTTTATGTTTCAGAGAGGGAAGTCAACTTGTATGGATCGATGACTGGGAGGAGAATGATTATGTTCAAAAGTTACTCCCGAATACATCTGGTGAAATGTTTTGGATAGGTATGTATTCAGGATGTGTTTTCCATACTTAAAAGTGCAGTCAGGGTGTGAACTTTTTAAGGAACTGCATGTGAAAGAAATTAATCCCAACCATAGTGACATTCTGACAGATGCCCACATACAAGTATCAATCATCCTTTTTGACAGAATAACCGCAAGATGTGTAACATGTGAATGTTTAAGCTTTTCCTAGATATTCAATAAGACACGATAAAAAACAGTATTGTATTTTCTTCACTTTAAAAAAGTAAAAATTGTGAAAATACTAAGTCAACTTTATGTGCTTGTGGTAAAATATCGATGATTGCGTACATTTTGTCACAAAATCTTGGAAAGAACCTGCTGCCTTGTGTTAAGATATATTTTTTCCAGTACATGAGTTTCCATAGGTGAAGTGTAATAGGTTTCCTTGTGTATTAAAATGACTGACCAACTCTCAAGGTTACTAGAAGGATTTAATTACGAATTGAAATATTTAAGAGCTTGTTCTTAAGTAAAATTCATGCTTCATTTCCAGTAATGAATATTTGAACTCAAAAGTACTATCAAAAGATTGAAGAGCAAGAACTCAACATATGTAATTTTTGCTTACTCTCAATTAATGTTAGCCAGTTTAATAATCACCATGCTATCATATATTGAAAATTACTCTTTGGCAAAATTTTCAAGCTTTAAACTTTTCGACAATATGAACCAATCACATTCATGCTAGATTACAATTTACTTAATAATGTCACTCATCAAGTGACATATTCCTTATACAACATTATTTTTGTATTCACTTCCTACATGTACTGTTTAGTGACAAGAAGGAATCGAAACATGTTGCAGGATTACACCAGACAGATAATGATTGGAGATGGACTGGAAGTTCAAGTGTGTATGATACTAAATATGGCTTTTGGGAACCACAGCAGCCAGAAGGAAATGCAAAGTGTGTAGCTGGTATGGTAAATGGAAATTGGAAATTGGAACCATGTCAGCAAATGTTGCCCTTCATTTGTAAGACAACGGCATATCCTCAAGGTAAAATTAATGTTAATGAAAGTATTTAGTCATGGACGTAATCACGCTTTTAAAACTTCTTATGCTGTATATCCATGACATTAAGGGTACCTTTCTCATTAAGTTATATCGGCATTGGAAAGCAGGCACAAATATTTTGTTTTGCTTTTGTTACTCTTTTTTTTCCCATTGATATCATTTTCATATTGATGATGCTTTCAGTTAGAAAACACATATATATTATATTATGTTATATTCAAATGTTGAAATAGATATGCCATAAAAAGCGTAATATTGATATTATGGATAGGTGTATCATACAGGTGTGATATTAACATAATAGATAGTTGTTAATACATGTGTTTTATTGACATGATGGATAGGTGCAAATCTTACTGGTGTGATATTGACATAATGGAAAGGTGTATCATACATGTATAATATTAACATGATGGTTAGGTGTATCATACAGGTATAATATTGATATGATGGTTAGGTATATCATACAGGTATGATATTGACATGATGGATAGGTGTATGATACAGGTGTTTTATTGACATGATGGATAGGTGTATCATACAGGTATAATATTGACATAATGGATAGGTGTATCATATAGGTGATTTATTGACATGATGGATAGGTGTATCATACAGGTATAATATTGACATAATGGATAGGCGTATGATACAGGTGTTTTATTGACATGATGGATAGTTGTTTAATACATGTGTTTTATTGACATGATGAATAGGTGTATCATACAGGTATAATATTGACATGATGGCTAGGTGTATCATACAGGTATAATATTGACATGATGGATAGTTGTTTAATACATGTGTTTTATTGACATGATGGATAGGTGTATCATACAGGTATAATATTGACATGATGGTTAGGTGTAACATACAGGTGTTTTATTGACATGATGGATAAGTGTATCATACAGGTATAATATTGACATGATGGTTAGATGTATCATACAGGTATAATATTGACATGATGGATAGGTGTATGATACAGGTGTTTTATTGACATGATGGTTAGGTGTATGATACAGGTGTTTTATTGACATGATGGATAGGTGTATCATACAGGTATAATATTGACATGATGGTTAGGTGTAACATACAGGTATAATATTGACATGATGGATAGGTGTATGATACAGGTGTTTTATTGACATGATGGTTAGGTGTATCATACAGGTATAATATTGACATGATGGATAGGTGTATGATACAGGTGTTTTATTGACATGATGGTTAGGTGTATCATACAGGTATAATATTGACATGATGGATAGGTGTATGATACAGGTGATTTATTGACATGATGGATAGTTGTTTAATACATGTGTTTTATTGACATGATGGATAGGTGCAAATCTTACAGGTGTGATATTGACATAATGGATAGGTGTATCATACAGGTATAATATTAACATGATGGTTAGGTGTATCATACAGGTATAATATTGATATGATGGTTAGGTATATCATACAGGTATAATATTGACATGATGGATAGGTGTATCATACAGGTGTTTTATTGACATGATGGATAGGTGTATCATACAGGTATGATATTGATATGATGGTTAGGTATATCATACAGGTATAATATTTACATGATGGTTAGGTGTATAACACAGGTATAATATTGATATGATGGTCATATATGATAGTTTGGAGTTAAAACAACAACAAAAAAAGAAAATTCAAATGTTTTAATTATCTTCCATACCTGCTGGCATTACGGTGAATCTAATTCTTTTTTTGTTTTCCGTCGTTCGAATAGTGACGGTCTTACTATTAGTCGGGGCTATAGTAGTGTCTGAATTTCTGCCTCATTTTGATGATGTATCCCTGGAATTCAATGAGTTTGGAAGTTTTTGGGCGATTGTTGTTCTGTTCTTAAATCGGACAGCCCATCCCACCGATGGCTAAAGTTGGTGACCCTATGACCTCTCTTGATCTGCATGGCCCGCACACGCAGTTCTGTTGTTCTGGCAGTGACGCCGGCATCTCGGCGATCGCATACAAAGTTGAACAGCTCTTTCTTCATCTCTGGGTGTTTCGCTGTCGCACCTATGTCAGCCCTTCTGGTCAGTGGTTGGGACTTTAGACCGTCTTTTTTTTCTTCCGTGCCTTGATATTTCACTCTGGAATGTCGAAGTGGCGACCGGCGGCACGAAACTCAAGTCTCTAGGCATAGTCAATGGCGTCCAGTTTTTTCTTTCCCCATGTCGAAGTCGGTGTAAACAATCTATACCTTCGGATACTGCGGTAGGTACAGATATGGGGACAATGTAGGATTGAAACTTTTCAGACAGTTAAAACAACATCGTTTTCTGATCAAGAGCACGCGTTCAGCCCAAGCCGGGTGTCGTCAATCTCCTCATACTCAATGTGTTTGTTACCTGTTAAGAACCGTTAATTATCCAATTAGCCAAGCCTTTCATGCTTGTTAAGTCGGGTACCTGTGTGAATTTGTTAACATAAGGTAATTAAATATGTTAAGGTCATGATGATTGTGGTTTCCTAATTATCAATGGATTTTTTTTTTGAATCCGACCCAAAAAAAGTACCTGCACACTATACCCGAGTGCGCACTATACCCGCAAATTTATGGTAGGTATATCATACAGGTAAAATATTGACATGATGGATAGGTGTATCATACAGGTTTGATATTTATACATTTACTTGCAGGTTCATTTAAATGTAGTAAAGGACCAGCTATCAGTAGCATGCATCAATGTGATGGATGTAAGGACTGTGAAGACGGATCTGATGAGTTACAATGTGATAGAGGTAAGTTGTTTTTAGTGACCTGGTACATTGGATTGATTATCAATGCAAATACAGTTGAAACTTGATATCTCGAAATTCAAGTGACTGTTGAAAATATTTTGACTTATCCAATTTTCAACTCAAGCTGAGTGAATAAATAAGGTTGACGATATCAGTTTCCTGACATTGATTATGGTTGAAGGAAGTAGGGCTACGACAGCACGCAAACAGCATAGTTTAATCTGATATTTGAAATTGCAGAAAATAAACAAACAAATTTATCCTAATTTCTCCTTTTATTGTTTATTCATCCAAATTACAAAACATGTAATGACAACTCCAGTCATATGCAATTGTACTCACGTCGTTCCGTCACACACACGTGTACAATACCCTTACTGACCAAGCACATATACATCATATATTTTATTTACTTTTGATATGCTACGAAAAATGATGTATGAATCCACAGATCATATCAATATGACTTTACTATGAAAGGTTTTACCTGTTACAGAAAACATTGTACAACACTAGACTTAACAAATCATACACAGATATAGACTCTATCAATGAAAAATACTTTCAGCACTTCATTGTCCAAGCACTAAATCTCACAAAGTGTCCGATCTTAGTCCTTTAGTTAACAAACTCAAAATTAGTTCCTTTTGGAGTTATGGGGATCAGGTTTCGTCAAAAGTTCGTACTGGTTTGACGGTTTCGCGTTTATCGTTTCGAAAGATGCACATCACCAAGCTAAATGTTTACATGTTTTGTGTACATGCATTACTTTTTTAATGTACAGGTAAGTCACATCTATAGAATGGTGACACTAATTAAGAAGGCAACCCTTAATTGGATAGCTGTTAGCTTAATCGCCAGTTTTGTGTGAACAATGGACCGAGACGCCATAATTAGCCATGTGTTACGCACAGGTGACTTTCTACTCCGTGTATGTTGACCGATTACATCAGAAGACATGCCAAAGTTTTGACAGAAAATTTATTTCCAAACAACGAATTACTTTTCCCTTGCTTTACAATTGAAGAGACTGAAAAATCACTTTGACTCAAATGAAATTGCGACTCAATGAAATTAGAGTCATCTGAACTAAGATTACAAAGTTATAGAAGGGATAAAATCGGGACTTGAAAATTATTTCGAATCAACTGGAATTTCAACTCAAGCGATTTTGAGACGAGTTTCAACTGTATGTCATTTCTCATCAAAGTGTATAAATGAGTGTTTTATTTGGAAGTAGTGTTACTACATGTAGTTTAAGGTGTTCAGCATACAAACAGGTGACTGCCATGGAGATACATTTATAGAATGTAGTATGTAATGAAAACTTGACATAAGGTTATGCATGTTGTTAGGAAGTTAGAGGTTTGGAAATTTAGAGGTGACTCATTGTCATATACATGAAGGTAGTTAGAGCAATTCTCAGTTGGGCTTGTACAGAGTATAGATAACTTTGTCATTGTTACACAGGAGCAGGTGTACTGTTCCTTCACAGGTAGCAAGTGTGCTGTATGGCTACTGTAGAGCAGGTGCAGTTTAAAGGCAGTGTGCTGAGTGTATAGTGCTGGTACCTAAGGAGAGATGATCGCCTTCATCCAATATTAGGGTCAAGCAGATAGTTGTACAGATGTTGTTTGAGCTTTATAGGACCTTGGCAAATAGCATATCATTGCTTCCTTGTTTTTATACTGTATATATTTGTTCCCGGAGGTTCTCCAACATAAATCATTTGTATAAAGTATTGATTACTTAGCTGATTGAGTTAGGGTTTCATGGTAGGGGTATTTCAACATAGTGTTGATGGCTACTACAAAAGTGCCAAACACATTTTGTTAATGCTCACTATCAGTGTATGCACAGCATATCCTGGGAGACACTTGGGTTAGACAATATAGATGCCGACTACTGTATATGTTACATGTAAATGTATATATAAATTTTGATTGATGTAACTCTGGATTTTTTTTCTTATTGTTTCAGCTCCTCAGTGTAACTGGTACAGCACAAGGCAAAGTGGCACACAGATGATTAGCTACCAAAGGAGTAAAACATGCTTGTACACTCTGAAAGTGGACATAGGGCAAAGGATCATGCTTACGGTTAGCATCAGAAAAACTTACTTGTTATGACACTTAAACATAAGTGGTAGAGGATATTTGATGGTTTACATTGACTCTAAAAAAAAAATTTCATAATTTTTGACATCTATTTGTACAGGAATTACATTTGAGTCATCAGCATTCAAAAGCACAGTTAAGAATGATATATTTTTTGTTACTTCTAGCTTTCTTCACTAATACCTGTTGAACTGCGTGCTGACTCCTTGAAAGTGTTCTCTGGTGGTAATACTCTGTCTGAGAGTTATGAAATAGGCTCTGTAACAGGTTTCCTCAGTCAAGGACAGAGATTCATTTCCGGCAACAATTACATAATCGTGAGAATCACAACTGACAGTTCAGTAGAAGGCCAACCTATCACCATGAGCTGGACCAATGGTAGGTGGTTCTTGCAATTTCATATTGAGCATTATGCATAACCAGGGATCGACACTAACGGTAGCCCGTGGCTACTGAATATTTTGGAGGGCTATCAATGGTTTCAAAATCAGTAGTCCGTCTGGCTACTTCAATATTTTGTGAACTTCTTTCCGTTTTACATAGTTCAACTGTCATAAACAAGACATTATTGGTCAAATTTTCATTTCTGGTTGCACAATCACTTGAACGTTTGTTTTGTATTGTCATTCTCTATTAATCAAGCGTTATGAAAATTCCGTCTTTGTGCGTTTGAAATCATTTTCGAAAGGTACTTGAAAAATTCAAGCGTGATTTTGATTGTGATTTTAATCAAAATGTTGATGTTATTGAGGTGGCTGGATCAGCCAGTCCCTCCTAAAAAAAAGCTGAAAACAACAGACAAAAAGGTTGCGCAGGAAGAGTATGAGCACAATAGATACGAATGGAAGTTCCAAAGCAGTTGGCTGAAATCATTCTCGAGGCTACGTTTTGAGAATGACGAAATGCACTGTGAAATTTGTTGTCAGCTGATAGTCATACAGACTAAGACAGCATATAATAAAATTGCTTTGTAATTTCTTTACTAACTGTGCTAGTGCAGCAGGGCTACCAGACATTTGGAAGGGCTACTGCAATCAAGTAATTGGTAGCCCTTCGGGTTACTGCCTTCAAAATGTTAGTGTCAACCCCAGATAACACAGTATTATTGCAGTGTTGAAACTGATTCAACTATTCATTGATGTGGATTTTGATGTCTTGTTTATTAGTGCCCTATGCATTATCAGGTGAAAGTCTGAGGTGTATGGTATGATGCTTTTTCCCATGTTGTACAGTCCTAACATTATCTTAATATTTTATTTTGCTACTTCTCATCATTAGACACAGAATCATCAACAAAATATACATTGTTTTTTATGCTGTTAGTACCATATCTAAATGTGTCAATTTGTATTTTCTAGTTAATATAAAAGGATGATACATTAGAATTCTTTATCAATTATTTCTTGTTAATACAACAGGGTGTCCAGTCATTAATGCTAAATGAATATTTCTTGGGAGGGGGATAACTCTTTCACATATAGAATGTGTAAAAGTATGATATTAGCCTTAGTTAAATCCAAAGCCAGCTGAACGATGTATCTGATGATTTACAGTATCACAAGGCATAAATATTTACCCATCTTTACCAGTTTCCTTAGAAATTCCTTGCTAGCTGAACAATTTATCTAATAAAATATAGTTACACACTTTTCATAAATTGCCTCTGAAAACCTTAGCTAGCTGAACAATGTATCTGATAAATGTAGTTACACACATTTTATCTGTAGCCTTAGAAATCCTTAGCTAGCTGAACAATGTATCTGATAAATGTAGTTACACACATTTTATCTGTAGCCTTAGAAATCCTTAGCTAGCTGAACAATGTATCTGATAAATGTAGTTACACACATTTTATCTGTAGCCTTAGAAATCCTTAGCTAGCTGAACAATGTATCTGATAAATGTAGTTACACACATTTTATCTGTAGTCTTAGAAATCCTTAGCTAGCTGAACAATGTATCTGATAAATGTAGTTACACACATTTTATCTGTAGTCGTAGAAATCCTTAGCTAGCTGAACAGTGTATCTGATAAAATACTTTTACAAGCTTTTTATATATTGCCTCTGAAATGCTTAGCCAGCTGAATAATTTATCTGAAAGAATACAGCTAGTCACTTATACCAATTGACTAAAAAATCCTAAGGTAGCTGAACAGTGTCTCTGATGAAATACTGTTGTATTTTCAGCTGTCCCTGATGTCTTTAATTCAGCACGCATGTTGTCTGCTCCATCATATTTTGTAACATTGCAATCTCCCTTCTATGGTGAAATGTTGCCTGCAGATTTGGCAATGGCCTGGGACATCACTGCATTGACAGAAGGACAAGTTATCACAGTTATGGTAAGAAGCATGGTTGAAAACTTTTGCTGTTTGCTTGCATTGATATTGAACATCGATATCAAATACAAATGTAATACACCTGCTTGTAGTTATTGACATCCAAGATATTTACCAAGGACATACTGTATATTGAGAATGTTTTGCAAATATCTAATTTTTGTGAAATTAGCAACCCTTTCAAAATCGCAAATGGCATAAAAATGCAAAATGAGCATTTTTCCTATTTTATTGTAAGTGTCTGAGTAATGCGTATATAGAGTTGGCATACCTCCATGCACCTGAACACTTTCTAGTCACAAATACTTCTATGATAAATCTCTTATCTTCATATGACTGTTCAGTTAGATCTATGGTAGAAGGTAAAACCTACACTGGTATTTATGTAAGCTTTATGATGCCCATTCTGAGGTATTCATATACTTAAAAAGTGGTCTTTCAAATTTCTGAGACAAAGAAATCGCAAAAATTGAAATATGCAAAAACTGCAAAAGGTACTTTTTGGGGATTTTGGCAAAAAAATAACATTGCAAATATATCCTGATATACAGTACATGTATCTCTTTCAGCCATATTTGATATGTTAAGTACATATGAATGTACACAAATGACCTAGCTACATTTATTATGAGCTTGATCAACAAATTTAAACATGTATTCTAATTTTACAATTATTGTAATTGGTGAGGATACTTTATTTTCATTTGCTTACTGGTATCTGTGTGCCAACTACCCCAAAATGTTCAGTGATCATTTGGTTTGTATACATTGTAACCTGTCAATCTCATCAATATACATTACTACAACATTGTTTTTTATAAGTGATATACTGTAGAAATCTGCAAACATACCTATATAAATTGTTTTGCTGCAAAATTGCTAGTTTGGTATAAAGTTTAATGAAATTTTCATTTTTCCATTTCAGTTTGATATGGTTGATTTGGAAAGTAGAAGCTCCTTGGAGTTATATGATGGTGGAAATATGTATGATGCAGTCTTATCTGGTATTCGCTCCATTCCCGATCCAGCTATGTATATTTCATATAGCAGGACTATCAGAATTAAATTGTCTACCTATGCTGCTTACCAAAGTAGTTCTAATGGCTTCTCTATCAGATATATGGAGGGTAAGTTGTTTTTAAAAGTTACGATTTTCTTGCAAATATATGTGTTTATGATAATTTTCTTACAGTTAAGTACATCATTGTACTTTATACTCATACATACAATATGCTTTTGTTTTGTGAAATATCTGAAAGGTAGAATATCTCTATATTTCAAAATTCATTGTACAGCTGTCATCTCAAAGAACTCGTAGGTAAAAAATAAGTATAGATGTAGTTGGTTGTCACTATTGAATTGTGATTTTACTTACTGATGATAATGTTATTCACACTAAAATCTTTTATCACCAGCCATATTTTCTAATTTCAGGATGTCAGAACACCATTACTCCAGCTAATTACGGGACAATTTTGACACCCGGTTTTAAGACCGGGTATTATCCTCGTGGTGTTTCTTGTAGTTGGACAATTTTAGCTCCAGCATCAAAGAAATTGACGCTGAGAAAAGAATCATTCAACATTGTTGCAAATGTTGACTACATGAAGGTAAGGGGTGAAGTTGAAGAAACATTAGTTTTGGTGTATTTGTGGTGGGAGAAGGAAGAGAAACATCATTTATGATGTATTTTGGGTGGGGTGAAGTTGAAGAAACATCAGTTTTGGTGTATTTGTGGTGGGAGAAGGAAGAGAAACATCATTTATGATGTATTTTGGGTGGGGTGAAGTTGAAGAAACATCAGTTTTGGTGTATTTGTGGTGGGAGAAGGAAGAGAAACATCATTTATGATGTATTTTGGGTGGGGTGAAGTTGAAGAAACATCAGTTTTGGTGTATTTGTGGTGGGAGAAGGAAGAGAAACATCATTTGTGATGTATTTTGGGTGGGGTGAAGTTGAAGAAACATCAGTTTTGGTGTATTTGTGGTGGGAGGAGGGGGATAAACATCATTTATGATGTATTTTGGGTGGGGTGAAGTTAAAGAAACATCAGTTTTGGTGTATTTGTGGTGGGAGAAGGAAGAGAAACATCATTTGTGATGTATTTTGGGTGGGGTGAAGTTGAAGAAACATCAGTTTTGGTGTATTTGTGGTGGGAGAAGGGGGATAAACATCATTTATGATGTATTTTGGGTGGGGTGAAGTTGAAGAAACATCAGTTTTGGTGTATTTGTGGTGGGAGAAGGAAGAGAAACATCATTTATGATGTATTTTGGGTGGGGTGAAGTTGAAGAAACATCAGTTTTGGTGTATTTGTGGTGGGAGAAGGAAGAGAAACATCATTTATGATGTATTTTGGGTGGGGTGAAGTTGAAGAAACATCAGTTTTGGTGTATTTGTGGTGGGAGAAGGGGGATAAACATCATTTATGATGTATTTTGGGTGGGGTGAAGTTGAAGAAACATCAGTTTTGGTGTATTTGTGGTGGAAGAAGGGGGATAAACATCATTTATGATATATTTTGGGTGGGGTGAAGTTGAAGAAACATCAGTTTTGGTGTATTTGTGGTGGGAGAAGGGGGATAAACATCATTTGTGATGTATTTTGGGTGGGGTGAAGTTGAAGAAACATCAGTTTTGGTGTATTTGTGGTGGGAGAAGGGGGATGAACATCATTTATGATGTATTTTGGGTGGGGTGAAGTTGAAGAAACATCAGTTTTGGTGTATTTGTGGTGGGAGAAGGGGGATAAACATCATTTGTGATGTATTTTGGGTGGGGTGAAGTTGAAGAAACATCAGTTTTGGTGTATTTGTGGTGGGAGAAGGGGGATGAACATCATTTATGATGTATTTTGGGTGGGGTGAAGTTGAAGAAACATCAGTTTTGGTGAATTTTGCTTGATGAAACAGGATAAAGAGATGAGACATCATTACAAGTAATTCTTGTGTACAATGAATGGACTGCCTAGATCAATTTCTGTGATGGCTGGTATTTGTACATATTTATAGTTAATGCTAAGTTTATCACTTCTTAAGTAAGATATTATCTCCCATATACACTACAAAGTCATTAATTAAAGATTAATTATATCATTGGGTTTTAAATTGGAAAGGAAATTTTTCTCATATGGTATCGGATATCTGTTAGTAATCTATCAATTAGTTATTTTTTACAATTAAAAACTACTTTCTACTGCGTAATCCTGAAACAGATTTTTGACCATGACAGCTTTTAGTAAGAATGAAGGATTTTTTGACATGTCTTTTGTTGGAGCAATGTTGTATTAAGTAAACTCTACATGTAATTGTGAAGATACTTGTATAATCTGTATATAGTAATATTTATGATATATTTTATTGAAATTGATTGATGGTAAAACTTAATATGATGTGACTAACAAATCTGTTTGCAATTATGGTTATTTTCATTGTGTTGTTCATGTGTTAAATTTTAATAATTACATGATTTTTATTATTTCAGGTTTACAACAATACTAACACTCCTGTCCATACAGGTAGTGGCTACACAGGTGATATCAATAGTCCATTGGTCATCACTTCAGACACTGGATATATAAAGGTTGAGTTTATATCTGACAAAGTGAGAACAGGAAATGGTTTCAAGCTGACCTATTCCATCGGTATGTTCCTTTGTAATTCTTTTAGGCTAAGGTAATTTATATTCTTTAGCTAAGTATACCAATATTTTTAGGTCATCTTACCTGAAGGGTCAGGATTACCTATAGCCATTGTGTTTCATCAGTTGTCATGTGCCGTGTGCCCTGCGCCATCCATTGTGCATAAACTTTCCATTCAAATGACTTCTTCTCAATAACCAAAAGGCCGAGGGTTCTTCTATTTGGTCTGTAGCATAATGGGATAAAGAACTACCTAGTTTGTCAAAATTAATTACCTTGACCCACTTTCAAGGTCAAAGGGGTCAAGTGTGTTGAAATGTTTAAAAGACTTTTTTCTCAATGACCAAATGGCACAATGATATTGCACACCTGTAGCATGCAGGACTTATGGGCTACCAAGTTTGCTCATATGATTGACCTTGATCCAATTTCAAGGTCACAGACACAAAATTTAAAAAAAAAGTTTAAACAACTTCTCAATAATCAAACTGCCCATGGTGCTGCTATTGGGCCTGTGGCATGCATGGATGAAGGGTTAACAATTTTGTTCATATGATTGACCTTGTCCAGTTTTAAAGGTGACCGGGTCAAATTCTTGCCTAATTGATGCCTAATGTTTCTTGCCATTGACTAGACCCTGAAGCCTGTTCTGCCTAAACATCTTCCACTTCTTAAATCTCTGTTATCATTAAGTTGGGTGTATTGCTTGATGGCATATGACATCAAACACAAAAGGAATTTGAAAAAGTTTATTCTTATGGAAGGAAAAATCTGTTTTGTTTCATTCTAAAATTTATTGATTCTCTAATGTGTATGTATGAAACAGATGAGATCCCCTACGTTATGTATTAACATACATTTATTAAATATATATAGTGATTAATTAATGTAATGTTCATTTTGGTATATCTTTTATAGACTGTGAACCGCTGACCCCATCCATGTGGACCAGTATCACTCCAAATGAGATGCCTTATACCTCATTTCGTAGCACCATTGTTGTCACTTGTGAAGAAGGATATTCTTTCACACAAGAGGAATACAACCAAATGTCTTCTGTGCCAATGATATGTGAGGCAGGTGGAAACTGGAATGTTTCTCGCAATCCTGATTGCTCCAGTGAGTATATTTTGTTGATATAATTAAATACCTGGTAATAAATACATAGCTAGAAATAGAATAGAAGTTTTTATAACACAACAAGTAGAAAATTAAGGTGTGAGGTTTCCATGACTATACCTACAACAGACAAGTGACCCGTGTGGAGTGTGCTAGCACTGAGGTACATTGTGTACAAGATTGTAAGGAATTGACCAACTTTTTTGGTTTGTACTATAATCCTATATACTTTAAGGTTGAAAATAGTGTGATGAGATGGTGAAAAGATTGTAGACCAAAAATACACAAGATGGTAAAAATGTACTGAAGTTAATCTTCAACTGATTGTGTTATAAGAACTTATATTCTGTTGACATTACCAATATGAAGAAACTAGAACGTAGAAGTCCATCCCTGCAGATTTTATGGGATAAAATAATAAACACATCAAGCATATATGTCACCACATTACTTTTACTATAAGAGTCATATATAGATACATACTTATGAACTGCTGATCCAAATTTTGACAGTTTTAAAGTTTTATTAATTTTGTTCATTTCACAATGAATTTATATATAGCTTATAAATATCACTGAAATTGATAATATGATTCATAACTATCCTCCAAAATTTATATGTAAAGGTATTAAAAAAAATAATTGCAATTTTTTTTTTGAAAATCTGGTGTTTTCTTTTGTGGCAAAATTGTACCCAAAGCCCATATTTTTTCCTTTACTCTTCAGCTTTTGTTGGATAATCTTTTTTTTTTTCAATTTCTGTTAAGACTTTGACAAAAATACAATAGAATAAACAAATTAAAAGCATGACTGAGCAGATTTTGACCAAATCTAATCAGAAGCCTTCTTTTGGAAAGAAGAATGTATTTTGTATAGATGGTGTGTTCAAACTCCCCAAGACTGAGGGGCTGGGCAAAAAAGGGGGAATTTCTGTAAAATCCTACTCCTCTTGTAAAAATGATTGGATTTTGCCCACATTTGGTCTGAAGCATCTTTGGTTAAAGGGAATAATTTGTTTTTATAACTTGTGGGCTTTGCCCCTTTGGAACAGGAGGGGTGGGGCCCAGTTGCGGAAGCAGAGCAAATTCTTTAAAATCATATTCCTCCTGTAGGAATGATTGGATTTTGTCCTGATTTGGTCTGAAAGATGTTGGGATAAAGGCAGATAATTTTTTGTATAAATTATGCCAAAGGCAGGAAGGGTTGGCTCAATAGGAGTGATAGAGCAAATTCTTTGAAATCCTACTCCTCTTGTAGGAATTATTGAATATTGCTCAAATTTGGTCTGAATTATGTTTGTGGAAAGGGAATGGGCTCTATAGGGGAAATTGGTTATGTCTTTGAAACAGATGAGATCCCCATCCTTACCCATATACAGTATTGCTGGGCATCAAGAGATAAACATATTTGTGATGTAAAAATTGGCCCTAGGGTCTGGCCACAGCCCTTGAAACTTAGTTTCTGAGTTAAAAATAAATGAGATCATCACCTTTAATTCATAGCAATGATGGTCATCAAGAGATAAACACATTCATGATGAAAGAATTGGCAAGTGGATGTGACTTCACACCTCAGGACTTTTTATTTCTGGGTTATATCTTTGAAACAGTTGAGATCCCCACCTTATATCCATATATAGCATTGTTAGGCATCAAAGAGATGAAAACAATCATGATGTCAAAATTGGCCCTGGGATGTGCCTAATGGGTTATATCATTAAGCAGTTGAGAGAACTTAGATCAGTTTCACACATTCTTTGTTAGAATCAGGCATAGAAATGTTACTTATAAAGATATAAAGAATGCTGAACTGTACTTTTTTTTTCAAATTAAAACTGTTTATGTTTAGTATATTTGCTTATAGTCATGATTGTTGCCTTTTAAGTGGCACAAAGTTTATATTACCAATATTCATGTTTATACCTGTTCTGAGTGACCATCATGTTTCTCTACCCTTATTAAATATCTTATCAATTTACTTCATTTAAAAAATTTCCTACCCTTGTCCCTAGAAGCTTCATCTTGTGATTAGCTATCACACTCCAAAATGCTAAGGTGAAATGTCAACTACAAAATCAGATATAGGTAATGCATTATATCAAACGAAATGGATTAATGAGCTCTGGAAAGAGTGACATCACAGAAGGGTCAGTTGACATTGATAATAAGATTACAGCACAAATCAGAATTAGGTTGTCTTTATGTCCGTCATCAATCATTCGACGCCTTCCATCATCTGTTGTTAACTTTTACCTTTAAATAACTTCTTTTCAACAATCAAAAGATCCAGGTTATTGATATTTTGCCTGTAGGATGCTGGGACAAAAGGCTACCATGTTTGTTATAAATGAATAACCTTGACTCACTTATAAGTTCACAGGTGTCAAATGCGTTAAAAAATGCACATAGTTTCTTCTCAATAACCAAAAGGCTCAGCATACCAGGATGACGGCAGCATGTTGGGCCAAAAGTCTACTGTGTTTGTTGAAATGAATAACCTTGACCCAATTACAAGGTCACAGGGTCAAATATGTAAATTTTTCAAACATTTCATTAACCTTAAGGCTCAGGGTGCTGACACAAGGGTCAAATATGTTAAAAACTTATCAATAGAAGACAGCGTAAAGTGCTGATATTATGCCTGTAGCATGCTAGGATGAAGAGCTAGCTAGTTTGTTCAAATGGATGACCATGACCTGCTTTCAAAATCATAAACAGCTTTTTTTCAATAACAAAGAGGTCCAAGATTATAATACACCAAATGAAAATTGATTTTATTGCTTGGGTGACCGAGCTTAGTTTACTTGTCCTATATGCATAGTACTGGATAGTTGGTCGGTTCGTTGATAGGTCTGTCTGTTTGTAAGTATACTTGGTGGATGTACATGTACATGTCAAAAATTATATCATATGTCTTATTGGTGTTTTGTGTTGGAAGTTCCAGTTTTTTTGTGTTGCATTAAAATCTTTGAATTGTTATTATAATAGATTGTTATTCTAAGCTGTTTCTTGAGCAGTAGTACTGCATGGATCATTTTAAAATTCCATATCTAGGTCCTGCTTCATCCCTAGTTGTTTAGAGATCATTTTCACATGCATGATCATTAATACAAGATAGCTGACAGGTGGTCATCTTTTTGTCTATCATCAGATGGTGGGCTATTCAAATTGTCCTTCATGCATGGTCTGCCATTTGTCTGTGGTCTGTCTGTAAACAGTTTTTGTTATCACTATTTCTTGAGAAGTACTGAATGTGTCTTTCTCAAAATTCAAACATAGGTTCCCCTCGGTCCTCAGATTTGTCTGTTTGATTTTTTTTGGACTGATCCAAATAACAAAATGGCTGACAGACAGCCATCTTGGATTATGACTTTGAAGGTTTGTTATTGCTATTTCTTGATAACTGCTGTATAGATCTTTCTCACATTTCATGTGTAGATTTCCCTTGGTCCCTTGTTGTGCCCGTTTGATTTTGGGACTGATCAGAAAAAACAAAATGTCTTCCAGGTGGCTGTCTTAGATTTGGCAGATAAAGATTATTATTGCTATTACTGCAAAGTATTAATGTTCAAATTTCTTATCATTAAGAGCAAAAACAGTGAATAGAATAGAAAGGAAAAGATTCAAATTTTGAAGAACAAATAATAATCAAACAATAGTGGGCACCAAGTTCTCTTTGGGATCTCTTGTGTGATAGTTGTTATCCATTCAGACCTCAAAACACAGATAAAAGTCCACCAAACCTAATATGAACAGAACCTAATACTTGTGTTAGATAATCTCTGCTTCATTATCATAGTTATTATCAAAAATGATTTACAGAGATGATTTCTTTAAAAGTAAATGTCTACATTATAACACCATACACAGTCTATCGAAAAGCATTGATGATGCACTGTATAATTAGGTTATAATCGGTCTGTCAAAATAGGGTTAGCAAGCATTTTTGGCAAATGAAATCACAAATTTGCATTGGAGTTAAAATGGAACGAAACAGTTAAGATTATACAATGTTGTCACCAGAGATTTATAGCCAAAGGTTCATTCTTATGAAGCTTTTTAATTTCTTTTGTGCTGGTAATCAGTATACCTGTAACAATGCTTGGCCAGCTCACCAAGAAAGGAATATTGTGAAATATTCATGAAAAAAAATCTATCTACTTCTGTGTGTTACATGTGTTAAGTATTTGTGTCTGAAGAATCTCCTATATTATCCTTTGCAGTAATTAGTGACAAATCAAAGTGCACACAGTAATCAATATCTATATATTTTTTTCATCCTCATTGTACATATTCGTTATTTTGTCAGCTAAGAAAGTCTGTTGTGGTTGGGCGAATGCATGTATACATAATGGTCAGAGGGGATTATAGTGGCCACACCACTCTATAAGACACTAATTTGTTAATTGGATGGTGAATTCACCTAGACAGCTAGATCGTAGATGTTACTTGTATCGTGGTTAATATACAGATATTATGCATTAGATAGTTAAGTATCATCATTTGGGTTTGTATAATAAATAACACAACAGAAAGAATAAGGAAATAAAGCCACTCATATTTTCAGAGAAAAAAAAAAAAAACCTGTACATTTGTATGATATAATTCATCATTCAATACACTATTTGTCTATAAAACATAGATCAGAATGAAGAACATAAGAAAGAATTTAAAAGAAAAGACCAAACTTTTAAACACTAACTAGTAAAGACCTGTGGGATCTCTTGTTCTCTTAGCTAATGATATGCACTCAATACACAAGTAAATATTCAGACTTTTTGTAGACTTAAGTATAACAGGTATACTGTGAGATCATCCAGTTTCATGGGTGGTTTATTTTTCCTCATTTCCTATGTAATTCTAATTATCAAATCATATGTCCATGAATTGTTAAAATCGGTATAAGGCAGCATATTTCTATAGCTATATATTCATCAAAAGAATCAAGTGGCTAGGAAATTGAAATTATTTGAAAAACCATGATAATTAAGCCCCCTGAAAAAATCTGTTTTGGCAGTACAAGTATATCTAAAAAAATACAGTTTCACAAAATAGTGTGACCGAATTTTAATTTCTTTCCCTCAAAATCTGTTTAAACAAGTTCAATGCTATTAATTATTTTTGTGATATTTTTGTTTCAGTTACATATTGCCCTATTCCACCAAAGGTTCCTAATGGCTGGATTTCAGGAGCATCTGAAAAAGGAGTTAAGGCTGGTGGAAATGTTACATATGAGTGTGGAGATGGCTTTGTATTGAGTAATTCTGCCACTATCAAATGTCAGTCAGATGGTACATGGGAGACTGCACCTTCATGTACAAGTAAGTTATTACAATTCCTTCCTCTTCACCCCCCACCCTTCCTCCCACCCCTCAACCCAACAAAGTTAGACAGAGTATATATAGTGGAATCAGTATATGTAATATATGCAAAATGTATGTGAAGTTTTGAAATAACTTGATTAAACTTAGCCTGATATCCAACTCCTCTGATGCATCTAAAGCCAGTTAAATGTTTTGAAAATGAAAGTTGAAATTAAAATGGCAAAATGGTAAAAATGGTAAAATTGCAGGTACCTGTTTTTCAAACACTAGTTAAAGATAATGCTACTTAGTGAACATTTTCAAACATGAATTCAACAAAGTTAAGAACATTCTTTATCCTTTCACAGCTGTTGGTTTTTTGGGAGAGGTCAGATTGATTTATTTCAAGTGTTGCTTTACAATTGACACTCTAAATTAGTATTAACAATATGAATTTCAACTTTTGATCTAGCTGCCAAGGCCAGGTGGCCATCATGAATTATGAAAATTGCAGTCAGTTATTGCATCTTCAGAAGTTCAGGATGGATCATTTTCAAATTTGATATTTAGGTTTCCCCTGGTCCTTAGTGATACATTTTTGATTTGTGGAGAGTTCGGAAAGTGGAGAAAAGAAGGGTAATGATCCAATTGTCAAATAACCAATATAGATTAAACAATGGCATGGGTCAAGGTTCTTTTGAGATCTCTAGATATTTCTTCATTATGTAACATTTTCAATCAGATATAAAACATGTACTTTTGTATGACAATGACAGTTTTCCTTACACAGTTTCCTCTTACTGAATTCTACTTATTTGTAGGTACAAGCTGCAGTCCATTTCCACTTTTTCCCAATGGTGGCACCAAAAATCTTACCGCTGAAGTAAACCAGTATGGAGATGTTATAGAATTCTACTGTAATGAAGGGTATGAGCTAGGCAACGGTCCTATGTACGCATACTGTCAAAGAAATGGGACCTGGTCTCACAATTCACCAACTTGTGAAGGTTTGTTCATTATATCGTATTATAGTGCAAAATGGAGCAACTTTAAGTAATCTAAGTTTGCTAAAGCTTGCCATAAAGGTCTTCCACTGGTATATAAATATATATATATTGAATATTTCAGTAACCTGTGCTGTTTTGTGCTGTTTCCAAACAGAAGATATTTATTTGCATGCTTCTTGGAAATTGATCTAATCATTATTTTATATTATGATCAATTTTATAATATACCAAAAAACAGGTGAGAGACAAGAAAAAGAAACCAATCATTAGGCACATGTAGGTTCATTTCTTTTGTTTTCAATAAAATTTTACCTGTAGAAAGTTGGTGAAGAATTTTGTAATATCAATTTTGATTTTGAAAATGTATGCCCGGTGTTGTACATGCAATGTTCCTACACCAGGTCTTGTGGTGACTTTTATTTATAGATTAGGTAGAATAAAGGGAAATTTGTAGTATGTGTAAATTTGCTAATATTTTTGATGATTGAATTATTTAGATGTTGAATTCACTTGATTATAATAAAAATTCACCTTTTTTTAGCTCTAATCTGCCCATTGGTGTCCGTGAAGAATGCTGTGTGGTTGACTACGGAAGGTGTACCTTTTGGCACAACATCTTCGCTCAATTGTTCTGGTGGCTTTAGATGGAATGTGACCACTTCACAATCTCTGATTGTAAATTGTCTTGCAAATAGAACTTTTGCAAACCTGGAGGAATGTGAAGGTGTGTATTGTTTTTACAGCAATGGCTAGAATGGGTTGGTAATACAATTTAGATATTGAAATGAACTGTTTGTGAAAAAAAAAATTATAAAGAGAAAAATTATACAGAAAGAAACAGACAGGGCTATATTGTGACAAAGTTTTGTAGAACAAATAGAGAAAGCATTGTCTAAATTTTGTATATTAAAAAGGTTTAATGTGGCTTGTGTCAAGAATTGATCTCATAATCAAACTGCAATTTAAATTTGATGAGTATATTTATGTTCTTTAATAGATGAAAGAATCAAGATTTCTCATGACATGTACTTTTCTCCATTGCCCAGTATATGTGTACTTTTCTCCATTGTCCAGCTTATGTGCACTTTTCTCTGGTACCCAGCATATGTGTACTTTTCTCCAATGCCAAGTATATGTGTACTTTTCTCCATTATCCAGTTTATGTGCACTTTTCTCTGGTACCTAGCATATGTGTACTTTTCTCCATTGCCCAGTATATGTGTACTTTTCTCCATTGCCCAGCATATGTGTACTTTTCTCCATTGCCTATGGTATGTGTACTTCTCTCTGTTGCCTACGGTATGTGTACTTTTCTCCATTGCCCACCATATGTGTACTTTTCTCGGTTGTCAAGGATATTTGTACCTACTCCCTAGCCTAGCATATTTGTACTAATACCTGTTGCTCAGCAAATGTGTACTTTTCACCATTGCCCAGTATGTTTGTTCTTTTTTCCATTGTCTAGGCTATGTGAACTTTTCGTTGTTGTCAAGCATATGTGTACATCTCTCCATTGCCCAGCATATGTGTACTTTTCTCTATTGCAAAGCATATTATACTTTTCCCTGTTGCATAGCAAATGTGTTCTTTTTTCCATTGTCCAGAATATGTGTACTTTTCACCTTTGCCAACCATATTTATACTTTTCTCCATTGTCTAGCATATGTGTTTTTTCTCTGTTGCCAAGCATATGTTTGCTTTTTCAGATATCAATGAATGTACAGATGGTATTCACAACTGTGCTGCATCAGAGGACTGTGAAAACACCATAGGGGGATTTAAGTGTAACTGTAAGGATGGCTATTTCAGGAATTCAACATCTTCTCTTTGTCAAGGTAAACTATTAAAGACATACTCCACTTGTATTTAATGTTGTGTATATTGTATATTGCATTATTTGTTATTATTATTATTATTATAATGCGTTAAATTTCAACTATGTGTACTTGTTTCTTTATCTGATACACAAATCATATCTTTACATTATTAAAGAATGAAAGGAACTATTTTGTGAATTAAAAAAGGAGGGAGGGGGAAGAAGAAAGGTTTTGATACATGACATTTTGGGTTCTACAACTACGAGAACAGATGTGCAGTCAACAATTGAAAAATACAACTGATGAAGATCTGATCTTAAAAGGATAAAAGAGGAAATGCATGAGCCACTTTATGCTTTTTTCCTATGTAAGGAGCAAGGTGTGTGTGTTGTAAGTTTAAAGGGAGTTTCTGTGTTTCTTCTGTGGAAGGAAAATACAACGTACGCATATATACTCAACAAGTTTTATGACATATAGAATGAAAGATCACTACCTTCTCTGTGATTTTTATGAGCCTGCAATTTATTTCAGAATTGAACAATTCTCATCAATGTTAAGTTTCTTATCTGCTACACAAACATTTATAAATAATTTCCTAGTTATACTGTCTCTCACTTTTAATTCTTCCTTTTTGTACATCATCAGTTTGGTGTTGAAGTAGATGCTTAAAGTTATCATGTGCATTATCATATTTGGTTAAAGATAAAATCTTAGCAGTTGAGATCCATCCTCATCTTAGTGCAATATCAACTGATGAGTGTGAGGAGATGGACAACCATGCAACAATACAGGTCTTGACTTCCTTTTGATGTAAATTTGCCACTGTCAACTTAAATAGTTGTTGTTTTTAAAGACTTCATTTTCTTATCAAAACCTGCATTATTGGTCCATATTGCTTGCAGGAACCATGTGGAGAGTTTTTACATATTATGTCACAAAAACCTTGGGTGATTTCTTAGATATTGCTACTCTAGCTGACATTTCCGAAAACAAAGAAAATAAATATGGCACATTCATAAATTGTATTTTATTTGCATTTTGTTTAGAATGTTGATAGAAATATTAGAGAAGCATTTTTTAAGTAAGCATAATACAATAATACAGTTGTGAATGGCAGTGGTTTAATTTTGTGTTGAATACAAGAGTAAATAAGACTCTTCAATAGATATGTATATGTGATTTTGTGTTGAATACAAGAGTAAATAAGACTCTTCAATAGATATGTATGTGATTTTGTGTTGAATACAAGAGTAAATAAGACTCTTAAATAGATATGTATATGTAATTTTGTACTCTACAGATATAAAAGAATGTTCGGTAAACAATGGAGGCTGTAGCCACATGTGTAATGAGGAAGTCCCAGGCTATTACTGCAGTTGTCAAAATGGTTTTGAACTATTCACAGAACAAAATCAAAACAACATCAGCACACCTCTTAGGAACGAAGACGGTCTTCGGGAAGGGGACACATACTACTTAAACCATACCTGTATTCGTATGTTTTGATATGAATTGTTCCTGTATGTAATGAAGCATTTATCATTCCCAGAGTGCTTGGGGAATTTAAAATTTACCAAGCAAGAACAGTTTCCCAATTCAAACAGTTTAAACATTAAGCATGTGACAAGATGAATAAAAACTAGGCTAGTGATTCAGAAGATTTTTGATACCAAATATCAGAAACTGTCTGTGATGCTTGTTTTCTTATATTCACATAATATTTTCTGACAGCCATTTCTTTACTTAAGCATTTCTTAAACAGTTGTATTTTTTATTGTAGGAAAAACTTGCAACTCCCTCTCTCACCCAAGTAATGGACAGCTCCTGACTGAACATCCCTACACATTTTATTATGAAGATATGGTTTATTTTGAGTGTAATAATGGTTACATAATATCAGGAAGTAAAAATATAACATGTCAGGCCGATGGACAGTGGTCAGCATTACCACCAACATGTATAAGTAAGTTAGGTTTACAGGTACATTCATACTTCTGTCTATACATCTGTATGTAATCTATGTATGGAAGGGTCTTAATGTGCTTTTCTCTGGGTGACCCCCAGGGGCTGTATGGTGTGGCCAAAAAAGATCAAATTGACTGAAATTTCAAATCTCTTCTCAATGACCAGATATTGTAGAATCAAATACTCTTCGCGGATGAATTGGTCTTAAAGAAAAACTCTTCTGTCCCTGTACAAACATCATTTCTCATTTTTGCTTCTCCATACTAAACATTCATTCCAAATGTTTCATTTTCTGAGTTCACTCAGGTGACCGTTTAGGCCCCTGGACCTCTTGTTCATGTTAGTTATTGAAGTACTAAAGGGATCATATCTACGTATGTAGGTTAAACAGAAAAACAAAATAGCAGACATACAGCAATCATGATTTAGTTTGCGTTTGCTAGTTTTCATAAACTGCTTGATGGATTGTTATATTATTTTGTGGTTCCCCCTAGGGCCTCAACTATGCATGTTAAGTTTTGTAAACGGTTTGAATGACAGAATGGCTTGTGGTTGGCACTTGTAGATTTTTAAGGATTTTCTCAGATGCACCAGAGGAATTTTTTCTTTTCAATTTCATGTAGGTTTCTCGTGTTTATTGATGTGATCATGTAATAAATTCTCCAGTCAGTATTCAGTACAACATGTAATCAAAAGTAAACAAGAGAATACAAGAGAAATGAAGGGATCTTTTGTATTATTTACAGGAGCAACCTGCACTGTGCCTACATTTACAGCACGGATGTTAAACAGCAGTACTGTTCAAGGTGGGACAGTATACCTATCAGATGCAGTGACGTTTCAGTGTGAATATGGTAGTAAGATCTTAGAGAGGACTATGTACTGTGGCCATTTAGGAAATGAATATGGCTTTTTTGGGGATGATTTTAATTGTCCTGGTAAGTATTCACATGATTACTCATCATATAATCACACATTCTTTGAAACTGACTGATGTTGTAACACATAATTTTCGTTTCCCAAGAAATGCTTTTGTCAGGGATAATTTATTGGGCTCCACCTGTCAGTCTGGTTTTGCTTATATCTGTGTGTCCATGTGGGAGGTATGAATCTCTGCAAAACTTTGTATACATATCAAGTCAGTTAGAACTAGTTTGGACTTTTGCTATTGGCTAGGTTTTAGTTTTGGTGTATTTTCCTGTTACATGACAGCAATATTAGAAACACAAAATTTCTGATTATAAGCTTTTCTTAAAGGCAAAAAAAAGCAAGTACGAAAACTGACTCCTAAATACATGTAGTTTAAAGCTGGTGAAACAAGACTTACTTTTATTTCACCTAGTCCAGAGGACCAGTGGGGTTCAATAAGGGAAATAGAGTAAATTCTTTCAATCCTTCTCGTCCTGTAAGAATAAATTGATTTTGCCCAAATTATGTCTGAAGCATACTGGATGATAAAAAAATCAATTTTGTATATAGACTGTGGGTCTTGGCTACCTGGGGTAGGAGGGATGGAAAGTGCATTTTTAAGGTCAGCCTTTCCTTTTACTTCCCTTTTTAGGTCATCTGACCCAAAGGGTTAGGATGACATATTGCCATCGTGTGCATTGTGCGCTGGTGTTTGTTGTACGTAACTTTTCCATTCAAATGATTTCTTCTCAATAATCAAAAGGCTCAGGGTGCTGATATTGGGCCTGTAGCATGCTTGGAGTTAAAGCTACCAAGTTTGTTTGATCATTTGACACAAAGGGTCAGGATGGCTGTAGATGGCCTATAGCCATTGTGTTTCTGTCATCATCGTCTGCCATGCATAAACTTTCATTCAAATGACTTATTCTACATTACCAAAAGGTCCAGGGTGCTGATATTAGGCCTTTAGCATGCTATGATGAAGGGCTACCAAGTTTGTTCATATAAATGACCTTGACCTGCTTTCAAGGTCACAGAGGCCAAATATGTGAAAATATTTAAATGACATCTTTTCAATAACTGAAAAATCTAAGGGTGCTGATAATCAGCCCATAGCATGCTTAAATGAAGGGTTACCAATTTTGTTAGTGTTATTTTTTTTTCAAAGGTCACAAGGGCTAAATGTGTTATAATCTTCAAACTTCTTCTCAATAACAAATAGGTCCAGGCTGTTGAAATTGGTTCTTTGATATAAGTGAATGAATGGCTACTATTTTTTCCAAATAATTGATCTTTGACCTATAATCAATATCTCTTAGATTAAGTGAGTTGTAATCTTAAAATTTCTTTTCAACAAGCACTAGGTCTGGAGTAATGACATTTGTGTTGTAGAATGTATAAAGAATATGATTTCAAGTTTGCAGAAATTGTTTTTATAAAGCAACAATGTCTTTTTGTAAGCTGTAGAGTAGTTGAGCAATTTATTTTAGGCCTATTTGGCCTCTTTCATATATAGGTCTTTATAGTCAGATGACTGCTAAGGCCTCTTGTTTAAGATTTACATGATGTATGCTGTCATCTTAGTGGTGGACGCTCTCCCTTCATGAATATCTTGTTTTATTCATTACAGAGGACATTGTGTACACACATTTTATATCTGCATTTAGTTCATTTTGCCCTTTTCCTTGGAAATATCTTTAAATTAAGGCTATGTTTAAACTATGTTTGAAGTTAATTTCTAATTCTGACTAACCTTGTTTTGAATTTCTCAGGAGTGGCTTACATTTAGTCAGTCATTTGTAATAATATATATAATATATATTGATATCGCTTTTTGTACATTGTTGAAGATACTTAGCTGTCTCAGATAGGTAAATTTTGTCCAGACCAATTATGAATGAAGTTGCTTCTAATGAGTTATTTCACAGTCAATGGACTTTTCAGTGGTTTCTTTGAAGTCAAGTCTGCCTTGCATTACCAGATACTCCTCATGTTGTGGCATCTAGCTGCTTTCTCAGAATTTTTAGCTTGCCTAGCATTTAGGGTCAAGTGGGCTTATGCTGTGGTATGTCATTTGGTGTCTGACATCCAGCGTTCAGCTTCTTTTTTTTTCCCTTTAAACACCTTCTCAATAACCAATGGACCAAAGATTTTGGTTTTTGCCTGGTATGTTCCTTGAATGAAGCCCAACAAAATTTGTGAAAACAAATGATCTTGACTTATATTCAAGGTCAAATGGGTTAAATTTGTTAAAACCTTTAAATTACTTCTTATTATGAACTAAATTGCCTAGAGGTATGATATTTGGCTGGTATGTTCCTAGGATGAAGCCTGACAAAGGTTGCAAAAAAAATTGACCTTGCCGTATATTCAAGGTCACAGGGGTCAGATTTGTTAAAAGATTTAAATAATTTCTTCTTATGACCTAAAAGGCCGAGAGGCTTGATATTTGGCTGGTATATACATACCAGGTAAGCACTGCAGTCCCATTGGGCCTCTTGTTTGTTTGTGTGGCTGTTTTTAATCACCTAAGACTAAGTCTAAAATGACCTGAATTGTGATTGCTCTTTTGTCCAGCATTATGTATCTTTTAACATGCAATATTGTTTTACCTTCAACCAATTATAATCAAATTTGCAGAAACCTTCTACTGTAAAACTGTTAATTTTCATTGGTGATTTATTTTCATTGATTTTGTGGATACTCTTAATCCATGAATTCATATTTCCATGAACTGTTCAAATCAGTATAGGTACATTTATTGAGTTACATTATCCACAAAAAATGTAATGTCCATGAAATAGTTATTTTTTGAAAAACAACGAAAATGGAATGAGGTTCACTCATCTTAAACAAATGGTCTGAATTACTTCTCCAGGTTCTCTCATCTTGAACAAATAGTCTGAATTACTTCTCCAGGTTAATTTGCACCATTGAGAAAAATGTTTTGAATTTCATTTATTAAGTTAAAGAAACAGATGACATGTTGTCATTTTTCAGTCTTGTCAAAACTTGACATGGAAGTCTCAGTAATCATGTTGTAACATGATTGCACAGCTGTTTTTGTGAGATTCTGATACTTCCTAGGAATGTTCAGATTTTGAATTCACCAGATTTATCAGACAAAAACTCTATGGTCTGCCTATCTGTCAATTGTCAGATGACTGTCAAGGGTCATGGCCTTCTTGTTTACTTTGTTGCAGCATTGTATTCTATATATACACATAGTTTTATTATCTGATGAAAGTTGAACTGGTTATATTTTGACAGAGATTAATTGTGGTAGTCCAGAGACAGTACCTGGTTTAGTGAACACACCACAGAGCACTACTTGGAAAAGCACATTTGTCTTCCAATGTGACACAGGTTTTTTAATTACTGGTCAATCTACCACCAACAACACGATAGTAACATGTGAGGAAAATGGCAGATGGGGATTTGGTAACCTTACTTGTTCAGGTGAGCCTTGAAGCATTAAGCCATATTCATTGGTTCCAGATAATTATACACTTCTCTTCAGAGAATTAGATTCTTGAAAAGTTGTTTCACTCTTGTCTTTTGCTGAAATATTTCATGACAGATTGATATAATATCGTTCCCTCCAGGGGCTCTTTGCACTGACCCGGGAACACCTTATAATGCTATGCAGAATGCTATTAGCTATGAAGTTGGACAGTCAGTGTCCTGGAGTTGTGATAGGGAAGGTTTCTATCCAGACCCACCAGTTGTTATTGGCTGTGTGATAAATGGCAATACTGTTGGATGGAACTCTACAGATCGACCAACGTGTAAAGGTAATGATCCATAACAATCAGCCCTGATTACATGACACATATATATGATTACAATAAAGCACATTACCCTTCACACACAACAATACCACACATCCCACACATATGGGACCACTGGGAACACTTAACATAAAACACTAAACACACATTATGACGCTTCAAATTTAGTGTGTGTCTTCAATCTACTGATTTTCTGATTGAGATTGAATCCCTGGTCAAAAAGTCAATTTCAGATGGAGTTATTTACCTTTTTACTGAGAATATTGTGCAAAATGGCAGTTTTCATGACTTTTTCTATTATGTTTAGATATAATGACTACAAATTTGATGTACATCTTCAACAAACAGGGCACCTGTCAGGTATTATAGATTAAAGTAGACTTTTTTCATAGACAATGGAGAAAACCAATTTTTAATTATCGCATTGTCAGTATTTTACCAAGATCACAGGAAAAAATTTTAAATGATTGTAACAGTAGATGTCTAAACAAACTGAAGACATTAAATTAATCAGATTGACTTTCTCTTTTGAATAATGAAAGATTTTTTCCGTAAAATTGAAAAGAGACTGTGAATCATCTGTACAAATCAAAAGAACAAAATCTCACACAGCAACAACAAAAATAAGAAACAAAACAATAGGTCTTATGATGAAAAGACCCAAAAGCTGTTGAACAGATCAGATCAAGTTGAAATTTCCATATTTAACCATAATACAAGGTTCACTGTCCACTGTACATGTTCTTTGACCATGCTTTTCCATGAAAATAGGCGAGAAAAAGTGCTGATAATAAGCGATGGATCTTCACCCAAAATTTAATTCATTAAAGTTTTCAGAATCAATTGCACATACATTCCACCTGAAAGTAAGCTTTATACCATAACTTGATACATGATTGCTTGAAATATGATGTCATTCAAATATTAAACACTAGTACATCTACTAAGCCAAGTCTTGCAACCTATTATTGTGATATGGATTGTACAGTAAAATGGTGAGGCCAAGATAGTCGATTAGACTTGGATGACAGTAGTTGACTAATAAAAACCAGTAGATTCTAGCAAATGTTACTTCCAATGAGAAATTCCATGTGGTTGTAAATAAATCTGTGAGAATCACACGAGCATAGCAACATTTAAACTCTTGCCTATATTTTAAGTAAACAGTCCAGTCTGCTTGGGGGGGAGGGTTGGGGAAGGGATAAGAAAATTACCTCTCTGCCTGCTGTGGTCAATTTTATCCAAAACACATGAGTTTGTTGTTTTTACAAAAACCTCACACAATAAATTCTTTATTTCACACATGCACTTACACTTGGAAAATGCTGTTTACCGCATTGAAGATTTTTATGAATTTTGGTCTACAGCATTGAATTAATTTTATTCTGTATTTTGTAGATGAAACAGATCCTATCATTTATGGATGCCCTGGACCAATTTATATGGCAAAGTCAACTGCATTACCTCCCTTCACATCTCCTCTTGCGGGAGACAACAGCAGACAATTAAAAGACTTTTACATAGAGCCACCAAATGTGATTCCTGGTGACATTATCAATGAAAATACTACACTGAAATTTATATCTCGAGACTTTGCTGGAAATAATGCCAGCTGTGAATTAGATATTATTGTAATAGGTAAGTCATTCTAATAACAGTGTCAGTGAAACTGCATAGGAATGGCATTGACCATGTATGGATGCAGGTTTATTTTTAGCAGAAATTTTGGTTGTCATGGTCAAAGTCACTATACACAGTTTTTTTCATCATTTTTTACATCAATTTTAGTGAAACTTGGTTAAATGGTGTAACTTATCAAAATCTATGATTTTACACATCAGGTGTTTCCAGAACCAAAATATTAGGAAACATAATGGAGGCTTCTGATTTGTCAAAAATGAGGTATTCATATCATTGAATTTTGATGAATGATGATTACAATGATACTATTTTTTTCAAAACATTTGGTGTCATTTGGTTGCCATGTGAAGTCATCTGATTCATTAGTTCAGGATGACCTATGGCCATCTTTCTTTGTTTGTCGTCTTTTCAACATTGCTGTACTGTGACATTTCCTGTGTGTAAACTTTCCATTCAAATGACTTCTTTCTACTAACCAAAAGGCCCAGGGTAGTGATATTAGGCCATTAACATGCTGGGCCTGAATGAAGGGCTATCAAGTTTGTTAAAATGAATGACATTGACTCACTTTCAAGATCAAAGGGTCAATTAGAAAAGAAGTTTTTATAACACAACCAGACTTTCGCACATCTATGACCAATGCAAGTGTTAAACAAAGCGTTGCGGAATTGACCACGGTACATTGTTACCATCTGGTGTATTTTTTGGTCTATAATTTGTCTACCATCTCGTCACTCTATTTTCTTAGTGTACTTAAGATTATAGTACAGCCAAAAAAGTTGGTGAATTCCATACTATCTTGTATACTATGTATGTCAGTGCTAGTATGCTCCACACTGGTCAAATGGCTGCGTTATAAAAACTTCTATTCTATTGACATTACCAACCTGAAGAAAATGTTTTTAAAAAATCCCAAAAAACACCGGGTTAAATGTTTCATATTGGCAGGTTTAACATGTGTTCAAATTTTCAAACAACTTCTGCTCAATAACCTATTAAAAGGCCCAAGCTACTGTTGATTCTGTAGTATAAAGGAAGGGCTACAATGTAAATTGAAGTGACTGAGCTTGACCCACTTTCAAAGTAACAGGAGTCAAATGTGTTAGGACTTTAAACTTCTTCTTTCAACAAGCAAAAGGTCCTGGGCAATGGTATTTGTGTTGTAGAATGCTTGAGGAATTGGATTTCGTGTTTTGCTGAAATTATATTTGTAGACTGTCAAAGTCTTGTATGTATGCTGTAGAACAGTTGAGCAATTCACTGAGCCTCTAGTTTGACTTTGTCACTAAAATCTTCTGAAACAGAACTGTTCTGATAATTTAATTACTGTTCCCAATACAACTACTGTTGTTGTATCATATATAGGTCTTTATAGTTAGATCACAATTTAGGTCCTTGTGCCTCTTTTTATACTGTTGTATATGTAAAGTAACGTTATACCATTATATTGTTCATACCATTGTAGCATGTAAAATTCAAATGTGTCTACATTTGAAATATGAAATTCTGAGAAAGTAACGACATTTGATATTATAATAGAAAGCGTAAGAGACATAGCATAATTTGAAGTATTAAAAAGCACCAGTGCATGTTGTTCATATTGTTGTAGAATGTAAAACCACTGTGTATATAGACAAGTAATTCAGCTTTAATATTGGCTATATAGAAGTATATAACTTGACTATATCGATACAGTGTGTAAGCAATATGAAATACATTTAATAAATATCTGTATATATGCTTTAAATTACTCTGCAAAAATATTTTAATACTTTTTCAGAAGCACCTCCACCTTCACTTTCTTGTCCAAATACGAGTGTCCTTTACATCAACACTTCAGCTGGATATACGATTGACCCTTTGGTAGACATTCCGGGACTGGTTTTACCCTCATCTCAATCTGGACTGTCAGTTGTAGCAAACCCTCAATCACTTACAGTTGATGTCAACTCTCTTGTCCAACAGCAAAAAGTTACAGTCACAGCCTCATACAGAGGCCTGATTTCTTCACACTGCTCTTTCCTTGTTGCCACTGAAGGTACGTGTATAAGACAAAATGACTTATGGATTTAGTTTGTAACATTGATGAATAGAATACCACATTATGCATGGTAAAACATGAAAAAAAAAAGATTCATATGAAATTTCACAGGGTGAATAAGGCCAAGTGTTTCGGAAAAATAAACGTCTTTTGCTTTATGGCCGACACTCAATTTGTGTTACTATTACCCCTGCCGTAAAATGATTATACACACCATACACAAATAAGATCAGCTGTTTGTCCCTTTGTCTCTCTAACGGATCTTTTCTGGACAACTTCTCCCACAGATTTCATCAAAACTTAATGAAAATCTGTATATGTTGTCAGTAGATTGTGCTTATCTTTGGGATCTGCTTGTTCAACTTCCCAAATTGAATGGGGGAAAATGTTTTTCTTTTCCTTCTTCAGCCAAACTGCAGTCATAAAACTTTACATGAATATTCATTTGCCACTCTATATGCACATCACACATGTCTCATTCTGTTATCCAAGATGGTTACTGGCTTCTGATTGTTGAAAATTTTTTGCACAATATTTTTTGTTATACTTCTTGAAATTTATTGAATTTTTGTGGAAAGATATTACACATGACACTCTTATGTTTGACTTTAACAAAATGGAAAACGAAATGGCCACCAATGGGAGGCATCTGATTGGTAGAAATTTAGATACCTAGGTATTATCCAATTTCTGTGAAATTGTATATAGGTATTGTCATCAGGAACACAATGATGAAGCCCATTATCTGATTTAACAAAATGGCAACCAAGAGGGAGCTTATATGATTGGTCAAAATGAAGATATTGTCAGATTACAAAAAAAATGGTATTTTGGTGTTGTGTGCCACAGCAAACACATTTGTCCATATTCCTAGAGAGACCACTTTTGTGGGGAAATTTCACAATTCTTGGATTTTTATAAATTATGCTATGTAGATTTATTATAACATAACAAACATTTCTGCTACTTTATTGGACAAAATGGCCACTCTTGTGATGTGACTAATGTGGGGAAACATTCATATTGGCTTTCTGGTGTTTTTCCTATAACTGAAAGGACTTTGAGATACTTATGCAATAGTTACCAATTAAAACTTTGAATTTGGTTTGTAGGGTTATAATGGTCTATAAAGCCTTCATGAATGACTTTCCCTTAGGTGCCTTAGAATATTTCTTCAGATTTTTAAGAAATGATTACAAAGTCTTCATGGCTTAAAAAGTTCAGATTCAGAGTTAGTTTATTGGCTTAATACTTGTTACCACTAACCATTAGCTAATGTTGTTACTCCTGGGGGCTGATTGGCCAAAAGGGGTCAAATTAACTAAAATTTCAAAAATTTGCTTTTAAACACCCAGTTATGGTAGAATCAAATGCTCCACATGAATGGAAAGGTCTTGTGATGCTCCAGGGTCTTATTTCCCCATGGGGGGAGAGTAAAGCTTATTTGATTGTAACTGATCTCTTATTCAATACAATTCATAAAATACAAAAGTAATTACACGTACATCGAGAGACAATGTGGACACCTCCACACAGACACGTTCACTTGATTTATATACACAAACATATCAGATGTTATCATCTATAGTTTTATAGAAAAAAAATTTTTTTTAGTAAAATTTGTTTATTTTTCATCGGAAATATTTTCAAACCAGTTTAGAATTGTTATTATAGGAGGACAGTGTGATGGTATGCATATATTGATCCTGGTTGAACCCGAGATGCTGATATGGGGCCAAAAGGGGTCAAATTGACTTAAATTTTCACACCCAGATTTAGTAGAAGAAAGCACTCTGTTACATTTGAATAGCATTTTTTGAGCATTATTTCTTTAAGAATCCTGGACAACTTGGAGGATAGTTGATGTTAATTACAGTTAACATTTGCATTATGTGTACAATATAATTTAAGTTATCAAGATTATTTCTGTGATATGATACAAGAACGACAGCATTGTAACTCAGGTGACCATTAAGCAGGCCTGCTGGGCGTTTTGGTTTTCAAATTTTACCATATTTTTAACTTAATTTTCTATATCAAATCTCACTTAAGATTTGTTTTTAATGCTTTCGACCCCAGTTGGTTTACCATATGTCATTTTTATTTCATATGTCTTTTCATTACTTCTGATTACAAAAACATCTTTTTGCATTTTCATTATTAAAGTACATATATGTTTTAGATATAAAAGGTATCATCAGCAAAATATTAGCAAAAATAGGAATTCAAAGTCAATTAATCCATGTTCAGTGCTGTAATGATAACATCCCACTTCGTTATTACTCAATCAGCTTTTGCTCCAGGATAAGGTGGGACACTTCGATTTTCAACAAGTTTATGATATGATATTGTAGAGCAGGCCTCATCAATTTCTGGTGATGTCTGTTGGGTTCTGCATGAGTTGATATATTTCTTGATGATGTTAGTACACAGATTTACACTTTCGTTTTCAGTAGTGTTGTCTATTCTGCATGACGATATTGACATGCTGTGATTTTTTTTTATAAATGACGGTTGAATATTTTCTTAAATATCTTGCACAAAATAATATTTTTGTTTTGAAATTGATCCCAGAATTCATACTAAAGACTCATTTTCAAGAAGTTTCAGCAGCACATTTGATTGCATCGTGACAAGTTTCGAGTGACAAGGGTTTAAAATCCATTTCAACACTTGGAATGCACTAGCCAAAAAATAAAAAAAAAACAAAAACAAAAACACACTAGACTTATTTCGACCTACCTGAACCTTACAGGTAAATGGGTCAATCTTATTGTTCAGGAGTCCAGATGTGACATATGACCCTTCCAGCATGAATTCCTAAATCTTGTCCTCACTCGCCTGTGATTAATCTGTGTTTTTTTTTGGTGATAGTTGGCAAAACGAAGAGATATCAAGTTTTGCCCACATGAAAATAAGTGACATTGTCAGATATTGGGTTACATAGAATATATAGGGAAAAAATATGGTGTTTCAAGAAAATGTGAATTTAAGCGGAAAGTGACATTAACAGACGTGGCATTAAGTGGGAAGACTGTATAAGAAAAATATTTGAAAACGTATAAATATGTATTGTGTGTTTTTTAAACAGGGAGTGTTACCTTGTGGAGATCACTTTGGGTTTGTGTATGAAATACGTAAATGAGATTTTGAATCATAATAAGTTTAAGCAATTTTGAGTAGAAGGATTTTGCAATGACTGCCACCACTGAACTTCACAATCATTGACTGCACTTGTAATCATATGAAACAAGTACAGTAAAACATCAGATCAGTTTTCCTTTTCCTTGATATTTTTTGTTGTAAAAATTTAATATTTGACGGAATTTTGAAGAATTTAATGTACAGATTTTCTCTTTCATCTTTTACAATGCACCAGAATTTAAAATTGACAAGATCTATGATGTTTACATTTCATTCTTTAATTTAACTCCGAAATTTGAGATGACTGGAGATATTTTCATGAAATTTGCATTTTGCTGACAAATTAATGTACTAACAATGCAGGACAGACAAAATGTATAATTACAGGTAATTGTTGTTATTGCAGCTTCTGCGTGTCTGATAGAAACATTACCACAAGTTGAACTGTCAAGCAAATCATGTGTAGCAGATGGTTCTCAATGTACATTAAATTGTATATCAATCAACAACGTCCAATATGTACATGCTGATACTGGATTACCATCAAAGACATTTAACTGTACAGGTGCTAACATCTGGGATCCACCTCCTAGCAGTGGATCTTGTATCAGTAAGTATCTAAACCTTCTGCTGTGTACATATTTGTAAACACATCTGTCACTGCACATAATAATTGATATTCCTTTATAATGTTCTGCATTAAAAAGGACTTCAGTGGTTATAGCTCATGTTTTGGTGAGAAACTGTATTCAGTGTGTCAATTCATACATCAGTGTGTTGTATCCATTTTAATGACAGACCCCCTCCAGCCCCTATAGATACATTTCCCATGTCATTTGTGAAAAATGGTAAAAAAAATGGCATCCTGTCCCTTAAATGGATATTTTTCAATATCAACACTGAGGTAAGGCCATTTGGCTGTGGTCAGTGTTATCACTGAGGTAAAGTTGTGTATTCTAATTGTGGTCAGTTTCTATACTGAGGTAAAGTTGTGTAATCAGACTGTGGTCAGTTTCTATACTGAGGTGAAGTTGTGTAATTAGACTGTAGTCAGTGTCTACCTTCAGGTAAGAATGTCTACCGTTCAGATAAGGTTATGTAATCAGACTGTAGTCAGCATCTACACCGAGGAAAAGTTGTGTAATCAGACTGGTCATTTTCTACACTGGGGTAAGATTGTGTAATCAGACTGTGGTCAGTTTCTACACTGAGGTAAAGTTGTGTAATCAGACTGTGGTCAGTTTCTATACTGAAGTAAAATTGTGTAATCAGACTGTTGTCAGTGACTACACTGAGGTTAGGTTGTGTAATCAGACTGTGGTCAGTTTCTACACTTGGGTAAGATTGTGTAATCAGACTGTGGTCAGTTTCTACACTTGGGTAAGATTGTGTAATCAGACTGGTCAGTTTCTACACTGGGGTAAGATTGTGTAATCAGACTGTTGTCAGTGACTACACTGAGGTTAGGTTGTGTAATCAGACTGTGGTCAGTTTCTACACTTGGGTAAGATTGTGTAATCAGACTGTGGTCAGTTTCTACACTTGGGTAAGATTGTGTAATCAGACTGTGGTCAGTTTCTACACTGAGATAAGATTGTGTAATCAGACTGTGATCAGTTTCTACACTGGGGTAAGATTGTGTAATCAGACTGTTGTCAGTTTCTACACTGGGGTAAGATTGTGTAATCAGACTGTGGTCAGTTTCTATACTGAGGTAAAGTTGTGTAATTAGACTGTGGTCAGCATCTACACTGGGGTAAGATTGTGTAATCAGACTGTGATCAGTTTCTACACTGGGGTAAGATTGTGTAATCAGACTGTTGTCAGTTTCTACACTGGGGTAAGATTGTGTAATCAGACTGTGGTCAGTTTCTATACTGAGGTAAAGTTGTGTAATTAGACTGTGGTCAGCATCTACACTGAGGTTAAGTTGTATAATTAGACTGTATTCAGTGTCTATACTGAGGTAAAGTTGTATAATTAGACTGTAGTCAGTGTCTATACTGAGGTTAAGTTGTATAATTAGACTGTAGTCAGTGTCTATACTGAGGTTAAGTTGTATAATTAGACTATGGTCAGTTTCTGTACTGAGGTTAAGTTGTATAATTAGACTATGGTCAGTTTCTATACTGAGGTAAAGTTGTGTAATCAGACTGTGGTCAGTTTCTATACTGAGGTAAAATTGTGTAATCAGACTGTGGTCAGTTTCTATACTGAGGTAAAGTTGTATAATTAGACTGTAGTCAGTGTCTACCTTCAGGTAAGAATGTCTACCGTTCAGATAAGGTTATGTAATCAGACTGTAGTCAGCATCTACACTGAGGTAAAGTTGTATATTCAGACTATAATCAGTGACTACACTGAAGTAAAGTTGTATATTCAGACTTTTGTCAGTGACTACCCTGAGGTAAAGTTGTATATTCAGACTATTTCAGTGACTACTCTGAGGTAAGATTGTGTAATCAGACTGTGGTCAGTGACTACACTGAGGTAAAGTTGTATATTCAGACTATTGTCAGTGATTACTCTGAGGTAAGATTGTGTAATCAGACTTTTGTCAGTGACTACCCTGAGGTAAAGTTGTATATTCAGACTATTTCAGTGACTACACTGAGGAAAGATTGTGTAATCAGACTGTGGTCAGTGACTACACTGAGGTAAAGTTGCATATTCAGACTATTGTCAGTGACTACACTGAGGTAAGATTGTGCAATCAGACTATTGTCAGTGACTATACTGAGGTAAAGTTGTATATTCAGACTGTTGTCAGTGACTACACTGAGGTAAGATTGTGTAATCAGACTGTGGTCAGTGACTACACTGAAGTAAAGTTGTATATTCAGACTATTGTCAGTGATTACTCTGAGGTAAGATTGTGTAATCAGACTGTGGTCAGTGACTACACTGAGGTAAAGTTGTATATTCAGACTATTGTCAGTGACTACACTGAGGTAAGATTGTGTAATCAGACTGTGGTCAGTGACTACACTGAAGTAAAGTTGTATATTCAGACTATTGTCATTGACTACACTGAGGAAAGATTGTGTAATCAGACTGTGGTCAGTGACTACCCTGAGGTAAAGTTGTATATTCAGACTATTGTCAGTGACTACACTGAGGTAAGATTGTGTAATCAGACTGTGGTCAGTGACTACACTGAGGTAAGGTGGTATAATTAGACTAGTCAGTATTTACACTGAGATAAGGTTTTAAATCAGACTAGTCATTGTTTACATTGAGGTAAAGTTGTGTAATTATACTGTAGTCAGTGTCAACACTGAGATAAGGTTATGTTATTAGTCTGTTGTTAGTGTCTACATAAATTGATGCTTTCAAATAATATTTGCTAAGATACTGTTAGCAGAAATGCAACAGAGTATAACTGTAGAAATTATTTCACTCTACAGTGACAAATTAGCTGGTTTTATTTTTGTTTCAGTTCAAAGAGACTCTGATTACTCTGTTGCTTTAAACGCTAGCTTTGAACTGCAACAACCTGCTGCAGGATGCCTAGATGCTTTCAAAGTGGAAAACACGCTATACTCAGCCTTAACTACTTTGAACTGTGAAAACTCTTTATTGATCGTCTCTCAGAATATTGAGTCTGAAGTTTCGGGTACAAATAGAGTAAGTATAGTTTGAATTAATGGAAAGGAAACTAAAACAGTATCTTAATCCTTGTCATAAATAAAGTTTAGATGTTTCAAACATCTCAATTTACTTCTGCCAAGGCTGTATGTTTTAAACAATGTATGTATTACTAGAACAGGGTTCTCTTAGGTCACCCGAGACGAAGTCTCAAATAACCTTTTGTGATCACCTTTTGTCCTATGTCGTGCAATTGACAATTTTCAACTTCTTCTCAATTACCAAAATGCCCACGGTCATAGTATTTAGCCAGTAGCATGCTGGGATGAAGGGCTTCCAAGTTTGTTCAAATGAATAACCTTGACCTATTTTCTAGGTCTTTTAATGACTTTTCCTTTAAAACACTACTCCTGCCTAAAGCCTGGGCACATTTCAAACAAATTTGGTTTGAAACATTACTGGGGGTGGGGAATCATTTCTTAAATTCAGAAAGTTAGATAATATTTTGCTTTAAACTGCTACTGTGTCTTAGACCTTTGTAAATTTCAAACAGATTTGATCTGAAACATTGCAAGTGGGTTATCATTTCTAAAATTCAATAAGTTGATTTGACCCCAGGGACCAGGGGGCAGGGCCCCAAAAGGGAAAGTTAGTCAATAATTTTGCTTTAAAATGCTACTCTTCCTGAATTCTTAAACAGATTTCATTCAGATTTTGTTTGAAATATCTGTAGAGATGTACAATTAATTAAAAAATTCAGAAAGTTTATATGACCCATAGACTTAGGGGTGGGGCCACAAATGAGGTTAATGAAGTTAATATTTTGCTTCAAAATGCTACTTCTCTTCCTTAATGCTTTTATGAATTTTAACCAAACATCGTTTGAAATATCATTGTGGGTATGGAAGCATTTCTTAACTTTAGAAAATTGATTCTACCCCTAGGGACTTGGGAGTAGGGCCCAAATGGTGGATGTTAGTCAATATTTTGCTCCGAAATGCAACTCTTCCTTAATTCTTAAATGGATGTAATTCAAATTTTGTTTGAAACATCAGTAGAGATGGGCAATTAATTCTTAAATTCAGAAAGTTGATTCAACCCCTAGGGATAGGGCAATTTTGACAAAATTTTGCTCCAAAACGCTAGTCCTTGTTAATGCCTGGGTAGAATTCAACCAAGTTTGACCTGAGACATTATTAGGTAGTGGCATTGACGTAAAAAGTGCAGGAAGTGATCTTGAAATTGTCCTGACCAAATATTTTGCTTTGGTCCAAAATCGAACATATTTCAACTTTAACAAATAGTCTGAACTACTTCTCAAGTTTCATTCACACCATTGAAAAAAATTCAATTTGTTCAGGAATGATATGTTGTTATTTGTTATTTTTCAGCCTGACATACATAACTTACCATATATGAGTTTCGGATTCAAAATTTGAATTCATCAGATTTGTCAAAACAACGTCTGTAAATTCTGTGGTTTGTCCATCCATTCATCAATTGTAAGGTGACGGCTAAGGGCCATGGCGCTCTTGTTAGCTTACCTAGTCAGAAGGAATGGTTGGATTTTGTCCAAATTTGGTCTGAATCATGTTTTGGTAAAAGGGAATTAATTTTGTATAAACAATGGGTCTCTGCCCCTTTGGGCCTAATAAGGAAAATAGAGCAAATTCTTTAAAATCCTACTCCTTGTGTAAGAATGATTGGATCTTGTCTAATTTGGTCTGATTCATGTTTTGGTTAAGGGAAATCAGTTTTGTATAAACAGTGGGTGGCAGCTCCCTGGGGCTGTTTTGGTGGAGCTCAACAGGGGAAATGGAGAAAATTCTTGAAATCCTACCCCACTTGTAGGACTGATTGGTACTCCTCTTGTAAGAATGATTGGATTTGGCCCAAACTTGATCTAACACATTCTTGGGTTAAAAAGAAATGACAGGAGGGATGGGGCCACATATGGAAAATGGAACAAATGTTTAAAATCTTACTCCTCCTGTAGGAATGATTGGATTTTGCACTAATTTGGTCTGAAGCAATACTGGATGAACGGGAAATTTTGTATAAATAATGGGTTTCAGTCTCCTGGAGTGGGAAGGGTGAGGGGGGAAGGGTGGGGCCCAAATAGAGCAAATTCTTTAAACTCCTACCCTTTCTGTAGGGATGATTTGATTTTGCCAAATTAGATCTAAAGCATCCTTGGGTGGGTGATTCAGTTTTGTATAAACTTTGGGTTTTAGCCCCTCGGGATGGCTGGGGCCATGCTTAAAAGGGAAAATTGGGCAAATTCTTTAAAATCATGTTACAGTACCTGGATTCTGTCTCGAATTGGCCTGAGGCATCTTTGGATAAAGGGGAATCAATTTGTTTAAACAGTGTTAACCTCCTAAGGCAGGAGGGGTGGGATCCAATTGTGGAAATCAAGAAAATTCTTTAAAATCCTTTTCCTGTTGGAATGCTTCAATTTTGTCCAGATTTGATTTGAAGGGTCATGATGACCTATAGCCATTGTGCTTCATCTGTCATTGTCTGCCATGTCCACCGTGTGCCATTTGTCTTCCACCATGTGTAAACTTTTGACATTTCAAACTTTTTCAAGTTCCACTAGTTGGATTGAGCTCCAACTTGTCTGAAATGATCCTGAGATGGTCCTGACCAAATGTTGTTATTTTTCCGGATATGTCTAAAATTCAAGATGGCTGCCATCTTGAAAACATATTTTGAAATTTCTTTTCCAGTTCCACTGGTGCCATTGAGCTTAAAATTGGTGGGAATGTTAAGGAAAGGTAGCCAAGAAAGTGTTGTTATTTTACAACCTTGTCAAAACTTCAATATGGAAGCCAAGAAGGTCATTTTGTAACATGCTTGTGCACTAATGGTTTTCCTGTGCAACACCTATTTCAAACTTCTTCTCAAGTTCCACCAGCGGGATTGAGCACCAACTTGTCTGAAATAATCCTGAGATAGTCCTGACCAATTGTTGTTATTATTTTGGTTTTGTCTGGAATCCAAGATGACTGCCACAGTTGCCATCTTGAAAAACATATTTAAAATTTCTTCAGTTCCATTGGTGCCATAGAACCAAGAATTGGTTGGAATGTTAAGGAAAGGTAGCCAAGAAAGTGTTGTTATTTTACAACCTGTCAAAACTTTGCCAGGGGGGTCATTTTGTATTATGATCACACAATCATGGTTTTCCTGTGTAACACCTATTTCAAACTCCTGCAGTTTCACCAATTGGATTGAGTTCTAGCTTTACTGTCAAAAAATAGGTAACACTTGTTATAGTTACCTACTTTTCACCAAAACTACCATCTGCATCATAGTACATCTTAGTAAGATTTATTCAAAGTAGAAAAATAACCCTTCTTGTTATGAAGGAATGATGAGATTTTTAGGAAACTTGCTTTGTTGACTTATTACCTTAATTCCTTGTTCAGGTTCAATTATTGGAAAATTCTATGAGTATTTTAAGAGACTGCTGTGACTTGATTGGCTGATATCTTTTGGCACTCTGAATGCTTTCCGCATGTTTTCTTTTTAAGGAACAAATGAATTATGATGAGACTTGCTTGGTAGACTTGTTACCTTAACCCCTTCTTCAAGTGTGATTATTTGCAAATTTTGTGCATATTTAGTGGATAACATTTTTTCCAGTTTTCCATGTTGCTCACTTTATATGTATGTATTTTACAAATAAACATGGGCGGGGGATCTTAATGACTATGTCCATTTTTTTTTCTTTAGATATGCAGATATGAAGACATTTAAGGCATCTTAACTCATGGCTATCTCCATTAAAAATGTCTGGAGAAGAGAAAGATAAATACAATTCAAAAGCAATTTAGTCATCATTAATGTCAGTTCATAAGCCATTTCAATGTTATGTTTAATCAGTAGAATGGTCGGGCTCAATATTTGTCTTAAAAAAAGCAAAAAATATTCCATTCTACCACCAGTTTCCCATTTAGTTCTACCTAAACCAGATGGGAGTATATCAAGCCAGATGGAAGTATATCAAAGCTATGAGTGTCCATCTGGTCAAGTGTATAAATACACATTCAGTGGTCTAGGTGAGATGTACACCAGAAAGTAATCCTGGTAGACATATTATGTAATATTTACATTCTGTGTTGCATTCACCTATAAATCATTACTACGCCATTTTGTAGTTTATAAGACTGTTTAATACAATTTATAGTGATTTAGTCGGTATTGAAATGAATAAACCTAGATGTCTCCTTGGTAAACAAAGCTGGTCACTTTCACTTTGGTATCAATATACAATGTACTGACATATCCCAATTTGTTGAACTTAACCTTCACAAAAATAAGTGACTTTACAAAGTTATCAAATTATAACAGAACAAATTTATTGTCAAACATATAATTTTGCCACAAAATCTTTAATATTCCACAACATACTAGATTACCAAGTTTCTTTGTCTACTTCAATAGCCTTGACATCAATCAGACAGTTCAAATAATAAAAGTACAATCCATTCCAAACAAAATGTCATCACTTACTGACAGGATTGACTTGCATAATATATAATTTCCATGATTATTCTATTCTGTTAATCACTTCAATTCATTCAAAGACCCAAAAACTTAAATAATTCCTGAAGATGCTAGACACATTGTTTCGTGAAATCTGACTGAGAGTCACATTGCTTTTAAATGAAATATCAATGTGCAATTTTCTTTCAAACGAACGAAAAAACATTGTGAAATAACGAAATTATTCAAAGTTCAATTTGGTACTACACTGTTTGGTACAATTGTAATTTATGATGACACGAAGACTTGGACTTGTTGATATTAGTACTGGGTTAAGTGGGAAATCTAAATGGTGTATTCTTGGTATTTGTTTGTTTTTACATTTCATAGATGTTTGAGAACAGAAATATAAATAATCAAGTGTTACCAGATGGGGCTAACAGTTGATATGAATCCAGATAAGATAAATATTCATGGGTGCCTCTTCCACCCAAATTTCAACCATGCAAAAAAAAATTGTAATACAATATAAGTAGATTTAAAGATGACACTTCGTTGGTATCCATATTTTGACACTGGCTGACCCCCAGAGGCTGATGGGCGGTGCCAAAAGAGGTCTGTAAATGACTCAAATTTCAAAAATCTTTTTCACAAGACCAGGATAGCAGGGGTAAGATTTATTTATATTTTACAGGAAAATGATATTTTGCACATAATTTGTTTATTTTCCATTAGAAATATTTTGAACTTGGTTAGAATTATTAACATGGGATGGCAGTTGATTTTATGCATATTTTACATTGATTTTGTCACTGAATGTTGAGTAAAGTTCGAGTTATCTAACTAAAATATTAACAAGATTATTGCAATGACATGTATTTTAAACAACTTTTATAGAATTCAGTTGACCATTAAACTTGGGCCTTTTGTTGTATTTTTCTTCTTTTCTTTTTTTTTTAAAGATTAATGCACATGCAACGATTAAGGTAAATTCTGAGGTAGAAGTCTTCAAGACCATATGTAAAGACTCGATGAACGCCTACATAACAACACCTAGCATATCAGTACTCCCAACCTTTTCTATAAATTGTGTCACTGGTCAATCAACTGTGATCCCAGTCTACGCTGATTCTGGGGTATCCAGTTTTGGTAATGCCTGTCCTACACCTGGCCAAGTGCTAACAATTGATAAGAAATGTGGTAAGTTTTCCCCAATAATACCTGACATTTATATATGTCTACAGTTTGAAGCAATGAATAACTAGAGCTTACATATGTACTTATAAAAGGATTTTCATCCACTCTCTGTTCATATGCATTCTACTGTTTCAAATTCCTATTTCCAGAATTGTCCTTTTCTTGAAATGAGTTTTTCTGGAGTGAAAGTTTTACTTTCTGAACCAATCATTACAAAAATTTGGTGAATTAGATGAGTATCTATGATGGAAGATTTGTGATTTATTTTCTTTCTATTATTTTGGCTATAAAATAGCACTTCTTTGTAAACTGACATATGTATAAAATTGTTATCTTTTATATATTAACAGTACCTACACTGCCAGGAACATATGAATCAAATGATGTTTCTGTTGCCTGTCCGGATGGTATGTACCAGGACTTATCAGGTCAGACAACATGTAAAAATTGTGATGATGGATCAGTGTCCACTGCATCAAGGGAAATCTGTACAGGTATGTAACATAGATTTCACAAGAACAGTGTATGAAAATGTGTAGGAATGTCACCAGAGACACATGTTCATAGAACTAAAGATGTAATTGTGATCATAGTGTGTAGGTATGTCACTTGAGACATAGATAAATTTGAGGTTTTTCATGTAAAACCAATTTTCATAAGGAAAGGTTTCAGGACCAGACGGGTGTCCTTCACTAGTGATTCCCTTACAAAATGAAACATGAGGGGGTCGTCGAAATAGATGTGGACGTCTATTCCACATGAGTGAAGGAATCCCACGACCACCTGCAGCAACTTGGTGAAAACCAAAGGAGCTGTCGTGAGCATGAAGGGCATGGCTCGAATTTGGAAGACCTTGCCGTTGCATGTGAAACGGAGGAACTTCTGTACTGACTAACACATACAGTTAAGCAAATGAATATAGATGCCCAGTCCACATACAGTTAAGCAAATGCATATGGAGGCCCAGTCCTTATACTGTTAAGGAAATGAATATAGATGCCCAGTCCACATACAGTTAAGCAAATGCATATGGAGGCCCAGTCCTTATACTGTTAAGCAAATGAATATAGATGCCCACTCCACATACTGTTAAGCAAATGAATATAGATGCCCAGTCCACATACAGTTAAGCAAATGAATATAGATGCCCAGTCCACATACAGTTAAGCAAATGAATATAGATGCCCAGTCCACATACAGTTAAGCAAATGAATATAGATGCCCAGTCCACATACAGTTAAGCAAATGAATATAGATGCCCAGTCCACATACAGTTAAGCAAATGAATATACTGTTAAGCAAATGAATATAGATGCCCAGTCCACATACAGTTAAGCAAATGAATATAGATGCCCAGTCCACATACAGTTAAGCAAATGCATATGGAGGCCCAGTCCTTATACTGTTAAGCAAATGAATATAGATGCCCAGTCCACATACAGTTAAGCAAATGCATATGGAGGCCCAGTCCTTATACTGTTAAGCAAATGAATATAGATGCCCAGTCCACATACAGTTAAGCAAATGAATATAGATGCCCAGTCCACATACAGTTAAGCAAATGAATATAGATGCCCAGTCCACATACAGTTAAGCAAATGAATATAGATGCCCAGTCTACATACAGTTAAGCAAATGCATATGGAGGCCCAGTCCTTATACTGTTAAGCAAATGAATATAGATGCCCAGTCCACATACAGTTAAGCAAATGAATATATATGCCTAGTCCACATACAGTTAAGCAAATGAATATAGATGCCCAGACCACATACAGTTAAGCAAATGAATATAGATGCCCAGTCCACATACAGTTAAGCAAATGAATATAGATGCCCAGTTAAGCAAATGAATATAGATGCCCAGTCCACATACAGTTAAGCAAATGAATATAGATGCCCAGTCCACATACAGTTAAGCAAATGAATATAGATGCCCAGTCCACATACAGTTAAGCAAATGAATATAGGCCCAGTCCACATACACATAAGCAAATGAATATAGATGCCCAGTCCACATACAGTTAAGCAAATGAATATAGATGCCCAGTCCATACAGTTAGTTAAGCAAATGTTAAGCAAATGATATAGATGCCCAGTCCACCCAGTCCACATACAGTTAAGCAAATGAATATAGATGCCCAGTCCACATACAGTTAAGCAAATGAATATAGATGCCCAGTCCACATACAGTTAAGCAAATGCATACAGTTAAGCAAATGAATATAGATGCCCAGTCCACATACAGTTAAGCAAATGAATATAGATGCCCAGTCCACATACAGTTAAGCAAATGAATATAGATGCCCAGTCCACATACAGTTAAGCAAATGAATATAGATGCCCAGTCCACATACAGTTAAGCAAATGAATGAATATAGATGCCCAGTCCACATACAGTTAAGCAAATGAATATAGATGCCCAGTCCACATACAGTTAAGCAAATGAATATAGATGCCCAGTCCACATACAGTTAAGCAAATGCATATGGAGGCCCAGTCCCTATACTGTTAAGCAAATGAATATAGATGCCCAGTCCACATACAGTTAAGCAAATGAATATAGATGCCCAGTCCACATACAGTTAAGCAAATGAATATAGATGCCAGTCCACATACAGTTAAGCAAATGAATATAGATGCCCAGTCTACATACAGTTAAGCAAATGAATATAGATGCCCAGTCCACATACAGTTAAGCAAATGCATATAGATGCCCAGTCCACATACAGTTAAGCAAATGAATATAGATGCCCAGTCCACATATAGGTAAGCAAATGAATATAGATGCCCAGTCCACATACAGTTAAGATAATGAATATAGATGCCCAGTCCACATACAGTTAAGCAAATGAATATAGATGCCCACTCCACATACAGTTAAGCAAATGAATATAGATGCCCAGTCCACATACAGTTAAGCAAATGCATATGGAGGCCCAGTCCTTATACTGTTAAGCAAATGAATATAGATGCCCAGTCCAGTTAAGCAAATGAATATAGATGCCCAGTCCACATACAGTTAAGCAAATGAATATAGATGCCCAAATGAATATAGATGCCCATCCACATACAGTTAAGCAAATGAATATAGATGCCCAGTCCACATACAGTTAAGCAAATGAATATAGATGCCCAGTCCACATACAGTTAAGCAAATGAATATAGATGCCCAGTCCACATACAGTTAAGCAAATGCATATAGATGCCCAGTCCACATACTGTTAAGCAAATGAATATAGATGCCCAGTCCACATACAGTTAAGCAAATGAATATAGATGCCCAGTCCACATACAGTTAAGCAAATGAATATAGATGCCCAGTCCACATACAGTTAAGCAAATGCATATAGAGGCCCACTCCACATACAGTTAAGAAAATGAATATAGATGCCCAGTCCACATACAGTTAAGCAAATGAATATAGATGCCCAGTCCACATACAGTTAAGCAAATGAATATAGATGCCCAGTCCACATACAGTTAAGCAAATGAATATAGCAAATGCCCAGTCCACATATACCACATACAGTTAAGCAAATGAATATAGATGCCCAGTCCACATACAGTTAAGCAAATGAATATAGATGCCCAGTCCACATACAGTTAAGCAAATGAATATAGATGCCCAGTCCACATACAGTTAAGCAAATGAATATAGATGCCCAGTCCACATACAGTTAAGCAAATGTCCACATACAGTTAAGCAAATGAATATAGATGCCCAGTCCACATACAGTTAAGCAAATGAATATAGATGCCCAGTCCATACAGTTAAGCAAATGAATATAGATGCCCAGTCCACATACAGTTAAGCAAATGCCCCAGTCCACATACAGTTAAGCAAATGAATATAGATGCCCAGTCCACATACAGTTAAGCAAATGAATATAGATGCCCAGTCCACATACAGTTAAGCAAATGCATATGGAGGCCCAGTCCTTACAGTTAAGCAAATGTATAAGCAAATACAGTTAAGCAAATGATATAGATGCCCAGTCCACATACAGTTAAGCAAATGAATATAGATGCCCAGTCCACATACAGTTAAGCAAATGAATATAGATGCCCAGTCCACATACAGTTAAGCAAATGCATATGGAGGCCCAGTCCTTATACTGTTAAGCAAATGAATATAGATGCCCAACATATTAAGCAAATGCCCAGTCCACATACAGTTAAGCAAATGAATATAGATGCCCAGTCCACATACAGTTAAGCAAATGAATACAGTTAAGCAAATGAATATAGATGCCCAGTCCACATACAGTTAAGCAAATGAATATAGATGCCCAGTCCACATATAGCAAATGAATATAGATGCCCAGTCCACATACAGTTAAGCAAATGAATATAGATGCCCAGTCCACATACAGTTAAGCAAATGAATATAGATGCCCAGTCCACATACAGTTAAGCAAATGAATATAGATGCCCAGACCAAATACAGTTAAGCAAATGAATATAGATGCCCAGTCCACATACAGTTAAGCAAATGAATATAGATGCCCAGTCCACATACAGTTAAGCAAATGAATATAGTTAAGCAAATGAATATAGATGCCCAGTCCACATACAGTTAAGCAAATGAATATAGATGCCCAGTCCACATACAGTTAAGCAAATGAATATAGATGCCCAGTCCACATACAGTTAAGCAAATGAATATAGATGCCCAGTCCACATACAGTTAAGCAAATGCATATGGAGGCCCAGTCCTTATACTGTTAAGCAAATGAATATAGATGCCCAGTCCACATACAGTTAAGCAAATGAATATAGATGCCCAGTCCACATACAGTTAAGCAAATGAATATAGATGCCCAGTCCACATACATGACAGTTAAGCAAATGAATATAGATGCCCAGTCCACATACAGTTAAGCAAATGAATATAGATGCCCAGTCCACATACAGTTAAGCAAATGAATATAGATGCCCAGTCCACATACAGTTAAGCAAATGAATATAGATGCCCAGTCCACATACAGTTAAGCAAATGAATATAGATGCCCAGTCCACATACAGTTAAGCAAATGAATATAGATGCCCAGTCCACATACAGTTAAGCAAATGAATATAGATGCCCAGTCCACATACAGTTAAGCAAATGAATATAGATGCCCAGTCCACATACTGTTAAGCAAATGAATATAGATGCCCAGTCCACATACAGTTAAGCAAATGAATATAGATGCCCACTCCACATACAGTTAAGCAAATGAATATAGATGCCCAGTCCACATACAGTTAAGCAAATGAATATAGATGCCCAGTCCACATACAGTTAAGCAAATGAATATAGATGCCCAGTCCACATACAGTTAAGCAAATGAATATAGATGCCCAGTCCACATACAGTTAAGCAAATGAATATAGATGCCCAGTCCACATACAGTTAAGCAAATGATATATATACAGTTAAGCAAATGCCCAGTCCACATACAGTTAAGCAAATGAATATAGATGCCCAGTCCACATACAGTTAAGCAAATGAATATAGATGCCCAGTCCACATACAGTTAAGCAAATGAATATAGATGCCCAGTCCACATACAGTTAAGCAAATGCATATGGAGGCCCAGTCCTTATACTGTTAAGCAAATGAATATAGATGCCCAGTCCACATACAGTTAAGCAAATGAATATAGATGCCCAGTCCACATACAGTTAAGCAAATGAATATAGATGCCCAGTCCACATACAGTTAAGCAAATGAATATAGATGCCCAGTCCACATACAGTTAAGCAAATGCATATGGAGGCCCACTCCACATACAGTTAAGCAAATGAATATAGATGCCCAGTCCACATACAGTTAAGCAAATGAATATAGATGCCCAGTCCACATACAGTTAAGCAAATGAATATAGATGCCCAGTCCACATACAGTTAAGCAAATGAATATAGATGCCCAGTCCACATACAGTTAAGCAAATGAATATAGATGCCCAGTCCACATACAGTTAAGCAAATGAATATAGATGCCCAGTCCACATACAGTTAAGCAAATGCATATAGATGCCCAGTCCACATACAGTTAAGCAAATGAATATAGATGCCCAGTCCACATACAGTTAAGCAAATGAATATAGATGCCCAGTCCACATACAGTTAAGCAAATGAATATAGATGCCCAGTCCTTATACTGTTAAGCAAATGAATATAGATGCCCAGTCCACATACAGTTAAGCAAATGAATATAGATGCCCAGTCCACATACAGTTAAGCAAATGAATATAGATGCCCAGTCCACATACAGTTAAGCAAATGCATATGGAGGCCCAGTCCACATACAGTTAAGCAAATGAATATAGATGCCCAGTCCACATACAGTTAAGCAAATGAATATAGATGCCCAGTCCACATACAGTTAAGCAAATGAATATAGATGCCCAGTCCACATACAGTTAAGCAAATGAATATAGATGCCCAGTCCACATACAGTTAAGCAAATGCAAATGGAGGCCCAGTCCTTATATTGTTAAGCAAATGAATATAGATGCCCAGGTTTACATATTGCGTGCCTTGTCCTCCCAAAACCAGCACTGTAGAACAGAATGGCATGACAGCTGACACTGACTGTAAAGGTAACAATGGTTTGATGTTTCTAGTCTCATGGTGACTGTGTGTCTGTAAACATCTGAACTGATTTCAAAAATGTTTGCAGAAACTTTCCATGGCCATAGGTGAACCAAAATTTAAATTATATGGTCCCCATTCCCCAAGGGCCTCAGGGATGGCTAAAAAGGGTCAAATTGAAGTTTGAAACTTTCAAAAACATTTTCTAAATACCCAAATATTGAAGAATCAAATACTTTTCATGGATGGAAAGGTCTTAACGTGCTTTACTCAAATTGTCAATTTCATAGCCTCAGGGTCTCACATTTCCCCTTGGGGAGTGGGTAAAATTTACTATTGTTTATGTAGGAAAAAGTTATCTTCTATAGCATAATTTTTTTACTTTCTGTTGGAAATGGATTGAACCTGGTTAGAATTAAATTGACAGTTTGATGATACACACATCTTGACCCTGGCTGGTCTCCAGGGGTCGATAGGTGGGACCGAAAAGGATCAGGTTGACAGAAATTTCTGAAATCTTCTTCTCAATACCCAGATAAAGTAGAACCAAATACCCTTCATGGAAGGGTCTTGAAGGCCTTTACCAAAATTGTACATTACATGACCCTTAGGTCTCACATTTCTCCCTGGGGAGGGGGTAAAGTTTGCAATAGTTCATTAGTTCACCATTATGTCATGAAAGTTATGCAGTAATGAATTACGATTCATTTCTCATTTTCTCTTTTCTATACTACACATTCCAACTCAGGTGTCTGTGTAATAGGCTCTTGGACCTCTGGTTTTCTTACTATTTAAAACTTACATAACAACATGCTAACATATCGACATGCTGATGTATTTGACAAAGTAACTGATTGTAAAACATATTGATTCACATATATAATTAGTGATTATTTTGACCATGTATAATCACAGGTTAAAATATATATTGATGTCTAATGTGAATATTTCAACACCATGAACAATTTGGAGAGTAAAAGAAATGTTACTTGAATTGTATAAAATGTAGACAAGAAATAAATCTATGCTATGATTTCAGCTGAATGTCAACCTGGAACCTTTTCCCAAACTGGTTATGAGCCATGTACATTTTGCCCAAAAAATTTCTATCAAGAACTGGCAGGCCAAAAGGGATGCATGGAATGTGCTTCAGATGCCATCACTAATACTTCTGGCAGCAACAACTCAGCCCAGTGTGAGGTGACAGGTAAATCATTGTTTTGTGAGATATTTTTTGACTAGTACTCATAACAATTTTGTGGGTTATCACAGGTGAACTTCTTTTGCCTAACCTGGCCCAAAGGGCCAACCAAGAAAGCTCATGTTTTGGAGCAGCATTTGTTGTCCTTCTCACCTCAGTTTTTCCATTTAAACGACAAAAAACTTCAAAGGACTTATCATGATATTTGGCTGACTCCTGGGACGAAGCCCAAAATGAACCAAAATGACTATATTAAGGGTATTTGGCTAGTAGATTTCTAGGATAAAGCCTGACATAGACTGCAGAAAGAAATGATATCTTAGGAGTTTATGAAAAAAAATGACCTTGACCAATGTTCAAGGCCACAGGTATCAAATACAGCCAAACTTTGTTTCAAAGTTCAAAGACTGGCAAAAAAAACCTTTGATGTATCGAGACTTTGAATCGTTTGCGGTGGGTTGTATCAGGTAAATATAATTACTTGGGTAAATATAGTTAAGTATGGACACAATATGTATCACATGACTAATCACTCTTCATGTATAGTCACATAACTCTCCCAAGCAAAATGGCATCCAATATGAAGTATCCAGGGCTCATATAAGCCATTTCAAGCGTCCATATCTCCAAAAGCAAATCATTCATGAATTCAAAGTGACACCTAGATCAATGTCTTGGTGTCACATACCAAAGTGTCTGAAAAAGTGAGTTCGCAAAATGAAATACGCATGACATCTAAGTGAATTACTGTAGTTCATGATTGTAACTCCTTATCTTACAGCTTGCACTGATCCTCAGACTTACTGCAATGGAAATGGTGTGTGCAGTATTGTAAACCATCGTCCGTTTTGTACTTGTAAAGCAGGTAAGGCTGACACTGAATACTAATTACAATGATATTGAAGAGTTGCTGTATATTGGAATGCATTTGTATCTTTTTCCTACATGATTTGAGTATGTATTAGATGACTGATAAAAATATTTTTTTAATTTGAAAAAAAAATCTGGGTTATTATGTAAAAAACCCCACTCATTTCTCACTTATTATGTTACCTGATTTTATGACTACTAACAAGTACTCAACGTTTATTGATATCATCAGAGTTACTTGGGAAATGGATATCTTAGAGAAAATTATTGCACCTCTTGAAAAGACACATATCAGACATTATGATGTAATCACATACTGAAGATGTTATGTGGTGTAAAACATCATCACCTACAAAGAATGTTATGTGGTGTAAATATCATCACCTACAAAGAATGTTATGTGGTGTAAATATCATCACCTACAAAGAATGTTATGTGGTGTAAACATCATCACCTACAAAGAATGTTATGTGGTGTAAACATCATCACCTACAAAGAATGTTATGTGGTGTAAACATCATCACCTACAAAGAATGTTATGTGGTGTAAACATCATCACCTACAAAGAATGTTATGTGGTGTAAACATCATCACCTACAAAGAATGTTATGTGGTGTAAACATCATCACCTACAAAGAATGTTATGTGGTGTAAACATCATCACCTACAAAGAATGTTATGTTGTGTAAACATCATCACCTACAAAGAATGTTATGTGGTGTAAACATCATCACCTACAAAGAATGTTATGTGGTGTAAACATCATCACCTACAAAGAATGTTATGTGGTGTAAACATCATCACCTACAAAGAATGTTATGTGGTGTAAACATCATCACCAACAAAGAATGTTATGTGGTGTAAACATCATCACCTACAAAGAATGTTATGTGGTGTAAACATCATCACCTACAAAGAATGTTATGTGGTGTAAACATCATCACCTACAAAGAATGTTATGTGGTGTAAACATCATCACCTACAAAGAATGTTATGTGGTGTAAACATCATCACCTACAAAGAATGTTATGTGGTGTAAACATCATCACCTACAAAGAATGTTATGTGGTGTAAACATCATCACCTACAAAGAATGTTATGTGGTGTAAACATCATCACCTACAAAGAATGTTATGTGGTGTAAACATCATCACCTACAAAGAATGTTATGTGGTGTAAACATCATCACCTACAAAGAATGTTATGTGGTGTAAACATCATCACCTACAAAGAATGTTATGTGGTGTAAACATCATCACCTACAAAGAATGTTATGTGGTGTAAACATCATCACCTACAAAGAATGTTATGTGGTGTAAACATCATCACCTACAAAGAATGTTATGTGGTGTAAACATCATCACCTACAAAGAATGTTATGTGGTGTAAACATCATCACATATTGAAGATGAAAATACTGTAAAATTAAATCCTGAAAACTTAATGTATGAAATTTCACTTTTGTTTTGACAGGATACACTGGATTTAACTGTCAGAACATGATTGATTACTGTTTGCCAAATCCATGTGTCAGAGGGACTTGTAACAATCTGCAGGGTCTTGGATATAACTGCAGTTGTAATGACGGTAATTTAAGATATATTGTCTCCTGTACTTATAACCTGAAAAGGATCTAAACCTTTGTCAATCTTTCTACTGAATAACTACAATAAAATGGTCTGATTTCTATCAAATTTTGTATAGATAATCGGAGTTAAATACTTAGTGTGATGTGGGCATATTCACAACTAAAAAATAGTAAAAATAAAAATTTAATTCTAATTTTGAACTTGGTGTCAATCTACTGCCTGTTATTTATACACAACAGAACAAGATTTACAGTTCCAAAATTTATTGATCACTTATTAGGTAAATTGTTCGAGGTTAAGGATCTAAACATATGGCATTCTTAGTTGCTGCTCTGTTATTGCTACATTATAATACAATCATTTACACACATGTATATGTCTATATATGGAGGAAGACAAATTAAGCAAAACAAAAGTATTAAACTTGTGATGAAATAGAAGAACGAGTTACCCTGTGCTCTGGCAATTTCAAGATAGTGACTTGTACATGAGTAGGTTGATAACCCAATGCTTTAGCAGTCTCAAGCTGTAGATAAGCACATGAATTACCGATCTTCAACTTTCTTATCAAACTCCAAAGTCATCTAACCCAACTACTACTGATAATATACATGACTGAGATCGACAATCCCCTACAGACACATTATAAATCTAAAACAAGTCTTAGCTAATACAACAAGACTAACATGTATTTGAATTGGGGGTAAAATTTTGTGAACTTCAAGTCCATATCGAACATAATTGTCCAGAAATAAAGGGGCTTCTAAATTACCACCTTGTCTAATTCTGATATGAAGATATCTAGACATGTTACTCACATTGCACAGCAGTTCATTTTCATAATTTCATAAATATTAACACCTTGTTCAGGTGGTAGAAAGCCCCATGAAAAAAGAGAAGAGAGTCAGAGTAACCTATTTACTTGTAAATCCCTAGCAACATAAACTGGTGTATTTGTAACTACTTACAGCAAACATTTACCTTAAAGCAAATATTTTAAATCCAATATAATTTTGTTATTCCAGTATTTGAAAAAAAAAAAATCAAAATCAAAAAACATTTAAACCCTTATACCAAATATCATCATCCTATTTCAAATATTTATTTAATTATCAACAGCCCGGCATTTCATCAATTTTTACTGTATTAGTGTTAAGAATTGCACCAGTTCATATTGTTGGGAATACAAACATGTGACTGTTGCAATTATATACTAACCTAAGAGCATTTTATTATTTGCAGCCAAACTGAGAGAAAATTAAGTCCAAAAACATGTCAAAACTTCATTTAATTTTGTTGGGGTTTGAGTGGGGGAGGGGGGGGGGACCCATTTCACACTGCTAAGTTAATCACATAAAAATTATATACTAGATTATTTGATAACCTGCAAAACTTTGCTGCCAATTTAATGCCAAAGCTTATGCCAGAGAGATGAAGATCATGCAATGATTGTCGCCAAGATCCTTTTGTGATCCATCTCATAGTTCATAGAGATTGACGTTGTTGTCAGCATTTGATTGCTTCTGTTGACACATCTTATGATATAAACTTGGTCACATCCAGGTACACAGATTTAGTAACTAGGGGTATGTTAATTGATAATTGTAGCTCTTAGGTGTGCACTTGTGGTTTACTCATTGCCAATGTTTAATAAGTGTGGACTTAAAGGTATTGGTTGTTGGAGAATTCATAATATTGATAGGAAGGATGTGCCAGGTATTTACAACCCTATTGCCATATGCATGGCCCTTGTTACCAATGTTCTATCTTTTTTTGGCTAATTTCAATGCCTCTAATTACTCTCAGATGGGTCCTTTCTCATCATTTTTGGGCTTGATAGGACTTATATTAATTATGTAGTTCAAGATTTTGTAGACTTGTAGCATTCCATGTTTTAGCAGGTTTCATTAGCAGTCCTTAGCTGTTTTACCTATCTTAGCATTCATTAGCTGTATTTAGGCCATGTAAGTCTGAAGTAAACTGTTAAGGAAGGGTTAGAAACTGCTTATATGCAAATTAGAACCTAGAGGAACTGCCAGGAAATGCTAACAAACAGTCATTATATATAAATAAATGGGTCTCGCCAAATACGGATAATTGAACAGCTCAGAAATGCTACAAATTGTTTAGAAATGTCAAAATGCAAATTAGTTATTCAAATGTAGTAGCAACTAACTGCTTAGGAATGCGAAAAACCAACTTTTGACGGTCAATATATTGCAAGTTATGGAGTGTTTTCCATTCAATATGTATGATTGCAAGTAATTATAATTTCAATTTGTGAAGTGTGAAATACATGATACATGTTAGTAAGTTAACAAGTTAGTTCAATTAACTTGATTCTTCTACTATTTTTGAATTATGGAAAATGACTTGAAGAAGCAGGACTCAATTGATATAATAACTAAAGGGTTGTGTCAGGTATTCTCATCAGTAGACTATAAAGTATTGCCAGTTAATGAATTTCCAAGTTATAATCAATGGACAGTTCAGTAAACCAAACATATCCAGTTTTGAGAAGACCATGCAGTTCAGGTCAAAATGAATTAATAGGTGATGTATTCTCCTTTATTTTTTGTGGAAATTTCTTATTAAAATCCATGCAAAAACAAAGCATACTACCTTATTTTTTTATGGGCACACTTGTAGATATTTTAGAATCATCTTAGATTTCACAATTATCCTGAAATCTGTTAAATCTAGGAACCTTGTGCATACCCAAACATACTTTGAACCAACTCACAATAATGTTTCATACTTTTAAATTTAACCTTGACCTTGACTTTTAATGCGTGTGCTCTGAAGGATTTGTACCATTGTAGTGAATAAGGTATACTAATAAACCTTCAGGCTCTCTCTTTGCAGTTTTTACGCTATTATAAGTAGTCCCGCTAACAGTTTACAAGCATTGACAAGCAGTCCATTGAATGCTTATTTTAGGAGCAGCCACTTTTGTTGAATTGTTAGAGAATGTTTGAAAACAGCTGGTTATAGATAGAAAGGCTAAAAAACCCACCAAAAACACTCAAGTAGTTTCTTCTTTTATGATTTACATTCGAACATAGAAATGTTATGCAAAAAGCTTATAGTTTGGGCGGTTTTAGAACCCCACTTCATATATAAAATGTTTAAACTGATTCTACTAGTTCTGTTTGTCCAGGATAGTTAGCCTTTGTCAGGGATAATCACACATTAGCTAAAAATTTCTTTCAGTAGGTGCACTCATCAGATATTCCTTGACATCATAAGTCAACGTTTCTTCTAATTTATCCTTACAGGTTTTATTGGAGAAAACTGTGATCAAGAAAGTAAAAATTATTGTGAGACAAACAATTGTATAGCTGGATCCTGTAGAAACGTTAAAAATGGCTATGATTGTCTTTGTCCAATCACTGGAGAATACACACAACCTCGGTAAGTATATCTCTGTCCTGTCACTGGAGAATACACACAACCTCGGTAAGTATATCTCTGTCCTGTCACTGGAGAATACACACAACCTTAGTAAGTATGTCTCTGTCATATCACTAGAGAATACACACAACCTTAGTAAGTATGTCTCCGTCATATCACTAGAGAATACACACAACCTTAGTAAGTATGTCTCCGTCATATCACTAGAGAATACACACAACCTTAGTAAGTATGTCTCCGTCATATCACTAGAGAATACACACAACCTTAGTAAGTATGTCTCCGTCATATCACTAGAGAATACACACAACCTTAGTAAGTATGTCTCCGTCATATCACTAGAGAATACACACAACCTTAGTAAGTATGTCTCCGTCATATCACTAGAGAATACACACAACCTTAGTAAGTATGTCTCTGTCCTGTCACTGGAGAATACACACAACCTTAGTAAGTATGTTTCCGTCATATCACTAGAGAATACACACAACCTTAGTAAGTATGTCTCCGTCATATCACTAGAGAATACACACAACCTTAGTAAGTATGTCTCCGTCATATCACTAGAGAATACACATAACCTCGATAAGTATGTTTCCATCATATCACTAGAGAATACACACAACCTTAGTAAGTATGTCTCCGTCATATCACTAGAGAATACACACAACCTTAGTAAGTATGTCTCCGTCATATCACTAGAGAATACACACAACCTTAGTAAGTATGTCTCCGTCATATCACTAGAGAATACACACAACCTTAGTAAGTATGTCTCCGTCATATCACTAGAGAATACACACAACCTTAGTAAGTATGTCTCTGTCATATCACTAGAGAATACACACAACCTTAGTAAGTATGTCTCCGTCATATCACTAGAGAATACACACAACCTTAGTAAGTATGTCTCCGTCATATCACTAGAGAATACACACAACCTTAGTAAGTATGTCTCCGTCATATCACTAGAGAATACACACAACCTTAGTAAGTATGTTTCCGTCATATCACTAGAGAATACACACAACCTTAGTAAGTATGTCTCCGTCATATCACTAGAGAATACACACAACCTTAGTAAGTATGTCTCCGTCATATCACTAGAGAATACACACAACCTTAGTAAGTATGTCTCCGTCATATCACTAGAGAATACACACAATCAAGGAAAGTAAACTAGTCTCTTTAATATCACATATGGTCTTAGGTCTATTCTGATTTTTTTCCTGCATCAATTTTCCTTTTTGAACAGCCTCTTCTCAGAAACTAAATACTGAGGAACATGATATTTGACTGAAAGGTTCTTATGATGAAATATATCTAAGTTTGTGAAATATTGAAGGTCACAGAGATGGAGTTTGTTATAACCTTCAAATGAACCCTTCTTATTAATATTCTTGGGGCATAAGTATGATACCTGTACCTGACACACCTGGACATTGATCATCTTGAATGATTGTTCTGTGTTGTGTTCATGAGTCCTTCTTCTATCCTCATTCTTTCCTTCCATCTGTCTTTTCACTATCTTATACAACCCCTGACTTTTAAACAACTAATGACAGAAACTGTATACTTGTGAGAAGGGTTCACCTTGGTGAGATGGTGTGTCATCTATCAATAGTCAAATCAAAAGTCACTCTGGGTCAAGGGGAATCAATTTTTATAATAAAGTTTTGTGTTGGCCCCTTTGGGCAGGAGGGGCAGTACCTAATAGAGCAAATTTTTTAAAATCCTACTTCTCCTATAGGAACATTTTGATTTGGCTCAAAAATAATCCGGAACAATCTTTTGTGAAGGGAAATCAATTTTGTGTAAATGATAGGTCTTTGTCAACTGGAGTAGGCAGGATGGGTCTCAATAGGGAAAAAATGCAAATTCTTTAAAATCCTCCGTCTTCTGTAGAAATGGTGGGATTCTGCTTCAGTTGGGTATGGAAGAACTTGGATGAAGGAGACTTCTGTTTCAATGGTTTGGCTGACCCCTTGGGACAGAGGGATGGCGCCCATATGGGAAATACAGTTGAACCTGGTTATATTGAAATTCTCAGGGAATGAAAAAATACTTCAAATTATCTGGGTTTCAAATAAAACCGATGTTAGCTTTTTCTAGCACTTAGGCCAATCACAAGTTAATGATGACAAAGCATATAAATATACATTCTTTCTACAATGCAATAATATTTCATTAATGACAGCTTAGTAGTCTATCTACATGGAACAATCAAAGTATATATTATAAACCATTGGTAGTTCACTTGGCAAAGAAACAGTCAATAGTTGTTTGTTTTTGTTTTTTAATTTGGGATCCTGTCATGAATGAATCAAGATTGCACAAACATGTAAACATCAAGTTCGAGATGTCAGATGTACATTCCATGGAGCTCAAGGCATTCCTTCTTCTTTTGTAGGAATGCCTTGATTATTTTGTAATTTTTTATGGAAGCATCCTTGGTTGAAAGGCAATCAATTTTGTATAAATGGTGGGTTTTGTCCATCTGGGATGGATGAGGCATGGCCATCTAAGGGATAAAGAGGAAATTCTTCAAAATTTTCTTTTGCAGGATTCTGTAGGAATAACTAGATTCTATCCCAATTCAGCCTGAAGCATCCTTAAGTATAATTTGGTATAAATGTTGGGTCTCAACCCCTTGGACAAGTGGGGCAGGGCCTATAAGGAAAAAAATTGATGAATTGCTTTAAAATCCTTCATCTTGTTGGAATGTCAGAATTTTGTCAAAATTTGTTCTGAAGCATCCAAGAATGAAGGGAACATAGAGTTGTATGACAGATGCATCAGATACCCCTTGAGGTAGAGCTGCAGATCCCGATACAGGAAACAGAGCAAACCGTATTGGCCACTTGTTTTATTAAATCTGAATACAATTTGGAAAATGTAAAGTTTGGCGTCATAACTTTTCATTTTTCTGTCTGTAGCTGTGAGCAGGTGGTCAACTTGTGTAGTGGAACAACATGTATGAATGGAGGCACTTGTGAAGCATTTGGATCGGTTCGTAGACAGTGTATTTGTCCTCCAGGATTTACGGGAGACAATTGTGAAACAAATATAAGTAAGTCAATGTACATTTATCATATACACTTTCTAATTAAGCCACAGGGTCTATTAATGTATCATGTAATTAAGTATACAATATGGGGCTGTACATATACATTAAGAGTCTCTATCACTTGACACTGCCCAGCAGTTTGTAAAAAAAAAATTTTTCTTTTTGTAAAATGTATATATTTACCTGATTTTTTACAACATTCCTATACTTTTTATTTTCAGATGAATGTGATTTGAACCCAAAAGGATGTATGTACAATGGTACATGTATAGATAAAGACAATGGTTATGATTGCCAATGTAGACTTGGCTTCACTCAGGACAGATGTCAAGTTCCAAATGACTTTTGTACCACAGACCCATGTTTAAATGCTGAATGCTATAATGACTACGTCAATTATAAATCAGTCTGTGTATGCCATGATGGTTACCAGTTGGGTATGTTTTTTTTTTCACATTCAATATTTCTTTCAAATATCAGAAATTGTACTTGAAAACATCAAAATTACAAAAGAATTTGTTTTAGAATTTTAAAAATGCTTAAAAGAATCAGAGATCTCTTGTAATTACCCCAGTATCAGCTTTAGATTTTAATTAACTTAAAGTTTGCGAAATGTTTGAATGCTGATTTATATTATCTTAAATGTAAACCTGTGTGCAATATTTTTATTTTCAGCCTACCATCATCATCAGATGGTGGGCTATTCGAATCATTCTGCATCTGTGGTCCATCTTCCTCAAACAATCTTTTTTTATGGTTTTTTTAATGAGAAATTTTGGAGTAATAGAATCTTTCACCCCCTTTGGGGTGAGAAACCCTGTCTCATACCAAAGGGGGTGAATGATTATTTTTCTCTTACCCTGTTCCCCCGCTGATTGTAAAATACAAAATAGAATGTTTGTAAACAAAAACTCGTAGACAACGTACAGTGACGAGGCCGTCTCAACCGTGTCACGCTTAATTGTGATATCCCGCACAAAATATAATTCCCATTAACGGTACAGTAAAACATGAAATGGCGTAATATTAATGATAAAAAACAATTTTAATGTGAAAGTATGGATGAGATGACTTCAATATATACACAAAATTAACACATATTATTAAATCATTATTTTACAATGACATCATTTACATGTCAAGTTCCACTTTTGGGTCAAGATAGTGACGTCACATTATTGCTGAGAATGTGCAAGGAGCGTGTGTAGCTTGTCTCAACCCTAGGGTGAGATAGAAAAATGTCACACCTGTAAAAACTTGTGGATATCCCTGTCCGGGGTAAGAGAATGCTCTTTCTCAAATTCCTGATAAAGGTTCCCCTTGATCTCTAGTTGTGCTTTTTTCTTTCTTTATTTCTTGATTTGGAACCATTAAAGAAAATATAGACAATTCTTTAACATGATTGTTCAACCAATATTTCCTTGGCTTAGATTTAAGATTGTCGTATTCAAATTATTGACCAAAGGATTGAACTGCCTTGATGTGGTTTGAAGATTACACAAATTAAAAAGAACCATGAGGATTGCACTGCAGAGGTATGGTTCAAGGCTTATCCTAAATGAAAAATATGATCAAGAGTGCTGAACTGACCTCAAAGTATAGTTTCAAAGATTGTCCTTTCTGAAATATGGACTAGAGGATTGGACTGCCATGTATGGTTTATAGACTGTCCTAACTGAAATATGGACCAGAGGATTGGACTGCCATGTATGGTTTAGAGACTGTCCTAACTGAAATATGGACCAGAGGATTGGACTGCCATGTATGGTTTAGAGACTGTCCTAACTGAAATATGGACCAGAGGATTGGACTGCCATGTATGGTTTAGAGACTGTCCTAACTGAAGTATGGACCAGAGGATTGGACTGCCATGTATGGTTTAGAGACTGTCCTAACTGAAGTATGGACCAGAGGATTGGACTGCCATGTATGGTTTAGAGACTGTCCTAACTGAAATATGGACCAGAGGATTGGACTGCCATGGTATGGATCAACAATTGCTTCTTCCTCCATAGGTATGCCAGGATTTTTCCCAGATTGGTCTGAAGCATCCTTGGTTGAACGGAAATTCATTTTGCCTTCAGTGCAGAGATGAGGCCTAATAGGGGAAAATTCTTTAATTTCTAACTTCTGAAATGGGGATCACAGGATTGAACTACCTTGGTATGGTTTAAAGATGGTCCAAGTAGAAATATGGACAAGAGAATTGAACTACCTTGGTATGGTTCAGGGATTATCCTAACTGAAATACAGTCTAGGGTGTTCAACTTCCAAGATGCCATTGTATTGTTCAAGCATTGTCCAAAGTGAAACACATGCCAGAATATTGCATGGCCTAGGTATGGTTCAAAGGTTGTCCCAACTAAAATACAATCTGGAGGATTTTATTGCATTGCAAGTAAATCTAACATATTATACCAGCAAACAATAGCATGTTGGTCTGTAAAGCTTTGTCATATAACGGTATTGTCCTTGAATACTGGAGCAAGCTTTGTAGCTCAATACAAACCAGTACTGTAGTTCCTCGGGGATTTATACATAATCAAGTATCTTCTTGTGCTTTATAGATGAATACTTATATTAAATCTGATTTTGATGTTGAAAGGTACTGTAGTCCCTTAAGTATTTTCTCTATGTGTTTCAGACAACAATGGGAAGTGTACCAAGATTGATGATTGTGCAGGTGTCAATTGTAACAATGGCACCTGCGGCGGAGGGGTTTGTTTCTGTGTGTTTGGCTATACTGGAGCTTATTGTCAGCATGATAAAATAGACTGCACCATGAATTCCTGTCTTAATGGTGGCACTTGTATAGACAAAACCAATGGATATGAGTGTATGTGTAGCTCTGGGTTTACAGGTAAGTCTATTCTGTAAAATATCACTGTATAATAAGGCTTATTATATTGTGAGTTATTCTCCTTGTTTAAGTATGGGAATGAGGGATGTGGAAGGTTTCTTGATACCTTTAATGAGGTCTACAAGGGAAGCCAAGAACAAAAAGCTGAATTAAGGAGATAAAAAAGAATTTATAGACCAAGTGTTCAAGGAGGAGGAGTGGGGGAAGGGTATAGGAACATTATGTATTACATAGTAACATTCCTATGTCATGAAGGGATTTAAGGATTCATTCTAATATAGCAATCCTGAAAGCTTGGAGGGGGTAGGTGTGAGTTTGATATGTGGAGAGCAAGGGGGGTATGAGTTGGCCCCTGGATGACATTTCTGTTGAAGCAAGACTAAAAGTTGGAGGGGGTATAATGGTTGCAATGGTTGGCATATGTAACTCTGAAATTTTGGTGGGGCTCTAGCCATTTCTTGAAGGATTTTGATTAGAATTGTAAAAGGATTGGCACACATGGATTTGACAATATATGAAATACATGAACATACATGTATTTGAATTAGTTGTGATGAACTTCATCCATAAGCCCATGAATGCCAACTGAAGGTAATTCAATGCTTATATTTTAAAACCATCATTTTTTATTTTATCTGACTTTTCATTTCTTTTCATTTAAACTTCTCATGCATCTGTTTCAAGTTATGAGATGTTAACCAATAAAGTCCTAGCAATTGATATATATGATGTCAGTAGATGGTATATATTTATTGGTATATATATGATATATGATTTCTGGGATAGTGTATGATACTCCATAGACATACATATAATATATAAGTCTGTGGGAAGGCCTAACACTCACCATGGCTGTGAGATTAAAGCAGAAACTAGCTGATGACTTTTAAGTGACAAAATTAAATTTCAAACTTTGATACAAATAGTATGAAGAAAATTCCCATCAAAATTAGAGCAAAATAACTACTACCCATTTAGAAGGAAAGAAATCATGACATGACACAGATTAAAATGTAATTGCACTCACTCCCAAAGCGACACTTTTCAGTTTTAAACAAAAAACATGAAAGACATGGTGATTTATCTGTCAGTCATGCTTTCTCCTGTTGATTCATTCTAGCCATCGTCAGAATATCAGCGAACACACTTGTAATTTTTACACCCAATGATATGTTCGGAATAGTATATTGGAATCACTCTGTCTGACCGTCCTAACATCTGACCATCTGGAATATTGTGTTGAGTGTATCTCATAAAGTGCTGAAGCAATATTTCTCAAACTTTGCCTACTACATCCTTATGATATAAAGTTGTCCCCTTTCACTCTTTTGTAAAATTTTTACGACATTTGGTAGAGTTATGCACCTTTTTGTAGATGTTCTGTTTGGTATATTGTGTCAAGTGTATCTAATAAAGTACTGAAGCAATATTTCTCAAACTTGGCATGCTACATCCCTATGATATATAGTTTTGCACTTTCACATTTCATTCAATTTTAACAACATTTGTTAAGAATTATGCCCCTTATTGTAGAAATTATGTTAACTGTATTTAGTAAAGTATTGAAGCAATATTTTCTTGAAATGCATATTGCATCCCAATGATATGTAGTTGTGCCCTTTGCATTTTGTTAAGTTTCAACAAAATATCTTACAATTATGCATGCCCCTTTCTGTAAAAAATGGACAGCTTTTTTCTTGACAACTACTATATGAATTATTCTCAAATTTCATTGGTAGGGTTCCCGAGGACCCTAGATGGGCATTGTACCTTTTTAAGATCCATCACTCAGAATGAGCATTAAGCGATCGATGATGGATGGTATCTCTTGTTATAACCCCTCTGAAAGAATTGTTCATTGGGATGCCGGGGGTTGGGTGGTATAAGTCAGCCATCCTGGTGACAGTTGTAGTTAAAATTTTCAGATACCTGATATTTGAAAACAAGCTAACCATGTGACTTTTTTGTAGGGGGAGTCAGTGACTGCAACATCAACATTGATGATTGTTCTGGTCATTGTACTGGTGAACATGTTGTTTCATCAGGAATGAAATGCATCGACATGGTTAATGATTACATGTGTGTCTGTGAAGATGGATGGAAAGGCCAAAACTGCACGGTAAGCTAGAGCATGATCATTTAAAGTTTTGGCAATATTTCAGGTCAGAGAAAGAAGGTAGACATCTCATCAATAACAGAACCAAAGGCTTCACCGGATCAGTATTGGCTTCTTAAGATGGAAACCACTGATTGTTTGCCTTTCTTCAGCTGTGTGTCTGTTGTTTGTCCATCTGTAAATAATTCTTGTTAGGGCTTTTCACTAACTTGTGAAAAGACCTATTGTTTTTGTTCTGTTTCTTATTCTTATTATTATTATTATTATTATTATTATTATTCTTTTTCTTATTATTCTTCTTCCAATTTTGTGGGTTCGTAATCTTTTAAATTGTAAAAGCTAGAAATACATTCTATTCACCTATTTGTAGATACGTATATGAACTTGTCGATGCCGATTTTGTAAGTAGGTCAAAAATCCAATATGGCCATGACGTCATATCCGATTTTACCTAAAATGCTGTAACTCAAGAACTGTTTCAGCTAGTGACCTCAGTTTTAATCATATTATGTAGATTAATAAGAAAACACTTTTCACAAGAAAAAAACTGGGATCAAAGGTCAACTTCCGGTCTTCGGTAGGGGTCAAAGTTCAAAAGTGTTATTTTAAGTTACAAACTTTGACAAACTTCTTCTCAAGTTCTGCAAAGCCTTGAGTCTTGATATTTCATGTGTAAGATGTCTGATCAATTATCTATCAGGTTTGTTAATATAAATGACCTTGACCCACTTTCAAGGTCACAGGAGTCAATTATGTAAAAATCGTTAAATGGTAATTTCTCCTTTGTTAAGCTGCCGAAAGTCTTCAACTTTGGACATAAATATTTTGTGGACATTTCCTGTCGAGTGATATAAGAGAAAGTACCTCAAATTCAACTTCCGGTTTGCGGTAGGAGGTCAAAGTTGAAAAGTGCTATTAAGGGTACCAATCTTTGAAAAACTTCTTCTCTAGTTCTGGATGGCGTAGAGGCTTGATATTTCACATATAAGAAGCATATGTAACTGGCAACAAAGTTTGATAATATAAATGACCTTGACCCACTTTCAAGGTCACAGAGGTCAATTAAGTAAAAATCGTTAAATGACAGTTTCTCACTTTCTAGAAGGCACACAATGATGAAAATTGATTATAAACCTTCTGTAGACACTTCCTATTGATTGTCATAAGAAAAACTTCCTTAAAAGTTCAACTTCCGGTTTTCGGTAAGGCACAAACTGGGAATTGAGGTTTTTTAATGTAAAACCAATTTTCATGAGGTAATATCTCCTTAACGTTTCAAGATTCAAAGTTCATCTTTGGATATGTCTTTTCTTGACCCTTAATTGGAGCTGGGCATTTTATATCTCTTTTCTTGACCCTTAATTGGAGCTGGGTATTTTAAATCTCTTTTCTTGACCCTTAATTGGAGCTGGGCATTTTAAATCTCTTTTCTTGACCCTTAATTGGAGCTGGGCATTTTAAATCTCTTTTCTTGACCCTTAATTGGAGCTGGGCATTTTAAATCTCTTTTCTTGACCCTTAATTGGAGCTGGGCATTTTAAATCTCTTTTCTTGACCCTTAATTGGAGCTGGGCATTTTAAATTTTTAGACTTATTACAAAAAAAAAAAAAAGGAAAAAAATTGGTTGACTTGTGACCATCTTGGAAAGTTTTTGATTATTGTTTTTTAAGGATTTACTACTGATGTTTGACCAGAAGTAGGCCATAGTTCAGTAAAAAATGAATTCCAACATCTTTGACTTGTGTTTTTATATACTTTCAAAAGTTGTACTTGGAAGCTGAAAATATGCACTTTGTGTAAGATTTTGAAAAAGATTTGCACTTGTGGACTAAAGTTTTTGACAGGGTAGTTGATGGCATGATCTGGGAGTAGCATCAGTAATCTCTTGATTTTAAACTTTCCAAGATTTCAACTAAACTTTGCATGAATAATCGTCACAAAACACAATAGATTTGTGAATTCTAATGTGTTGGACCACTTTCCCTGATAATTTTGAATACCTGAAAACGTATTTCATTTTGTTTCTTGATTTTGGAAAAACTGGCTATTTGGGTGAAAATAGTAAAAATTAAATCACATGGACCCCATCTTTTCAAATTATGTAAATTGGTTTTATTAATTTAAATGAAAATTTAGTATTTATTTTTTTTTTATTTTTATTATTATTTTTTCCTTAATATCCAAGCATCATACTATTTACTTTTAATGAAAGAGGAATCTATTTTTTAAAAGGTTGCTCAAACACTACAAAGAATGTTTTTCATTCAGCAAAAAATTTAAAGTATGTGAAAACAGATTATTTCCTGTTATACATACTCTGACGAAGTATTTGAAAAAGAAGTGTAGCAACATAATGTTTTTGGCTTTTAACTTACTATCTTAAATCAAACCTTTTAAAAAATAATCAGTAGAAAAGTTTAATACTGGACTTTTTTCACAATTCAGAGGAAAAAATCCTCAAATTTATTAGTTCAGTTTTCCTTTCTGCCTTTTTCCTCTTGTATAGTTTTGTGACTGATTTGGAAAATGAGGTTGCTTATAGGATAGCCATACCAGAAAGGGACATATGAAGATGATGCACTAAATGAATAGTTTTCAATTTCAGACAGGCTTTGATTTATCCACCTTCTACTACTGCATATAATTGAGAGTAAATTAGAGAAATGAAAATAATCTTACAATGATATGCAACAACATCCACTTGGATTTTTAGCTCACCTGGCCTGAAGAGCCAAGTGACCTTATGGCATACTGTGGTGGCTGTTGTCCATCGTCCATCATTCATCAGCTTTTTCATACAAATCGCTACTAGTCATAAATGACTTACAGGCTTTTGACCAATTTGGTCAGAAGCATCCAAAGGGGAGCAAATTTGGTATAAATGGTGGGTGGTGAATGGATATTTCCCATATTTTGTCTGAAGAGAGAAAAAGAAACTAGTTGTGTATAAACAAACGGATTCCAGCCCCATTGAATAGAAGGGAGAGCCCAATTGGGGAAATCGAGCAAATTCTTTAAAATCCTTCTTTTCAATTAGGAATGATTAGATATTACCTTAAGGTGGTCAGAAGAATTCTTAATTTGGTCAGAAATATTCTTGGGTGAAGATGAACAAAGTTAGTGTGAGATGGTTCTCAGGTCTCAGAGGCCATAGGGACAGGGCCCAAAAGAGGAAATTTTGCAATTTCTTTAAAAAGTTACACCTCCTTTGAGAATAAAGTTCTTAAAAGTCCTTCTTCCATTCAAGAATATTGTCTATATTTGGTCTGAAGCATTTTTTATGAAGAGTGAATCTGACCACTGTTTGACAATGAGGATGTGACCAAATATGATAAATTAGATCAGAAATTGTTTGTCATATTTGAAATCCGTTATGAAATGTCTGAATAGCTAAATTAGCTATGTGAGTGATGCAGACCCATTTGGTCTTTTTTTCAAAAACAAGAGACAGATAATCAGTTTTAATGTGATGTTAATTGTAAACATCTTAAAAGTCTCATCAAATAAGTGACTTGGCATTACAAAGGTTTGATGTTGAAATAATTTCGAGTTGGGAAAGTGGAACTAATTTCAAAATGTGCATTTTTGCTGAGGTAGTCATAGTTATTAACACAGCTCCACTAACAATGGCTAGATTTAAAGATAACCCAAAGTTTTTAAACTACAGTATATTTTAAAATCTAAGTTTGTCTCCAACTATGAAGACTAAGACAAAAGAGATTACCCATATAATTACAGAGTCTAAGGTACCTTATAGTAAGCAATAAAAAGCTAAATCAAGTGAACTGGTAAAAGGTGAAAGAAAACTGCTTCAGTTAAGATGAGCAACAAAGATTCACTTTGCTCTAGGTAGACAGCTAGTTGTAATTTTAACCATCAGGACATAAACATTTTATTTGCTTACTGAACATCTACAAACAAAATTATACAGGTACTTTCATATCTTTACTATCCTTTAAACTAAAATCATATTTCAACTTCTGTTTCCATGGCACATTATGGTTGTTGGATAGGGACTCCCCACGATGTTGAGTGTGAGTGAAATCATATAAGATAAGAATGTACAAATGGAGGGATGGCAGAATATTAAATTGCTTATAGTTACATTGCCTAGATATAAAATACATATTTTTTTGGTATAAATCACATGTATATTTCGTCACTATTTGGTACATGTAACGGTTTGGTGTGATAGCATAGCATTTTTTGGCCATTTGAATAGAAGATGATCATTTTAATGTAATGAATAATTTTCAAGTCTTAATTTGTGCATGAGAAATCCAAGCGTAACAAGTTATCATATTTTCATGTACTTTGTATTACAATTTGTTTTTATTAAACAGGAGAACATTGATGAATGTGCAAGTTACCCATGCCAGCATGGAGCAAACTGTACTGATGGAGACAACACCTATACTTGTAGTTGTACAGCTGGATGGTCTGGCAAAGATTGTAGTGTGGAAGTGGACTACTGCCCAATCAACACTTGCAAAAATGACGGGAAATGTTTTAACATGAACAGTGACTTCTTCTGCAGGTATAAGATCATTCTGAATCTGAAGATTTTCTGAGTTTCGTCCAATATAAGATCCCTTGTACGTGCTTGCATCCAGGCGAACAAGAGTCATTAGTATAATTTCGTGTAAATAGTGGGCTTAACCCTCCTGGTAGCAGAGGGCATGGTGTGACAAAAAAGGGAAAAAAGTAGAAAAACCTTAAATGTCCTGATGTTAAGATGAAGATGTTTTGACTAAGTTTTAGGCGAAAAAGTCCTTGGAAGAAGGGGACTGAATTTTGAAGAAGAAATGGATGTACCCTCACAAGACTGAAAATTGGATTCGGCTATATCAGTGAAATAACTATCAGATTTTCCACAAATCCTACTTTTGTATGAATAACAGGATTTTTGGCCAAATTAAGTTTAAGGTATCCTTGGATGAAAGGCATTGATAATTTTCAAACTTTTCCTAGGTTCACCCTAGTCCCTGTAGTTGTGCATTGTCTATTTTTGGACTGTTTGAAAAAAAACAAAATGCCTGACAGGCAGCTATCTTGATTTTTTTCTTTTAACAATGAATAAGAACACTGTGATTTTATTTTATTGTTAAGTGGAAAAGTGACCACAGTTGTCTGAAAAGATAGAAGTGATGCTATAATTTCATAGTTCTTGTGTCACACTGGTGTACCAGTTGGAGGGTTAGAGCATCTTGGAGTAACTGGTGAACCATAGTGCATCCTTAGTTGAGATGGTGCACCATTTGCTGGATCATGGAGGGTTGGTTGATGGTTCTCATTTGGAGGAGTGTGCGATGGTAGTCTTCGTTAAGAGGAAATCTGCTGTGTCTGGCTAGGGTCAATGTGGTGATACATTCAGATAGTTTCAGATAACCATGGTCATAGATGAGTCTGACCTCTTGAATGTATGGGCAGCATCAAGATTATAGGAGACCCTGAAGGGAAGATGGGATTTTACTAAAATTTGGTCAGAAGCATTGCTAGGGGAAGGAAAATCAATTTTGTATAAATGGTGGGTCTTAGTCCCCTGGGGCAGGAGGGGCAGTGCCCAATAGGGAAGATGGAGTATATTCTTTAATTCTCCTGTAGGAATGATTTAGTTCAATTATGAATGGTTTGGCAGACACCTTAGGACATAGGGTTGGGGTCCAATAGGAAAGCAGATGTTTTGTGTGCTTTGATATTTAGAACTGTTTATTCCTTAGTTTTAATCGAACAATACAGGCACTTTTGACCTCTGGTTGTTATTGCTATTCCTTGAGAAGAACTGGATAAATCTTTTTAAAATTTCATATATAGGTTTCCATTGGTCCCTAGTTGTGCTCATTTGATTTTGGACTGACCAGAAAAACAACATGGCTTTCTGGAAACCATTTTGGATTTTACGATGAATGTTTGTTATTGCTATTACTTTAGAGGTGCTTGACAAATCTCGCTCAAATATCATATGTGAGTTCCTCTTTGACCCTTGTGCCTGTTCGAGTTTGGGACTGACCAGAAAAACAAAATGGCTGACATTTTGCCATCTTGGATTTCAACAATGATAATTTGATATTGCTATTTCTTTAAAATTGCTGAATGTATCGTTCTCAAATTTCATGTGTAGGTTTAATTTTAGGACTGAATAACGAAATGACTGACAGACAGCTGTCTAAAATTTTTACTAAAAAATTTTGTTATCACTGTTTCTTGAGATGTACTGAATGAATTCATCTCAACTGACAAAAAAAAAAGAGAAATGGCTGACAGGCAAGCATCTTGGATTTGTATTATCATTATCATTGCCATTTCTTCCTAGGAATGTTCAAATTTTGTATAAGAGTGAAAACTGTTGACAGAAGAGAAAAGAAGGTTAAAGATCCAATTTTTTTAAAGAACAGCTATAGATCAAATAATGTTTGGCACCAAGATCCTTCTTGTATCTCTTGTTTGCTAAAAACAGCTTCCGTACAAAATATCTTATTAAACTTGAATTCATGCTCATACCATAGCATTATGTTATCAAGTGCTTTATCTGATAAGATTTATGTGTTCATATGTCAAGGTTGAAGGTCAAAGGTCACCCAGGACCACTATTGAAATACATGAAAATAAGTTGCACTACCAGATGTTGGAATACATAGAATATATGGGGAAAAACAGGACTTTCAAGAAGAAAATGTGACATTAACTGGAAAAGTGACATGAACAGACATGAAATTGAGTGGTTAAATGAAGTTTTCAACAATACACATTCATTTGAAAATGAATAGTTAGGGAGGAATGAGGGTTAAGAGTAACATTTATGGGAGCTCCTGTTCTGCACTGTTTTTATTTCATCAAATGTTTGGTCACAAAAGAATATGTTTTGTTTCAGATGTCAGGGAGGAACAACAGGGACTACATGTGGTAATGTCCCTCCAGTGTGTTCTGTCATCAATCCATGTACTGACAAAGGAACTTGTAGTGATCAGGAAGGCACAGCCAAATGCAACTGTTTGTTAAGTAGGTTTCACATTTTTAGTTTTGCCCTAAATATCTGTTTTAGGTCTTGATTAGGCTGTTTTAAAACAACCACAAAGGGAGGTAATCTACTGGTTATTCAGTAGAAGACTTTGGAAATAAAACCAGTTGAGAAAGGTATATGGAATTTCTACACAGTGCAAGAAAAACACTTTATTACCTGTATATGTTTGCAATCTATTTATCTCTTGGGTTGACATTAAGTCTGTCACCACTATCTGATCATTCTTAATTAGACAGTTTGAGAATGGTCTGTCACCACTCTTTGATCACTTTTAATTAGGCAGTGTGAGAATGGTCTTTCACCACTGTTTGATCATTCTTTATCAGGCTGCTTGAGAATGATCACTCTTTGCTATATTGTTCCATTTCTCACCATTTGTGTGTATGTCACAGGCCTATATATATAATACTCTAGGTAGCAACTTTTATGACTTAAGGTCTAGTTATGATGGCATATATAATGAGTTTTTTGTAAAGGTAGTTTTTATATAAAATTGTTTAACCTATTACAATTTATCATTTATATCTAATGGCATTGTTTTTGAAAATGACCTTTACTTCTTCAAAAAGTCAGCAAAATGACTTTGACTAGGGTAGTCAGTGCTAATTAGATAGCTGTTCAGAATTAGTGAAAAATGAATAGGATATTAATAAATAATATGAGATCATAATGTTAGATGATCGTTGAAAATAAAAGGATACCACTTGCAAAAATAAATACAACTAACATTTAGAAAAATTCTGTTTGTCCTTCAGATGATTATACAGGATCCTCTTGTCAGCTGACAACCTACCACTGTGGAAGTGATCCCTGCGAAAATGATGGGACTTGTGTTACTGGAAGTGGCATGGATTTTTCTTGCAAGTGTAAAAATTGTGAGTCATTATTGATTGTGTCAACTGCTACATGTTTTGTAGGCTCCATATACAAGTTAATGTAATTATCCTGATCAAACTGATTTACAGCAATAATCACATGCATGGTCACTTTGACTTAATAGTTATATAGAATGATTGGTTGAATCATCTTTAGATCTTATTCGTATTTGATGATGAATGTTTACTTAATTGGTTTTCGTTTTAATGTAGAGTTTCAGTCATAACTCAAATCTTTTAAGCTAGAAAACCTGTTGATACGTTATTTATGTTGTGTGTTTTCCCTACAGCTTACTCTGGTGGAACTTGTGGACAATACAACGATCCATGCTCCTTAAACCCATGTACAAGCGGAGCATCATGTATGTCTGATGAAGAAAAGTTTTTGTGTTACTGTCCAGGAGGAGAAATCCCTACAGTTTCACAATGTAAAAGTAAGTAACTTCTTATATGTCAGCTGAATTATATGAAAAACAGCAACATTTTTTCTTTAAAGAATTTATGTTTTCCATCACAGTTGCATTGGTGTCCAAAACAGTCATAGAAACTATGATATCGCAATTGTTCTCCTTATCAGTATCAGTCGATATGTCCATTTCTCCAGCAGTGATGTCAGTGTTATATTGCCAAATTCTTGTATAAGTTGAAGGAATATACGGTCCCAGAGTAAATGTTGTTAGATCACCAAAGACAAAGTCTCATGGTGACCTATTGTGATCTTTTGTCCGGCATCATGTCATAAACTTTTAACATTTTTAACTTCTTATCGTAAACCCCTGAACCGATTTCAATTTTTTTCTTTTCTTGTAAATTTTCCATAGCCAAAAATTTACCAAAGTTGTAAACTAAAGGGTCCCCAGGAGAGGGGCAGTGCAAAAAAGGGTCAAATTGAATGAAATTTTAAAAATCTCCTTTCAATACCCAAGTATGGTAGAATCGAATCATGGATGGAAAGACTTTAAATGCTTTACGAAAATTGTAAACTTTATGACCCTAGAGACTCACATTTCCCCCGGGGAGGGGGTCAAGTTTGTTGTATGTTGTATAGGGAAATTATATTTTTGAGCATAATTTGTTTATTTTCTATTGGAAAGAGTTCAAACTTGGTTAGAATTATTAGTATAAGATGACATTTTGATGACACTGATGTATTGATACTAGCTGATCCCTAGGGGCTGATAAGTTGGGCCAAAATGGATAAAATTGACTTACATTTCAAGATCTTTGCAAAACTGGGGTGTGGCAGGAAATCTCTTAAATATTGTTCACAGATGGAAGAGTTTACATCGGAAAATTACATTTTTGACTATAATTTCTTTCAGTTTGAATCCGTTTAGAAGCCTTAGTATTGGACAGTAGCTAAGGTGATGTACATTTAGTTTGCATTATATGTACAATGTTTTTCAAGTTATTTTACTTTGTAAAGAAGATTATTTATGTGACATGTTACAAGAAAAACAACAATATTGTAATTCAGGTGACAATTGAGGTTCTTGTTTAACATACAATGCCAAGGTCTCTTTAATTTGTCATACAATTTAATGACTATTCAGGATATTTCATATACCAGACATTTTCCCCACTGGACACACAATGTCCTGAAAACATTGCAGTTCCATCAAGACACAGTGTTGCGTTGAGGTTGTAGTAACAACCAAGGGAAAGTTTGTGCTACATTTTCATGTAATCCTCCAAAAGATCTTTGTGCAACATTTTGTTTATGTTGTGCAGACATTGTTACAGCATTATGTCAATCTCGTGATTTCACTTTGAATGCAGCCATTAATGAAAAATCACTAAAATGAACAAATAAAAAGTTTAAATTGTTTAATATAGATTCTTAATGAACCACATTACCTGCTCAGTCTGGTCCATGTTCGTGTATTACATGTTAGGTCATCGTATCTGTAGACAGAATGTATAGTGTTTTAAATTTGAATTATCAAGACTTAAAAAAGCAATATTCTTTTAAATACATTGTGGTTAAATCAAGGATAAATAAGGCCCTGATAATTGTGGTCAGTTACATCAAACACAGCATTACATATGTATTATAATTCTATTTACTCTTGCCAGTCAATTTGTTTGTAAACATAAATCATTCAAGACACATGCTAAAGTAAATATTGAAAGTAAAACATTAAAATGACCTCAAGGAGTTACATCCAATTATCAGCTGATTGCTTCTCAGTGTGAATCCTTAAAATCACAATAAAATGCCAGTATGTAGGTCTATCCAGTGACGGTGTGTGATCTGTTATAGAAAACCTGCGCACAAGTTTCAAGATTTATTTTCCTTATTTTTCTTCCTTTCTTCACATAAGATTAATCCATAGTCAGGAAACAACCGTACCTAATTAGTTATCTTTTTTCTTTCACATTCAGAACTCCTTGTCTCGGCAAGTGTTGAAAATAAATTTAAGATTGCTGCCCTGCAATCCTCAGATTTGTTAACAATATCTTTGATATGAATTAGTTGATTATTGACACACAAGCATTTGTATATCCATTATATACATTAATACATTTGAATTCTTTATTTGAAGTAGAAATGATGTTATCTTTCCCGATAAACTTATTTTGTCATTTTATTTATGAATGTGCCATTTTCTAATAATACTTGATCGTAGAAAGCAAATTATTGTCTTCTTATTGAGCTAAGAAACAACTTGAAGAAATTGCAACATTTGTATAATAACCTTGTTACAATGTCCATAGCAAACATTGCATAGATGTTTGAAAAGTAAATTTCTCCATTCTCACAACATTGCTTATAAGTTGCAAACAAAAATTGTGAGGAAAATGGGATGTTTTCAAGACATCCTGCCAATGTACTTTGCCCACTGGGTCGTATTCAGGTGGTGGGACTGGTTTCCACTTTTGACCCATGCCAATACATAACAGAGAGTACATGTAGAAATGGTCCCTCACAGCTCCCTATTTCTGTTAACTGAGGGAGATATATGTGCCCTTCATGACCATGATACACAACGTACTGAAGAAGAAGTTGGCTCCCCTTGCTGTACAAATAACTAGCTTAATTTAGTAGACTAACCTTTGATACAAGAGGTACCTTATGAACCCTTCAACAGATTAACTCAAAAACTAAAAGATCAGGTGAAGTCATATTTTGCTGACACTGTTTTTTCATGATTATATTTTTTAGGTTCACCAATTGGTGACATGTTGATTGATGCAGCTGTAGACACCAGTGGCACCTACCTGAACAATCCCTTTGTATTCTCCAATACCGATATGTTATCTATAATGTTTTGGGTGCTATGTAGTAATGACACTTACAGCAATCCTGTTATCATGGTATTGGAACCCAGGTAATATATGTTGTATTTCACTTTTTTTCTGTTTTAAAGCGATTTTGAACTGAAGTGTACAAACTACATATATCATGTCATTATCAATGATAGCAGGAATGTCTTTAACACATTGTTTTCTCACAGCTTTTTTGTGGCTACCCAGATGGAAAGGTCAAGTGGCCTTATGCCACGGTGCAGTGTCCGTCTTGTGTCCAAAGATTTTTTTAGTAAAAATCATTACTAGTCCTGAATGATTTAACTGATTATATTTCCACTACAAAAATTGTGGTGGGAGAGGGGTATACAGGAATCAGTGCATTCATGTCTGTCCGTATGCTCTAAGGGTAGTTACCATGTGGGAGACCTTTAGCTGTACATTTAAGGGAAATAGAGACAATGCATAATAGAGGAAATAGGGCATGTTCTGTTAAATCCTAAACCTCCTCTATTGTTCAAATCATAGGTCTTGACCTCCTGGGGTGGGAGGGTTGGGACCCAATAGGGGAAATAGGGCAGATTTTTTAAAATCTTACTCCTTCTGTAGGGATGTTTGGATTTGGCCTGAAGTATTCTATGGTGGAAAGAATTTAGTTTTGTATAAACAGATATAACCCCTTTGGGGCAGAGGGTCAGGGCCAAATATGGAAAATAAATACAATTGTTTTGAATATTTCTTCTTTATTTTAAATGAATCAATATCAACAAACTAAACTAGGTGTTTGATACAGTCAAGTAGACATCTTGTTTTTAAAACATGGGTCAAACTCTGTTTGGGGCAGAGGGTTGAGGCTCAGTAGAAAAAATTGAGACCTCAAACACTTTTTGTCTTGTTTGAAAGAAAATGCTTTGATTTAATTTGGTTAAGAGCATCCTTGGATAAACGGGAATCAATTTTGTATAAACAGTGGATCTATCCTTCCTAAGAGGTAGAGGAGTAGAACATTAATAGAATTAAATCATAAAATCTCTCTTTTTTAATGGCGACAATGACAAAATTATGTCAAAATATCATTGGTTGTAGTGGATTCAGTTTTGTTGAAATCAAAGATTTGTGACCTAACCAGATGATGGGCTTCTCGTCCTTTATGTCATATGTACAATAATATCAACATATATTGGACCTGTTGAAAATTTGGTGAAGTAATGCAGATCAGTCATTCACTTTCACCTTAGTGTTTGGAGTTCTTTGTCATGAGACAGCCATACTTCAAGAGGATTGTCAGTCTTTGGCAGGAAAGTTGTCAGGTTTATACAAAATTAATGATAATTTAACTCAAATGATATGGCTATTCATTTTAATAATTTTTTGTTTATATCTTTTGTAGAGATGTTGATAATCAAGGACCTGGCTGGATGAGTTCTTCTTCATCATCTTATCTGGTAAAGATAACAAACGGAGGTGTTATGTTTAGCAATGATACCAACTCCAAAATGGTTGACTTTGACCAGAACATCTGTGACAAGAAATGGCATCATGTTGGTGTGACTTATCATAGCAATGGTACCACCAATGTCATCCTGGATACCTCCACAAAGGCATTTAATGAGATGACTGTGTCAGGAACATTTTCTTCTGTGTAAGTAATAAGTTTTACTGTTAAAGTTTTTTAAATGCTTAATTTTTCATAGTTTTTTTCGGTGTATAAAATTAAAAAAGAGAAAAGGTAGGGAATCTATAGTCCAAAAGTCATTTTCATTTTAAAATGATTCTTGATATTACTATTTCTCAAGACATACAAATATGTATTAAGATAAGGCATATTGACAAACATGTATGTTTCCGTGCATAGTAAAGTGATATCATGAAGTATTGACAGCTGACATCTGAGACTGTCAGTCAATTGCTTATTTGATATCCTTTGTGAATTTAACACATCAGTTTTTTAGTTTCTCTCTTGTTATTGTCAATCATCAAAGGACAAAATCTTGAAACAGAATCCATGGGAGAGGCCTTATATGATTAAAATCTAAAATTTTGAGTGATAGGTATAAAAAGTTTTCATTCACTATATCCATAGGTTTTTTCTGCAGGTTTCAAGTACTATTGGGTCAAATGTTTCAAGGAAGGATAAGCCAGCTGATGATTTGGAATTCAATATTGTCCCAATTTGATAAGCTACGTGCTCTTGAAACCGTTACAAACATACCACAACTTGACAAAATTGTTCAAAAATGGATGAATTATGCACAGACAAGAAGTGTAACTTTCACTTCTGCCAGCACTGCTAATCTGACTAACAACGTTTATGATAATGTATTGGAAGATGCATCCTGTAAGAATGAAGGTAAGTTAACTAACTAGTGTAACTTAGAGTAAGTATTTTCTAACTTAAGGTTTTACTCTTCAACTAGATTTCAGTACTTTTCAACTAAATATGATTTCTTATAACTGGAGTTAAAAATTTATAAGTATAAGTAGATCTTTTACTTCTCAAATTCAGTATTTAATGTTTACATAGTAATTGATAATCAAAGTTCCATAATAAGCATTGTTTATAATCTTTATTTTAAGTTATTAGTCTATGACTAAAGTTACTATTTCATAACTAATTTTGTAGGTATTCTTTATTTGTTGTTCGTATTCCAGTTAAGTTTTGTGTTACTATTTTTTTCCCCAGCAAAATGTTGGTTGTCATGGTAACCAGTCAATATATTTATTCAAATTAAAAGAGTCAGTACTATAAAACTGTATTTTGCAAATGACAGGGAGCGGGGGTATTAGCCAATGGCTTACAGTTCTATTTCTGTTAAATAAGTATTTTATAGTGTGAATTGGTATGCTTATGAGAGTTAATATTCCCTGGCTAGAGTTATTATGCCCCTACATCAGGTGTCCTATAGTGATAGGTTGGCCGTTGATTTGCCCATTGCAGGAAACAGTTAATTTGCATTTTTTGTGACATTGTTGGTCATGTTTGAGATATACCGGTATAGCAGTTTGGTTATGAAAAATACATCCTTACATGTATGTATATTTATCAACTACAAAACAATTACATTAATAGTAGAAAAATGAAAATAGTGTAGATAAATATTTCCTCTGATTTCTTACATGTGATTGCCATGGTTACCAATTCAAAAAATGATAAAAATGCAAAAATATGCTAATTTCAACCTAACACTACAACTTTATAGAAGAAAATTTCTGAACACCTGTCTTAAAATCAACAACACTGACATTGTAACAAACTTCTTACATTTCAGAAAATTTCAACTTGGAACGCCTTCATGACATGACCACATATAAACACTATGAAAATTTCAATTCTTGTAAAGCTAATTTTGATGTGTAGACACAGATTCGAGACTGCCCAAATAATAATCTCCAACACAATGCAAAAATATTCTCCTGAAAAATATGAAGCCCCACATTGTCCACCTCAACACGACAAGACCAATTTTTAGCAAGGATTTCTTTTTAAAATTTTAGTTAAATCCTTTATAATGGGGTAACTTAATGAACAAAAATATCACTTTGTACTGCTACCCATTGGTCTGCCCGTCCAGCTGCCTGTTTTTTGTTAGGCCACCTGAGATATTAGACCTTAGGATTGCCTTTTGTCTTCTGTTGTTTGTTTTTAATTTTTCGACATTTCCAACTTCTTCTGGATAACCCCTGAACTGGTTTTGATGAAATTTTGCAAAAACCTTTCATGGCCAAAGATAAACAAACAAATTGCAGATTATATTATCAATATCTCAAAGGTGTCTGAGTGGCAGAGCCAAAAAGGGATGAAATAAAAAATTAATATTTCTTCTTCTCAATACCAAAGTATGGTAGAATTAAATGCTCTTAACTGATGGAAGGGTCTTAGGGTTCTTTATTAGTGATTCACATCATACATCATCACCATGGTAAGCGTGTGACACTTGTTAATTCCACAGAAAAACAATTAGCTCTGCTTATGACTTGAAAATGGCTGTTTTTATTAAATGGCATATACATAAAGATGTAAATATACAACCAATTTAAATAAATGTACATATAAAAAACTTTCTTGTAGATATTGTTTTGAGAGACAGTAGACAAGTCTAAGATGGATTTGAAAAACTCCATACAACACTTTGTTGTAGATATTGTTGAAACACAATAGACATGACCAAATGGTGGTACAAATTATCCACTAAGTGAGCATATACCTTGCAAAAGGTGGACTCTAGGGGAGGTGATGGGGAAAAAGATGTTTTAATTTCAATGTAAACGTACATGTGTGGAAAAAACATTAGATTAAAAGTAGATTGTATAGACCTTGTTCTTCCATTATGTCCGCAGGCCTCTGACCCCTGGACCAGTATACACTTTCTAATATAATGTGCCATATTCCACACAATTAATATCACAAAACATGTACCGTATTAAACCTGTTAAGCAGGGGAAGCATATAGTCCGTCCATCTGTCCATCCATCCTTTCCTGTTTCGAGCCCACTTTGCTCACAGTTAAGCTAGGATTATGAAACTTGGTGTGTACATTGACCATCCTAAAATTCTGTGCAATGTACCAAATTCAGTGCCCACTACCCCTTTTTTAGAGAGATGTTATTGCCTTTGTTAAAAGTTTGTTTAGAGCACAACATTAAATTGCTTGCATTTAAACAAGGATAATGAAACTTGGTGTATACAGTGACCATACTAAGATGTGTATTAAATTCAGGGCCCTTGACCCTTCAGTTACTGAGTTATTGCCATTATTTAAAAAATGTCTTGTCCAGGGCATAACTTGGCTAGCATTTGTACTAGGATAATGAAACTTGGTGTATACAATGATCATATGAAGGCAATGTGTAGTGTACCAATGTTCTGGCATGAAACCCCTTTATTACAGAGTTATTGCCCTCTATTAAAATTTTGTGACTTTGCCTGGATTTAAATAGGATATTGAAACGTCATATGTCATACAAAATCGGGGTGCAGTGTAGCAATGCTATAGCCATGACCCCCTCAGTTACAGAGTTATTGCCCTTTGTTTAAACTTTGTGTCATGAGCATAGCTTTGCTTGCACTAAAACTACGATCATGAAACTTGTTCAAACTAGGAAAATGTGCAGTATACCAAATTCAGGGCCTGCAACTCCTTCATTACAGAATTATTGCCCTTTTTTAAAAAGTTTTATCCAATAAAGTCATTTTCAGGGAGCATTCATCAGTTTCAATGATACTCTTGTTTTTTCAGTGGGCCTTGACCCACTTTAGTGAAATGATTATTGTTTTTTCATAATTTAGCCTGAAGCATTCTTGGGAGAAGAGAAATCAGTTTTGTATAAACACTAGGACTTGGCCTCCTGAGGTGGAGGAGAGAAATTCTTTTAAATTCTTCATTTTTGTAGAATTTTGTGTCTAATTTAGTAATTTTTGGGGAGCATTCATCAGTTTCATAGATACATTTGTTTTTTCATTTACATATCTTCATATTTTTGGTTTAAGGACTGTAGATTGTAGAATAGAAGTTCATATAGCACAACCAATGGAAGATTAATCTGTGATATTTTGATTACTACACTGTCACATTTATCAGACAAATAATCAGTATATACAAATGTAGTTTTATCTTATTGTGTGTCACTCCAGTTTGTACATGTTTAAAGAAAATATTAAGTCGTCAGTAGAATCAACAGGGTTTATACTCTCTGTTCATTACATACACTATAAACATGTCCTATTCATTCGTTTTGTAGACAAGATGCCTCCAACAATAGTCAACTGTCCAAGTGTTGCGATGTCTTATAGTCTGAGACCTGATGAACGAATATACAACATCCCAAATCTAAAGAACAGTTTTGAATTTGAAGATTATACTTCAGTATATTCTTCTGTAGTGGATGGTAAGATGTGTTATATGTATGAATATTTATGAATGCTGGGATAGATCATGTACTGTAATTATGTCTCCTCAGGTGAGTTTATGCTCATGGTATACATAATGCCCACCTGCCTTCCTGTCAGAATTGACCTATACTCATGGTCATAGGAGTCTAATCAAGTAAAACACACAAATAATATCTTATTTCCCAAAAGGCCTTGAATCTGTCCCTTTACATTGCTTCTATATTCTTGAAATAAAAGCAGATAACTTTTGGTTTAAGTACATTTTATGAATGATTTGTTTTGCTTTTGTGTAAATCATAGTGCTCAAAAACATTGTCCACTACACAAATGAGTGTACATGCCAAGATGGTGATTTTATTCAGTAAATAATATTGTTTTTGGTTACAAGTGTAATGCACAAAATATATTTTCTGCATGAAAGGTATCTAGATGTGCTTCAATGTATCCTGTATCAAGTCATCTCAATTTCAGTAAAATGTTCACAAAACCATTAGTTATATGTGTGAAATAACAGGGAAATTACTTATTCTGTGGAGTGCCCTTGCCAGGATTTGAACTTGGGTCAACAGTGTGACAATCAATAGCTCTACCAACTGAGCAGTTAGCAAGCTCTGTCAGCTGAGTAACAGAGACCATATTTAACACTATATTCAAGCAACACCAACCAGCTCCTTTTTACATATCCAGGGGTCTAAAACGTGTGTGTATGTCCCAGACTCTTTGTGATGAAATTATCGGAAAAAGGGTTATATGGCCAGAAGCTTCCATCTGTTTACCACAAGGTCTTTGCTAATACTTGTACATAAGTAATGAATATCCTTTCTTTATTTTATGCAATATAATATCGTAGATATACTTTCAGTCAATATTTCAAGATGACTTCGCAGTTGATAGGTATCTGTAAATTGCTGACCCAAATAGCCACATTGTTTTTTGGTTACATACATTATACAAAATTTTATACCAAATCCTGATACTCATAACTCAAATACTCAAATAGCTCATAATGCTGATGACTTTTAGCTGTCTGATCATCACAAAAAGCACTCTGTATATCCCACTGTGTAAGTCTCACAATGTAATTATCATTGTCATTGTGTGAATGAGATGATGCCTTAAAGAATATTTCTATATATTCTGTTTAGTTGACATTGAAGATTTTTCTTAAATACAGTGAACAAAGTTATGCCCAAATTTAGATATGGGTGATCACTATCTTATAGCCAACTGTATATAATGTTCGGCGTGCTGTAATAGGCTTTGCCTACAGAATTATTGGTACATATTGGTCTTTTGTCATAAAGAGCCTTACAAAAACAATGGTCATTGATTTTAACTTGTCACCAAGTGCATGCTGGCAAATGTAATTTTTGGCATCCCAATAGAACCTCATACTCCAAATTAGGAATAAATAATTGATTGTCTAGATTTAATTTGTTTTGCTATTTGAAAAAATATGATAAACAGTTTAAACAAAATTTTGTCCAAAATTGTAATGCATTGACCTCGTCAGTGGCGAGGAAGAACAAGATAGCCAGACATTTGATAGAATCATTTTATGCGGTGTATAATTGTAACCTGAAATTGTTTGATTCAGGAACCATTTGCGTATTAAACACATGTGGAGACAGGAACACTTAACATATGTAGTACAATAGTGGTAGGTTGTTCAAGGCAGTTAATACTTGATTTCTTTGTGCTTTCTGGAGCTTTTTACTGTCTTTTAGTCATGATAAGGTCAAATTAAAACTCAGCCAAGTAATTAATAATCAATTACATACTTTTTTACAGTATGCTATATACATATCAGTAGTTATCAAGAGCACAGGTCTTTGGTGACAGGCCACAGGTGCCTGAGCATAGCTCTTAAATGACTTGGAAATGGTATACCAGAGTTGCTTCCTTTCCATATATATTACCAATGTATGTATGTATGTAAATGGACGTTTTTATTACATGACGCATACATAAAGATGTCCATACACAACCAGTTTCAATGAATGTACATATACAAAAGTTTCTTGTAAATATTATTTTGAGAAACAGTTTACAAGTCTTAGATGGGGGTGTGAAAACCACACAGAGATACTTACCCTAAGATGTGTAAAACCCTTTAGGTTGAGTAATCTCTCCCCCATCTGATATAACATGGACATTACAGCACAGTAATGCAGATGAAACTATTATACATTATAAAAATCGACCAATGAATACTAAAATCAAGGTAAAGATTTTCATTTATGCAGCATTTTATTAGCTTCATTACAAAATGAAATTTTAATACAGTTTACCGTTCCTATTCCAAGCTACATTCTGTATTTCGGTCTCGTTTCAGTTTGATTGCTCTGTTTCAGTTACTCTGAACCTTGTCTCCTTTTAGACTTTGCCTTTCTGATATTATAATTGTGTTCATTTTTTATCCTAGGTGAATCCTACCTTCGTGGTCGATATGTCATAGCAGCTTATGCCATTGATCAAAAACAAAACTTTGCTATGTGCCGTTTCCGTATTTATGTGAAATGTAAGTATTTGACTTATTAATCTGCTTAGTCAAGAGCCTGTACAACTCTGATCTTGATCTATAAAACAGAAAACAGTCTCTTGATCTAGAAAACAGTCTCTAGTACTGATGCAACACCAAGCTATCGACCATTTGTTTACTTGATCTAGGTTATACTTTGTGAAGAATGCATCGCTAAATTATTACAAAATATATGAATACCATGCAATTATTGCTACTTCATTAACTTCTAGTTTTGAAAGTCATAATTATCAAACTGGATATTGTGGTTTTTGAAATAATCACTGCAGAGTATTGTTATTTTTCTGTTTAGATGATGATTGTCCAGATCCACTGTCAAGTGGTACACAGTCTTTATATTGTGGCAGCAATACCTTATGTGGTATACAATGCTCAGGCAGCGACCAAGCACTCTCAGGACCTGTACCAAACAAATTTCATTGCACTAATTTAGGTGTATACAACCCAGCTGAGCCCTACCTACCATATGTTCTGCCATCTTGTTCAGGTTTGTATGAAATACTGTATCTTGTTTCAGGTAGAAATTTGGTTATAGTTTCTAAACCACTCAGTTATCTTAATAAGATAATTAAATGGAAGATTTAGCTATATCTTAGGAAAGCGATGTAGTAAGAACACTTATTGAAAGCATGAACTCTGACCTCAATCAGAGGGAAATTGTTTCAGGCAGCAATTCTCATCTACTCTCTTTGTACAAGAACACATATGCCATAGCATTGCATGTAAGAATGGTGCATTGTGTGTTAACAAACAAAATAAGGTCATAGTGTGATATCAATCAAAAAATAATCTTTCAATCAAAATTCTTACAGATTCTTGTAGATTGATTGAATGCAGGGGAAACAATTCTTGTCTCTGATTTAACATCAAAATAAGTGTACCTGTGCACTTTGTCACTGCTTCTAGTTCCCTCTAGTATTTTTATGTTTGTTTATTCTGATGTCAGCCCTACAATAAACAATCTAATGTAAAACCTTTAAATGATATCTTTCTCAAGTGAATTTCATTGCAGCAAGCATCAGATGACTCCAAAAATTTCAGAATAAACAAAATAAATGCTATTTCAAAATAAGAAACATATCAATTTTTTTTTGCTCGTGGTCCATCCATCCTTCTGTCTTTCTTTCTGTCTTTCCTTCTGTCCATTCGTGTCAGGAGGATAACTGTGCCCACATTTCAGCAAGGATCATGAAACTTGGGTGTATACTTTGGTCATACTTAGGCAGTGCACATTGTACCAAATTTAGGGCCTTCATTCCTCATCTGCAGAGTTATTGCCTATTGTTTAAAAATCCTTGTAAAGAGCATAACTTTGCTTGCATTTAAGCCAGGATAATGGAACTTGGTTTATATCCCCTGATAAGATTTTGTGTCATGAACATAGCTTTGCTTGCAATAAACCAGGATCATGAAACTTGGTATACACATTGGTCATACTAAGAGAATGTGTAGTATACTAAATTCAGGGCCTGTAATCCCTTAATTACAGAATTATTGCCCTTTACAAATTTTGTAAAGTTGAGTTCTGGGAGCATTCACCAGTTTCACTGATATTCTTGTTTTAAATGAATGATGAAACTGACAGATGTATTTTGAGCATAACACAACTACTTGTGTATGATCAGGAACCTACTGATCACTGTTCTTAAACCTCAGGCATACAGGTTTTTGCTCACATCTAGATATAACACAACACACTCTTACACTCACATTTAACATCAGATATATTGCCAATCAACAAAACATTACTTGAAAATCCACAATATAATTTATAAATCTGTGGCATTCACAATAACTTTTCTTACTTGACGAGATATTGGCTGATATATAATATAACATACAAATATAACTACTATTATGACAGAATTGGAGAAATAGTGAATTTAGCAATCATACTGTTAAAACTACGTATCGTCAGAGTCCTTTCTGTCACATCTAGTCTTTCAAAATGTCTAACTGCCATCTGACAAACTTTCGGTTGGTTAGTTAACAGGTTTTTTCGTCTCCTTGACTTTTTCCGTGTTCAGGTATCGTCTTATTGATAAACGTCAGTGTTCTGGTGATACAAACTCCCACCATCTAACCACTCTACTACACAAACACAATGGCTCCAACAAATTAGCCAATCAAATTACAAGACAACTACAATGACCAATATGACATAACAAGACACCATATAACAGAACCACACCATGCAATAGACATGCTTCCAAATATGCATAGGTGTGATGGCAAAACACATGAGGCAGAATATAATAATATGATCAAGTAATTAATGTACAAAATAAAACATATTAAATTCATCCCTTCTACAGAAGTTTGAGCTATATCTAGCATCAAGACTTTAGGTGACTGTTGTGAAGTCCTGTACCATTTGCAGTGAAAGATAAAAGTGCAGAGTTTTAAAATTTCATGTCCTGTAGCAACGGTTCAAAATGTTCTTATTTTAGTTATTTAAACCAGGACCTACTTTCATGATGTATATAAGACAGACAGCGCCTTGTCATACAAAAAAGTGATACCTTGAATAATAAATTTGTTTTTGTATTTCTAGCCATTGGGGTCCTTAAGAAACAAGTCGCCGTGGATCTGATTTATGACCTAGCTGTTTTTTGTATTTCTAGCCATTGGGGTCCTTAAGAAACAAGTCGCCGTGGATCTGATTTATGACCTAGCTGTTTTTTGTATTTCTAGCCATTGAGGTCCTTAAGAAACAAGTCGCCGTGGATCTGATTTATGACCTAGCTGTTTTTTGTATTTCTAGCCATTGGGGTCCTTAAGAAACAAGTCGCCGTGGATCTGATTTATGACCTAGCTGTTTTTTGTATTTCTAGCCATTGGGGTCCTTAAGAAACAAGTCGCCGTGGATCTGATTTATGACCTAGCTGTTTTTTGTATTTCTAGCCATTGGGGTCCTTAAGAAACAAGTCGCCGTGGATCTGATTTATGACCTAGCTGTTTTTTGTATTTCTAGCCATTGGGGTCCTTAAGAAACAAGTCGCCGTGGATCTGATTTATGACCTAGCTGTTTTTTGTATTTCTAGCCATTGGGGTCCTTAAGAAACAAGTCGCCGTGGATCTGATTTATGACCTAAGTGTTTTTTGCAATTTGATCAATCAGCACACCCTTGAAAATACATTACGTACCCGTTTGGTGGATAGTGGTGTCTGTGCATCTGGTTGTACGATAACTGCCAACTTGAGGTGTCAGTCTCCGACGGAAAGGGTTCTGCTCGTTAGTTTTGTCTTATCAGGATTAGCGTAAGTTCTTTACATGCAACTCAGATTATATTAAAATTAATACATATTTGTTGATTCATGTACATAATTCTGTTCTTGACATCTGTTTCCTATAATTAATTTTCAATTAGTGTGTATGTGTCCCACTCTCTACATTAAACCAGTGTATATATGTGTCCCACTCTCTACATTAAACCAGTGAATATGTGTGTCCCACTATCTTCATTAAACCAGTGAATACATATGTGTGTCCCACTCTCTACATTAAACCAGTGTATATGTGTGTCCCACTCTCTACATTAAACCAGTGAATATGTGTGTCCCACTATCTACATTAAACCAGTGAATATGTGTGTCCCACTATCTACATTAAACCAGTGTATATGTGTGTCCCACTATTTACATTAAACCAGTATATATGTGTGTCCCACTATCTACATTAAACCAGTGTATATGTGTCCCATTATCTACATTAAACCAGTGTATATGTGTGTCCCACTATCTACATTAAACCAGTGTATATGTGTGTCCCACTATCTACATTAAACCAGTGTATATGTGTGTCCCACTATCTACATTAAACCAGTGTATATGTGTGTCCCACTATCTACAGTAAACCAGTGTATATGTGTGTCCCACTATTTACATTAAACCAGTATATATGTGTGTCCCACTATCTACATTAAACCAGTGTATATGTGTCCCATTATCTACATTAAACCAGTGTATATGTGTGTCCCACTATCTACATTAAACCAGTGTATATGTGTGTCCCACTATCTACAGTAAACCAGTGTACATGTGTGTCCCACTATCTACATTAAACCAGTGAATATGTGTGTCCCACTCTCTACATTAAACCAGTATATATGTGTGTCCCACTCTCTACATTAAACTAGTTTGTATGCATGTTCCACTACATGCTTAGAGCCAGTGTATGTGATTGACCCACTTTATGCATAAAGCCAATTTATGTGTTGGTCAAACGGCACAAAGGGTGGTTGATGTTATGATGAAGGATCCATTTTCCATCTTTTCTTCAAGGGGGTAGCTATTAGCAGCTGGGTACTAATATTTTGGCAGTTTGTACCTATGCACAGTACATTTACCTTATATAAATAACCTCTTAACCTATTTTCAAGGTCAGATGTCAAATAAGTTAAAATCTGAAAGCAACCTCTTCTCAACTACCGAAGCCTCATGTGGTTGAAATGATGCTTGTAGTAAGCTAGGATGAAGGGCTACCAAGTTTGTTCAAAATAATGACCTTAACCTACTTTTCAAGGTCATTCATCTGCATAAAAGACAAGTAAACTTATGCTGTGGCGCAGCATTCAACATTTGTCAATTGTCTGGCATCAACTCCACTGGAACAACTTCTTCTCATGAACCTGAAATATGAGGATATTGATATTGGGGATGTGTAACATGATGGGATAAAAGGCTATTAAGTTTTGCTCAAATAAATGAGCTCAACCTTCTTTCAACATCAAAGGTGAAGGTCAAAAATTTAAAATGTCTGTCTGAGTAATCAACAAAGCCTAGAATCATAATATTTGACTTGTAGTTTTCTGGGATGAAGCCACCAACTTTTGCACTAAGCAATGACCTTGATCCTTATTTATAGTCACAGGGGTATGATTTGTTGAAATCTTCAAACAACTTCTTCTGATTAGCCAAAAGGCCAAGAATCTTGATATTTTGCAGGCAAGTTCCAAAGATAAAGCATGACAAAGTTTGTGGAAAGAAATTACCCTGATCCACATTCAAGGTCACAGGGATCAAATTTAGTAAAATCTTCTAATGATTTCTCCTGATTAACCAAAAGGTCTAGAATCATTGTATATGGCTTAAGATGTTGCCTAACAAAGTTTATGAAAAGATAAGACTCAAGGTCATAAGAATTAGATCTGTTGAAACTTTTACACAACTTCTTCTGATTAACCAAACTTGAAGAGACCTAGAATCTTGATATTTAGCTGGCAGGTTCTTTAAATGAATGGTCAACAAGGACTTTGAAAAGAAATTACCTTGATTCTTATTCAAAGTAAAAGGGGCAAAGTTTTTAAAAAATCACCAAACAACTTCTTCTAATAAGCAAAAAGCTCTAGAATCTTAGCTGGCTAGTTCTTGGAATGAAGCTCGACCAGGTTATTGAAAAGAAATTACCTTAACTGATATTGAAGGTCACAGGGGCCCAAGTTTGTAAAACTTCTTCTGATTTTGTAAGAGGTCAAGAATCATTATACCTTTTAATAGGTTCTTTGGATTAATGTCAGTGATATGAAAAGATACTGTATTTGTAAAAGTATTGAATAAGAGGTGAGCAATGCAGATGGGCCTCTTGCATGTGGCTGAAAGTTTCTTTGGATAATGCCCAACAAAGATGCAAAAAAAAATTACTTTGATATGTATTCTAAGTCACAGACATCATTTCCACATCTATCCCAGCTTACATCTACAGATGTGTTGGTCCGTCACCCACGAGAAACAGGACCTCTGCCCCTTCCCAACTTCTGGCTATCCCTACCCTACTCCTTTCACTGGTCATACTTTCCTATCTATCCCTCCTCAAAACTCATCCTAAATGGTAAAATCATCCTTTAGTGCCTTCTTGGCCAAGAATCAAACTAGATGTTAAAATACTTTTTCCAATGACTCATTAGCTGTGCCAGTTAAAAACGTTGTTTACACTTCCAAAGCTTTATAAGACACCCTTCTAAAAATGTCAGAATTAGAAGAAGTATTATCAAGTTAGTATTTGTGTGGTTTTATTGAAAGGAGGATTTAGCTAAAAAGAATAATTCATAGAACAGCAGTTAGCAATGGCCTGGTGACCTACAAAATTATAGGATCCAGTTTGTAGGATAGGACTTGTCCATGGAGAATATCCAAACAGAATGATAAATATCTCTCTATGTAATGTCAGCAAAGAGTAGGCATATTAACATGTAACAGTGGTCAGGTTATATTAGGATTTGTTAGGATTAAGACCAGTTCAAATAACTGATATTATGAGAGTATTTGGTGGACTTATAAAAAGATGTATGATATTATTATTATCACTGATAATCATAGGTTAGAAACCTCCCTTTCCGTTGTGCAAGCACATTGTGTGCTTGTGAATGGTTGCCAGTGTCAGAGTTAAGATAAGACAACTTTGTAACATGAGTTGGAATATGCCATCTTCCCACACCTATTCTTATCAAATACATTTCCCATTCTACTCAGTTTTTTACCTGCTGAAATGCTGTAATTTTGGCCATTAAACCTGTTAGAAAAATAAGTAAAAAGTGAATAGCTAGTGTTATTGTGCAGTGTATCCCAGTGTATCGACCAGCCCTTTAATATCAGTCCTGGTGACCTTGCATTGTATATATAATCAGTTGTGTGAATGTATGTGCAATTGATGCTTATGTTTGCTATTTGCATTTCAATGTATTTCCTATGTTTAAGTTTTAGAAAAATAAATTGCATAAAAATACAAAGATATAATCATTTCATTATTACAAAAATGAAATTAGGAGACATGTCCAATATTGAATTTATAGTTAGGATATTTTCTATTTCAGGCCAACCATTGCACTTCTTGTAAACAACAATCCTGAGAGCTTTACTCCATTGGAAGCTGTTACACAAGTTGTTTGTAATACAGATGCGATGAACTTTCAGGTACTTAAGATGGTATATTTCATACAGATTTCCATCATGATACTGTATTGAAACCTGTAGCAAATGTTGCTGTATTTACTGTCAAAGTTTAAAATATATAAGCACAAATCAGAATCCATAAAGATGCCATTGAATCCATGGCTTTTAATTTTGTCACCTCAGACAAAGTCATCATGAGTTGTCCATCCCTAATAAATGACATTTTCAACTTTTCCTCAAAAACACCTGGACCAAGCTTAATGAAAGTTTACAGAATATCCAAAACTGAACCAAACCTTGTAAATTAGGGTCCCATATGTGAAGGGCAGGGCCAATAGTGGTCATATTGACATTAATTTTTAAAAATTTTAAAAAACCAAGATACCCTAAAATCTGAAAAGTTAAAGCTGTGCTTTATTTGGATTTTTTTGGGAAGAATTCAAGGCTTATTTTCAAAGATGGCCTTTTTCCAAAGCTGTCTTCTTTTTGAAGACATTTTGACTCGAAGGCTTATATGGCTTATTTTCAATTCCAATTTTATATAAGTTAATGAACTTCAAAGTATGTAAAAATTGATGGCCTTCTTAAAGTGTTTGGAAATATATACAGGCTTAGCATTAAACTTTCTTCATTAATGCAAAACAAATTGATAATAGAAAAACAAACTCATATCAAGCTTATTTTTTAGATTTTAGGGTATAATATTATCAAACCTTCTTCAAGAAACAGAGCAAAATCTTTAAAATCTTTCTTCTATAGGAATGCCAAGTTTCTATCCAAATTTGTTAGGAAACATCTCTGGGCAAAACAAACTTTAAATAGGTTGGCAGAACCCTTAAGGATAGAGGGGTGGGTCCCAATGGGAAAATAGATATAAACCTTTTGAACTTTATTATCATTTGTATAAAGCTGTTCCAGTCAAACAAAGACAGGTGAGCGATACAGGTCCTAAGAGTCTCTTGTTTTTCAGCATTCTAGTAACTTCATTCCTAATAAGATTTTGGTTAAACCTCACACACTCACAAACAACCATAATATTTTGGACAAGTTTGAGATTCATGATTGTCGAGTCAAGGTCAAGCTGTAATTAATTTTTGAAAATCATTGTCAGTGCTCTTGTGACTTCATTTCATGAGGGATTCTAATGAAACTTCACACATGTATAAAGTGTAATAGCTTGAAGGGACTGTGAGAGAACATATATTGCATAGGGACTACTCTTCATGCTTGTTACATTTGCAGTTTCACACTTTTTCATTTTTGTAACATAATTGTTAAATTTCTATTGGAAGTAACCTGTTTAAAATTATTAATACAGGATAATGCTTTAATAGTATGCACATTTAGATGTGCATTACATACACAATGTCGGTCAAGTCATCTTAATTACATGTTTCAGCATTAAAACAACAGCTGTTGGGCTTTTTGTTTCATAAGAATTAAGATTTTAGAAGTTAAAATGCCCGTTATCTATTTCTATTAGTGGTCACCTAATTACTCTGTAAAAGAATACTTGTTTAAGCTATTTCTAGAGGCCTGCTAGCTAGAGCATTTATTAAATTTCATAATGGGTTTCTCATAGTCTTATTTTACATCCAAATTTGTTTGATTTGGAAGATAAAATGGATAACAGGTTTTCACTCTTATAGTAGTCACTCTTTTCCAAATTATGTAGAATTAATCTAGATCCTAGTTTTTGTGTATAAAACTTGATGGCTGATTGCATGGCAAAATTATATGGTTTTCTGACATGCATCTTGGATTTCAACAGTTCGTAGGGTATTTCTGTATATTGTCCATCTATGAGAGTCTGATTTTCTTTTCAAATAGACTTTTTTTCATAAAAAAAATATTCTAGATCCATGACATATGGCTGGAAAGTCCCTAACAAAGCAGTAATTTATTTCATTTTCTCACTGTTTAGAATCTTGAGGGTGGAGCTACTCTCCGTGAAGATGCTGGCAGTATCGATATTGAAGAGTCTATCTCTTGTGCTGATGGCTATCAGGTCATTGATTCTCAGTGTGGTAAGTACAGACAACAGGTTAGTCAGGATGACAGGTGTCATTACAGACAACAGGTAAGGCAGGACATTAGGTGTTATTAGTGTGGTAAGAACAGACAAACAGGTAAGTCAGGGGATCAGATGTCATTAGTGTGGTAAGAACAGACAACAGGTAAGTCAGGACATCAGATGTCATTAGTGTGGTAAGTACAGATAAACAGGTAAGTCAGGATGACAGGTGTCATTACAGACAACAGGTAAGTCAGGACATCAGATGTCATTAGTGTGGTAAGTACAGACAAACAGGTAAGTCAGGATGTCAGGTGTTATGAGTGTGGTAAGTACAGATAAACAGGTAAGTCAGGATGACAGGTGTCATTAGTGTGGTAAGTACAGATAAACAGGTAAGTCAGGATGACAGGTGTCATTACAGACATCAGGTAAGTCAGGACATCAGATGTCATTAATGTGTTAAGTACAGACAAACGGGTAAGTCAGGACATCAGATGTCATTAGTGTGGTAAGTACAGACAACAGGTAAGTCAGGACATCAGATGTCATTAGTGTGGTAAGTACAGACAACAGGTAAGTCAGGACATCAGATGTCATTAGTGTGGTAAGTACAGACAACAGGTAAATCAGGACATCAGATGTCATTAGTGTGGTAAGTACAGACAACAGGTAAGTCAGGACATCAGATGTCATTAGTGTGGTAAGTACAGATAAACAGGTAAGTCAGGATGACAGGTGTCATTACAGACATCAGGTAAGTCAGGACATCAGATGTCATTAATGTGTTAAGTACAGACAAACGGGTAAGTCAGGACATCAGATGTCATTAATGTGTTAAGTACAGACAAACAGGTAAGTGAGGACATCAGATAAGTACAGACAAACAGGTAAGTCTGGATATCAGGTTTTATATGTGTTTCTTCTTTTTTCTTTCTTTTAATGCGGTCTGCAATGTTTTTTTTTTCTTTTGATGCGGTCTGCAATTTTTTTTTTCTTTTGATGCGGTCTGCAATCTTTTTTTTTTCTTTTGATGCGGTCTGCAATCTTTTTTTTTCTTTTGATGCGGTCTGCAATCTTTTTTTTTTCTTTTGATGCGGTCTGCAATCTTTTTTTTTCTTTTGATGTGGTCTGCAATCTTTTTTCTTTTCTTTTGATGCAGTCTGCTATCTTTTCTTTTAATGTGGTCTGCAATCCAATATTGTCCCAGTGACTACTATCTTTAAAAACACTTTCTGAAATATAAATTTGTTTACAGTTTGACTAGTTCCATTAAGCTTGAATTAGAAAGGAATATTAAGAAACTAAAATGGAGATAGAGATGAATTATTGTTTAATTCATCCTATAATTGTTTCCACTACATATACTTCTAATACATCACCAATATGATTTCATGGTCAGATAACCAGTAAGTTTAATGGGCTTTTTAAATAAAATGCTTTGACAAGCATGATTTCATTTCTGTGTTTTAGTTCAATGCTCTCTTGGTCAGTACTATGACAGTGAAAGCAAGACATGTAAGTTATGCCCTTGGAACACCTACCAGAATGAAGTCGAGCAGACCTCCTGTAAATCCTGCAATGGCAATAATGTTACTTTGTTCCAGGGAGCCTTTAACGCGATTCATTGTGTTGGTAAGTAATTTTATTTTACTAGTTATTGCTTAAGTTATACATGTTGACTTCAAAGTGAACTAATGGATAAAATCCTAGAGAGTACCTGTTATTTCAATATTTACAACAAAATTGAAAAAAATCCTATTTTTGCATATGTAGCCCTAAAATATATCAGATGGTGGGATATTAAAATCAACCTACATCTGTTGTCCATCTGCCTTCTTACCACTATTTCTTAAGAAAGGACTAAAATACAATACGATGTATTTTATTTAAGAGTCGCATATCACAGTACAAAGTAATAAAACATTAGTTATATTTACAGACATGAAAGTGATATCAAGCGGATATCGGCTTATGATACACTGTTATAAAATTACGATCTTTGAACAGATTGATATAGTAATGTAACCCTATTTAGACTTGGTCCCATATTGTGATTCTGATTTTGGAACTAATCAGAAAAACAAAATGACAGACAGGTGGTTATTTTGGACTTTTATAGTGAAAAAAACATATTTGAATCTTTCCAAGTTCACTGGTGCCACTGATAAAATATTGGTAGGAATGTTAATGAAAGGAAGCCAACAGGTCTTATTATTTTTGGCCTTTTCAAAAGTAAAATATGGCAGGAATTTTGTAACATGATTGGGCAATAATGGTTTTCCTAAATGACAGCTTTTTAATTTTAACTTCAGCTTCACTAGTTGGATTCAGCTCAAACTTGTCTAGAAAGATCCTGGAATGCTTCTGATCTTTTGTTTCTTATTTTTTGTGTAGTTCTGAAATCCAATATGGCCACAGTGACTACCATCTCAAAAAAAAAAAAAAAACTTATAAACTTCTTTCCCAGATCCACCAATGTCATTTTTCTGGAATTATATGTGAAAAACAGAATTGAATAGTGTTGTTGTTTTATTTCTTTAACTGCTATAATATTCAGAATTGTTTTAATCATTATTAAACTATACTGCTACTATTGTTATTATATTGTTTATGAGAAGTTACAATTAACAGGTAATTAAGGCCTATAAACCTCATGTTTAGTCTGACTATGTAAAGTAGCACTTCATCTCACTATCAAGAAGCCCAGGGAATCAATATCAGACAAGTAGCAGTATTACTATTACATCATTAATAGGTTTTTAAAATCTGATGCCTTAAAAACTATGGGCCACTTTATGTTTTATTCATTCAGATAACTGCACTGCTGGTAGTTTTTATAATGAGTCAACAGGGAGCTGTGAAGCATGCCCTAAGAACTTCTACCAAGAAAACTTTGGCAAGGGATACTGTGATAATTGTCCGATTGACAAAATCACCACTGGTACTGGGTCTGATTCATTTGCTGACTGCAATGGTAAGTTACTCTTGTTTGGTATGATAGCAACATCCTACAAGTGATATATGGTCTTCATAATGATTTTCACACAAGGTGAAGACACATCAGTGATATTTATAACTTCTCACTTCTTTGGTATTTTTTATTTTTTTGTAAGAAATAAATTGCAGGGGAATGGATGCATATCAATTCATATTTGCCGAGTTGAATGGTATTCAAATTTATTACAATTAACCATTTGTCACTATAATCAAATCAAAATGCGTTTACAACTTAGAATGATTGTTTTGTATGTAACTAACATGCCAAAAATAAAGGATATCTATTTTTGTAAAAGATGAAATTTACGTTCGCAGATTTCAAAGTCTTCTTTTCATAAGCTGAAGAACGGTTACGCAGTGTCAATGGTGCTGCTCTTTTCTCCCATTTTGATGCCTCTGCCATGCCTTGTCCCTTTATAGCAATGTTTGTCCTTCCCCACTTCCTTTTTGACAGATACACATATAGAACTGTAATTTGGTATGTAATTGTATAAATGATATGCTGTGTCAAGTTTTAATTTGGTAATGGTCAATTATTTTTCCATTTTAGCCATTAAACATAAGAAATTTGATAAAAGAAATTTTCATGAAAATGATAAGACCTATCTTTGAGAGCCTGGTCTGGCCATCTCTTTTGCAGGTAAAACTGACGTTTTTTTACCAAAAGGGCCAAGTGAGCTGATGTTATGGCATTGTGTCTTTTGCCCATCCATCAGCTTTTTTCAACAAATCACTACTAGTCATTGAAAAAACAATAGGGCAAATTTGGCTTGAATCAACAATAAAAGACCTAATAGTTTTAAATATTTTAACCATTAAATGACCCTAAAAGTATATTCATTGCTAGATTTATGTATGAACTCTGAAGTGTGACATTATTATTACTTCAACAGATGACTGTCCAGTGGGATATGAGAGAATTCAAAGTAACCAGGATTGTGTGGCATGTCCTAAAGGCACATACCGTATTCAGTTAGCTGAAAAGTGTATACCTTGTCCATTAGAATTTACAACTGAGGGGATTGCTACAACTGATGCATCAGGATGTTCAATTAGTATGTATTGTTTGTTTTTAGTGTATCATTTTATTGTCTATGAGTTGGTATCTATTTTTGTTGATGAGTTGTATCGTCTGTAGTACTGAGTTTGTATTGTCTGTAGTGATGAGTTTGTATTGTCTGTAGTGATGAGTTTGTATTGTCTGTAGTACTGAGTTTGTATTGTCTGTAGTGTTGAGTTTGTATTGTCTGTAGTGATGAGTTTGTATTGTCTGTAGTACTGAGTTTGTATTGTCTATAGTGATGAGTTTGTATTGTCTGTAGTGATGAGTTTGTATTGTCTGTAGTACTGATTTTTATTGTCTATAGTGTTGAGTTTGTATTGTCTGTAGTGATGAGTTTGTATTGTCTGTAGTGATGAGTTTGTATTGTCTGTAGTGTTGAGTTTGTATTGTCTGTAGTGATGAGTTTGTATTGTCTGTAGTGTTGAGTTTGTATTGTCTTTAGTGTTGAGTTTGTATTGTCTGTAGTGATGAGTTTGTATTGTCTGTAGTGATGAGTTTGTATTGTCTGTAGTGATGAGTTTGTATTGTCTGTAGTGTTGAGTTTGTATTGTCTGTAGTGTTGAGTTTGTATTGTCTGTAGTGATGAGTTTGTATTGTCTGTAGTGTTTATTGTGATTCTGTTTGAGTGTGTTTATTGTGATTCTGTATGAGTGTGTTTATTGTGATTCTGTTTGAGTGTGTTTATTGTGATTCTGTATGAGTGTGTTTATTGTGATTCTGTTTGAGTGTGTTTATTGTGATTCTGTTTGAGTGTGTTTATTGTGATTCTGTTTGAGTGTGTTTATTGTGATTCTGTATGAGTGTGTTTATTGTGATTCTGTTTGAGTGTGTTTATTGTGATTCTGTTTGAGTGTGTTTATTGTGATTCTGTATGAGTGTGTTTATTGTGATTCTGTTTGAGTGTGTTTATTGTGATTCTGTTTGAGTGTGTTTATTGTGATTCTGTACGAGTGTGTTTATTGTGATTCTGTATGAGTGTGTTTATTGTGATTCTGTTTGAGTGTGTTTATTGTGATTCTGTTTGAGTGTGTTTATTGTGATTCTGTATGAGTGTGTTTATTGTGATTCTGTTTGAGTGTGTTTATTGTGATTCTGTATGAGTGTGTTTATTGTGATTCTGTATGATATATTTTGCTATGACATTATGAAACAAGGGGGGGGGGGGGGGTTGTTGTTGTAGAATAAATAAAAATTTAATTGAATTCATCAAAGTGTAGCTAAGGGACAATGATAAAAATCTACAAAGTAGAGCCCACCCCATATTACACAACATACATTTGACTACTACTGACTTCAAACCATGATAATTTCATTAAACATATATAAAAGTTATTATGGTACTGGGGTATATCAAATATAATTTGTATTCAAAGCATATAAGCAGTAATTGTGCACAAGGACAGCTTTCATCTTAAGCTTAGATTTAGAGTATGACAAATTGTTTGACTCTGTTTGAAATGTTAGTATATGGTTGTTTCTTATAATTGTAGGAATTTGTTATAATGGAACCTTCAGGAATGCATCTAATAAGTGTGAGGACTGCCCATATGGTTTTTACCAGGATGAGAATTTCATGGATCAATGTAAAGAATGTCCCTCATCAGAATCTACAATGTCTATGGGATCAAATGATCTTTCTCAGTGTATTTGTAAGTGTTTTCTTTGATAATCATCAGATTAATAATCCTTATAAATCCTCATGATTTTTTTTATTGAAAAAATCATGATATAATTACCAATATAGTTTTGGTAAAATGTTCTGCATTAGTAGGCTTACATATCTCTTCAAATAGCTATTCTCAATCTATATTAATCATTCATAATCCACAAATTGATGTGATTCTTTATCAATTATTCTATAAATCTGTAACAGAGAAAATTATTTATTTCAATGTCTCCTCTAGGAACTAAGCCCACGATTCCCAGCTAAATAGTCTGATGCTCAACCAATCGAGCTATAGAGAAGTTCTCTCTAGTCAAGTGGTATGTTGCGGCTAGTAGTTTACCAGGGTTACATACTCCCCCTCCAGGAAATAACTCGTCCTCGAGTTTCCAGGGGTTACAGCGATGCTGGTAGGGCATGGCTAAATACTATTGCAGTGTCCAATGTAGTTAAGGTCACTGATTGAGCTATAGAGAAGTTCTCTCCAGCCAAACAGTATGTTTCTGCTAGTATTTACCAGGATTAATCCGATTTTAGTAGAAGATGCTAGCCATTAATAAAGACAACATACACATTGGTTTGGGTGAACTTCAGACCAAAATTTTATTACACATTGCATAATCATAAACAATAATAATAACAATAGGCAATATCATTATTCATTGTAGTTTAAACTTAAACTATGGTCCTCCTACTAAACTACTTCTACTTTCTAAAAAATATATATATGTAAATATATATTTAGATAGTAATGATAAGAATTAAAACCCAGATATAAACAGTAGGGAGAAGGGTTAGGTGGGAAAAAAGAAAATGGGGCAAAATATGTGCCTGCTGCTCGTTACACATCATTGCTATTCATTATTAGAATATGACTATAAAACCCTTAACTAAGTTCAGGGGGTATATATTAAGTAATGACTTTGTTTTTTAAATTTGTATGTATGTCTGTGTGTACACAACCAATGTACAAGCTATCTCATGAACCCCTAGCCAGGTATCAGAGCGGAAGTTTTGTTCACAATATTACTTTACACCTTCAAAATCTTCCCCTGATTGGAATTTCAATGACCGTTGGTCAAGGTTTAAAGTCAAAGGTCACCTTTGCCATCTTTTGAAATAACAATTTTGTATAACAGACATTTCTGAGCAGTTTCAGTTCATGTTAGTATAACACCAGCAAGCTCTACACTTGGCAAGATTTTGGTGGTCACCTTTAAGCACTTTTGAATTAAAAAGATGTTATAGAAGACAAATCATGAATTCTCCAACAGATCAATTCTCAGAGGGTAGGAGTGATCCCTGTGTGATCCTAAACGCAACATAAACATTATATGATTATCTCAACATCATACTTGTATAGACATCATTTATGTTAGCTGGTATATAAGAGAACAGGAGATTGTAATGATGAAAGTAACCAGATGATCATGCACATACTTTTCTTTGTCTGGACCACAGTATATTTCCTGCTACTCCACCAGGAATGACAAATTGGTTAGTAAACTGTTTTCATTTATAGTCGTGTGTGGAGCAGGACAAGAAGTAATTCCTGGTCAGAAGAGTTGTAAAGCCTGCAGTAGAGGTTACATTCATACTGGTGATCACCCAGATATTTTCCAAAACTGCACTCAGTGTCCTACCAATATGACTACAGAGATGACTGGCTCAACGCATATGGATAACTGTTCAATAGGTAAGATATGTAGATCTTAATCTGAAAGATGGTGCATTGTTAAGTGTTAGGATGTTGGACTGGTAGCAAAACTAGTTGAACTCCCAGCATGATTGCCTTTTGTGTCCTTGATAATTAAGTTTGTGTTTCCCAGAAAGTTGAAAAAAGAAAAAAAATGGCTTGCAGCAATACACATCTATGATTATCTGTGAGCTTTATGTTGAGAGCTGAGTTTGTGTGATAACGCAGTATATAAAAATCTCTTCTTAGTATTATTAATTATTATAATTAATCAATTATTTTATTACTTTATCACAATTTTCAGGTCTCATTTAAAAACAATAAGTTCGGTCAGTGTTTTGAATAACTTCTTTTTAAGCAATTTGGCATGAAAATATTATTCAATGATTTTGAATACTACAAATCTTACAGGACACTTGTTTTCTTATGGTGCAGCTTACATAATGGTGCTTTCTCTTTGCATTTACACTATCAGCAATCTGTGCTAAGGGACAACAGCTCAATAGCACTAGAAATGGTTGTGATGACTGTCCGTATAACACCTTCCAGGATAAAGATATGCCAACATCCTATCAAAATTGTACAAGCTGTGGAACTGATAGAGCTACAGTCAACATGAAGACTACAAGTTTTGCTGGCTGTCTCGGTAAGTCTGAATATATTGATTGTGAAAGAGGTTGGACACAACTGATCAGCTTTCTACACTTCATAAATTTACACTGTTATTATTTTATTATCAAACTTCATTTCACAACAGTTATGAAACAAGTTTTTCCAACTGATATCAATCACACTTGTTGGCCCTGATTAAAGCTCAAAAGGGGTTATTGTGGAAGGAAACTGCAGTACCTGGAGAAACCCATGTGGTCGCCTAGTTGACCCCATATCTTTTCACGTCCATTCCAAACTACAGACATCAAAGAGTGTGTTACCACTGCACTACCCAACCACCTACTGTTCTTGTGAAAACATGAAAATTTATAATTGCTTTATTATATTTCTAAAATAATTAATGTATAAATATCACGATTCAAGAATACATTTATATTAATTGTTTAATATTTATTTTCTTAGTTGCATTACCCAAATACGTTTAGTACACTGAATGATGAAACTATATACTACAATGAGTAGGTCTGTGTAGGAATACTGAGCTAGATGTCTAAACAAATATTGGCAGTCTGTCACTTTCAGTATCAATATACTGACATATTTTAAGTTATTTGCCACAAAATCATGTTAAGCACATAACATATGTGAGTACCAAGTTTGTCAATGTTGTTTGCTAGAGGTCAGTATGACAGGCCATTCTTAGAATCATCTACAAACAAAATATGCTGATGTTTGTTATCACTTTTAACAGGAGCAACTTCCATTTAAAATTTCTATTGTCATTCTGTTCTTGAATTCTTATCAGTCCATGACCTGAAAATGTAAATATTTCCAGAGAAACTCTGGATACATCTGACTGAGGGAAGCATCACTTTTTATTACATATAAACAATTGATAAATGGCTTTTATTCCAAAGAAATGGAAATACTGTAATAACAATTATTATTATTATTATTACAATCTTAACGGCCTGTCAACATATCTTGAGAATGGATCATTCTTAAATTTGATATACTGTGGATTCATTTTATTTCGTGGGGGTCCAATTTTCGTTGTTTTCGTGGATGAGCAAATCCACGAATTTAAAAACACAACGAAATATGAACTTCTTACTAAAGTAATTTTGAAATTTGACCAAGTAATCTTTGCCGACACCGGAAACGTCCACCGGTAATGACAGAAGCCCCGTAATTAGTCGGGAGTCGGGTAGTCTGAGGCTCGACATGGATACGCTAAATTGGTGTCAACGATATATAATTATATATTATTAAACATAACAAAGGGTAAGTACCCATTGTGATGCTAAGTATGATGGGATCGCAGTCGTTAGCGACACTGTGGACACTAGGCTTGATCGGACCATCCTGTCGATTGAAGATTGGATCCGTATTTCTATCCGACTACAGGTTCACAACAATTATTAATAATGCAGATCTTGTTTACACACCTGTTTACACACATGGTCCCATCGATACGCGTGGTGTTTTCATATGACTGCGGTACACCGACTGATCAGCACACAATGTTTATCCACTGAAAACAATTGTTTCTGATAATTACCGATTGATTACACGCCAGGATATATACTGATTTGTGGTTTGATATTAATGCGAGACTGTTGTATACAGCGTTATAAAAACACAGGACGCCATCTTGAAAAAAAAAACGTTCTTTTATTCTTGTCATTAGTGTTAATTCCTGTGAACATAGCCTTAATACAAACAGAAAAAAATTCGACTGGAAGCAAAAAGAGAAAATTCTAACGTTTTTATTTTTTTCCCACAGAATCTTAAATCCACGAATTTATGAGTCCACGAAACTGTCTAATTTGTAGAAACAACGAAAATTGAACCCAACGAAAATAAATGAATCCACAGTATGTAGGATCTCCTTGGTCTATAGTTGTGCATGTTTGATTTTGAGGGGATGAGGAAGACTAAGACAACCAATAAAAATCAAATGATGGTAGACATCAAGATCTCTCTAGTGTCTCTTGTTTATATATATAACACACAATGGATGATAAAGGATTACATACATGGTTTTCTGGTTACTAATTAATGATGTTAAGTTATTTATAAATTTCTGATTTAATGATTCATTTGAATTTCCAGTGTATTGTGCGGACGCTGGTACATATGATGCTGGAAATGGTAATGGTATTTGTGAAGCCTGTCCTCGGGGATCTTATCGGTCTGTTGACGACCACAGCACAACTTTCTCACCATGTATGAATTGTACCAATGGCAGGACTACAGAGGGTGTAGGCAGTATTGGTGCATTCAACTGTTCCATAGGTAGGTAGTGCTTGTATCTCTCAATCATTCCAGCATCCTCTGATATAAGGTGAAGATTGTTTGACTTCACCTGTTCTGTAGGTATGTAGTAGGTACTAAATGTGTCCCACCATTGTCTCACAACCCTCAATCATAGCACTATATAGGCAGCATTTAGGTGATTTCTTCTGTGTTATCATATAATCAAATATGGCCTGATACATGTTTGGAATTTTTTTAACACCAACTTCCTTAATGAAGTTGACCACAGTCACCAAAAATTATGATTTTATGAGTAATGATATTTTCAGAGCAGACATATTTTTGAATTCTTTTAAAAGTATAGATTATTATTAAATGTTTGTCATTGTGGAAAAAAATTGTTTTAATTTTTTTTATATTTTTGTGCAGATATATGTGCTAAAGGACAAGAATTAAACAGCACAGGTAACTGTGTGACCTGTCCATTTGATACCTACCAGGATGTTGAAATGCCAAATTCAATGGATAAGTGTCAAGCTTGTGAATCCAACGAAGCAACAGAAAGCATTGGATCCACTGATAAAAGTCAATGCAAAGGTAAGCAGGACATTATTTTCAATACCACTGTCATGATACATGTATCCTATAGTATCACTCCCTGTAAACATCAGACATATCCACTAGTATAACTCCCTGTAAACATCAGACATAACCACTAGTATCACTCCCTGTAAACATCAGACATAACCACTAGTATCACTCCCTGTAAACATCAGACATAACCACTAGTATCACTCCCTGTAAACATCAGACATAACCACTAGTATAACTCCCTGTAAACATCAGACATAACCACTAGTATCACTCCCTGTAAACATCAGACATATCCACTAGTATCACTCCCTGTAAACATCAGACATATCCACTAGTATAACTCCCTGTAAACATCAGACATATCCACTAGTATCACTCCCTGTAAACATCAGACATAACCACTAGTATAACTCCCTGTACACGTCAGACATATCCACTAGTATCACTCCCTGTAAACATCAGACATATTTACTAGTATAACTCCCTGTAAACATCAGACATAACCACTAGTATCACTCCCTGTAAACATCAGACATATCCACTAGTATCACTCCCTGTAAACATCAGACATATCCACTAGTATAACTCCCTGTAAACATCAGACATAACCACTAGTATCACTCCCTGTAAACATCAGACATAACCACTAGTATAACTCCCTGTAAACATCAGACATAACCACTAGTATCACTCCCTGTAAACATCAGACATAACCACTAGTATCACTCCCTGTAAACATCAGACATAACCACTAGTATCACTCCCTGTAAACATCAGACATAACCACTAGTATCACTCCCTGTAAACATCAGACATAACCACTAGTATAACTCCAAGTAAACATCAGACATAACCACTAGTATAACTCCCTGTAAACGTCAGACATAACCACTAGTATAACTCCCTGTAAACATCAGACATAACCACTAGTATTACTCCCTGTAAACGTCAGACATATCCACTAGTATCACTCCCTGTAAACATCAGACATATCCACTAGTATAACTCCCTGTAAACGTCAGACATATCCACTAGTATCACTCCCTGTAAACATCAGACATATTTACTAGTATAACTCCCTGTAAACATCAGACATAACCACTAGTATCACTCCCTGTAAACATCAGACATATCCACTAGTATCACTCCCTGTAAACATCAGACATAACCACTAGTATCACTCCCTGTAAACATCAGACATATCCACTAGTATCACTCCCTGTAAACATCAGACATAACCACTAGTATAACTCCCTGTAAACATCAGACATATCCACTAGTATCACTCCCTGTAAACATCAGACATAACCACTAGTATAACTCCCTGTAAACATCAGACATATCCACTAGTATAACTCCAAGTACACATCAGACATATCCACTAGTATCACTCCCTGTAAACATCAGACATATCCACTAGTACAACTCCCTGTAAACATCAGACATATCCACTAGTATAACTCCAAGTAAACATCAGACATATCCACTAGTATCACTCCCTGTAAACATCAGACATATCCACTAGTATCACTCCCTGTAAACATCAGACATATTTACTAGTATCACTCCCTGTAAACATCAGACATATCCACTAGTATCACTCCCTGTAAACATCAGACATATCCACCAGACATATCCACTAGTATAACTCCAAGTACACATCAGACATATCCACTAGTATCACTCCCTGTAAACATCAGACATATCCACTAGTATCACTCCCTGTAAACATCAGACATATTTACTAGTATAACTCCCTGTAAACGTCAGACATATTTACTAGTATAACTCCCTGTAAACGTCAGACATATCCACAAGTATAACTCCCTGTAAACATCCAATGTATCCACTAGTATAACTCCCTGTAAACATCAGACATATCCACTAGTATAACTCCCTGTAAACGTCAGACATATCCACTAGTACAACTCCCTGTAAACATCAGACATATCCACTAATAAAACTCCCTGTAAACGTCAGACATATCCACTAGTACAACTCCCTGTAAACATCAGACATATCCACTAGTATAACTCCCTGTAAACGTCAGACATATCCACTAGTACAACTCCCTGTAAACGTCAGACATATCCACTAGTATAACTCCCTGTAAACGTCAGACATATCCACTAGTATAACTCCCTGTAAACGTCAGACGTATCCACTAGTATCACTCCCTGTAAACATCAGACATATCCACTAGTATCACTCCCTGTAAACATCAGACATATCCACTAGTATCACTCCCTGTAAACATCAGACATATCCACTAGTATCACTCCCTGTAAACATCAGACATAACCACTAGTATCACTCCCTGTAAAAATCAGACATAACCACTAGTATCACTCCCTGTAAACATCAGACATAACCACTAGTATCACTCCCTGTAAACATCAGACATATCCACTAGTATCACTCCCTGTAAACATCAGACATAACCACTAGTATCACTCCCTGTAAACATCAGACATATCCACTAGTATAACTCCCTGTAAACATCAGACATAACCACTAGTATCACTCCCTGTAAACATCAGACATATCCACTAGTATAACTCCCTGTAAACATCAGACATAACCACTAGTATCACTCCCTGTAAACATCAGACATAACCACTAGTATCACTCCCTGTAAACATCAGACATATCCATTAGTACAACTCCCTGTAAACATCAGACATAACCACTAGTATCACTCCCTGTAAACATCAGATATATTCACTAGTATCACTCCCTGTAAACATCAGACATAACCACTAGTATAACTCCCTGTAAACGTCAGACATATCCACTAGTATAACTCCCTGTAAACATCAGACATAACCACTAGTATCACTCCCTGTAAACATCAGACATAACCACTAGTATCACTCCCTGTAAACATCAGACATAACCACTAGTATCACTCCCTGTAAACATCAGACATATCCACTAGTATCACTCCCTGTAAACATCAGACATAACCACTAGTATCACTCCCTGTAACATTGTATTTAGTTATCAATCTGTTATTATTGATATTTGGACATCTATCAGACTATAATCTAGTTTCTGTAATATTGAATTGATACATAAAGTAAAATTGATATTGACAATGAAAGACATTAACATTTGATATATACTTTATCTTTATTTGTTAAACATTCCAGCTTATTGCACAGAACCTGGTACTGAGTTAAATCAAACTGGTATTTGTGTACCTTGTAAAAGGGAAACCTTCCGTGCAATTGCTGACCGTACAGATTATTTCACAAGTTGTATGAACTGTTCCAATGGCAGGACTACAGAAGGAGAGGGCAGCATCAGTAGCCTCAACTGCTCAGTTGGTAGGTAGCCACACGGGATGTTAGTATGATTAATTTGATTCAGTATTCAAATATTTTAATTATTCGTATTCATGTTCTTTATGGCAGGTATGATATGATACTTTCAGAGGGCAGTCATTTATAAACATCAGTGTTATGGTAATGTTTCAGCAATATGAAACAGAAAACTACCTAAAATTGGTCAATTTTTTATTGAAATTATTCAAATCATTATAAGTTAAGCAAGTAACTGATTTAAGTTAAAAAGTTAATTGTATGAAATGAAGTGAATTTTTAAGCTTATTTGACTTGCCTGTGAACTCATTTTAAAAATTGAAAATTTGTCATGGGAAATGATAATATGTGAAGACACAAAGGTATCCTCTCATATTTCAAAACTCAGAAAATAGCACTAAGTTATCAAAACATATATAAGTAATTAGAATAACTGTCATGATACTTTATAACATGCATTGTTTTACTTTTGTTTATGAAAATAACATAAACATCTAAGTCACATCTGGTATAATGGTGTCCTGTGATAATTAGGCCCAGATCAATCTGGCATCCAACTAAATCTGAACAGAAACAAATATTGAAGTGATTGGTAATGTGGTTCTTCCTGTCATTGAAATCAACTGGAATATCTCTCATAAATTGTCAGCATGCTATTGATGTTCCACTAAGTATATCATCTTTGATGTAACTATAAAATGTCTTCAGTAAGACACCATCAGACATTTGTATTAATGATACCTAATTAAATGCTATCAGCTTAGATCTTTGTTGTTTCTTGTGAACAAGGTGCAAAACTTACTTTCAGATAAGTGTCAAGCTGGACAAGTAGTGAACTCCAATGGCAACTGTGTTGACTGTCCTGCCAATACCTACCAGCCAATTATGTATCCAAATTCTGCTGTGAAATGTTTGAACTGTTCAGTAAATAAAGCCACTGTGGATGTAGGACAGACATCTGAGGCCAGCTGTGTCCGTAAGTGTCTATAAATGATGAAAGATAAATGTATTACAAGTAGTTTTATGATAGTATTTTTTCCTTCCACATTTCATGGCTCTGTGTCTTATAGTTCACATCAACATTTGGCTTTCCAAAAGAATTGGAAAAAAATAGTTTTTACTAATAGGTGAAATATCTCATTTGGAAGAAATTTTCGGACAGTTAAGATGGAAGCTGACAGAATATCACATTTAGATACTAGCTAATGTAACACACTGGTAACATCTAAAGCAACAGAATTCTTGATTTATTATATGGTAGTCAAAATATTTGACAGGATGTATAATGGTATGGTGTCATCTTTCATTGCACATTTAACTTTAATTTGTGCAGAGGTGATTTTCAGCAATGTTTGATAGATTTCAAACTTGGTACACTTTTTCATTATTAAAGTTTTGACAGGAATACTGTAAAGTTTCATGCTGGTAGGAAAGAAAAACCTTTTTGCAAACTTAATGAATAATTTTTGCAAAACGGTTTACTTTCATAACAGCATTAAACTGAAAAATATTCCTATCAAAGCTTATATTAATTTCAGTAGGTTTCAAAAACAAAAATAATCCATAGATGTAGAAATTTGATCAATTAATGACAGATTATTTTATGACAAATCACTACACATATCAGCTGGCATGACATTATGTGATGTCATTGACAGCTAATTCATGCTATTAGTGGGTCATATTCCAAATGGAAATGTGTAAAAGTATAAAATAATATATTTTTCCCTGATGAATCTGTTACTTTTTTGTTGTTTATTGTAATATTGATATTTGAATGTTTTATGTTGTTTAGTCCATTTTTTTTAAAAAACATTATTGAATGACAGTGATCCACACACCAGGTGACTGTAGAAAGATATTTCATTCATAAAATGAAAAGAAAAATCGACAGAACTGAAAGCTGTACTTTGCTAACAAATAATGGAAAATTTATTATAATGAAAACAGTTGTGTGTTCTGAAATGGCATTTTGATTCAGCTGCTTTTAAGAGAATAACCAGCCTTTGTTTTTAACTCACTATCTGATCCTTCAGAAGTCAGTCCATGAATATCTATTCTATTCATTCTAGAAATAGTTTGAATAAGGTTGGTGATTTGTTTGTGCTGTCAGGTGTGTGTAGTGCAGGCCAGCAATACAACAATGTCTCTGATGAATGTGAACCATGTGGCAAGGGAACCTGGAATAATGGAAATGAGACAATGAAATTCCAGCAGTGTGCATCCTGTCCTGTAAACTACACAACTGTAGCTGGTGGCAATACTGATATCAGCAATTGTAGCCTGTGTATGTATTTATTTTCCTCCAAATATTTCTGATGTAAGTTACTCCGCAACTAGATCAGTCAACTGATACAGTAAGAAAATTTATACTTATATATAAACTCTTACCTTTATCAATGATATCTTGTTGCCTATATTATTTAAGCTCTTCTGCAGGCAAATAAACTAAAAATTTGGATGAAGATCATTTTGGCACTTCAGTTAAATTCAACTTGACTTCAATAAGTGATCAATGTGAACAAGAAGAGACATTTTATAACATCATCATTTTTAAGTAATTTTCAATATTTTGTTTAACTCTGGTAGAGCTTGATGATGAGATACGATTCAATCTCTTAATGAAAGCATATACATTTAAACTAATTAACTTAAAGTCAGTAAAAATAATTTTGTTTTAATTTGGCACTGCAATGCCTTATAGTGGACTGCAATCCAGGCTCGTACATTTCTGGAGATAATTGCTTGCTTTGTGATCTGGGAAGTTACCAACCCAACCGCCATCAACCAAGTTGTATAGACTGTGGTCCAGACCTGAATACAAGCAGTTTGGGAAGCAAACTACAGACACAATGTCAGCGTAAGTAAACAGCTCATCATTCAATCTTAATGTATATTTAAAAGTATGTTACACTTGTGAGGGCTGAGCCTTATATTGAATAATTTGAAAAGAGCTGCCCATTTTCTTCCTTTTTATTAGTCCCCTTCCAATGAAAACTGAGGGGACTAGATTGTCTATCTGCCTACCTGCCTACCTGCCTGCCAGCCCATCTGCCCATCTGTCCGTCTCTCTGTCTGTCCAGATGTTGGTTTCCAGATAATTACTTGAGAAAAGAAGGATGAACTTGAATGAAATTTCATTTTGTGTTAGGTTATGTGGTAATATACAGTTGGATCAATTTTGGATCAAAATGTCAACTACAAAGGTCACTGTTGTTTAAAAGAGATACATCAAATTTTGGTTTCTAGATGATAACTTAAGAAAGAATAGATGGATTTGGTTGAAACTTAATACAATGTTAGCTTATGAGGTAATACAGGGTGGGATTGAGTTTGAGGTCAAAAGGTCAACTATGAAGGTTGTGAAGGTCACTTACTAAAATAGACATTTATCACCATCAAAGATGCCAGAGGCAAAGTTTGTCAGAATAACACCAGTAGTCAACTGACCAATGTTAAAGGTCACTGTGTCAAAAGGTCAAGCTCAAATTATATATCTTTTCATGTGTAAAATTGACAATGTAACTAGAATGCCTAAATTTACTCTTAAAAGTTCAGATACAAATCTGTCCTTTCTGACATGCTAGTGTTTTAGTTTGTTTTCCAGATAATCACTTAATTGAATTAGGGCAGACAAACATGAATATTTGGTCAACATCGTCCTAGGATTTTTTTAGGTTTAATTAGGTTTCAGATTTAATTACCAATTTTTATGCTTTGCATCGCTTGGAAGACCATGACTGACATATATCACTTCAGCAACACTCAACTATTGCCAGACATAGAGTCATTCATTGGCTACTTTGGTTTAAATGATGGATTTCCTGATGCTAATTGATTTTCTGACAAGCCCTGAAAAAAACATTTCAAGACCTGCAGTAATGTGTAATTAATAGATCTGTATTGATCTGTGTCTGAAATGTTACATTAAATGTTAGCAAATCAATTTTGGTACATAAACAAAAGCAGTAATGAAAATAAGTGTATATGTCTTTTACAAGTTCAATATTCAACATTAAATTAAATGTCAAAAAGAACAACAATGACTGAAGAACCAAATGAAAGAGTGAAAGTCAAAATGAGGATAGAAGCTCAACTTCTGCTTAAAATATCATCTTAACATTTCCAGAATGATGTTTTATTTTAGAATTTCAATGAGTTCGTTTTTGACAGCACAAAAAGTAATTTCAGTTCTGGTCATTTGGCCAAAAACATCTTCAAGTGTTACCATCATTATACTGCAATCACTACTCCAGCTCTTATCTTAGGTTTGTCAAATTGATACAGAGAAGTGTAATATAGTATCCAAATTTACTGCTCCGATCAACACAAACACACAATCCTGATTGGCTGCTTACATATATCTATTTATTCAAAACACACTCAAAGCACATTACATTACAGAAATAACATACAAGGTTTTCCCACAAAGTGTCCAAGTTACACATGTTTGTCTGTCAATATTATGGTAAATTAATTACACTGCAAAAAGGAATTTGGTAGTTATACTACCATGTTAATTATGACCAAATGAAGCAAGATGATGGCATTTCAAACTTCATGTTATGAATATAATGTAAAATGAATCAATACAAAATGAGCTGTTGAACTACAATGATTTAACACTACCAAAATAATAGAGTAATACTAAAATAATCAACTTAGCTAGGTATTGTATACATCTCTCATTTCATGTTTTAGAACAGATAGTGTTACTCATGACCATCATTCCTTCATTCTGTCTTCTATCATAACTTCATAACCATTAACTCTTTAATGGATAAAGATATGGAGCTGTAATTCAGTATGTAATTGTATGTTATGCAGGCAAAGGTCTCATTCGGTGATGGTTGATTTTTCTTGAGTGTAAGGCCTTTTAAGAATATTTAGACAAAAACTGGAGAATCTTGCCTAACTCCAGTGGGAATTTTAGAACACATTCCTAAAAAAGTAATAACAAACTTTCCAAACGTTTTTATTGTCACTGTCACACATCTAGTTCCAGATTCTTTACCATTAATTCTGCAAGCTGAATTTTTAGGTCATCTCACCCGAAAGGTCATGATGAACTATTGCCATTTTGCTTTTTCCGTCGTCGTCCGCCGTGCACAATGCGTAAACTTTTAACATTTCAAACTTCTTCTCAAGTTCCACCTGTGGGATTGAGCTCAAACTTGCATGAAATGATCCTGAGATCGTCCTGGCCAAGTGCTGTTATTTTTTGGGTATGTCTGAATTTGAAGGTGGTTGCCATAGCCGCCATCTTGAGAAATATATTTTTGAACTTCTTCTCCAGTTCTAGTGGTGCCAATGAGCTAAAAATTGGTCGGAATGTTAAGGAAAGGTAGCCAACAAAGTGTTGTTCTTTTTGAAACTTGTCAATACTTTGATACCACAGCCAGGAAGGCCCATTTGTAACATGATTGCACAATCATGGTTTACTGTGCAACACCTATTTAAAACTTCTCAGTTTCACCTGTTTGATTGAACTCCACCTTTACTGTCAAAAAATAGGTAACAATTGTTACAGTTACCTACTCCCAACCAAAACTACCATCTGCATCATGGAAAACAGTTTCTTAGTAAGATTTCATTCAAAGTAGAAAAAAGAACCCCATTTCCTTTGCTGAAAGCTTTTTTAGTTAGATGACTGTTAAGGCCCGTGGGCCTCTTGTTTTTCATGAGAACACCTCCTAACAAATGACACTGAAAAGTTCCAGACTTGTTTTTGGTTGCCAGCTAAGGCATTAGTATGGTGCCCACACATCTAGTTTTATGAAATAAAGGAATTACTGAAAACTTGGAAACAAAGAAATAAATCTCAGACCAGTAAATTTTTACATGTCTAGGTTTTGAGATGCTTAATATATTCCTACCTACAAAGAGCCAGAATGTTCATGCCCTAATGATGACATCAAAGTGTTTTGGTGACTTTGCTCTTAGCCATATTTGAAGTCCCAGAGGTTGAAACAACTGGCAAGCAATACAGGTCTCTTGCTGTGTTTTTTGTAATAACATTTCTCTATTATTATTTAGTAATTGATTACTTATTCATTCTATTTGGGTGGAAATTCTTCAAGAGTTTTACCCCCAATACTTTTGTTAGCTTTATTTTGTTGATGAATTGTTCGTGTTTGTCTAAATTCTCTTAAATTGTTAATCAGTTAAGTTTCTCTTACTTGCCCTCTCTTGAATCACTCAAGAGCAGGTCTTGTGGCTCTTATATCACTTAGGAGCCAAGATTGGCTGCATGCTTCCCTATCTTGAATCGCTCAAGAACTAGGGGCAGTGGACAATACTTCTCCAGATTCACTCTGGAGGTCTAACTTAGTCTATCTTAAATCGCTCAAGATTTCTTTGACCTACTTCTCCTGAATCACTCAGGAGTCAAGTTCTTTTTATTTTACTCGGCCTTTAGTTATCTTGAATTGCTCAAGAGCTATATGACCGACATTTAAATCAATTAAAGTTTTCTTTCTTACCTGGCCTCCTTCAATATGCTAAGGAGGCAACTTTGCAGTTCTAGTTATGTTTATTAGTTATTTAGTTTAGTGTTTGAGTGAGTAGCCTCTGATAGGCCAAAGAGTAGTTTTATATATTTAAGTGTTGTAATATGTGTAATCCACACTTTGCCTCTGTATGTAATAAACAGGTCAACTCTTTCATGTGTTTTAGTTGTATAAAACATCTCTATATTGTTATGTCTGGGAACAAGATTGTCTCATACTTGTTTCAGTTTGGTGTCTACCTGGGTTTGCTGGGTCAGACGAGTGTAAGAAATGCCCACCTGATGAAATAAAACAAATGTCTGGACTGAGAAACTGTGAATCATGTGAAATGACCAAACCCAACTTCACTGCCAATGAAGCCAGAACAGAATGTAATGTTGGTAAGTATTTAGTAATAGAGGTAAGTAGACATACTATGGAGTATAGAAGTAGAAGTGTAAACGATAGGGAATAGATTTATCATGGAATACTTACTTATCATAAAGAGTGGATCAGATCTGCTAATTGATATTATTGATCATACATGAGTTAGTTGCTAGCAACGTTTATCATCAAAAACTTTCTTTTTGTTGAAAATCACTTTTTGATATTCTAGCTAACCTAGGAAAAATAATGCTCTAGCTAATCCTAGAAAAATGACGTTCTAGCTAAACTGAGAAAAATTTATTCCACCATTTCCTAGAAAAATATTATTTTAGCTAATCCTAGAAAAATAATGTTCTAGATAATCTGGAAAAAATTATTCTGGCTAATCCTATAAGACAAATATTATTCTAGCAAAGCTAAGAAAAATAATGTTCTTGCCATCTGTGAAAAAGATGCATCCTATCCTATACAGATTAATGGGTACAGATCAGGGGCTTCTCTAGCATCAATGTCACACTGACAAGCTCTCAGGTTTTCTGTACAGAAGTATATAAACATGATTTGTGCATTATACATTTTTAGACACTGATTTACATTGGGCACAAAAAGTAATGATAAATGATATAGAATAAGAAAACAATTTTGACCCACTTTGAATCCATTTCATTCAAGTGTGTGGTGTATGATTACATAGAAATTTCACAACCCTCCAAAACAAAGTTAAAGTGCCAATGGCGGTGAAAATTCAAAATACTTCAGTGGGTTCAGCAACACCATCAATATTGAGTCAGTCTTCCATTGGCCCCGAAAATGACAAGACATTGGCTTGGCATGCTTTGAATAAGGTGCTGCATATCCATTTGTGGAATTTGTGTCCATTCTTGACGAGCATCAGCAAGCTCCTGTCTGTGACAGTAAGCCACGGGGGATAGGTAATTGTTGCTCTCCTACGCATGCTCGATCAGGTTAAGGTTGGGTGAGGACAGTCCATACACTCAATAGTTTCTGCTTGAAGGTACTCATTCACAAGTCTAGCTCTATTTTGGCAAGCATTGTTGTCCATCAGTACAAACCTAGGGCTGACATCACCTGCAAAGGGTTTTACAATGGGAGAAAGGGTTATAGCCTGGTTCCGTAAACCTGTAAACAGGCAAGTCAGTCCGACCATCAAAACTGATCCCTGCCCAAACCATTACCAAGCCCTCAGAAACAGTCATGCTCAGTGATGTCAGTATACCTCTAACCCATCTCATACCAAACATGCCTCCTGCCATCAAGAAAGCCCACACAAAACCAGGATTCATGCAGTTGCCAGTTAACATGATTAGCTGCCTGTGGCATGTGAGTCGAGTGCGCACAGTTGGTCTGTGAATGCAGTGTTGTGAAGTCTATTCCTTACTATTTGTGCAGAAATTCTTCTTCCAGTTGCTTGATGGAAGTCATCATTGAACCCAGTGGAACTTGCAAAACAATTTCGCTAGTAAGACTGCTTAAATAACAATCCTGACGTGCTGTTGTACACCATGGTCTATCGCATCGAGGTCTCTCAGTGACCTTTCCGGTCACCTGCAGCTGTCCTGTGATGTCTTATGCTGACAAATGTTCAAAACAGGATGCAGAATGACAGAACATTCAGAATAAACACAAAATTTGTTGATAGGTTTGACATTAATCCCACACAGACTTACAATAAAACCACTATTGACAGTTTGATTTTATTCCTGTGTCATAGCAGTTTTGCCACACGTTTACAGTAGGTTGCATGGGCAAATCATTACCAAAAAGTTATTGTGCTTGCATTGGTGATAAAATAGTGGTCCAAGTGTGTCAAGCTAAATTAATTTTAATGACAGAAAAATTCACATATATTAATGATTCTTAATCTTGTGTCTTATATATTATGCTCCCTCAAAATTTCATCCGTCCATCCTTTAATGTCCTGAGCTTTGCCCACACTTAAGCAAGGAACAATCATGAAACTTGGTGTATACATTGGTCATACTAGGCAGTGTGCAATGTACCAAATTTCGGGCCTTTGACCCCTCATTTACAAAGTTACCGCCCTTTGTTAAAATTTCATGTCCAGAGCATAACTTTGCTTTCTTTTATGCTAGGTTAATGAAATTTGGTGTATACATTGATCATACAATGATAATATAGATTGTACCAATGTTAGGGCTCACAACTCTTTCATTACAAAGTTATTGCCCATTGTAAACATTTTATGTTACAAGAATAACTTTGCTTGCATTAAAACAAGGATAGTAAAAACTTGGTTTATACATTGTCCATACTAAGAGGATGTACAGTATACCAAATTTAGGGCCTGCAACCTTTTAATTACAGAAGAATTTCTTTTGTTGAGATTTTGTGTCTGATAAAGTTATTTGTTGGGAGCATTCATTAGTTCCACTGTTACTCATAACATTCAGACAAATTAATGGCATTATTATTATTTCAGATTTTTGTGACAGAGGATTTAAGTATAATGAATCCTCAGTCGAAAAGTGTATTCCCTGTGAACAAGGGACATACAAAACTGAGCGAGGCAGAGCAACCACTTGTCAAACCTGTAATCCTGGTTTTACCACTGCTGGTGTAGCATCAAGAAACCAGTCTGACTGTGACCAGTGTGAGTATTTTAAATTTAATGAACATCTGTCTGTAACCAGTGTGAGTATTATAGACTTAATGAACATCTGTCTGTAACCAGTGTGAGTATTATAGACTTAATGAACATCTGTCTGTAACCAGTGTGAGTATTATAGTTAATGAACATCTGTCTGTAACCAGTGTGAGTATTATAGACTTAATGAACATCTGTCTGTAACCAGTGTGAGTATTATAGACTTAATGAACATCTGTCTGTAACCAGTGTGAGTATTATAGACTTAATGAACATCTGATTGTAACCAGTGTGAGTATTATAGACTTAATGAACATCTGTCTGTAACCAGTGTGAGTATTATAGACTTAATGAACATCTGATCTGTAACCAGTGTGAGTATTAACCAGTGTGAGACTTAATGAACATCTGATCTGTTGTAAACCAGTGTGAGTATTATAGACTTAATGAACATCTGACTGTAACCAGTGTGAGTATTATAGACTTAATGAACATCTGACTGTAACCAGTGTGAGTATTATAGACTTAATGAACATCTGACTGTAACCAGTGTGAGTATTATAGACTTAATGAACATCTGTCTGTAACCAGTGTGAGTATTATAGACTTAATGAACATCTGTCTGTAACCAGTGTGAGTATTATAGACTTAATGAACATCTGTCTGTAACCAGTGTGAGTATTATTAATGAACATCTGTCTGTAACCAGTGTGAGTATTATAGACTTAATGAACATCTGTAATGTGAACTGTATCTGAACATCTGTAACCAGTGTGAGTATTATAGACTTAATGAACATCTGTCTGAAACCAGTGAGAGTATTATAGACTTAATGAACATCTGTCTGGAACCAGTGTGAGTATTATAGACTTAATGAACATCTGTCTGTAGTCTGTGAATTATAGACAGTGTGTAGTATATATAGACTTAATGAACATCTGTCTGTAACCAGTGTGAGTATTATAGATTTAATGAACATCTGACTGTAACCAGTGTGAGTATTATAGACTTAATGAACATCTGTATAACCAGTGTGAGTATTATATTAATGAACATCTGATTGTAACCAGTGTGATCTTTTCATATTATAGACTTAATGAACATCTGTCTGTAACCAGTGTGAGTATTATAGACTTATCTGTCTGTAACCAGTGTGAGTATTATAGACTTAATGAACATCTGTACTTAATGACTTAATGAACTGATGTAACCAGTGTGAGTATTATAGACTTAATGAACATCTGTCTGTAACCAGTGTGAGTATTATAGACTTAATGAACATCTGTCTGTAACCAGTGTGAGTATTATAGACTTAATGAACATCTGTCTGTAACCAGTGTGAGTATTATAGACTTAATGAACATCTGTCTGTAACCAGTGTGAGTATTATAGACTTAATGAACATCTGTCTGTAACCAGTGTGAGTATTATAGACTTAATGAACATCTGACTGTAACCAGTGTGAGTATTATAGACTTAATGAACATCTGTAACCAGTGTGAGTATTATAGACTTAATGAACATCTGTCTGTAACCAGTGTGAGTATTATAGACTTAATGAACATCTGTCTGTAACCAGTGTGAGTATTATAGACTTAATGAACATCTGTCTGTAACCAGTGTGAGTATTATAGACTTAATGAACATCTGTCTGTAACCAGTGTGAGTATTATAGACTTAATGAACATCTGATTGTAACCAGTGTGAGTATTATAGACTTAATGAACATCTGTCTGTAACCAGTGTGAGTATTATAGACTTAATGAACATCTGATTGTAACCAGTGTGAGTATTATAGACTTAATGAACATCTGTCTGTAACCAGTGTGAGTATTATAGACTTAATGAACATCTGTCTGTAACCAGTGTGAGTATTATAGATTTAATGAACATCTGCCTGTAACCATTGTGAGTATTATAGACTTAATGAACATCTGTCTGTAACCAGTGTGAGTATTATAGACTTAATGAACATCTGTCCAGTGTGAGTATTATAGACCAGTGTGAGTATTATAGACTTAATGAACATCTGTCTGTAACCAGTGTGAGTATTATAGACTTATCTGTCTGTAACCAGTGTGAGTATTATGAAATGAACATCTGTCTGTAACCAGTGTGAGTATTATAGACTTAATGAACATCTGTCTGTAACCAGTGTGAGTATTATTGACTTAATGAACATCTGTCTGTAACCAGTGTGAGTATTATTGACTTAATGAACATCTGACTGTAACCAGTGTGAGTATTATAGACTTAATGAACATCTGTCTGTAACCAGTGTGAGTATTATAGATTTAATGAACATCTGACTGTAACCAGTGTGAGTATTATAGACTTAAAAGAGTAATGCTGAGTAATTGGAGACTTCATTGAAAACTAAATCTGGCTGATACCAGTGTGAGTAATTGGAGTCTTAATAGACAACTAAGTCTGACTGTAACCAGTGTGAGAAATTGTTGACTTTATGAATCACAAAGGTGTAAGACATAGTATATTTATTGATTCTAATTGATCTTTTCATATCCATTTCAGTGTACTGTGTGATAGGGAAGTACTACAATGCAACAACTGATTCGTGTCAGCCCTGTAATTATGGTTCCTTCAAGAATACTGTTGGGAACATGAACTGTACAGACTGTGAGTCTGGTTTTACTACATCAGTCACTGGAGCAACCTCTTCCGCATCATGTTCGATCGGTAAGTGTTTCATTACCTCTAATAACTCACTGGTGGTCAATGCTATAAAACTTCACATAGGTAACTCCATTTAAAGTCAGTAGTGTTTGTTATTGGGTTACTCCATTAATAGTCAACAGTATTTGTTCATGATTTACTCTATCAATGGTCAGTAATGTTTGTTCATGAGTTTCTCCATTAAAGGTGAGTAATGTCTGTTCATAAGTTACTCCATGAAAGGTCAGTAATGTTTGTTTATGAGTTACTCCATTAATGGTGAGTAATGTTTGTTCATAAGTTTCTCCATTAATGGTGAGTAATGTCTGTTCGTAAGTTACTCCATTAATGGTGAGTAATGTCTGTTCATAAGTTACTCCATTAAAGGTCAGTAATGTTTGTTCATGAGTTACTCCATTAATGGTGAGTAATGTTTGTTCATGAGTTACTCCATTAATGGTCAGTAATGTTTGTTCATGAGTTTCTCCATTAAAGGTGAGTAATGTCTGTTCATAAGTTACTCCATTAATGGTCAGTAATGTTTGTTCATGAGTTTCTCCATTAAAGGTGAGTAATGTCTGTTCATAAGTTACTCCATGAAAGGTCAGTAATGTTTGTTTATGAGTTACTCCATTAAAGGTGAGTAATGTCTGTTCATAAGTTACTCCATGAAAGGTCAGTAATGTTTGTTTGTAAGTTACTCCATTAATGGTGAGTAATGTCTGTTCATAAGTTACTTCATGAAAGGTCAGTAATGTTTGTTTATGAGTTACTCCATTAATGGTGAGTAATGTTTGTTCATAAGTTACTCCATTAAAGGTGAGTAATGTCTGTTCATAAGTTACTCCATTAAAGGTCAGTAATGTTTGTTCATGAGTTACTCCATTAATGGTGAGTAATGTTTGTTCATGAGTTTCTCCATTAATGGTGAGTAATGTTTGTTCATGAGTTACTCCATTAATGCTGAGTAATGTTTGTTCATGAGTTTCTCCATTAATGGTTAGTAATTGTTGGTCATTTCAAGAAAGCCTATACGTATATGTTCTGCCTTTTATGATGTAAAGTTAAGGTGCTTGTATGTTAACCAAGATTTCTTTGGTTGTAGTTGTATGTCCAGCTGGACAAAAGAGGAACATGCAAACTAATACTTGTGAAGATTGTGGATATGGCCAATACCAACCTAACCCAGGACAAGTGAGCTGTATACAGTGTACTCCTTCTTCATACAGCACCCAATTCACCACCACAGTTTTAGAGTCAGATTGTATACGTAAGTAATTTCTGACAATAGTATTTTTCTGAAAACACTGATGCATTTGTATAGTCAGTATGTATTGTTCTGATCTCTTCCAATCTGTCTTGCTGTTAAAATCCTGGGCTCTAGAGTTGAGCAAATAGAGTAAAATGAACTTATATTTGTTTGCAAATACAAAGGTATGTTTTTATTAGTTCAATGTTTGTTTGTTTTTTTTCCTTAGCAATTTGTGCTCCAGGTTATGAGTATAACACCACCAGCAAAACATGTAATGTATGTGGACTGGGTACCTATAAGTCTTTGAACGGTAATTGGCAAAATGACAGAACGACTGTCATAAACTGTACGTCTTGTCCTGTATTGAAGACAACACCAACAAATGGATCTGTTTCTTTGGCTGCCTGTTCTTTAGGTAAGTATATATAGAGACTTTTGAAGTGAAATCATATAATCATGAATGCCATTTCTTGATCAAGAGGGCATGTGCAGATCTGTGTTGTTGCTTTTTACTGTGTTTTTGAAATCATATTGATCAGTTGATGAACTGAAACCTCTTAAATTGATTTAGATTAGCAAGAACTAGTTTGTAAAACTCTTACTTATTTTATTTTTATTGAATAATTTTGAAAATACATCAATAACATAAAGGATAATTTGTGCATGATTCATTTGCAGACTTTAGTAAATTTTTTGACTGACAATCTTGAAAGATAGTCTTCTGTTGTCTGTTACATCAACAAATTATGGTCAACATAGTATTTACTACATCATAAGAAAGGGTGCTGCTTATATTCTAGTACAGCAAGAAACCTTGTATTATATTCTATTAAAATTACCTCGCGTCCATGATCTGTTGACTGTCCATCCATCCTTAAACAGTTTTCATTTTGTTTCTTGTGAGGTATGGGTTAAATCTCTCTTGTATTCCATATGGAGGTTCCCTTTGCCCCTACTTTGTGTATTTCGTGACCAGTGTGAAGCATAGTAAATGATAGGGAAGGTAGTGAAAAGATGATAAAGAAATATTAAGAAAGAGTAGACAAGGTGGTAACAATGTACTGCAGTTAAGTTATAGATGTGTGAGAGTCTGTGGCTCACCTCTGCCCCATTGATGACTGCAGTTATATTATGATATACCCTGTGCTTCAATCTGTCCCTTAACTTTTCCTTGTTACCACTTTCTTATCTTTATCAATAGACTAGCGTCAATGAAACTTGTTACAAATATATTATATGGTGATAAATCAAACAAGTTTGCGTTGCAGAATTTGGCAATTACTTTGAGCAGAATTATGCATCTTTTATTTGCAAACATAAGCATTGTGTAGAAATGGCAAGAACTTTTTAATTCTCCATTCAATCCCTTACAGATTTTATACAGTGATATCAGATACAAAAGAATTTAATATATATTATGAGTTCTTTTATTATGATACTCATAATACTTAGAATAAAATGGCTAATATGAGTTTTCTTACATAAAATAGTCAATTTGTGTTCATTTTCATAAAATAGCTTACACAAGGTCACTTCCATAAAATGACTTGATATGAGTTCATTTGCATAAAATGGTTTACATTGGAAACTTACATAACATGGCTAATATGAGTTCAGTTATATAGATTGAAGGAGAAAGGATATTATGGTAAAGAAATCCTGGTTTCTGCCATTGGAATAAACAAGTGCATGTAAAAGTGAAATAAATACCTCCACGTGCTGCCAAATGTACTGTGACTCCTCAGTACTCTGAGCAGCTTAATTATACACAAACTAAAACATTTTGTTCTCTGATATTTGTAATATTGCCAATGTTCAGCTATTTATCTCAATAATTTTATTCAGATGTTTGTAATGTTGGAACATACCAGCTTAATGGTGTATGTACACCATGCCAAAGATCTACGTACCAGGATCAAATGGATCAAACTGAATGTAAATCATGTGGCTTGGGAAAAACAACCAGGGTTTTATCTGGAGCTACATCGATTGCTGATTGTATACGTAAGTAAACGAGATATTAAGTATTTTGTTAATCAGTGAATCAGTGAGTCCTGTTGAGGAATTTTTACCAATATTGTATGTCATGATTGAGTACAGTTTTTATAAATACAAAATGTTCTATTCTATAGGTTGTGTTGGAATATTTGGAATACTTCACAGAAGTTACATAGGAATGATAATTACATTTATTTTTAATTCGCTAATAATGTGAAATACTGAAAATTCAACGTTTATATAGACAGGTTCATTGGTAAAATTTATATAGACAGGTTTATAGGTAAAATTTATATAGACAGGTTTATAGGTAAAATTTATATAGACAGGCTTATAGGTAAAGTTTATATAGGAAGGTTAATAGGTAAAGTTTATATAGACAGGTTCATAAGTAAAGTTAATATAGACAGGTTCATAGGTAGATTTATGTAGATAGGTTGATAGGTAAGGTTTCTAAAGACAGGTTCATAGGTAAAGTTTATATTGGCAGGTTCATAGGTAAAGTTCATATAGACAGGTTCATAGGTAAAACTTATGTAGACAGGTTTATAGGTAAGGTTTCTAAAGACAGGTTCATAGGTAAAGTTTATATTGGCAGGTTCGTAAATAAAGTTTATATAGACAGGTTTATAGGTAAAGTTTATAGAGACAGGTTTATAGGTAAAGTTTATAGAGACAGGTTTATAGGTAAAGTTTATAGAGACAGGTTTATAGGTAAAGTTTATAGAGACAGGTTTATAGGTAAAGTTTATAGAGACAGGTTTATAGATAAAGTTTATATAGACAGGTTTATAGGTAAAGTTTATAGAGACAGGTTTATAGGTAAAGTTTATAGAGACAGGTTTATAGGTAAAGTTTATATAGACAGGTTTATAGGTAAAGTTTATATAGACAGGTTTAAAGGTAAAGTTTTTATAGGCCGGCTAATGGGGAACATTTATATAGGTAGATTTATAGGGAAAGTAGATATTGACAGGTTTACAGGGAAAATATAAATCAAAATATATAAATATCTTTAAATAAGCGTTTTGTTACTATCCCTCTACTTGGCATGATCATAGGTAGGAACTGGCAGATCAAATGCATATTTGATCAGAAATAGGTATCAAAAATAGGATTGTGATGTGTTAAATACCATTCTTAATTGTTTGTTTGCAATTTTTTTGTTTTGAATATTGAGTTAATTATATATTCATTATGTTTGTTATTTGATATAGCTGATTGTCCACTTGGAAAAGGATTCAACAACACTGATGGCTCAGACTGTTGTTGTGTTGACTGTGATGAGGGGTATTATGTTGATAAATCCCTTAGTGAATTCTGCATCAGATGTCCTAATGGAAAGACCAATCTGGGACCAGGATCAACCACATGTGATTACACTGCAGGTAACATAAGACAAAAAATTATAATCTTTATAAGTTCAATTAAGTTAACAATGCTTCATATGTTGACACCTGTCACATCACAGCAGCCAAAAATGACTATGACCCAAATAAGGTGACATAAACATTGTCTCTAATGTTATAGTATATATAAATCTGTGTTGTTTCTATTGTTTTAGTATATATATTTATATCTATATTGTCTCTAATGTTATAGTATATATAAATATGTATTGCCTCTAATGTTATGGTATATATAAATATGTATTGTCTCTAATGTTATAGTATATATAAATCTGTATTGTCTCTAATGTTATGGTAGATATAAATATGTATTGTCTCTAATGTTATGGTAAATATAAATTTATATTGTCTCTAATGTTATGGTAGATATAAATTTATATTGAAATAGATGTTATAGTATATATAAATCTGTATTGTCTCTAATGTTATGGTAGATATAAATTTATATTGTCTCTAATGTTATAGTATATATAAATCTGTATTGTCTCTAATGTTATGGTAGATATAAATATGTATTGTCTCTAATGTTACGGTATATATAAATTTATATTGTCTCTAATGTTATTAGCCCACCATCTATTGAAATAGATAGATGGTGGGTTATTCAAGATGGCTGACAAGTGGCCATCTTGGATTTTGGAAATAAAAGTTTGTTACTGCTATTTCTGAGAAAGTACTGGATGGATCTTTCTCAAATTTCATATGCAGTTTCCCCTTGGTCCCTAGTTGTGCATTGTACCTTTTTTGAACTGATTCGCATTCAAGATGGCTGACAAGTGGCCATCTTGGATTTTGGATGTAAAACTTTGTTACTGCTATTTCTTGGAAAAGTACTGGATGGATCTTTCTCAAATTTCATATGCAGGTTCCCCTTGGTCCCTAGTTGTGCATTGTACCTTTTTTTGACTGATTCGAATTCAAGATGGCAGACAGGTGGCCATCTTGGATTTTGAATGTAAAAGTTTGTTACTGCTATTTCTTGGAAAGTACTGGATGGATCTTTCTCAAATTTCATATGCAGGTTCCCTTTGGTTCCAAGTTGTGCATTATACCTTTTTGGACTGATCCGAAATCAAGATGGCTGACAGGCAGCCATCTTGGATTTTGAGAGTAAAATCTTGTTACTGCTATATCTGAGGAAGTACTGGATGGATCCTTCTGATATTTCATAGATATTGGTTTCCCTTGGTCCCTAGTTGTGCATTGTACCTTTTTTGGACTGATTTGAAATCAAGGTGGCCCACAGGCAGCCATCTTGGATGTCGACAGTAATACAGCACAAGCATATTGTCCATTATCCACCTGTAACTGACTGCTATCCAATAATACTTTGGGATCTTTTTCAAATGATATTTGCTAATAGGTGCTTAATAAAAATATCTTGTGCCATCATTGAGTACATTCAATGAAGACCAGTTCATGAACATTTACAACACCTGTAACACACAAAAAAAAATAAACAAATCATCAAGAACTGAAAACAGATCCTCTAATGGTGGGCGCCAAGATCCCTCTGGGATCTCTTGCAGTATATATAAATCTGTATTGTCTCAAATGTTATAGTATATATAAATATGTATTGCCTCTAATGTTATATTATATATAAATGTTATAGTATATATAAATCTGTATTGTCTGTAATGTTATAGTATATATAAATATGTATTGTCTCTAATGTTATATATAAATCTGTATATATAATATATAAATCTGTATTGTCTCTATATATAAATCTGTTATGTTTTAGTATATATATAAATATGTATTGTCTCTAATGTTTTAGTATATATAATATATAAATCTGTATTTTATAGTATATATAAATCTGTATTGTCTGTAATGTTATAGTATATATAAATATGTATTGTCTCTAATGTTATATTATATATAAATCTGTATTGTCTGTAATGTTTTAGTATATAAATCTGTATTTTCTGTAATGTTATAGTATATATAAATCTGTATTGTCTGTAATGTTATAGTATATATAAATCTGTATTGTCTAATGTTTTATTATATAATTCTAAAAATTGAAGCATTGTTTCAGTTTTCATTGTCAGATACCCTGTACTTTCTTTTCATTAACAATAGTTATAATTAACTGTAGTATGTTTATAATTAGAATAAAAACTTCAGTCATTATGAATATCCGTAGCCTTGATACCATCTGCAATAAGTTGAATAAGTACTCCTAAAGATGGGATTCATGTTTCTATACACTTTTTCCTGTAAAAGATAGATTATTGTAAAGAATCCAGCAATTACCAAATTCCTCCAAATCCTTATCAGGAGGCCCCATGATAAAACATTCATCAAAACATCTGACAAAAATTGTTCTGCAAGATTATCCTTGAATTCTACTTTAATTTTCTAATGAAGAATTTCTTTGTGGTATCCTAAAACTTGTACCCTTCATTTGTTTAAAATATTCCTAATCAAAATAAAATGAATTTCGATTCAGAATAATGTCGAAAGTATTAAGTGTAAATTCATTATTTAATTGAGAATTGATCTTTCCTCTGTTTTTGCTCCACCAGTATTTAATGGCCTAATGACCAAGATCATGTGAGATATTGACCTTTTCTGTAAGCACTCATTTTTTTTACTGAGAAAACAACTGTTCAAAACAACCAACATCATCATACTACTGTCTCATTACATTATCTAGGGAGATCATTCTGCTCATATTTGCCGGTTGACTTAACTTGACAGTCCGCAAAACTCGAAATCTTGAATGTTTGGTGGGAAATGAAGGTGTCGAGGTCTACTGTATATACAGTTATAAATAATATGTACAGTGTTCTGTCTACTGTATTATGTGGTGGCCAATATCTGTATATCAAAGCTGTGTTTCCGTATTTGTTGAAATGTATTTGTGAATCAATGTTCGAATATTCATTTAAGTTAAGTTTACTGAATCATATGGCAGTCATTGTGGTAAAAGGATTGACATCAATATAGGAAAGTGAATGTACATCAAATATGAAATAATAAATGTTCATTTCTTGCTTTGCAGTTACACCACCTGTGGAACAAGTAAGAGTGAGGTTCAGATTGAGAATGCAATTAAACAGCATTGATTGTACCAATAGCAACAGTCTAACCATCTTCAGCAATAATGTGAGAAGTAGGGTTATAACCAGGATGAAATCGTTGCCATATAATCTTTGTATTCCAAGTGATTGTTCAAACATCCATTCCATGAACATCTCACTTGCCTCATCTCAAGGTTGTACCCCAGGAAATGGAAATAGAAGGCGCAAGAGGGCTGCAGGCCCAGCTACTGTTAATTTGGATGCTGATGTCCAGCCAGTACCGTATGTGTAACATGTATTGTTAAAACTCTATCTAAAGTATGATAAAAATATACACTGTATATACGAAATGTATAACTCATCCTAAAATAAACAAAATGATCCAAGCCTGAAATTTATCCTTAAAACTCAAACTTGAGAAATCATTATCCTGTGTATTCTAAAAAGATATTTGATTCTAGATCTGTCTGTTTTACTGTTGCATGCTCATTATGAAGTGTATTGTCATCATTTTATGTCTGAAAGTAACAAATTAATGTTTTCAGCAAGATATATTTTTCAGCGGATCAAACATTAAATTGTGTTATGTAGTATCAATGTCTGAAAATAACAAATAACTTGTTTTGGATCAAAATTGTGACCTGATAACTATAGCATATTTATGTCCTGATGACTACAGTACAAGTATGACCTGATGACTACAGTACAAGTATGACCTGATAACTACAGTACAAGTATGTCCTGATGACTACAGTACAAGTATGTCCTGATAACTACAGTACACTTATGTCCTGATGACTTCAGTACACTTATGTCCTGATAACTACAGTACACTTATGTCCTGATGACTTCAGTACACTTATGTCCTGATAACTACAGTACACTTATGTCCTGATAACTACAGTACAAGTATGTCCTGATAACTACAGTGCACTTATGTCCTGATAACTACAGTACACTTATGTCCTGATGACTTCAGTACACTTATGTCCTGATAACTACAGTACACTTATGTCCTGATAACTACAGTACAAGTATGACCTGATGACTACAGTACAAGTATGACCTGATAACTACAGTACACTTATGTCCTGATGACTTCAGTACACTTATGTCCTGGTGACTTCAGTACACTTATGTCCTGATAACTTCAGTACACTTATGTCCTCATAACTACAGTACACTTATGTCCTGATGACTTCAGTACACTTATGTCCTGATAACTTCAGAACACTTATGTCCTGATGACTTCAGTACACTTATGTCCTGATAACTACAGTACACTATGTCCTGATGACTTCAGTACACTTATGTCCTGATAAATTCAGTACACTTATGTCCTGATAACTACAGAACAGTTATGTCCTGATAACTACAGTACAAGTATGACCTGATGACTACAGTACACTTATGTCCTGATGACTTCAGTACACTTATGTCCTGGTGACTTCAGTACACTTATGTCCTGATAACTTCAGTACAAGTATGACCTGATGACTACAGTACAAGTATGACCTGATAACTACAGTACACTTATGTCCTGATGACTTCAATACACTTATGTCCTGATAACTACAGTACAGGTATGTCCTGATAACTACAGTACACTTATGTCCTGATGACTTCAGTACACTTATGTCCTGATAACTACAGTACAAGTATGACCTGATGACTACAGTACAAGTATGACCTGATAACTACAGTACACTTATGTCCTGATGACTTCAATACACTTATGTCCTGATAACTACAGTACAGGTATGTCCTGATAACTACAGTACACTTATGTCCTGATAACTACAGTACACTTATGTCCTGATAACTACAGTACACTTATGTCCTGATAACTACAGTACACTTATGTCCTGATAACTACAGTACACTTATGTCCTGATAACTACAGTACACTTATGTCCTGATGACTTCAGTACACTTATGTCCTGATGACTTCAGTACACTTATGTCCTGATAACTACAGTACAAGTATGTCCTGATAACTACAGAACACTTATGTCCTGATAACTACAGTACACTTATGTCCTGGTAACTACAGTACACTTATGTCCTGATAACTTATGTCCTGATAACTACAGTACAAGTATGTCCTGATATACAGTACACTTATGTCCTGATACTACAGTAACACCTGTATGTCCTGATAACTTTATGTCCTGATAACTACAGTACACTTATGTCCTTAACTACAGTACACTTATGTCCTGATACTACAGTACACTTATGTCCTGATGACACTTATGTCCTGATTATGTCCTGAGAACAAGTATGTCCTGATGACTTCAGTACACTTATGTCCTGATAACTACAGTACACTTATGTCCTGATGACTTCAGTACACTTATGTCCTGATAACTACATTACACTTATGTACACTTATGTCCTGATACAGTACATGTCCTGATGACTTATGTCCCTGATAACTACAGTACAAGTATGTAAGTACACCTGTATGTATACCTGATAACTACAGTACACTTATGTCCTGATAACTTCAATACACTTATGTCCTGATGACTTCAGTACAGGTATGACCTGATAACTACAGTACACTTATGTCCTGATAACTACAGTACAAGTATGTCCTGATAACTACAGTACAAGTATGACCTGATGACTTCAGTACAAGTATGTCCTGATAACTACAGTACACTTATGTCCTGATAACTACAGTACAAGTATGTCCTGATAACTACAGTACAAGTATGACCTATGACTACCTTTACAGTACACTTATGTCCTGATGACTACAGGGTAACACTGTATGTATATACAACCTTTATGTTTAGTGATACTAGGGTACACCTGTATGTATACCATAACTACAGTACACTTATGTCCTGATAACTACAGTACACTATAAACTTATGTCCTGATAACTTTTTATGTCCTGATACTTCAGTAACACCTGATATGTACAGCATATGTCCTGATAACTTATGTTTGATACTACAGTACACTTATGTCCTGATAACTTCAGTACACTTATGTCCTGATAACACAGTACAACAGTACACTTATGTCCTGATACTTCAGTACCTTATAGTTTAGTGATACAGAGTAACACCTGTATGTATACCATATAAACTTTATTTTTATTTTTAGTGATACAGAGTAACACCTGTATGTAAAGCATACAACCTTTAGTTTAGTGATACAGGGTAACACCTGTATGTAAAGCATACAACCTTTAGTTTAGTGATACAGGGTAACACCTGTATGTATACCATATAAACTGTATTTTTAGTGATACAGAGTAACACCTGTATGTAAAGCATACAACCTTTATGTTTAGTGATACAGAGTAACACCTGTATGTAAAGCATACAACCTTTATGTTTAGTGATACAGAGTAACACCTGTATGTATACCATATAAACTTTATGTTTAGTGATACAGAGTAACACCTGTATGTATACCATATAAACTTTATGTTTAGTGATACAGAGTAACACCTGTATGTAAAGCATACAACCTTTAGTTTAGTGATACAGGGTAACACCTGTATGTAAAGTATACAACCTTTATGTTTAGTGATACAGGGTAACACCTGTATGTATACCATATAAACTGTATTTTTAGTGATACAGAGTAACACCTGTATGTAAAGCATACAACCTTTAGTTTAGTGATACAGGGTAACACCTGTATGTAAAGCATACAACCTTTATGTTTAGTGATACAGAGTAACACCTGTATGTATACCATATAAACTTTATGTTTAGTGATACAGAGTAACACCTGTATGTATACCATATAAACTTTATGTTTAGTGATACAGATAACACCTGTATGTATACCATATAAACTTTATGTTTAGTGATACAGAGTAACACCTGTATGTATACCATATAAACTTTATGTTTAGTGATACAGAGTAACACCTGTATGTATACCATATAAACTTTATGTTTAGTGATACAGAGTAACACCTGTATGTATACCATATAAACTTTATGTTTAGTGATACAGAGTAACACCTGTATGTAAAGCATACAACCTTTAGTTTAGTGATACAGGGTAACACCTGTATGTAAAGCATACAACCTTTATGTTTAGTGATACAGAGTAACACCTGTATGTATACCATATAAACTTTATGTTTAGTGATACAGAGTAACACCTGTATGTAAAGCATACAACCTTTAGTTTAGTGATACAGGGTAACACCTGTATGTAAAGCATACAACCTTTATGTTTAGTGATACAGAGTAACACCTGTATGTATACCATATAAACTTTATGTTTAGTGATACAGAGTAACACCTGTATATATACCATATAAACTTTATGTTTAGTGATACAGAGTACTATGAATGAGTTATTCACATCTATACTAGTTTTGTTTGACACAGTGACAGATAAATCCATTTATTGCTTTAGAATTGAGGATTGATAATGTATCTTTTATCCATCATATCACCATCTACTATAACATATTGTTGTAGGGTTCAACGTTAACAGGAGGTGGTGTGACTAGTACACTAGTACAATGTAATGCAGGACAAGTCCTTCGCAGTAATACCTGTGGTAAGTGCAGTGGATGACAATGGTAAAAAGTAAACCTACCAAACTACCGATGAGAAACCAAATATCATCATAGCATCATAGAAGGATGGGACTGAGGTGTTATAGATAGATGGGATAGGGAAGTTATAGAAGGGTTGGACTGAGGTGCTATAGATAGGTGAGACTGAGGTGTTATAGAAGGATTGGACTGAGGTGTTATGGAAGGATGAGACTGAGGTGTTATAGAAGGATTGGACTGAGGTGTTATAGAAGGATTGAAGGATTGGACTGAGGTGCTATAGATAGGTGAGACTGAGGTGTTATAGAAGGGTTGGACTGAGGTGTTATAGAAGGGTTGGACTGAGGTGCTATAGATAGGTGAGACTGAGGTGTTATAGAAGGGTTGGACTGAGGTGTGTTGATGAGGTGTTATAGAAGGGTTGGACTGAGGTGTTATAGAAGGGTTGGACTGAGGTGTTATAGAAGGATTGGACTGAGGTGTTATAGATAGGTGAGACTGAGGTGTTATAGAAGGGTTGGACTGAGGTGCTATAGATAGGTGAGACTGAGGTGTTATAGAAGGGTTGGACTGAGGTGCTATAGATAGGTGAGACTGAGGTGTTATAGAAGGGTTGGACTGAGGTGCTATAGATAGGTGAGACTGAGGTGTTATAGAAGGGTTGGACTGAGGTGTTATAGAAGGGTTGGACTGAGGTGTTATAGAAGGATTGGACTGAGGTGTTATAGAAGGGTTGGACTGAGGTGTTATAGAAGGATTGGACTGAGATGTTATAGAAGGATTGGACTGAGGTGTTATGGAAGGATGAGACTGAGGTGTTATTGAAGGATTGGACTGAGGTGTTATAGAAGGGTTGACATTGAGGTGCTGAGGTGTGAGGTGTTATAGAAGGGTGGAGAGATAGGTGAGACTGAGGTGTTATAGAAGGATTGGACTGAGGTGTATAGATAGATAGGTGTTATAGACTGAGGTGTTATAGAGACTAAATGTTATGGTTGGACTGAGGTGCTATAGATAGGTGAGACTGAGGTGTTATAGAAGGAACTGAGGTGCTATAGTAGTTATAGAAGGGTTGGACTGAGGTGCTATAGATAGGTGAGACTGAGGTGTTATAGAAGGATTGGACTGAGGTGCTATAGATAGGTGAGACTGAGGTGTTATAGAAAGATGGAACTGAGGTGTTATAGATGGGTGAGACTGAGGTGTTATAGAAGGATGGAACTGAGGTGTTATAGATAGGTGAGACTGAGGTGTTATAGAAGGGTTGGACTGAGGTGCTATAGATAGGTGAGACTGAGGTGTTATAGAAGGGTTGGACTGAGGTGTTATAGATGGGTGAGACTGAGGTGTTATAGAAAATGACATTGAGGTTTTACAGAAGGATGGGACTGAGGTGTTATAGATAGGTGAGACTGAGGTGTTATAGAAGGGTTGGACTGAGGTGCTATAGATGAACTGAGGTGTTATAGAAAATGACATAGATGGTGAGACTGAGGTGTTATAGAAGGATTGGACTGAGGTGTTATAGAAGGATTGGACTGAGGTGCTATATAGAAGGTGTTATAGACTGAGGTGTTATAGAAGGATTAGGTGTTATAGATGGATTGGACTGGGGTGAGACTGAGGTGTTATAGAAAATGACATTGAGGTTTTACAGAAGGATGGGACTGAGGTGTTATAGAAGGATGGAACTGAGGTGTTATAGATGGGTGAGACTGAGGTGTTATAGAAAATGACATTGAGGTTTTACAGAAGGATGAGACTGAGGTGTTATAGAAGGATGGAACTGAGGTGTTATAGATGGGTGAGACTGAGGTGTTATAGAAAATGACATTGAGGTTTTACAGAAGGATGAGACTGAGGTGTTATAGAAGGAGACTGAGGTGTTATAGAAGGGTTGGACTGAGGTGCTATAGATAGGTGAGACTGAGGTTTATAGAAGGGTTGACACTGAGGTGTTATAGAAGGATGAGACTGAGGTGTTATAGAAGGATTGGACTGAGGTGTTATAGAACTGGGTGCTGAGACTGAGGTGTTATAGAAGGGTTGGACTGAGGTGCTATAGATAGGTGTGACTGAGGTGTTATAGAAGGATTGGACTGAGGTGCTATAGATAGGTGAGACTGAGGTGTTATAGGACTGAGGTGCTATAGATAGGTGAGACTGAGGTGTAGAAGGGATTGAGACTGAGACTGTGTTATAGAAGGATGGACTGAGGTGTTATAGAGGTGTTATAGAAGGGTGGACTGAGGTGTTATAGATAGGTGAGACTGAGGTGTTATAGAAGGATTGGACTGAGGTGCTATAGATAGGTGAGACTGAGGTGTTATAGAAGGGTTGGACTGAGGTGTTATAGATAGGTGAGACTGAGGTGTTATAGAAGGGTTGGACTGAGGTGTTATAGATAGGAGGTGTTATAGACTGACTGAGGTGTTATAGAAGGATGATAGACTGAGGTGTTATAGAAGGATTGGACTGAGGTGTTATAGCAGGGTGAGGATGTTATAGAAGGATGGACTGACTGAGGTGTTATAGATAGGGGTGAGACTGAGGTGTATATAGAAGGATGGACTGAGGTGCTATAGAAGGGTGAGACTGAGGTGTTATAGAAGGGTTGTACTGAGGTGCTATAGATAGGTGAGACTGAGGTGTTATAGAACGACTGGTATGTGTTGCTATAGTTTGGTTAGACTGATGTGTTATAGAAGGATGGGACTGAGGTGTTATAGATATGTGAGACTGAGGTGTTATAGATATGTGAGACTGAGGTGTTATAGATATGTGAGACTGAGGTGTTATAGAAGGATGGGACTGAGGTGCTATAGATAGGTGAGACTGAGGTGTTATAGAAGGGTTGGACTGAGGTGTTATAGATAGGTGAGACTGAGGTGTTATAGAAGGATTGGACTGAGGTGCTATAGATAGGTGAGACTGAGGTGTTATAGAAGGATTGGACTGAGGTGCTATAGATAGGTGAGACTGAGGTGTTATAGAAGGGTTGGACTGAGGTGCTATAGATAGGTGAGACTGAGGTGTTATAGAAGGGTTGGACTGAGGTGCTATAGATAGGTGAGACTGAGGTGTTATAGAAGGATTGGACTGAGGTGTTATAGATAGGTGAGACTGAGGTGTTATAGAAGGGTTGGACTGAGGTGCTATAGATAGGTGAGACTGAGGTGTTAGAAGGATGTTATAGAAGGGTGTTATAGGACTGAGGTGTTATAGATAGGTGAGACTGAGGTGTTATAGAAGGATTGGACTGAGGTGTTATAGATAGGTGAGACTGAGGTGTTATAGAAGGATTGGACTGAGGTGTTATAGAAGGGTTGGACTGAGGTGTTATAGAAGGGTTGGACTGAGGTGTTATAGAAGGGTTGGACTGAGGTGTTATAGAAGGGTTGGACTGAGGTGTTATAGAAGGATTGGACTGAGGTGTTATAGAAGGGTTGGACTGAGGTGTTATAGATAGGTGAGACTGAGATGTTATAGAAGGATTGGACTGAGGTGTTATGGAAGGATGAGACTGAGGTGTTATAAAGGTATGAGACTGAGGTGTTATAGAAGGATTGGACTGAGGTGTTATAGATAGGTGAGACTGAGATGTTATAGAAGGATTGGACTGAGGTGTTATTGAAGGATGAGACTGAGGTGCTATAGTTGGACTGAGGTGTTATAGAGGGTTATTGGACTGAGGTGTTATAGAGGGATGGACTGAGGTGTTATAGCAGGGTGGGACTGAAGTGTTACAGAGGTGTTACAGCAGGGTGGGACTGAGGTATTATAGCAGGGAGGGGGGCTGAGGTGTTGAAGAAGGATGGGACTGAGATGTTATAGAAGGGTTGGACTGAGGTGCTATAGATAGGTGAGACTGAGGTGTTATAGATAGGTGAGACTGAGGTGTTATAGAAGGGTTGGACTGAGGTGCTATAGATAGGTGAGACTGAGGTGTTATAGAAGGGTTGGACTGAGGTGCTATAGATAGGTGAGACTGAGATGTTATAGAAGGGTTGGACTGAGGTGCTATAGATAGGTGAGACTAAAATGTTATAGAAGGGTTGGACTGAGGTGTTATAGATAGGTGAGACTGAGGTGTTATAGAAGGATTGGACTGAGGTGCTATAGATAGGTGAGACTGAGGTGTTATAGAAGGATTGGACTGAGGTGCTATAGATAGGTGAGACTGAGGTGTTATAGAAGGGTTGAACTGAGGTGCTATAGATAGGTGAGACTGAGGTGTTATAGAAGGATTGGACTGAGGTGCTATAGATAGGTGAGACTGAGGTGTTATAGAAGGGTTGAACTGAGGTGCTATAGATAGGTGAGACTGAGATGTTATAGAAGGGTTGGACTGAGGTGCTATAGATAGGTGAGACTGAGGTGTTATAGAAGGGTTGGACTGAGGTGTTATAGATAGGTGAGACTGAGGTGTTATAGAAGGGTTGGACTGAGGTGCTATAGATAGGTGAGACTGAGGTGTTATAGAAGGATTGGACTGAGGTGTTATAGATAGGTGAGACTGAGGTGTTATAGAAGGGTTGGACTGAGGTGCTATAGATAGGTGAGACTGAGGTGTTATAGAAGGATTGGACTGAGGTGTTATAGATAGGTGAGACTGAGGTGTTATAGAAGGATTGGACTGAGGTGTTATAGATAGGTGAGACTGAGGTGTTATAGAAGGGTTGGACTGAGGTGCTATAGATAGGTGAGACTGAGGTGTTATAGAAGGGTTGGACTGAGATGTTATAGAAGGGTTGGACTGAGGTGTTATAGAAGGATTGGACTGAGGTGTTATAGCAGGGTGGGACTGAAGTGTTACAGCAGGGTGGGACTGAGGTGTTACAGCAGGGTGGGACTGAGGTATTATAGCAGGGGTGGGGGGGGACTGAGGTGTTGAAGAAGGATGGGACTGAGATGTTATAGAAGGGTTGGACTGAGGTGCTATAGATAGGTGAGACTGAGGTGTTATAGAAGGATTGGACTGAGGTGCTATAGATAGGTGAGACTGAGGTGTTATAGAAGGGTTGGACTGAGGTGTTATAGAAGGGTTGGACTGAGGTGCTATAGATAGGTGAGACTGAGGTGTTATAGAAGGGTTGGACTGAGGTGTTATAGAAGGGTTGGACTGAGGTGTTATAGAAGGATTGGACTGAGGTGTTATAGCAGGGTGGGACTGAAGTGTTACAGCAGGGTGGGACTGAGGTGTTACAGCAGGGTGGGACTGAGGTATTATAGCAGGGAGGGGGGCTGAGGTGTTGAAGAAGGATGGGACTGAGATGTTATAGAAGGGTTGGACTGAGGTGCTATAGATAGGTGAGACTAAGGTGTTATAGATAGGTGAGACTGAGGTGTTATAGAAGGGTTGGACTGAGGTGCTATAGATAGGTGAGACTGAGGTGTTATAGAAGGGTTGGACTGAGGTGCTATAGATAGGTGAGACTGAGATGTTATAGAAGGGTTGGACTGAGGTGCTATAGATAGGTGAGACTAAAATGTTATAGAAGGGTTGGACTGAGGTGTTATAGATAGGTGAGACTGAGGTGTTATAGAAGGATTGGACTGAGGTGCTATAGATAGGTGAGACTGAGGTGTTATAGAAGGATTGGACTGAGGTGCTATAGATAGGTGAGACTGAGGTGTTATAGAAGGGTTGAACTGAGGTGCTATAGATAGGTGAGACTGAGGTGTTATAGAAGGATTGGACTGAGGTGCTATAGATAGGTGAGACTGAGGTGTTATAGAAGGGTTGAACTGAGGTGCTATAGATAGGTGAGACTGAGATGTTATAGAAGGGTTGGACTGAGGTGCTATAGATAGGTGAGACTGAGGTGTTATAGAAGGGTTGAACTGAGGTGCTATAGATAGGTGAGACTGAGGTGTTATAGAAGGATTGGACTGAGGTGCTATAGATAGGTGAGACTGAGGTGTTACAGAAGGATTGGACTGAGGTGCTATAGATAGGTGAGACTGAGGTGTTATAGAAGGATTGGACTGAGGTGTTATAGATAGGTGAGACTGAGGTGTTATAGAAAGATGGAACTGAGGTGTTATAGATGGGTGAGACTGAGGTGTTATAGAAAATGACATTGAGGTTTTACAGAAGGATGGGACTGATGTGTTATAGAAGGGTTGGACTGAGGTGCTATAGATAGGTGAGACTGAGATGTTATAGAAGGGTTGGACTGAGGTGTTATAGATGGTTGGGACTGAGGTACTTCCTCAATTTGACAAGAATGTTTTAGAAGAGTGGGACTGCAGTGTTAGAGATGTCAGGTTGTGGTCAAGAGCCAATTGCAAAGCATCAAGTATTTTATAATTGTTTACCTTTATATGAGTTTTTAAAAAAAATCAAAACTGTTGCCCACTTCTAAATTACAAAAATCAAGTCTAATGGCAAACATCCTCCTCTGATCAAATAAATTTTTCTACAAATTGGGTGTTTGGTATGAAAACCTTTTTAATTGTTGGTTTACCAAGTGCCTCAATGTCAATACTATGATAGTAAAATATTGTTTGGTTTTCTGTAGAATCCTGTGCTGCTGGAACATATGAAAGTTCAGGAACATGTGTTGATTGCCCTGCCAACCAATATCAAGATTTACCTGGACAAACCACATGTAAACAATGCAGTGCGACAAGCACTATCGCAATCTATACCTCTGGAACCAGATCTACCATGGCGTCACAGTGTGTCTGTAAGTATATATACCACTAGGTCCATCTTTACCTCAGTGTCACAGTGTCTAAGTAAGTATATATACTCAACAAAAAAAGAAAGGTTAACATGTTTCCTTGGCGAATACCTGTAAATGAGTGAAAACAAAATGATGTTTGTGCAATATTAGAAAATGGTAATGTTTTACATTACAAAATCCAAGGGGGTTACCAAAATCATTCAAGCGTGAAAGTCTGTATTAGCGAAAGAGCTGCACAAGGTTTTCTGCGACTAACTTGTATCTTCGCTTGAATTTCATAAACATTCAAACTGACAACTGTTCCTTAGGTCCTTAGGACTTAGAAATCACCGAATCTTGCTATCTAGCAACGTTATTGATATGCCCTGGCTGTCACAAGTACAGAGAGAAAGGGCTGTAGGCATGATCCAGGCTGGGGAGTCTTGCCATCGAGTTGCACAGCATTTTGGTTGCAGTGTTAAGACAATTTACCAGTTCATAAGTCGTTTAAACCAAACTGGGTCAACATCCGATCATCCTCAAGGTGGCCAACCCTGTAAACCGACTGCCAGGGATGACCGTCGTATACGATTGATACACTTGCGCAATCGATTCGTAACCGCAGTAGAGACTACAAGGACATTGTTTGGGCGTCGTGTGTCTCCCCAAACAGTCCGCAACAGGTTGAGGGCCTACCAATTGAAAGCATGGCGTCCCTACACTGGACCCAATTTGTTGCAACGTCACCGTAATAATCGGCGTAGCTGGACCCCTGTTCACCGTTGTTGGGCCTTACGACAATGGAACAATGTTCTGTTTTCAGATGGAAGGCACAAAGTGTGGAGGCAACGAGGGCAGCGTTTTGCGAAATGCTGCATCGCAGAACGGGACTGCTTTGGCGGTGGAAGTGTATTGATTTGGGGTGGTATTTGTGGGGGGACTTGTACCAGGCTTGTTGTGTTAAATGGTAATTTAACCGGCATTCGATATCAGGACGAAATTTTAAGACCAGTGGTTCTGCCATTCTTAAGACGCCATGGCGTTGGCGCCATTTTTCAACGGGATAACGCACCAGGGCACACCAGTCGCGTCAGCAGAACTTTCTTGCGGCAGAATAACGTACAGGTGTTAGATTGGCCATCTAAATCACCTGATTTGTCACCGATTGAGCATGTCTGAGACGTTCTTGGGTGACGCGTGAGAAAACGTCAAAATCAGCCGTCAAATTTGCAGGAGCTGGCCCAAGCCTTGATCGCTGAATGGAACAACATCTCTCCTCGAATTATCTGCCGGTTTATGAGTTCCATGCGATGACGCTGCAATGCTGTTTACTTCGCAAACAGTGGCCATACCGGTTACTAATGGTGTTACTTTTGAAATTGACCCCAATGTCCTTTACAGTCAAATAAAATCAACTGAACGCAAAGTTTTATAATGAACCATGACTGCAGTTTTATCAGAATTGATCAATTACTTTATTCGTACATGATTGGTAAGGATTTATGAAGGGGTTAATTCATTAATCACAGAATAAAGTAGTGTTACCTTTCTTTTTTTGATTAGTATATATATTACTGGATCTCTCAGTGTCTCTATAACTTTATATACCACTAGATCTATTTCTACCTCAGTGTATCAGTAACTTTATATACCACTAGATCTATTTCTACCTCAGTGTCAGTGTATCAGTAACTTTATATACCTCTAGATCTATTTCTACCTCAGTGTATCAGTAACTTTATATACCACTAGATCTATTTCTACCTCAGTGTCAGTGTATCAGTAACTTTATATACCTCTAGATCTATTTCTACCTCAGTGTATCAGTAACTTTATATACCACTAGATCTATTTCTACCTCAGTGTCAGTGTATCAGTAACTTTATATACCTCTAGATCTATTTCTACCTCAGTGTATCAGTAACTTTATATACCACAAGATCTATTTCTACCTCAGTGTCAGTGTATCAGTAACTTTATATACCTCTAGATCTATTTCTACCTCAGTGTATCAGTAACTTTATATACCACTAGATCTATTTCTACCTCAGTGTATCAGTAACTTTATATACCTCTAGATCTATTTCTACCTCAGTGTATCAGTAACTTTATATACCACTAGATCTATTTCTACCTCAGTGTGTATCAGTAACTTTATATACCTCTAGATCTATTTCTTTATAACTTTATATACCACTCTATTTCTACCTCAGTGTATCAGTATCTATTTCTACCTCAGTGTCACAGTGTATCAGTAACTTTATATACCTCTAGATCTATTTCTACCTCAGTGTATCAGTAACTTTATATACCTCTAGATCTATTTCTACCTCAGTGTATCAGTAACTTTATATACCTCTAGATCTATTTCTACCTCAGTGTATCAGTAACTTTATATACCACAAGATCTATTTCTACCTCAGTGTATCAGTAACTTTATATACCTCTAGATCTATTTCTACCTCAGTGTATCAGTAACTTTATATACCTCTAGATCTATTTCTACCTCAGTGTATCAGTAACTTTATATACCTCTAGATCTATTTCTACCTCAGTGTATCAGTAACTTTATATACCACTAGATCTATTTCTACCTCAGTGTATCAGTAACTTTATATACCTCTAGATCTATTTCTACCTCAGTGTATCAGTAACTTTATATACCTCTAGATCTATTTCTACCTCAGTGATCTATTTCTACCTCAGTGTATCAGTAACTTTATATACCACTAGATCTATTTCTACCTCAGTGTATCAGTAACTTTATATACCACTAGAACTATTTCTACCTCAGTGTATCAGTAACTTTATATACCTGGAGATCTATTTCTAGATCTATTTCTACCTGTCAGTGTATCAGTAACTTTATATACCTCTAGATCTATTTCTACCTCAGTGTATCAGTAACTTTATATACCTCTACTATTTCTACCTCAGTGTCAGTATAACTTTATATACCTCTAGATCTATTTCTACCTCAGTGTCACAGTGTATCAGTAACTTTATATACCTCTAGATCTATTTCTTCCTCAGTGTATCAGTAACTTTATATACCTCTAGATCTATTTCTACCTCAGTGTCAGTGTATCAGTAACTTTATATACCACTAGATCTATTTCTACCTCAGTGTATATCAGTAACTTTATATACCTCTAGATCTATTTCTACCTCAGTGTCACAGTGTATCAGTAACTTTATATACCTCTAGATCTATTTCTACCTCAGTGTCAGTGTATCAGTAACTTTATATACCTCTAGATCTATTTCTACCTCAGTGTATCAGTAACTTTATATACCTCTAGATCTATTTCTACCTCAGTGTCACAGTGTATCAGTAACTTTATATACCTCTAGATCTATTTCTACCTCAGTGTATCAGTAACTTTATATACCTCTAGATCTATTTCTACCTCAGTGTCACAGTGTATCAGTAACTTTATATACCTCTAGATCTATTTCTACCTCAGTGTCACAGTGTATCAGTAACTTTATATACCTCTAGATCTATTTCTACCTCAGTGTATCAGTAACTTTATATACCTCTAGATCTATTTCTACCTCAGTGTCAGTGTATCAGTAACTTTATATACCACTAGATCTATTTCTACCTCATTGTCTACAGTGTATCAGTAACTTTATATACCTCTAGATCTATTTCTACCTCAGTGTATCAGTAACTTTATATACCACTAGATCTATTTCTACCTCAGTGTCACAGTGTATCAGTAACTTTATATACCTCTAGATCTATTTCTACCTCAGTGTATCAGTAACTTTATATACCTCTCAGTTTCTATACCTCAGTGTATGTATCAGTAACTTTATATACCACTAAATCTATTTCTACCTCAGTGTATCAGTAACTTTATATACCACTAGATCTATTTCTACCTCAGTGTATCAGTAACTTTATATACCTCTAGATCTATTTCTACCTCAGTGTCAGTGTATCAGTAACTTTATATACCACTAGATCTATTTCTACCTCAGTGTATCAGTAACTTTATATACCTCTAGATCTATTTCTACCTCAGTGTATCAGTGTATCAGTAACTTTATATACCTCTAGATCTATTTCTACCTCAGTGTCAGTGTATCAGTAACTTTATATACCTCTAGATCTATTTCTACCTCAGTGTATCAGTAACTTTATATACCACTAGATCTATTTCTACCTCAGTGTATCAGTAACTTTATATACCACTAGATCTATTTCTACCTCAGTGTATCAGTAACTTTATATACCTCTATTTCTACCTCAGTGTAAGTAACTTTATATACCACTAGATCTATTTCTACCTCAGTGTATCAGTAACTTTATATACCACTAGATCTATTTCTACCTCAGTGTCAGTGTATCAGTAACTTTATATACCACTAGATCTATTTCTACCTCAGTGTATCAGTAACTTTATATACCACTAGATCTATTTCTACCTCAGTGTAGTCAGTAACTTTATATACCAGTAACTTTATATACCACTAGATCTATTTCTACCTCAGTGTATCAGTAACTTTATATACCACTAGATCTATTTCTACCTCAGTGTATCAGTAACTTTATATACCACTAGATCTATTTCTACCTCAGTGTATCAGTAACTTTATATACCACTAGATCTATTTCTACCTCAGTGTATCAGTAACTTTATATACCACTAGATCTATTTCTACCTCAGTGTATCAGTAACTTTATATACCACTAGATCTATTTCTACCTCAGTGTATCAGTAACTTTATATACCACTAGATCTATTTCTACCTCAGTGTAGTCAGTAACTTTATATACCACTAGATCTATTTCTACCTCAGTGTATCAGTAACTTTATATACCACTAGATCTATTTCTACCTCAGTGTATCAGTAACTTTATATACCACTAGATCTATTTCTACCTCAGTGTATCAGTAACTTTATATACCACTAGATCTATTTCTACCTCAGTGTATCAGTAACTTTATATACCACTAGATCTATTTCTACCTCAGTGTATCAGTAACTTTATATACCACTAGATCTATTTCTACCTCAGTGTATCAGTAACTTTATATACCTCTAGATCTATTTCTACCTCAGTGTATCAGTAACTTTATATACCACAAGATCTATTTCTACCTCAGTGTATCTAACTTATATACCACTAGATCTATTTCTACCTCAGTGTATCAGTAACTTTATATACCTCTAGATCTATTTCTACCTCAGTGTATCAGTAACTTTATATACCACTAGATCTATTTCTACCTCAGTGTCAGTGTATCAGTAACTTTATATACCACTAGATCTATTTCTACCTCAGTGTCACAGTGTATCAGTAACTTTATATACCACTAGATCTATTTCTACCTCAGTGTACCAGTAACTTTATATACCACTAGATCTATTTCTACCTCAGTGTCAGTGTATCAGTAACTTTATATACCACTAGATCTATTTCTACCTCAGTGTATCAGTAAATATGTATCTATATATGTATATCACTGGATCTGTCCAAGGATAGACAATGAAATGTCCTATACAGTTTTCTATTGTCACATAGAAATATAGAAAAATTTCACCACCTGTTTGATAACCAACTTTGAATTATTGTACTTTGCAGCAGTCTGTGTTGTGAATAACGACTATTGTAAAAATGGAGGAACCTGTGTTGCTGACCAGACAGTCTATTGCCAGTGTGGGTCCAGATACTCGGGCACATTTTGTGAGATCAGGAGTGGTATGTAGTATGATTTATCAATAATCAGTGATAAGGAGGAAATTTTTGTCACAGTCCAGAAATTAAATTCTGAAAAGAAAAAAACTAAATAATCAATATCGTCAAATTGAATCATATTTTTTAGCCTACCATCATCAGATGGTTGGCTATTCAAATTGCTCTGTCTCTGTTTTTCGGCCATCCATCTGACTGTAAAAAAAATTTCTTATCGCTATTTCTTGAGAAGTACTGGAAGAATCTTCCTCAAATTGCATATGTAATTTCACCTTGGTCACTAATTGTGCTTGTTTGATCAGAAGAAACAAAATGGCCAACAGACAGCCATCTTGGATTTTTCTCAGTGAAGTTTGCTATTGCTATTTCTTGAAAAGTAAGAGATGGATCTCTCTCAAATTCATATGTGGGTTCTCCTTAGTCCCTAGTTTTGCCCATTCGATTTTTGGACTGATCATTAAAACAAAATTGCAGACAGGTGGCCGTCTTGGATTTTGACTTTGAAAGTTTGTAATCACTATTTCTTGAAAAGTTCTCAATGGATCTTTCTTAAATTTCATATGTCGGTTCCCCTTAGTCACTAGTTGTACCCATTGGATTTTGGGTCTGATCAGAAAAACAAAATGGGGGAAAGGTGGCCATCTTGGATTTGGCAAGTAAATATTATCATCGCTATTTCTGCAAAGGAATGTTAAAATGTCTTATCATTAAGAGCAAAAACAGAAAAAGTAAAAAAAGGGAAAAGGTCCAACTTTCAAGGGGCATATAAAGATCAAACGTAGTGGGTGCCAAAATCCCTCTGGGATCTCTTGTTACAGAATATTCATTACATGACAAAAAATTGTAACATTTAAGATATAATCAATAGTAAAGTGTAAGCAGTATAATACCTTTCATAGTGTATGGTGTAAGTAGTGTCATATCTGTCATAGTGTATGGTGTAAGTAGTGTCATATCTGTCATAGTGTATGGTGTAAGTAGTGTCATATCTGTCATAGTGTATGGTGTAAGTAGTGTCATATCTGTCATAGTGTATGGTGTAAGTAGTGTCATATCTGTCATAGTGTATGGTGTAAGTAGTGTCATATCTGTCATAGTGTATGGTGTAAGTAGTGTCATATCTGTCATAGTGTATGGTGTAAGTAGTGTCATATCTGTCATAGTGTATGGTGTAAGTAGTGTCATATCTGTCATAGTGTATGGTGTAAGTAGTGTCATATCTGTCATAGTGTATGGTGTAAGTAGTGTCATATCTGTCATAGTGTATGGTGTAAGTAGTGTCATATCTGTCATAGTGTATGGTGTAAGTAGTGTCATATCTGTCATAGTGTATGGTGTAAGTAGTGTCATATCTGTCATAGTGTATGGTGTAAGTAGTGTCATATCTGTCATAGTGTATGGTGTAAGTAGTGTCATATCTGTCATAGTGTATGGTGTAAGTAGTGTCATATCTGTCATAGTGTATGGTGTAAGTAGTGTCATATCTGTCATAGTGTATGGTGTAAGTAGTGTCATATCTGTCATAGTGTATGGTGTAAGTAGTATATCTGTCATAGTGTATGGTGTAAGTAGTGTCATATCTGTCATAGTGTATGGTGTAAGTAGTGTCATATCTGTCATAGTGTATGGTGTAAGTAGTGTCATATCTGTCATAGTGTATGGTGTAAGTAGTGTCATATCTGTCATAGTGTATGGTGTAAGTAGTGTCATATCTGTCATAGTGTATGGTGTAAGTAGTGTCATATCTGTCATAGTGTATGGTGTAAGTAGTGTCATATCTGTCATAGTGTATGGTGTAAGTAGTGCCATATCTGTCATAGTGTATGGTGTAAGTAGTGTCATATCTGTCATAGTGTATGGTGTAAGTAGTGTCATATCTATCATAGTGTATGGTGTAAGTAGTGTCATATCTGTCATAGTGTATGGTGTAAGTAGTGTCATATCTGTCATAGTGTATGGTGTAAGTAGTGTCATATCTGTCATAGTGTATGGTGTAAGTAGTGTCATATCTGTCATAGTGTATGGTGTAAGTAGTGTCATATCTGTCATAGTGTATGGTGTAAGTAGTGTCATATCTGTCATAGTGTATGGTGTAAGTAGTGTCATATCTGTCATAGTGTATGGTGTAAGTAGTGTCATATCTGTCATAGTGTATGGTGTAAGTAGTGTCATATCTGTCATAGTGTATGGTGTAAGTAGTGTCATATCTGTCATAGTGTATGGTGTAAGTAGTGTCATATCTGTCATAGTGTATGGTGTAAGTAGTGTCATATCTGTCATAGTGTATGGTGTAAGTAGTGTCATATCTGTCATAGTGTATGGTGTAAGTAGTGTCATATCTGTCATAGTGTATGGTGTAGTGTATGGTGTAAGTAGTGTCATATCTGTCATAGTGTATGGTGTAAGTAGTGTCATATCTGTCATAGTGTATGGTGTAAGTAGTGTCATATCTGTCATAGTGTATGGTGTAAGTAGTGTCATATCTGTCATAGTGTATGGTGTAAGTAGTGTCATATCTGTCATAGTGTATGGTGTAAGTAGTGTCATATCTGTCATAGTGTATGGTGTAAGTAGTGTCATATCTGTCATAGTGTATGGTGTAAGTAGTGTAATATCTGTCATAGTGTATGGTGTAAGTAGTGTCATATCTGTCATAGTGTATGGTGTAAGTAGTGTCATATCTGTCATAGTGTCATAGTGTGTATATCTGTCATAGTGTATGGTGTATATAATCTGTCATATATCTGTCATGGTGTATAGTATTATTAGTGTCATATCTGTCATAGTGTTTAGTGTTGTTAGTGTCATATCTGTCATAGTGTATAGTGTTGTTAGTGTCATATCTGTTATGTTGTATAGTGTTAGTAGCATCATACCTGTCTTAGTCTATTGTGTTAGTAGCATCATACCTGTCTTAGTCTATTGTGTTAGTAGCATCATACCTGTCTTAGTCTATTATGGTAGTTGCATCAAACATGTCTATTGTGTGTATAACATCTTACCTGTCATACATCTGAAACTGTTGATTAATTTTGTATATTGTATTTACAGAACCAGACAACACGGCCTGGATATACATTGTAACAGGAACTATTGGTGGAATAGTGTTCCTTATCATTGTCATCATCATCATTGTGGTGTTCTGCAGGCGAGTAAGGTTGGTAGATCATGAGATATTATCCCTCTTATATACATAGCACGGGTCATAAACATCCCCTACCAATTAAATCAAGCAGACTTTAACGATTGCACAATGTGTGATTCTGTATGTCATTTGCATGTACGGATGCTAACTCGCACCCAGAGAAATATTTCTATTGAAATCTTCACTAGATTATGTTAAGATAGATTTAAACCAATGATTAAATGAAAATTTTGGGATATAATGGTATAATATAATCAGACTGGTCAAGTTTTTATAAGATATTGTTGTCCATGGCATGGCGTTTATTTCAATACTGAATTCTGTCTGATGTGTAAGTCAGTTATCATATCTACAACTGACATCTCTGAAACAATATGGCATATATGTTTATCAAAGCAATTTCTTATGAACTTAGGGATACAAATTTTGTCAAATCACTCTTTATATATCAATATCAAATGTTTCTACTACTGGATAGAGCCCTTTATTTTCCTCATATTGTTTGACCTGTTTATTGTTGAAGGAATGTGATATTGAATTTGTTCATGCAAATTGTGAAGTCATATCATGGTCAGATGTTTTAAAACATTCAAGTAACTATCTACAAAGAGCCACAAGGTATCAAGGAATGACATTTGGATACAATGAAGGTGACAGATTTTAACGTTGAGGCGAGAGGGGAGAGGATGGGCCCAGTAGGGGACATAAAGCAAATTCCGTAAAATCCTAATCCTCCTGTAGGACTGATCGAATTTCTCTCATTTGGTCTGAAGTATTCTTGGGCAAAGGGGAATCAGTTTAGTATAAACAGGGTGTCTCTGCCCCCTGGTGTGGAGGGGCGGGCTCAAATAGGAAAGAGAGCAAATTATCTAAATGTTTTCTCTTCATGTATGAATGATTGGATTCTGCTGAAATTTAATGTGAAGCATTCTGAGGCAAAGGGGAATCAAATTTGTGTAGACAGGCTCCTGAAGTAGGAGGGGTGGATGAGGAGTGGGCCCCAATATTGTAAATAAAGCAAATTATTTAAAATTCTCCTTCACCTGTAGGGATTATTTAGTCTGAAGAATGAATGATTTGGCTGATCCCCATAAAGGGAAAGAGGGTTTGGATTCAATAAGAAAGTAGATATGTTCTGTGGTGTTTGCTTGGATATTTAGAATTCCCTTTCCTTTATGTTTTAATGAAGCAATTTTAGCCAAGCAAAGCCAAGTTAGCAATACAGGCTCTAAAAAATGACTAAAATTGATCATTATGATTGAATAACACATAGCAATAATTTGGAATTTATAGTGGACTCTTTGCTTTGGCCAATCAAACATGACATAACAAAACTATGTCAATTGTTTTTATTGAAGGATAACAAAAAAAACAAAACAAAAAAATTGGCCAATGGAAAAGCTTGTTTCATAAAGAATTGAGTCATTACATTATGTATTAACAGCTCTTCGAAGCCCAAGGTTGTGTATGAGAAACGAGAGGCCCCACAAAACAACTATGGATATCAGGGTTATGACAACGTAGGCTTTCCTTACAATTACCCGGTCAGCCAGCAAGGCATGACTCAGGCACTGCCTGAGAGCTACTACCTCCCCTACCAGCAGCCATACCAACAGCCCCGAGCCATAGTCAGTGGACGTCAACGTGGTTTTGAAGTCGATGATGAAAACTCTTCAGGCTACAGATGGACCTCCTTTTCAGAACATTGATTTCTTAAATTACAAATATGTCTTCTGAAGTAATAAAACATTGGATTTGACCATTAGTTAAATGAAGTACAATCATTGAAGATAGCTGAAATTTGAAAGAAGAGGACATTTAAGTTTGTAAAGAGGTATTAAGACATATTTATCTTGTCATTTTCACCAGGTGTTCAAAGTAGTAAGACATTGAAGAAGACTACAAACTGAAATGTCTATGAAATTCTAACACAAAGTGTCTTAGTTTTACAGATTGTGACTTTACTATAGATTTCATTAACAACAGAAACTGCTTTCATTGCCGATCAGGTCCCTCAAATTATTATCATATTCTATGCAAAGCAATCAATGAACTTCAATGTTTTTGGACAGTGGAAGCCTTCATATATATGTGTTTCTTCAGTAAGAAAGCATTTCATCATATTCCATGTACTAACTTGGTCAAAGAATAACATTCACATCAATCTAGTAGTTGTAGCTCTGTATTTTTGCACAAGTACCATTTTCTTTTACGAATACCTTTTCAAAGTAATATAGATCATCTGTATTGACTTTCAAATCTGCCTAATAGTCAGTAAATTTCAAAAAAATTTCACCCCAGTCCCAATAATTATTACCTGTCAATTTTTTTCACCCCAGTCCTATATGTTAAAACAAGTCAAAAAGTTTTCACTTCAGTCCCAATAGTTATTACCTGTCAATAAGTTTTCACTCCAGTGCAAATAGTAGGTATGAGTCACCCAACACCTAATATTCACTTGTAATTGTCAATAACTGGATGATTATGAGAAGTGTTTAGTATGACCACCCCCCCTCCCCCCTCTCATTAAGGTTTCAACCACATTACTGACTTCCATTCCACATTTTTGATTAAGGATGATACCTTTATCATAATCATTACTGTATCAGACTAAGCTGAATTTTTGTAAGAAATTAGTAATGGTTATTGTATTTATATCTACTGCATAAAGACATAGATATATGTTGTAAAACTTTATTTTGATTATGTAGATAAGGTCGACTGTTGTATGTTTGTGTCTTTTTATTCATTATTTCTTTAAAATGTCGATGAAAAAAAAACCAATCACTAATTTCATATGGACCTTTGAATCCTGTCCTTTGAAAATTTTTGATATATTCATACAGCTATTGTGTCCATCGTAATGAAAATCAGGTATGCTTAGCATGCAGTAAGATTTAAATTTTCCAAAACAGTTAAGAGAAATTCATTTGTACATATGCCATTATTTACATATATTTGTTTATATTTAGAGTTTTGACATATAATCAGTAACCTTAGTTTGTATATAAAATCAATGGAGAATGAATGATTATCTATATTATTGCCAAATATGGTGCATCTTCCTCCTTACTAAGTTTAATTGTAAGTACTTATATAGAATGTACAGTCTAATCAACAGATTAAGATCATTTGGTTTTTCATATTATAGTGTATTGCACATCTGTTTTACCTATCAGATCTGTGTTTTCACCTTGGACAAGTGAAGAGAATTATATATAGATCACAAGTCAGTCTTTAGTAGGCATTGATTAAAGGGAGAAACTACATGAGAAATGATAGATGAACATTAACTGCTGACAGTTTCCAGAATAAATCGGTACATGTGTTGAGTCCAATTTTTTGCACCACTGAACTGAAATAAGAAATAAAAACGAAATATATGGAGAAAGTGTGATGTTGTAGAGAGGAATGGTCCAAGGGAGATAATCTTTAACAGTCAGATGTGAAAATTGAAATATCAACCTCATTGTGCGTTGTACATTTCTTGACAAGTACATTAATTGATAATTGTTAAAACTGAGAAGGAATCAAAATAAGCATCTTTATATATACATTTTTTGTGAATGTTTTTCTTTTGTTGTTTTCTGTATTCGATGTATCATGAGTTCCATAACTTTTTTACTGGACTGCAATATTAGAGAAAATACTAACAGCTTGCCCATTCAATTTATGAGACTTTCCCTAGACTATTTTAGTTGGAGCGAAGGTGATGCATGTAGTTCCATGTTACGTTTGTACTGATCATTCCTGCTGGCAATTTACAATACTCTAATCAAAAACACCATCAAAACATCATGTAGAGAACAGCTAACTTAAATTTTTCGCTATGTTTCAACAGTAAAAAAAAATGTTCATGGTTTAAATTATGATTTTAATTAAATTGTAATGATAGACATCAGAAACTGCTCCCACTTTCAAAGTTACTGAATTAAAAGATATATAGAAACGTTTATATGCAACTGTTGTTTTCTTGTGTGAGTGAGATATATTGCCAGAGAAAAGTGATATTAGCCACATATGTGATCAGTATTGTTACTCCAGAAATGACTTAATGCCATATTATACTACATATAAGAACCACTATTTTTTATGTATTTTATCCATGTTGAATTTTATTATGTATATCATATGACTATAACCCATCATTTTGTATTCAACTGAAAAATAAAAACTTTGGCAGTTGTATTCTGGCTTTTATTCTTTTATTCATTTATATATTTTTTACATTGTGTCAGCTATAGTACCAGTAATACATATATCTATCTGATGTTTTTGGTAGGTTGAACAAACAGGATATAAATGCCTTAATTCAATGTTTTGTGTAAACAGAAAACAAACTTCTGAAACAATTTTATCAAGATAGTTATCTCTTACTAAATAATGCTTTATTTTAACAAGTTAATTCTGTGATCATATAAAAAACAAACTTGACAAGCAGGTGGCCCTTTAGACCACTTATTTCAATAATTCTGGAAATGAACAATGCACAACCATGAACCAAGGGAACCTACATATGAAATTGGAGAATGACACGTCCAGGACTTCTCCTGATACATCGAGGAAAAAATCCATGAAGGACACCTATCAGCCATTTTATTATTCTTATCGATCCTAAAAATGGACAATGCACACCTAAAAATCAAGAGATTCTACATACAAAATTTCCGAATGTTCCTTCTAATACTTCTACAGAAATTGCCATAACAAAATATTACTGTTAACATGCAAGATGGCCGTCTGTCAACCTTTTTTATTTTTCCAGTTCAGTCCAAAAATGGAAAAGCCTTACTAGGGACCAAGGGAAACCCATGTGTGAAATCCAGGAATGATCCATATAGTAGAAATTGAGAGACAAGAAGAACTGTTTAGTGCAAGACATATTATAGATTAACTAATGAATATTGAGCTTATCTCAGTTGGTAAGTGTGAGGAACATTAACTGATTGATATATAGAATACACAATGCATATACGTATATTAAGATCATTTATTATCACAGACTACAACAGATCATTATTTTACCTGTAAAGCAAAAATAAATGAAAACAACAATATTCTGATGCTTGTAGTTTTAGCAAAAACTTGTAATATGAAAGCCTACAATATACTCAACAGTCTTTAATCAACAAAGTTTGTCTTATTCTGCACCAGGGGTTATACATAAAATGAAACTGGTGCAAACTTTGGTGGTGTATATTTGTGGTCCTCATATCAGACATGCTTCTGCTAAAACTTGATGAATTTATTGATGGGAAGTTTTAGAAATCATTGTCACTATCTTCATCATTTGGTTGTTGCCGTTGCCTGGCACGGGGATTATTTGACATCATCATTTCATCACCACTGTCATCATCATCATCATCATCATCTTGATCATCTTCATCAAGATCGATCTCAGAGTCATCAGACCCTTCAGATCCTGTCTCATTCTGAAACAACCAAACATCAATCTTATGTCAGTTCTCAAATAAGCTCTCAAATACTGTCTTATTTTCATTCCTTGGTAAGATTTTAAACAATTTCACCAAATATGGAGCACCCAAAGTGACTATGATAAAGACGCATCACCTGTCAATGTGACTATAATAACCATACGTAGGTCACTGATATCTCCCATCATGGAGCCCATCGGCTGACCAATGTGACTATATAATAACAATACATACCTGACTGATATCTCCCATCATGGAGCCCATCAGCTGACCAATGTGACTATATAATAACATTACCCACATCGCTGATATCTCCCATCATGAAGCCCATCAACTGACCAATGTGACTATATACCAAGACATATGTTACTGATATCTCCCATCATGAAGCCTGTCAGCTGACCAATGTGACTATATAATAACATTACCCACATCGCTGATATCTCCCATCATGAAGCCCATCAACTGACCAATGTGACTATATACCAAGACATATGTCACTGACATCTCCCATCATGAAGCCCATCGGCTGACCAATGTGACTATATAATAACAATACATACCTCACTGATATCTCCCATCATGGAGCCCATCACTCTTTGTTTCCTCTCCCCAGCTGCAGCTGTAAGTATAACAATATAATATAGATACCTTTACATTCTATAAATAATCAAACATTAAATTGGTTGGGCAGTCAATTCAATCCCTGTCAATCAAATGCACCACTCAAAGGTAATATACTTGAGAAGGCTATATGACAATACATTTGCAAAATGATACAATATTTATAAGAAGTCAAAGGTCAGTACTTTTACTATGAGGTCATTATGACAGGTTTTAGTCCAGTACCCTGATGTCAAGGTCATCGTACAAGATCCAAGGTCAAAAATCTATACAGCTCCAATATTACAGTTCTGATAATTGAGAAGTAAATTGTCAAGGAAATGTAAGGTTAAGATCATAAATCTTTTGACTGTCATTATAAAACAATCCTACTCTAGAACGTAAACATCACATCATCAATAGCCCAGAATGTACATACCACATCATCCCCAATGTAGAATGTAAACATCATATCATCAATAGCCCAGAATGTACATACCACATCACACCAAGTGTACAATGTAAACATCACATCATCAATAGCCCAGAATGTACATACCACATCATCCCCAATGTAGAATGTAAACATCATATCATCCCTACTCTACAGACTTTACAGTCTAGACTGTAAGCATCACATCACCCCTTGTTAAGTATGTAAATATCACATCACCCCTAGTCTAGAATGTAAATATCTGCCATCTCTAGTCTAGTATGTAAATATCACATCAACCCCTAGTCTAGTATGTAAATATCCGCCATCTCTAGTCTAGAATGTAAATATCACATCAACCCCTAGTCTAGAATGTAAATATCTGCCATCTCTAGTCTAGTATGTAAATATCACATCAACCCCTAGTCTAGTATGTAAATATCCGCCATCTCTAGTCTAGAATGTAAATATCACATCAACCCCTAGTCTAGAATGTAAATATCCGCCATCTCTAGTCTAGAATGTAAATATCACATCAACCCCTAGTCTAGAATGTAAATATCCGCCATCTCTAGTCTAGTATGTAAATATCACATCACCCCTAGTCTAGTATGTAAATATCTGCCATCCCTAGTCTAGTATGTAAATTACTCCCCATCTCTAGTCTAGTATGTAAATATCACAAACAAGCAAAACAGGAAAGAAATTACCCTGAAGCAATGCTAATTAAGTGCTATGTATAAGTGGCATCATTGGTTACGATGGTCATTTACAACCTCTGCCTGCAGCGTTTACCATCAAAGTGGATAGTGAACACAAGGAGCAATGAAACCCTTAAGCAAATATAATCTCACAATGTGTTTGAACAATTCAAATTGAAATCGAAACAAAAATAGAAAGGGCTCAAACTATCACTTGATCATGAGTTCAAACAACCTGCTTTTTCAATCTGGTTTACCATATACATAGGCTCAAAATGTGGTAAAAATATCCAGAATGCAATTTTCACTGATAGAACTTTGTGTAAAATACAGGTTTGAGCTGTCTTTGTGTAAAGTTTATTATTCACTTACTTTTTAGGTCACATTTACAATGCATAACCTTCCTGTAGTTTGAAATACTTCGAGTTAAATCATGACTGCTTTTAAAAAGCAGAAATGTCTGATTACTTACTGTTCATTTGTTTATTCAAGTTTATCACTCTGTTAACAGCTAGGGTCTGGAGGAAAGTTCTCTGTTTGGTAGCTGGTGGCTACCTCAACAAACATCATACAGGAAGTCTTTTACATTATCCAAAGCAAATTGGGTAAAGTGTCTCACCCAAGGACATAACAATGACAGCACAGACAGGTCTATTTCTCTGTGTCCTGAGAAACACAGAGTACCATGGGTATCTCTGAATCTCAAACCTCGAAAACTTACCTGAGGTTACATTAGGCAACACTCTACCTACTGAACTAACAGCCCCCCCCCCCACCTACCACCTCCTTGTAAGTAATTAAAACACCCAGATATATTAGGTACACACCATCAGGTCTGGTACGAACGGGTCTTTCCAATGCTTCTTCTTCACTTTCTTCATCTTCATCTTCATCATCTGAACCTACAAAATCAATCATTCTTTATGATAGAGAAAGCAAACATGAATATCAATAACACTGAGTTGTTATTCATAAAACCTTAATGTAACAAAGACATCTTGTATTTCACTGAAGACTAACAATGTCATTGTTTTTGAGGATTTTCTTCCTTCGGTAAACGGTAAACTCTCCCTTAAACTGGAGGTAAATGGTACTGGTGCACAAGTCATAATCATAAAGAAATTTTAATTTTTGAAGAGAAAAATTCAACTTTTAAGTTTGATGTATCCCTTTTAAAGAATATGGAAGTCCTTTGTAGGTCACCTAATTTGAATCCAGGATAGCATTGTTGCTAAGGTATAGTATAAGTAATGGAAAAATCTGAAATTTAATTCCTGATCTTTCCTTTTGGCCAATTTTTAATTTTCTTTCTAACTACTCAAATCCCATCCATAAGTAATGCAATACTTCACATACAGGACCTTAAATGAGTTTCTATTTCATATGAGATTTTATAAAACAAGTCTTAGAAGTTTTTGGTTTGTAAGTCTTGGCAAGCAAAAATATCTCAGATGAAATGAAAAAAAAAATTGGATACTTTTTTATCACAGAACACAGAAAAGTTACATTTTGACAAGTTTTAATGTGAAAATGTGAAAGAGAAATCAAAGAGAGGCAATTATTTTATTATGCAAAATTTCAATTTATGACATAACATTATTGTCCATACATGAACATCAGTCAACTTCTAGCCAGCAGAACCAATGAAAAACACTTCGGGGTACATTACACTAGTGACGTTTATGCAAAGATATCACATGGGCAAATTCACCAGATAACAGGCCAATATTATGATAAAAATGCATAATTCCAACGAGTTTTTTATACAAACATGATCAACATATCTATGAAAATGACTTTCACATCTTCTAAGAGTATCAGTGGAAATAACATTGAAAATTGTATTCCTGATAACACAATTAGTCTTCAACACTTGTTTCCGAATCCAATTTGACTTCTTCCAGCATGCTTATTTTATACTGAATGTACTGTATAAAAAATGAAATTCAGTGCCTATCAACCCTACCAATATCAATTGTACTGGGAAGATAACTCCAATTTTCAGTAATTTTTTCATTTATCTTATCTTGAAGGCACTGTTTACCTTATTAGGGCTTAACTATCAACAATAAACCAAACATACCCATGACATCTTCTTGTGTAATGACGTCTCGCTTCATTTCCTCATCCTTCAGTTTCTGAGCCATTTGCTTAAGCTTCTCCTCAGTTTCCTATAACAACCAATTTCCCTCTCAAATGTCAAGATCACACATACCATGATTCATAATCATTCACTAAAACAACAAACTGATGTCAAGCTTTCTCCCCTAAAACTCTGTTTTACCCTGCTCTAATACTACTTCTTGTTAACCTCTAACTCAGTTTTACTCTGCTCTAATACTACTTCTTGTTAACCTCTAACTCAGTTTTACTCTGCTCTAATACTACTTCTTGTTAACCTCTAACTCAGTTTTACTCTGCTCTAATACTACTTCTTGTTAACCTCTAACTCAGTTTTACTCTGCTCTAATACTACTTCTTGTTAACCTCTAACTCAGTTTTACTCTGCTCTAATACTACTTCTTGTTAACCTCTAACTCAGTTTTACTCTGCTCTAATACTATTTCTTGTTAACCTCTAATTCAGTTTTACTCTGCTCTAATATTACACCTTGTTAACCTCTAACTCAGTTTTACTCTGCTCTAATACTATTTCTTGTTAACCTCTAATTCAGTTTTACTCTGCTCTAATATTACACCTTGTTAACCTCTAACTCAGTTTTACTCTGCTCTAATACTACTTCTTGTTAACCTCTAACTCAGTTTTACTCTGCTCTAATACTACTTCTTGTTAACCTCTAACTCAGTTTTACTCTGCTCTAATATTACACCTTGTTAACCTCTAACTCAGTTTTACTCTGCTCTAATACTACTTCTTGTTAACCTCTAACTCAGTTTTACTCTGCTCTAATACTACTTCTTGTTAACCTCTAATTCAGTTTTACTCTGCTCTAATATTACACCTTGTTAACCTCTAATTCAGTTTTACTCTGCTTTTATATTTAACCTTCTTGTTAACCTCTAAATTATTTTTCCCTGCTCTAATACTACTTCTTGTTAACCTCTAACTCAGTTTTACTCTGCTCTAATATTACAATTTGTTAAGCTCTCAGTTTTCCTCTGCTCTAATATTACACCTTGTTTACCTCAAGTTTTATACTGCTCTGGTTTTACATCTTTCTTACATAAAACTGAATTTTATCCTGCCCTTACCTCAAATCTATCTTGCTCTGCTCTATTGTAATCTTCTAGTTGTGATTCTAGGTATGTGAGATTCCTGAATTTGTTCATGTAGACCTCATATAACTTCTGTAGGTCCTCCTCCAGTTTCTCATACTCGTCCATGTAAGCAGGTCGTACACTCTGCAGAGTCTGTAACCTCTTATTGTTTCTCTCCAGTTCATTCCTCTTTTTATCAATCTTGGCCTCCAGATTGGCCTCATCCGATGCTACATTGTCTAACATGTGGAGTGTCTTCTTAACCTCAGCCTAAAAAAGTATCAATAAACATTGTAGTACCATTATTAAAATCAATCATATCTTATAGCATGTCTGTAAGTACATGAATCACATCTTTTCATCACAATGGTAACAGTATCTATATCCGATAAGCTAGGATACCACTGATGAAGATGTAGAGCTGAGAAATGTGACATGTAGAAGATGGCATGTATGAATCACTGCCAAAGGTACATAAGTAAAGCTAAACATACCTTAAGACCGCCTCTTTATAAAAATACTCCCTATAAGGACCACCTGTACATAAAAAATACCTGTCTATCCAGGCCACCTATATTTAATAATTATGATACCTTTCTATAAAGGCTACCTCTTGATAACAAACACCTCTAAATCAAAATACTCCCCATAAAGACCACCTGTACATAACAAATACCTGTATATCCAGGCCACCTATATTTAACAATTATGATACCTTTCTATAAAGGCTATCTCTTTATAACAAACACCTCTCTATAAAGCCTACTGGTTAAAGGTCCCCATTCAATACAAATTAGTATTTGAACTTCTGTATAAATGTCACTTGCCTAAGGCCACTTTTCTTCTGCTCCAGTGTAGCCTCTATGGACAGGTTTAAATGTAAATATGAATTCACCACTGTTTCTCGTAGAGTTAGCCAGTATCAATCAAATAACCAGCAATACTACATACTGTTGTACAATGTACCAGTGAGTTTGATTTTTAAAGCTTTAGATAAATCTGACACATATGACCATGTAGATGGGTCAACGTAAACAGATTTAAACAAGGCTTAAGCTAATAACATTACATATGACCAGAATATATTATCTTTTTTAATGCAGAAGCCTTTTTGTTTGTCATTTCAAGTTGGAATCATCAATGTTTTATTAAACTTAATTGTAACCATATTTTGTTGGAAGTTTAAAATTTCACAGCTGACTTCTGAAATTTGTATGTCATGAAGCAGAGATATGCAGTCAATAAGTGGTTACAGTCAATTTGAATGTCTACTGGAAATACAATATTACGTAAATACAGTTCCTGTAATACAATCATAAAAGAGCCCTTCATATTGAATTTATCAAAGGTTTATCATTTCAACCATGTATCCCAACTCAAAAGTATTATTCATATCAACCATTAAAGTAACCACAATACTGACAAAATCCACTACCAAAACATATTACCATAACAATGATAGTAACCCAGGTCAGACATAATTACCATAAGCACTGATAATGTCCACAGCTAAGACATAATAACCATGAACATTGTTAATGTCCACAGCTAAGACATAATTGCCATGAACATTGTTAATGTCCACAGCTAAGACATAATTGCCATGAACACTGATAATGTCCACAGCAAAGACATAATAACCATGAACATTGTTAATGTCCACAGCTAAGACATAATTGCCATGAACATTGTTAATGTCCACAGCTAAGACATAATTGCCATGGACACTGATAATGTCCACAGCAAAGACATAATAACCATGAACATTGTTAATGTCCACAGCTAAGACATAATAACCATGAACATTGTTAATGTCCACAGCTAAGACATAATTGCCATGAACATTGTTAATGTCCACAGCTAAGACATAATTGCCATGAATATTGTTAATGTCCACAGCTAAGACATAATTGTCATGAACACAGATAATGTCCACAGCAAAGACATAATAACCATGAACATTGTTAATGTCCACAGCTAAGACATAATTGCCATGAACATTGTTAATGTCCACAGCTAAGACATAATTGCCATGAACATTGTTAATGTCCACAGCTAAGACATAATTGCCATGAATATTGTTAATGTCCACAGCTAAGACATAATTGTCATGAACACAGATAATGTCCACAGCAAAGACATAATAACCATGAACATTGTTAATGTCCACAGCTAAGACATAATTGCCATGAACATTGTTAATGTCCACAGCAAAGACATAATAACCATGAACATTGTTAATGTCCACAGCTAAGACATAATTGCCATGAACATTGTTAATGTCCACAGCTAAGACATAATTGCCATGAACATTGTTAATGTCCACAGCTAAGACATAATTGCCATGTTAACTGATTATGTCCACAGCTAAGACATAATTGCCATGATAACTGATAATGTCCACAGCAAAGACATAATTGCCATAATTGATCATGTTCACAGCTAAGACATAATTTCCATGAACATTGATAATGTCCACAGCTAAGACATAATTTCCATGAACATTGATAATGTCCACAGCTAAGACATAATTTCCATGAACATTGATAATGTCCACAGCTAAGACATAATTGCTATGTACAATACACCTATAGTAATCATACTGTGTCAATAGATGTATTGTTTATAGTAGGATACATTACCTCAACAGCCTTGATGGAGTTGGCCATCCCACTCTCTACTTCATTGATCTCTAGAGATTTGGCAATAACCACTGATCTCTGTTCCTGTTGGGTACAGACAAAGCATGATGTTTAGTTTCTCTCGACATCAGAATCACATTTACCAAAAAATAAATGTTGTAGTTCTGTAGGTTTACACTTTCAGTTGTACAGATTACAAATGGGATGTATAGTTTAAATAGAATAAATTATTTCACTTAAAGATTATGTTGGGTCACTAAAATAATACAAAAGTTATAATGCATCATTTTGAATTATTTTGATACAGAAATGTGCAGGAAAGAATTCTTCTAGAAACATTATCAAGTTCAGAACAATGTCACACGAACTAAATGTAAATTAAAGCTTATATTAAAATAACATGCACATCAGATGTGACACTAACCTGGATTATGGTGACCTCAGACACTCTTACTAATTAGTGTCATGATGAATTGTACAGGTGAAAACTTTGAACTCTAATTATACTTAGCTGTTTTAGCTGACAAAGTTCTATTTAGAATGAAAACTAACTTTGTCGAAGATCTTAGCCATCTTACAAATGTTATTAACAGCTTAAATAAATAATCAAATGTCAATTTCCTATTGAAATACTACCAAATGGGTACCTATTTGAATACTTGCTGACATCCCTAGTAAATGATAATAACTTACCCTGAGGTCGACCTCCCTACCCAACAGGTCATAAAGCGTAGCTCCCTTTGTTGTGATTTCTGATGCTAATCTTCTTGCTTCCTTCAGTTCACTAATCTAATTTAAAACAAGTGTCAATTATACATGTAATATATGGAGTGCTCAAAACTATCGACTAACATTTTCACTTCTTTGTTCTGGCAGTCTTTTTATACATACGTTTTTGTGTCTAATACGTATATCACTTCAAATACAATATTGTGCCAGACAGCCTCTACATCTATCTCATAGACCTGTTTTACTGCCCTGATGCAGCAAGTAAAACAAGAGCATGTTATCTTAGATTTATACTTAAACTGCTTAACATATTTAATGAGTTATATCAAGAGAACACAACAACTCTACCAACTAGAAATGAAAATCTTGAACATCTTTTAACCATGTCTCTATGGATACATATAAGTTATCCTAACTTGCTTCTGGATTCATTTTTATTTGTATTTATGTTTACATCAAATTCTTTATATCAAACGCTGTGACCTATCTTGAAGGAGACAGATATCTGCCACCTACCCCTGCTAAGAAATGAAAGAAAAGGCTGAAATTTTTTTTTGTTTTTTTTTGTGACATACCCAAAAAGAGACATGGCAGTGCAACATGGTATTTATTTATCTATTTTCTTTTTTACTTACCATAGAAAATATGTGTTGTTTGATAGTTTTTCAAGAGAGATCTCAGTTTTCAACCAATCTCTTTGAAACTTGATAGGCTATATAACTATGACATGAAGTTGTGCTTTCCTACTTGGTAATTTCATTGCTATTCGATTTTTGCTAATCTTTTGTAATATGACTTAAATCTTGCCTGGAGTTTTCCTCGTATTATTTATTTCTGACATGGAATTGTGTTATCCTGAACAGCATTTGATTCAGCAAGGATTTAAGAGTAATTTCCCTTTGATTTCATGCATTTTAATCCTATCCATGAAACTTCTCTAATTAGTTTAGATCAGATATCTTCAAATCTTCGAGAGTTTTATTACTATAATATGAAAATGTTTACTGAAAAGGATTTGGATACAACAAAGTTTAGTAAGTATATAAATGGTTAGCTTTTCCTAAACATTCAAAACTTTGTCAGAATTTTTTTTCCTTTCAGTATTTTCCACTACTTTCTTTAAAACTTGACATAGATATCTAATCACTATAGCATAAAGCAGTGTGTTCCTCAATAAGATTTTGATTTAACAAATTTTGGAAGAGTTACGAACTTCACTTTTTAAGTAATTTCATATGGCCTTCAGATCTCTTCAATTTCTACCAAATCAAAACTTGTTCGGTTTTATCATTATGACATACAGTCAATGACATTATAATCTACTATTTTATTGATTTTGATAGAAAAACTTTTGTAGTTAGCTTTGGATTGACATACAATATACATGCACAATGGGGAAGACATTGAAGCATACTGATCTATCTGACCTACCCTGGAGGAGACATCAAATGACAGGTGAGAAACATCATCCTCTGGGTTCTCCAGCTGATCTATTACATTTGTTTTCATGGCGTTATAGAGAACAGACGTTACTTTCAACAATTCCTTTACAGCATAGCCATCTGCTTGGTATAATTTTTTAGTGTTGAGTTTGATGTGAGCTTTGGTTGCCTAAAATGATAAAGTCAGAATCAAAATGGTTTACAAAATCAACTATAAGAACAAGTGTAAGATTCTGATATAATGCACATCAATAACATTGTGATTTAGCGAGATTTTTATGTGTAACTCTGCTACAAACATTACCTTACTGATACTCTACCCTGACACTTATCATAAACTTGCCAACAGATTTTACACAGGACACTATATGCTGATATTTGTCTACAGACTTTTACGATTACTCTATCATAACACTTGGTTACAGACTTTGTAAAGATCACTCTATCGTGACACTTGGTTACAGACTTTGTACAAGATCACTTATCTACACTTGGCTATAGACTTTATAAAGACACTTGGTTAGACTTTACAATTTGTATAACTTTATAAAGATCACTCTATCCTGACACTTGGTTACAGACTTTGTAAAGATCACTCTATCATAACACTTGGCTATAGACTTTGTAAAGATCTTTGTAAAGATCACTTATCATAACACTTGACAATTGGTTGGTTACAGACTTTGTAAAGATCACTCTATCGTGACACTTGGCTATAGACTTTGTAAAGATCACTCTATCGTGACACTTGGTTACAGACTTTATAAAGATCACTCTATCCTAACACTTGGTTACAGACTTTGTAAAGATCACTCTATCGTGACACTTGGCTATAGACTTTGTAAAGATCACTCTATCGTAACACTTGGTTACAGACTTTGTAAAGATCACTCTATCGTGACACTTGGTTACAGACTTTGTAAAGATCACTCTATCGTGACACTTGGTTCCACAATTTGTTAAGATCACTCTATCCTGACACTTGGTTACAGACTTTGTAAAGATCACTCCATCTTGACAATTGGTTCAACAATTTGTAAATATCATTCTATCATGACACTTGGTTACAGACTTTATGAAGATCACTATCCTGACACTTGGTTCCACAATTTGTTAAGATCACTGACATTTGACTTTATGAAGATCACTATCCTGACACTTGGCTATAGACTTTATAAAGATCACTCTATCCTGACACTTGGCTATAGACTTTATAAAGATCACTCTATCCTGACACTTGGCTATAGACTTTATAAAGATCACTCTATCCTGACACTTGGCTATAGACTTTATAAAGATCACTCTATCCTGACACTTGGCTATAGACTTTATAAAGATCACTCTATCCTGACACTTGGCTATAGACTTTATAAAGATCACTCTATCTTGAAACTTGGCTTCAGACTTTACAAAGCTAACAATATTTTGTCACTTACCATAAACTCTGCTACAGTCTTCACAAAGATCACTCTATCCTGTTCAGTGTCAGTATCTCCTTGAACATCAGCATTTGGGTCATATCTAGAAAAAAAAATCATTGATGAAAAGTTGTCGCAATCCAAAATTGCAATCAGATTATGTAAAAATTATCACTTGCAATATCAGATTTCAAAAAAGTGTTAAGTAAGTTGATTTTCCTGTAAATATATTACATGAACATAATTGTACTACATGTACATGGATATAATAAATGTTTAAATAACACTTCTAACACATAGATCACTGTGCTATTCAATGATAAGATAATGTTTCTAACAGAATGAAACATTGGTCAGATCTACCTTTTTACGTGAAACAATGCAAGATGTTCCTCCTCAATCTTTATTTGTGTGTTTGTAGTACATGTTAGAAAAATATATAAAACACTATACCTTTTCACCAGCCATTTTAAAACTTCTGCAACTAATGGGAAATTTGGTGTTCGAAAATTTTCCATAGATATTAATCTTGGGTACCCTAAAGCTCTGGTCATCTCTGTAAAATCTGTAATACAAATGTAACAATGATATGAAACATTGAGTAGTGAAAGAAAATGTGGTATCAGAAATTAACAGGAAAGAAAAGACGGCTTTACGAGGACTAGTAATGAAAACTGTAATATTTTCTGATGAAAATCAGTGGTCACTAACCCCAGTGCCTAGATCCTCTCCAGTACTGACATGTATCTATTATGGTGTGGAATATAATTCCATGATGATGACAGACCCTATTCATAAGCTAAGTAATATCAATGTCCAATAACATATTGGGATGTTGAATTGCTAGCTTATGTTTCTACTCAGCCAACAGACAGTCCATAACATTTCCAAGATGACAATTTCCCTGACCATCAGCACATCTTAACACTTAATACAAGCAAAAGAATATTCTGACCATCACAAGGCCAGCCCAGTTTCCTGATATTAACATTATCAAAAATTAACAACTGTGGATCAAACAGATTCTTCCAAATTGGGTACCGAACATCAGGACTCAACAAGACGCTTTGCCCATTATTTCTAACATCTGGCTTCCATTGAGATCTGATTATATTTTTCACTGTGTAATTCAATCCCCCATCATCTGTTGGCAGAAATACACAATCACCTCACCAAATAGAAGGTTAGAGTGAATTGAAGATACCCATATTTAATTTGAGTTTTAATTGTTTAATCGTTTCCTATCTACATCTGCCATCTTGAAAGTCACAAATACTTTTGGCACCACTCTGTACCAGTGACCTGGGAGCTGATTTGGTTCCAAATTACTTGTATATATGCAGTGTGCACATATATTATATGAATCCAGGTCACATCCCATTGCACTTTCCTATTACATAATGTACATATCTGGTATATGGTATCTAATAATAAAATATTACTTATATATTTTCCTGATGATTAAAAAGGTAGTGTTATATGTTATCTGGCAATAAATCATTGAAAGAGCAATTCATATTACATAAATGCCAACGCTGCCTACATATTTACATGTACGTACAAGAGACAAGGAACACAATTAACTGAAGTCATACAGTAAATTCTACTAGCCCAACTTTCCACACATTTCTATCAAAATATCAGCAGTGAGAGATTATTTATGTTTAACAAATGTCCAACGTCTGGTGTGAGGACCAACGGAAATTTGAGCTAGGTTTACACAAGGATATTTTTAATTCATTTCATTGAATATGACTCTGTAATGACAGAGTATATCAATTCATTACAAAAAACAATATGGTACATGGGTCAGAATTTAAAGGCTTTGATAAAATAGAGCATTGATCTACATGCTTCAATCCAAGATATTAATGGATTAAGGTTGACAACTTGACATGCAGGTTGGGCTCATGTTGGTTTATTCCTGTTTAATTTTGATATCGCTATAATAGCTGTTTTCAATTTTACCAAAATGAAAGAAAAAATTATTTTTCAGATAAAAATGCATATGCATGAAAGAGACTTGAAACTCACTGGGGATGTTTATCAATAATATCTTAATATACTGCAGTTAATTTTGATTTAAAACAATAGAGCATTGAGTATCTACTTAATTAACTCAATTAATTCCTAAAAAAAAAAAATTGTATGTATTTTCGATGTTGTTTATAAGCACTCTGATATAATTCTGGTAATTCTGTTTTGTGCATATGCAATTTTATCTTGGAAAAACTTGCTTTTCTTCAGTTCCTGATAGCTACTAATGGAAAACTAGTTGAGCAATATATACACTTGAATAGCTATAAATCAAAATGTAATCCACTACCCGTAAAGTTAAAAGAGATCTAATTCCATCCAATTCCATTGACCAATCTTGTCAAAAGTTTCCATCCATGTTGAACCTCCAACATTGTTAATGTAGTTGTTGATGTCGAAAGACTATATTGAGTTGAAAATACCCTGCAATTGATGGGGTTTGATTTATTGACCCTCTGTCTCTAGTTAGATAAAACAGTGATAGATTTCTGTGTGTAAAATGACAATGTCAACATTAACTTTTATTTCATTTTCGAGACAGAAAAAAGTACTCTAACCCTTGGTTAGAAAACTTCCAGTAGCCGGGGTTATTAAGGCGACATGTACTCTCAACTTCAACTTCTTAAAGACTCTAGCAGTAGATTCTACCATTTGGTTAAAGGATTGTAAGGCAACATATAATCCCATGACTGACTTCTTCTGCAGTGCCCGACCTGACAAGTCAGAATTTTCAGGCCTGCCCGCCACTGGCGCCAGTGAAATATAGTTACTATGTAACACTTTTCCTTTGTAAGTAGAATACAAAGCTATTTGGCTTCATATGTTAATCAAAAGGAACACCTACTTCTCAAGTCTTTAAACGACATGACTGTGCGATGTTTTGAACAGCTATTCAATCATTCAGGTTGCGAGGAAAGCTTCTTGTCAAAATATTTCGTCAGCGCGCGCACCTGCTACTTCCTGTTCTTAGGAAGGGAGGTAAAAAACGTACTGTTGTGCAAAAAATAAGGAAACACGCCACTATTATAAGATATTTTCCGTCACTCTTAACTCAAAACAGAAACTAATATACCATACAATATCATTGAGGATGTAAATAATGTAATTATGATTCATTACAACCGACGTACAAGATAATTTATGTCCCCGATGAAATAATGACAAATCAGAGACGTATATATATCATATGTATATATGTGATATATACGTCTCTGGACAAATCAAGAAACTTAATTCTGTGGAAGGACTTGAACCGATATGCCACTTAAAATATACAATTTTACCATTTGCGTGTGCAGTATTTGCCATTTCATATTGTCATTTAAACATATGGTCATTTTGCATTCATTCAGAAGTCGCTATTTTCAAACTACTCCTTACAGACCATAATTTGGTTCTGTGAGGGTTTTTTCAGTCATGATTGAAAGAATCATTTCGGTAAAAATAGACTTGTTATTTCCGCTCCTCTACGACCAAGAGAAACGAAAAATACAAGTCTAATTTAATTCGACCGTTCGAGTATTACATACGTCTCTGCTTTAAAAAAAATGGTTCCTATTGGAATAGAAAATAAGTATAGACGGTTTTCTTAAGACATTTATTCGAATGCGCCGCTTTTCTCAACTGTAACAAATATTATCATTGGATGATCGTAAGCCGATGTTTGATTCGTTGTTAAGTCTATATATCCCGGGAAAACAGATGTTTCGGCCTTCTTGCTTCAAGGTGCAGAGAGGAGCACATGCGCTTTGCGGAGCGGGAGTGTGAAACAAAACATCTGTAATTGTAAGTTATTTTTCTTCGTATCGCTTTAATGTCAGTCATTTTTATTTCAGCCCAATGTCATAACGAGAGTGATACAATAAATTGACATTATTTGATACAAATATATGGTGCGTTTAGTATAACTTAAATCTTGAAAGTTACTGAAGCTTGCATAACATAGCCTAGTAGTTGGAACAAGCGGTCTATAACTTTAATTTTGTGTCCATTTCATTGTCCATCTCTCAGGACACAGATAATTTCAATATTTCTTAAAAATTCATATTAACAAGTAACCTGTCACATTTTTAACGTTCTAGTGTTTTTGTTACTATTATTTGCTATTTTATTTGACGGATTTATGTAACAAACTCCAAGTAAATCAATAGAAAAACATGAAATTTTAAAAAGAGAAGTGTTTCATAAAATAATTTAAATATCCAAATTGAAAGTGTTTGAAAAATCATTATACTGTACAAGTTATTGCTGTAGGGATTATAGTACAGATGCATCAAAACATTAAAATGCATTGGTGTAGACAGACTGGTTTTTTATGCACTTACAAAAGATGCAGTCTTTTGCTTGCATGTGTATATTGTAGTTCAACTTTGATGTAATTAACGCAAAGTACAGTATCCAGAGAATTCTGTGGTATATTTAATACTTTTACTCTATGCTATGAACTGAATTATGTATATTTGTAATCCTGTGAATTTCTGTTTTCATACATATGGTTTAAAGATAAAGAAGAAATTGTCAATGTTAAAATAACATAGAATATCCCAAAATCTGTGGACACATTGATTAGCATTTTCAACATCATCTTGTTTTTTACACTTTATGCTTTAGGTCTCGGAAGCATTTTTTGCAAAGTTGTTTGATTTTTTTTAAATCTCCCAATTTATGACTTTAAACTTGCACAGTCAGATCCTTAATCCTGGATTGATTCACCACTGGTAAGATTGTGGTAAAGTAGGCAGTATTTTTTATCTGGCACTTTGTATAGTACTTTGCCTGACACGAACTAACTATACACATGTCTCTTTGTATCATATGTACATACACTACATGTACTAGTTTCAGTATCAGAATTATGTTGAGCTCTATTACTTCATTAGATCAGCTTACAATGTGCTCATACCTTGACACATCATCAGTCAACCATTTTCTTTGAAATGCTGATAATGAAATGTTTTTTGTTGATATATATATATTGATACTTTGTTATAGGTAGCTGATATCAACAAATTTTCCTAATCTAAAAATCATTATTTATTGATGACGTAATTGCTTGTTCTAGATTTTAGTCGTCAAGGCATAGAGTTATTATCTAAATAAATCCCAACATGTTATTTTAAGCATTTCCTAGTTTGTAAGGCACAGAGAGGTATGCACACTTAGGTAATAGAGCCTACTGAAAAGTGATAAATTTATTTGTATGTATAAGTTTTTATTGGTTTGGTCATATTGATACATTGATAGTGGAAAGAAATTTGGTCTTTGAAGCAGTACTAAACCATGGTTCTGTCAAATTATGCAAAAAATAGTCAAAACCGGGACATAACTACAAAAGAGTTTTATTTATGTCTTTCTTCTTTTTTTTCAAATATTCTTAAAATGTCTACCTTATGACGGGTGAAAAGTGTACTGAAATAAAACATTGGAAGGGATTTTTTTTTTTTTTTTTTTGCCTAAACAAGAAAATAAGGAAAATCACCTATTTAACCATCATTTAAGTGTGATATCTTGCTGTTGTGTAACAATTGATAACAAAATATGAATAAAGACTTAACGTATTCTACCTGAATTATCACTTCATAAAAATATTGAAATATCAATGTTGCTTAAAGGTATTTTTAAATAGATAATATCGGTTTTTGCTGTGTTTTTAAATGTGAAAAATACTAGTAATTAATTTCAATGTTTAGGCAATCATGTCATCACCCTGTTCCTCCATCATTTAGATCTGTTTAATAGCAACTTTGTTCCCATCAGATAATGTGTCATTTTGGGCTAAATGACAATTCATGCTATATTTGGTACTGGCTCTCCCCACATTTAAAGTTACCACAGCAGACAGTGGCTACATAGCAAATGACATTGATACAAGAATTTTTTTGTCTGGATATGTATATTTTGTATTCTACTGGAATTAACAAAATAATGGTTAACTAAATTGTCCCTTTAAGCTTCTTAAAATCAGACATTTATGTAATTCCCTTATATTACAACAGTAAAAATATCAGCCATCAAATTTTATCTTTTTTGCTTTTTTTTTTTGTCTAAATTTCATGAAATACCTATTTCTGCAACCTGTAATTTTAATTAAAACAGGCAAATGCTTAAAATATTTAATATCCATTTGTGAATGTAAATCACTTACTGAAAATGAATATTATGGCTCTATCTTATAGTTTATATGTTTTTCTCTCATGTTCTCTTTTGGTTCGTTCATCTATCACACTGCTTTTTCTCAGGACAACAGCAATACTTTATGAGGACAGCACTGATAAATTCACTAAAATTATATGGACTGTTTAATGTCAAAAATCAGTAGCGCACTTAAGTCACAGAACGAAAAGTTGTTGAACTTGTGACATCACAGCTGATAAGGTCCCATTCAGTGCGAGTTGTGCTTGTGCTGATTAGTATTAGAAGGGCAGGTGAAAATAGTGCACTTTATACATCAATATCTTGGTATTTGGCTGGCTGATTTTGATGTAATTTTCAACCTAAGTGATTTTGGATCATATATAATAATACTAGATTCATTTCTGTTTTCACTTAGGGCACAGTTTGAAATTGTGTATTTATTCAGGAAGAAAAATCAACCCTGTTACAAAGAAAATGAACAGTATGGGAGATCACTGGAATATGACAACAGATATCCGGGTGGAAGATCCTGAGATTTCACAGATAATTATTAATGAAAAAGACCGACAGAGAAGAGGGCTGGAACTAATTGCCTCTGAGAACTTCACCAGCAAGGCAGTTCACCAGGCTTTAGGATCATGTCTGACCAACAAGTATTCTGAGGGTCAGCCAGGTCAAAGGTTAGCATGCCATCATTTGAATAAGAAAAATAAATCATGTTTCTAGTTATTGCAGAAGTAGTGTATATTTCAAAGCATAGCATGGGATTTGTCAAACAGGGTCTGGGCATGATAAATTTCTTTACAACACATTCCAAAACTTGATTGCTTGATGTAGGTAGGCATGGTAATATCAATTTTGATTCTTTGAATGTTTTGAAAATAAATGCATTTTCAAATCTATCAAATCAAAAGTATCTGTTGATTGGAGAGATGTGACTTTGCTTCAGTTATGTAGATGGTATATTTGACTGATTCAGACATGCAATAAAAAGATGTTTAAAGAAATTTGATGGTTAAAACATGTTTAACACTGTTCTCAGCTTTTTTTGTACACTAGTTTTATGAATGAATTCTTACTTTTGAGTAAATTAGACCTACAGACCCTATCTGAATTGACCAAATAATACATCAAGGCTGTAGACCCCCACCCACCTTCACATAACTTTTGTTTGACAAACTGATTCTATTGTATGTACAGGTATTATGGTGGAAATGAATACATTGACCAAATTGAACTGTTGTGCCAGAAGAGAGCATTGCAGGCTTATGGATTGGATGCTGACAAATGGGGTGTGAATGTACAGCCTCTGTCTGGATCACCAGCCAACTTTGCTGTATACACTGCCCTGGTGGGACCTCATGGACGCATCATGGGTCTTTATCTACCTGATGGGGGTCATCTCAGTCATGGTTTTATGACACCATCTAAGAAGATATCAGCTACATCAGTTTACTTTGAGTCTTTTCCTTACAAAGTTGATCCTATTACAGGCCTTATTGATTATGACCGCCTCCATGAAAATGCCAAAATGTTTCTTCCAAAGATGATTGTAGCAGGTAAATGTGAACTTTGTACAAATCAACTTGTTTATATAACTGCCTATGGATAAATAAAATGTACTCTCACTAGAAAGATGACATTTTATAGACAGATATAACTGCTTTTTTCACTGGTTTGGGATGCAGCAATTGTGATTATTTTTGGAAGAAAATTGGTGAATTAGGAAAGAGATTTTCAGGATTATCAATTACAAATCTCTCCTTTACTTCAAACCTCGGGAATTTAGCTCGATCATGAAATGATTTAGTTGGAAATGTAGCCCATTATCGGCCCTAGATTGCTCAAAAGTAGGCCCTGGATAGCTTTTCCTCATCAAATGTGGAAGAGTTGTGGCAAAAATGAATTTATTGAAAAAAAGTGAATAGTTGTAAATTTGTGAATTTTTATATATTTACAGGTGTGAGTTGCTATTCAAGAAATCTTGACTACAAACGTTTTCGAGAGATTGCCAATGAGAATGATGCTTACCTATTGGCGGATATGGCACATGTCAGCGGTTTAGTTGCTGCAGGCCTGGTTTCAAACCCTTTTGAATACTGTGACATTGTTACAACCACAACCCACAAGACACTCCGAGGACCAAGATCTGGAATTATTTTCTACAGAAAAGGTATTAAAAACGGTCCAATCATATTTCAGCCTGAAGTATCATCCTAAGTTCAACATGAAGTGAACATAATGATTATGTGGCTGATACTGTTGAGCTATTTGGATCCTTTTCCTTAATATCTGTTATACAGCCTCATTAATAAAAAGGGGGAAGCGTTTTAGTAATCACTTTGTGCACCTGCCCATGCATAGCTTGTGTGTAAATTAGCTGATGTACTCCTGGACAGATTTAATTCACATTCATACCATAGCATCAAATTGTTATATACCTAGGTAGATTTTGGTGGTCATCAGTTGAGGTTTAATTTAAGGACTGGTTTTTGCCAGGCATTTATAGGGTACAATACACAAACCCATTCTTAAGGGAAATTGAATATTTTTCCTAATTTTTGTCTGTATTTTCCTAATTAGCAAAAAAATGGTTAATGCAAGCTTCCTGTCATTGTCTTGTCAACATTAAAGATATAAGCAGGAGTAATCACTTACTTTTGTTTTGTAAGGACAACACATGCATTCATTTTAATCACTTATCAAAGTGGTTATTAAAGGTCCAGGAGTGCACTAGAAATAAAATAAAAGGTAGGTTACAAGACATCTCATGAACCCCTAAACTGATTTAATTGATTTTCATACCATATCAGCACATCAGGTGGCACACCTGATTAGATTTTGGCAGTCATTGGTTAAGGTTAAATGTCAAAAGTTACCAATGACCACTTTTTATTGCTCTTGTTTTTTTAACCCCTGCCCAACAAAGTTGGTGGGGGATATTCAAATGAGTTCCATCCATTCGTCCATCTGTCCCTCGGGATGCTGCTTTCGGCATATCTTTTGAAGTACTGGTATAGATTTTGAAGAAACTTGGTTGTTACACTTGTTACCTTAATGCCTTGCACAAGTTTGATAAAAGGTAAATTTCACACATATTTAATTAGGCTGCTGTGACCTGATTGGCTGATATCCTTTTCTGTTTTCCATGTTGCTCTCTTTAAATGTTTATATATCACAAATGAACATGGGCGGGAAACTTGATGAGTATGTCCTTCTTTCTTTGATAATTAAAATCATGGGAATCCCTATTTATCAGCAATTACCTGCAGTAATCAGTTACTGCATTAGCTGCAAAGCAAAGAATTGTTGAATAGTGCTGGGATGATTGGACATTCAGGATAGGAAGTCATTAAAACCAATTAATAGAATGATTGCTAACAACTGAACAATTGCCTTGGGAATGAGGAAACATGCGATACTCAATTTAATTAAAGTTGACAGGACAAGTGGATGTTGTAAAGGGGGTCAAGAATGGAGAAGTTGAAAGAAAAATGTTAAATAAAGTAGATGCAAATTTCTTCGGATAATTACATTTTATGTTTAAAGTCTTTATCACTTGGGTAGTCAAACTGAACATTCATGATTAAATGTGGATAATGAGGTAGCATATAGACAATTGGCTTTATACATGACCATCCAATATATAAGATGTGTTTTACCATGGTGTCCCTCTTAACATTAGAATATAGCTGCAAAGATGTTATCAGATTTTTGGAGATTGACTAACTGTCGTACACAGTTCAATATTTTGACCTGAATTGGATCTTGCACATAAAGCATGTGACCATTGCAGTAAATAGCATGTCGGTTGGATTAATGATACTCCATGGTAACTAAACATGATTTGGTGTTGGTTGGCCATCCAAGTCACTACAGATGTCACAGAGAACAGTTGGAGTTTTCCTTGGTTCATTAACCATCTGGCTTCCAGGATTTGGCTGAAGTTTTGACCAGTGAATTGAACATAATCTCCATGCCTGCTATGTATGGATATACATGTTTATTACAATTCTACAAAGCTTCATTTATTGTATGGTATACAGTAATAACCATTTCATGATTAATGACAAAATTATGACATTTTCAATTAACAGACCTACACCAATTGTAAAAATCATTAAATTTCTTACCTAAAAAATAGCATTGATCTTTCTTTTTTTGTGGTCTACACTAAAACAACACACAATGATTTGCTAATTACAAACCCCTTCAGTCATGCTGGCTTTGGTCAATTACAGGTGTGCGCAAAGTGCTAAAGAATGGAAATCAAGTGATGTATGACATGGAAAAAAAGATCAATGAAGCAGTGTTTCCTGGGCTACAAGGAGGTCCTCACAACCATCAGATAGCTGGTAGGATCACTTTAATTTGTAAATTATGATCAACCATATGGTTTATAAAATATTGAAGTGTTGAACAACTGGGAGTAAATTTTGGTTTACACTTTTCACCAAAATGATAAATGTATATACGTCCTCCTGGTACCAATCGGGGAGAAATTGTAGGTTTCTTTGGGGCATGGACCATAGACCAATGATCTTAGCATGTCATGATCTTATACCTTTATGTGTTTAGATTTTATTAAAAACATTAATTTCGATTTTCCACTGAAGTTTTATTGTATTGGAATACTCGTCTTCAGTGTACATTGTTTATTTTTCTTGTAGGTGTTGCTGTAGCCCTGAAGCAGGCATGCTCACCCGAATTTAAAGTATACCAACAACAAGTCATTAGCAATGCAAGAACAATGTGTGCAGCCATGCAAAAAAGGGGATACACTATTGTGACTGGTAAGTATACATAGAATCATGTTTTTGATTATCATGAGTATATATCATGACATTTGCAGTAATGGTGAAAAAATTAAGCATAACAACAAACATCAAACAAAATGCTAAAATTGATTACATGACCATTTAGGTGGAACAGACAATCATCTGATTTTGGTAGACCTTCGTCCCAACAAGATTGATGGAGCTCGTGGAGAGAAAATCCTCGAGGAAATTGGCATTGCCATCAACAAGAATACTTGCCCAGGAGACAAGAGTGCCTTGAAACCAAGTGGCCTGAGAATAGGAACACCTGCACTCACATCCAGGAACATGAAAGAAGCTGACTTTGAACAAGTTGTAGATTTTATAGACAGAGGTTTGTTTATTTAATGTCTTATTGAAAAATCTATCCTTATAACAGTTTTTTTACAGTGGTTTACTGTGAATGTGATGAAACCTTGCATTTTGTTTACAACAAAGAGTTAAGCTGGTAAGGCAAATACATGTTCATGAAACGATAACAATTTAAAAAACTAGCTTCATTTACTTCAAATCATCAATACAATTATGGTAATTATGGAAGTTATTGAGATGCAGGTGCACTATAGTAATCAGCTTGTCCCCCTGTCTGTGCATCTATCATCTTTCCATCAACACTTTTGTTTTTGTGTGATAACTTGCTTTCCTATATGAATAAAAACAAGTTATTTTCCTTCAAATTAATGACTGTCCATGATTTAGTTCTGACTGATCTTAAAAACATAAGTAGGTGAGTTAAGAGGACAATATAGTGACCTGAAATACCAACAGACTTTGACATAATTACAAGAGAATGGATTGCCTTGGAATCTCCCAACTACTGAAAAACCCAATCAAAATCTACACATATTTATTCCTAAAATTCAATAATGGATTACCTGGTAACCAATCAGAATAAAAGCAAATCTGTCCAACAGTTACAGCATAATACCAAGGATTCAAAGAACTTATGTTTCAGAGCAGAAAATATTTTAGTCATTCTGGGCACCTTACAACAACACAATTACAGTCGAAACTTGTTATCTTGAAAATCAAGGGATCATGGAAAATATTCAGAATTACAACTTGAAGTGTCCTAATAAGGTTTGCTGAGGTTGATGAACGAAGCATGGGCTACAATAGCATGGTACTCATTCATTCATTAAGTGAATCATTAATCATAATCAACCTGTTGTTATAAAGACCTGTAAGTAATCAGAAACAAATTGATTTTACTTTCTTGTTTGATTGTTTATTTATCCAAATAAGAAATAAAAATACCGATCAACTTCTCACTTCTATCCATCTGTAGGTCAGTCATATATTTTATGGAATGTGAAGGAAAAAAACTAAACTAAAAATTGGCTTTCGATAGGCTACTAGATACAATGTTTGAAGATACAGATCATGTTAAATGACTTCACTAGAATAAACATATAAAGCAAGCAAGCACTGAAAATCTTTTTCAGTACCTGTACATGTTGTTGTCCTTGAAAAAAGAAGCATATTTGTTTTTAACACTTTTTGAACATTTTTAATATTCACACAACCTAGCCCTTACAAGTAAGTCACTGCTACAGTACAGTGACACTAATTAAGAAGACATCTAAATTTGATAATGAAACTGGCAATGTCATAGTTCAACTGTTTTGTATATGCTGGACTAATCTGCTGTATACTTAGCCTTATGTTCTGCGAAGATGACTTTTGAATCAAACTCATTAAAAGATGTGCAGATGTTTTGACTAAAATTAATTTTGAGATAACAAATTACTTTTCGCTTGCTTTAACAATATAAGAGACTGAAAAATCACTTTGACTAGATCAAAATTTCTACTGGATGAAATTAGAGTCATTTGAACTAAAATTACAAAGAAGAAGGAAAAAAATCAGGACTTTTATTATTTTGACAAAAACATAATTTCAACTTGAGTGATTTTGAGACGAGTTTAAAATGTATATGTTAGTAATACTGAATACATTTTATGTATATGTTTATACTTAATGCAAACATGCTTTGAAATGATTTATGTAGGAATCACCCTGTCTATTTTTGCTTCAGAATCCTTGTAAGATCAGGAATGAAGGTAATATTATAAAAGTATGTAGTGTAACTTGTATAGCTTTTGTTCATTTCCAGGAATCAATCTGGCTTTGGAAATTCAGTCCAGTTGTGGACCTACCCTCAAGGAGTTCAATGCTAAAGTTCATGAAGATGAAGCTGTGAGAGCAAAAATAGCAGCACTCAAGAAAGAGGTGGAATCTTTCGCACTGACCTTCCCTCTGCCTGGCCATGAGGATTGGTAATGTGGGACCAAATGTGGATTGGTAGTGAGCTCAAGACCAAACTAGCTAGAATGACGGAGATCTTGATTGTAAACATTTCAAAAAATCTAAAGCTACAAAGGCTATCAGTGCCATATCCTTTGTTGATTTTTTTTTTGGTGGGAAAAAAATACAATTCCATCCATCTATTTACCATGTTGGTGCTGTACATGTATTATCTACTGTATAGCAATAGGTTCATTCACTGGCGCTAGTTTTCAGGATTTTGACAAATATTTGCTCAATCTGACTGTAAAGAGGGAGTAGTTATACTGTTTTTAAGTAGTTTACTAGTTAAATTGTTGTCCTAGCAGAAGATCTTTCCTACATTGACTGTGTAAGCTACACTGGCATTCCATATATAGTGCTTTATTGTGACAAATTTATCATCAAGTCCAGGAGAACTAATGTCAGCTTGATATTTTCTGGGCTTTTATAGTCCATCAGAGTGTAAATGGGTAAGCAACATCATGACATGTATTTAGTATGTTTATTTTCATATCCCATCCCCTTCAGCTTTCCTATTAGTTTAAGAATGCAAAGGTTTTTTTTTTAAGTGCTTTCAATTCCCCCTGACAATTTGTAGTTATTATCAAGCATTTTTTACCATCAGAATTTTCTCAAAGGGTTTTGCCCTTGTCATTCTTTTTCTCGTGCCATTTGGCTTTTACCATTTGAAGAGAGAAGCTCACAAAATCAGGTGATTGAACTAGTGTGAATTTTTTGGTAAGGTACATATTTAGCCATGATCAAATGCTAATTGCAAAGTATGGGTATACAAGTGCTTTTATTTGCTTTCACATTTTCATTTTGATATAATTAATACAAGTTTCTTTTTCGTACGTAAGAAGTTAAGTCTGTTCATCATGTAGTTTCTTTGTATGCTACAGTCTTTCACATAGCTATTTCAGTATGATGGCCAGATAATAAGCATATACTGTATATCAAGTACCTATATCTCTTAGAAATGGGGACGCTTAAAATTTTGGAAATTGCACTCTGAACTCTGAAAAATTTCAATCAAGTTACTAATTTGGCCATCTTTATACGGGCATTTTCTTGAAGATATTAGTAATTTTGAATCAACCACTCTTTGTTTTTGTATTGCCTTATTAGGATAATAAGTATAAAATGTAATTACTCATTTTTACACTCATTGTTTCCAAAGGTTTTAATTTTGCAATGGAATCAATAATCCACCAGTTGGACAAATATCTCTTTTTTCTAAAGCCCCTATAGTTAGAAACACATTGGTTGGATCTAAACATACTGACAATCCTGTGTGTAGGTTTTGAAAAACAATGATTTCTTTGAGTTTCAATATTTTAACTTGTGAAGAAGGCATTTTATCTTGTTTATTGATATTTTTGACAGGTGCCAGTTTATTGTTTGTACCGCATTCATATTCATTAATTGAAGTGTTGTGATATATACAATTTTACATGAAATAGCTTCATATTTTCCAAGAAAGAAAAACGTGGTGAATTAATAAGACTTCAGAATGCACTTTTATCAAGTGATTTCTCTAAGGATATTGATATGAGCCATTTTCAAAACAGCTTGTCAATTATGTATCTTATGTATTATAAGTATATATGTACATATAATTATGTACTATTCAGCTACTTTAAAAAGCAGTACGCTAAGATTTGAGATTAATGATGTAAATACTAGTATTTATGTTTCGGAACATAGAATCTCATAGTTTTAGCTCACTTGGCCGGAAGGGCCAAGTGAGTGTATGCTGTGGCGTCTGCCGTCAATTGTCCATTTATCATCCAGTGTCAACTTTTTAACAAATTCTTCCCAATAACCAATTGGGTCAAAATTGTAAACAAAAAAAATTTAATAAAAAAAAACTTTAAATGAATTCTTATGAATTAAAAAAAGCCTTGAGGCATGATATTTGGCTGGTATGTTCCCTATGATGAAGCTTGGCAATGTTTGGGAAAATAAATGACCTTTACCTATATTCAAGGTCACAGGGGTCAAATTTGTTAAAATCTTCAAATGACTTCTCATACTGTGGATTCATTTTATTTCGTGGGGGTCCAATTTTCGTTGTTTTCGTGGATGAGCAAATCCACGAATTTAAAAACAACGAAATATGAACTACTTACTAAAGTAATTTTGAAATTTGACCAAGTAATCTTTGCCGACACCGGAAACGTCCACCGGTAATGACAGAAGCCCCGTAATTAGTCGGGAGTCGGGTAGTCTGAGGCTCGACATGGATACGCTAAATTGGTGTCAACGATATATGATTATATATTATTAAACATAACAAAGGGTAAGTACCCATTGTGATGCTAAGTATGATGGGATCGCAGTCGTTAGCGACACTGTGGACACTAGGCTTGATCGGACCATCCTGTCGATTGAAAATTGGATCCGTATTTCTATCCGACTACAGGTTCACAATAATTATTAATAATGCAGATCTTGTTTACACACCTGTTTACACACATGGTCCCATCGATACGCGTGGTGTTTTCATATGACTGCGGTACACCGACTGATCAGCACACAATGTTTATCCACTGAAAACAATTGTTTCTGATAATTACCGATTGATTACACGCCAGGATATATACTGATTTGTGGTTTGATATTAATGCGAGACTGTTGTAAACAGCGTTATAAAAACACAGGACGCCATCTTGAAAAAAAAACGTTCTTTTATTCTTGTCATTAGTGTTAATTCCTGTGAACATAGCCTTAATACAAACAGAAAAAAATTCGACTGGAAGCAAAAAGAGAAAATTCTAACGTTTTTATTTTTTTCCCACAGAATCAAAAATCCACGAATTTATGAGTCCACGAAACTGTCTAATTTGTAGAAACAACGAAAATTGAACCCAACGAAAATAAATGAATCCACAGTAAACTAAAAGGCCTAGAGGCATATTTGAGTGGTGTATACATACACCAGGTGAGCACTGCTGGCCTATTGGGCCTCTTGTTTTGTTAGTGTTACTGTAACCCTTTTATCAATATCTAGTGATGGATCATCTTCTACAAAACAAAGCGGACATAGGATCAGTGTTATAAATGTAGTACTTCATATGATCAGATTGATTAAACAAAAGGGGTCGGTGATATTGCTGTATGTTTCTACACAATGTATATCATTTTTTTTACTTTTTCATATTTCAAAATAAGAAATTTGGTGGTGTCTTTATTATGTTAATTGTATTATGGAATGAAATTTTTATTAGTTATATACAGTATGTGATTAATTTGAGGACATGTTTGTTTTGTTTTGATGTTAATGCCTGTGTAACATTTATCCTAATACATTTATTTGGTAACTAGCTTATCCATAGGTCTTGCTGTTCTGACTGTAATGAGCCCATCCTCAGACTTCGTAAGTTGGCTCCCTAGTTGGTTGATGTTGGTGTTCTGGCGACATGAAGGCTCCCTGGGTTTACTGCAGGTTAACTACGTTAACAGTAGGACCTTGGTTTGTAGACATGCCTTATTATAACTGCGTGTTTTGCAGAATCATGAAACACATTTATGATGGAACCATTCACAGGTTGAAACCTTCAATAATTAGTTCTGGCATGAAGATCATAATGATGTCCTGTGTACTTGCATAATTTCTATAAAAATGTTGTCATGTAATAAATGGAACATTCATGTTATCAATAACATTCTTATTACTTCTTTTGCATTAAATATTTTTGAGAGAATCGCCATGTTCTTGTGGTTTCTTTGGGTTTTTTTAAGGGATCAGTTGTGTGAGAAAGTGCTCTTGCTTACATGGTTTTCAAAGTCACCTCTGTGAAAATCACAAAGCCACACTAATTATCACCTATTACCAGTAATCGGTAACCTAGTGTAAGCAAGATGTCCTTACTTCAATACATAGTTGAGGCAAAAATCAGTAATGACCTCAGTTGCATTGCAAGACAACAATAGGCACCAATCTGATTTTGCGAGTCAGGTTTGTTAGCTCACTTGGCCTGAAGGTCCTGCCGTCAACTTTTCCCCTAAAACTTGCTACTAGCTATAAATGACTGACAGGTTTTTCCAGGAAGGGGAACAAAAAATTTTTATAGATAGTGCGTCTCGACCCCCAGGAACTTGAGGGGCATTGGCCATAAGGGGAAATCTTAAAATCCCACTCCTGTAAGAATGAGTGGAGTTTTGTCGAAATTTGGTCTGGAGCATTCTTGAGTGAATTGGAATCAGTTTTGTATAAATGGTGTGTCTCTGCCTCCTTGGGAGGAGGGACAGGGCCCATTTGTGGAAAAAGCAAATTCATTGAAATTCTGCTCAAAGAGGAATTATTGGATCTTGCCTAAATCTGGTCTGAAGTATATTTAGGTGAAGGAGAATCAATTTTGTTTTAAACGGAAGGGCAGGCTCAATAGGGGAAATGCAGGACATTTTAAAAATCCATATCTCCTGTAGGAATGATCTGAAGCAGTCATGGGTGAATCAATTTTGTATGATATGGTTGGTCTCAGCTCAGCCTTCTGGGGCTTGAGGAGATGGGCCCAATAGGGGAAGTGGAAAAGAAACTCTAAAGTAGACTTCTGTAGGAATTACTGGATTTTGCATTCTTTGGTGAAGAGGAATCAACTTTGTATGAACAGTGGTTTTTGGCCACCTGGTATGGGGAGGGGTTGTGTCAATAGAGGGAATAGAGCAAATTCTTTAAAAATCTATTTCCATTGGAACAATTTAATTTTGTCCAGATTTATATGAAGACATTCTTGGTGAAGAGAACTTAAAATTTGTACAAACAGTGAATCTTATCCCCTTTGGGAAGAAGGGATGAGCCTAAAAAAGGGAAATACCAGTAGATAAAAGTATTTTAAAAACTTTTTCTTCAGTTAAAATCAATCGGCAAATTATACCAGATAGGCGATACAGGCCCTAATGGGCCTATTGTTATGTAGCTCCAAATCTTAAAAGGTACAAGTGCTATGTATGCCAATCAAACCTAGAACATGACTGCAATGTAAAAAGACATCTGAACCCTTCAAAGAACTTGTAAAATTTCTGACAAAATTTGGTTAATATCCATTCATTCCTACAGGAGAAGTAGGATTTTAAAGAATTCCCTCTATTTCCAACTATGTATTCAAAATTGATTCCTCTTCACCCAATGATGCTTCACACTAAATTTGGTCAAAATCCAATCACTCCTATAGGAGTAGTATTTTAAAGAATTTGTTCTATTACCTCATTTGGGCCCCGCCCCTCAGGACCTAACATTTATATAAAACTTAATTCCCTTTTACCCTAAAAAGTTTCGGACTAAATTTTAGCAAAATCCAATCATTCCTACAGGAGTAGGATTTTAAAATTTCCCCTTTAGGTCCCTGCCCTGCGGAGACCCACTATTTAAACAAAATTTGTTCAACTTTCCCTCAGAATGCTTCAGACCAAATATGGTCAAAATCTTGCAAGTTGTTTATCAATAGTAGCAATTTGTATGAAAAAGTTGATAACGGATGCCGTGGTATGCCTTTAGCTCACTCGGCCAATTAAGTACATCAGAATGTTCTTACATACTGTTAATTCAAACGAACCCGGAAATGCAAAAAGCACAGGAAGTGTAAATGATATTTAAAAGTGAGGGAGATGATCTGCAGACAAGGTCAAAAAGCTTAAAAGGGCATCAAAAAGCTTAAAAGGGCAAAGGGCAATAACTCCAAAAAGCCTTACAGAAAACGATTTTATGACATGACTAGAAAGTTTATAAAGTTCAAAAGATTAAATTTATGGAAAAGAAAAAGGTAAAAACTCTTCTGAGTATTGTTAATTAAATTCAGTAAAGTATAATTTCATTGAAGATTATTAGGTTAACAAAATTTAAAAGGAATTAGTTAAACAATGAAAGCGGAGACATCAAGACAAGATTAAAATGCTGAAATAAGGCAATTCACTACCTGGTACTTCTTCAAGAACTGGTGAATCAAACTGCCAACAAGCAAACAATTTCATGCCTTAGTTACAAAGCCTACCAAGTTTGAAAGAAATCGGTTGAATTTAGGGAGGAGAATTGAACGAGATTATTAAACAAAGAGCAGTGACTGCCAAATCTAACTGCTGCTCAGGAAAACAACTTGGGTCGTGGTGATTGAGCCTACCAAGTTAGAAGAGATCGATCAAAAAGTGGGAAGAGATCTCTAGCAAAAAAATGGTTTCAAACAGACAGTGACTTACCATAATATTGTAATTGTAGTAAATACTAGCCCATTATAATGCTTGGCTAATGAGAACTTCTCTTTAGCTCCATTATTTGAGCATCAGACTAATAAGCCAGGGGTCCCGGGTTCAAGTCCCAGTGGAGGCATTGTAATAACATAATGTCCTCTGTTACATTATAAGTTTTGGGAAAGTAAAGAGCAGAACAGGCTAACATGTAATCATGTGTAGTTCAAGTCTGTTGTTGACAGTGCTTTTACAAAATTTCATAAATCATTTAAATATTCTAGCATTCCTTCCAAGTGTTTTTACTAGTAACACCAAATTTCAAGTAATCCTGTAAATAAACGGTTGACGTTTTTTTCTAGAAGACTTTAAATTACACATACAAGGAGTATTCAAGCATGGATCACCCATAAGTAGAAGCAAATCACCTTTCAGATAGAACAGGTCTTTTATTTGATATGATTGAAACATAGTGCTGAGGGAGCTTAGCGTAATATGTGAATTACATCATGAAAACTTTTTTCAGTACACTATGGAACAGTTCATGATATTGACAGAAATCAGTTTTGTTAGCAATTTAACATCATAATGAATGCGACTTACTGAAACTAAAGCGAGATGAATCTTTTAAACACACTGGCACAAATGACAGATGGATGTTACAGTATAAATGTGATTGTTAACAAATTAGTTTCATTTGCGAAGCTATGGTTTCACACAAATGGGTAATTGTTTCACTCCTGGGTGTAGATTTTTAGACCAATTTTTTATTTTTTATTTTTGTCTTTGATTCAGTTGATATGTTTGGCTCTCTTAAGAGTTCATTATGTTTGCTTAAAAGTTGTCCACTGAATTCTTGCTCATGATGTATAAAGTTATGTTGTGAGTAAATGATTTTTGTCTTTACTTCTTGAAAAATACTTCAGGGATCATGATGAAACCGACATGATCATTTGTCGTCCCATGTCCACACACCTATTTGAGAAGGAGAAGAAAAGTGAAGTTGCCATCCATGGGCCTTGGATATTGCATTCGAAGGTTGTTATCATTATTTTCTAGGAAATGAAGCAGAACCACAATTGGACTTCAAATCAATCAACAAAGCAGAATGTACATTTCAGTTTTTTGTTATTATCTAGAACAGTGCATGTTTAGAAACCTAAAAAAGTTTTTACACAATACCTTTAGTTCATAGTTGTCATGTTTGTAGCCACAGACTGCATTAATCATACAGTACTTAAGTCTTGTGGATAGACAACAGATGCCACACCATTCCATAAGCTCACAGAAACTATCACTCAACTCAGAATACATCCTCGATACCAAGGGGTTATGATTACTTTTGCTCTCAGACCCCTGGAGCATTTCATGACAAAATTGAACGTTCCATGTGCGACACCTTGTGGTTAAGACAAGAAGACTAATTTGATCCTCTGATGGACATAAACTGAATCTCCAAGTCACATAAGTACTCAACCCCTTGAGTATGGAGGATGCTCAGAATACAACAAGAACAAGTTAAGTATCAGCACAAATCACTTTTATATCACAAATACAAAAATTTCATACTGCAGAGTGACAATACCAATATCTACGAGTCCTAAAAGTTTCTCTACATTACTTCCACAGAGGCTCCGACAGCCTCCAATGTTGCCTTCAATTTTTCTGCTTCATCTTTTGAGATACCAGATTTCACCACCTGTGGTGTCGACTCCACAAAACTCTTTGACTGAAAAAGTGAAGAATAATTCACTGTACCAGTTATAATGACAGAAATACTGAATGGGATATTTTGGTAAGACAAAAGATATAATTGTTTTACAGTAATATCCAGTTAGATAGGTGTTCATGACATCAGTTTCTTTACAGCTTACAGTCAACATACATACTAAAATCTATCTACCACTGAAGTGGTAAGGCAATTTATACAAAAGCCTGTAACTGTTACATCTATCTACCACTGAACTGGTAAAGACATAAGTGTATCCATACAGATGACTGTAACTGTTACATCTATCTACCACTGAACTGGTAAAGACATAAGTGTATCCATACAGATGACTGTAACTGTTACATCTATCTACCACTGAACTGGTAAAGACATAAGTGTATCCATACAGATGACTGTAACTGTTACATCTATCTACCACTGAACTGGTAAAGACATAAGTGTATCCATACAGATGCCTGTAACTATTACATCTATCTACCACTGAAGAGGTAAGGCAATTTACACAAAAGCCTGTAACTGTTACATCTATCTACCACTGAACTGGTAAAGACATAAGTGTATCCATACAGATGACTGTAACTGTTACATCTATCTACCACTGAACTGGTAAAGACATAAGTGTATCCATACAGATGACTAACTGTTACATCTATCTACCACTGAAGTGGTAAGGCAATTTATACAAAGCCTGTAACTGTTACATCTATCTACCACTGCGTGGTAAGGCAATTTATACAAAAGCCTGTAACTGTTACATCTATCTACCACTGAACTGGTAAATACATAAGTGTATCCATACAGATGACTGTAACTGTTACATCTATCTACCACTGAAGTGGTAAGGCAATTTATACAAAAGCCTGTAACTGTTACATCTATCTACCACTGAACTGGTAAAGACATAAGTGTATCCATACAGATGACTGTAACTGTTACATTCCTCTATATTAATGTTGTTAAGAGAAAAAAAATCATTCAAACGCTTAAACAAATTTGACCTTGAATGGAAATTAATGTTAATTTCTTAACAGAAACATAGTAGCATTCAGAAACTTTGTTTCCTCACTGGTTTTCTTTTACCAATCTACCTATGTTGGTTTAAATATCAGTCAGGGTTAAAATATAAGATAAGCATTTTTAGGACCTGAAAATATTGTTTCTTAAACCTAGAAAACATGGCTGTATGGAGGAATTTAAAAAAAAACAAAAAACAAAGCAGATCAACTGTTTTTTTCTTAATCGTTTAAAAAACCCTCAAATATATTTCTATCAAAGCATGAAGAATATACCTGGTAAGAGAATTTTCATTTTTTGATGACGTGAAGTTTTAAGGACATAAAATCAAACAAAAATATAGTATTTTTACATTATTTTTTTCATGTTATCGGAAAACAATTCTATGACATTTTAATGAAAGTGGAAATGTTATGAGAAAGATTTGTGCTATTTTCAAAAAAAAGGTTCTTAATCCATGATAAAAGGCCAAAATGAAAAAAAGAAATACCCAGAGGCACAGAAGTCTGGGGGTAGTTAGGATACAAGAATGTGTAAAATTTTATTGAAATTGTTCAGAGATATTCAGACAAATTCTGGAAGACAGACAGACAAGCTGCAGCTGATTCCAGAATCAGTCGCTTATTATGTTGCATAAGCAGAATTAGTTGACAGAGGTCAGACCAAACCATATTTTCACTTAAGCTTACAGGAGGGAAACCATTCATCTATAGAAGTAAAAGAAGTATAGGTCAACTGTCATGATCAGTGCATTGATGTTCTCAGCTTACCTGAACTAAATTGAGGCCACAAGCACTCTTGATTTCTTTTATAAGTGCAATCTTTTTAGCAGAATCAAAGCCCTTTAGTTTAACATCAAATGATGTCTGTTCTCTTGAGGATTTTACTCCTTCCTCTTCTTCCTGTTCACCAATAAAATTATTTAATGTAGACAATTTGGTAACCAAAAAACTGTTCATTCATGTTACAAGGTCAATAAAACCCAGAAATAAACAAGGCTTACAAACAAAGCAAAAGAACAATTTCAGAACAAGAGGGCCATACCATGGACCCTAATGGTCATCTGACAATCAATATCTCATGGACAAACCAAAGAATTTGCAGATGGTGGTCTGACAAATCTGATTAATTCCCATAATGATATTTAAGACCATATTAGGTATAAATCCATTCAATCATTAAGGAAGAATAGCATTTTGAAGTAAAATCATTGACTATCTTTCCCATTTGGGGCCCATCTCCAGATCCCTAGGGGTGGAATCAATTTTCTGAATTGAAGAAATGATAACCCACCTGCAATTATATTTTGGATTAAACTTGATTGAAATCTACCCAGACTTTCAGAAGAAATCACATTTTAAAACAAAATATTGTCTTACTTCCCCTTTTGGAAGTCCCTTGGGGTCAAATCAGCTTTCTGAATTTATGAAATGTTTCTCCACCCTCAATCATGTATCAGATGAAATTTGACTGAAATGCATTTAAGCATTAAGGAAGAGAACCATTTTAAAGCAAAATATATAGGGCCCGCCCTAAGTCCTTCTGACTCAAATCAAATATCTGAATTTAAGAATTATTTGACAACCCCTACTGATGTTACCAACAAATTTTGAATGAAATCCTAGCATTAAGAAAAAGTAGCGTTTTGAAGCAAAGTATTGTCTATCTACCATATTAGGGCCCCATCCCCAGGTCTCTAGGGGTCAAATCAAATTTCTGAATTTCAGATGACCTAAAAAGTGAGATTGTTCTGTTAACAAAAAAAGCTTGGGTCATCTCAGCATGCTAAGCAAACAGATAATCTCTAAATGAAAGTTTGAGCTCTGCAACGTTACAAATTACTTCTGACGTGGCATGGTATTATGTAGCAAGATGAAATGACCCACATCAAAATAATGTAACAGTGAAGTGAACACTTTTATTTTCCTAATATCTTAAAATGAATCCCATGGTAAAGTGAAGCCTTTTCCTTTGGAAAGTACATTTTACTATAAAGATAGAGTGAACCCCTTGCCATACCAACGATTAAGTGGAATGTGATTCACTTTTCCATACTTCACTGGTATAACACACAATGTACTTCTAAAGCAATGCACAGTACCTTAGCAACTGGAGCTGCAGAAGCAGCACCAGCCATTGACATGACTGGAGCATCTTTAATTTTCAGCGTGGTCTGAAAAAAATTAAGACAATATTATCAATAATCATAATACATATGGTTTTATTTTCATTTTTTTTCCAACAGTTTTGCAGACAAGTCAGGATAAGATTAAGTTTGATTTACAATGCAACACACCATACATTTGTCTACGACACCAAGCTTTTCAAAGAAAACAAACTTAGTCAATTACAGCAACTCTGACCACTTGTCATATCTATTCTTTTTGTCACTTATAATTACCCTGATTTGGAATGTACATGCACAAAATTGTTTCATCTGATATTTATATATACTACATCAATTAAATATAAATCAAATTCAACATCCACAACATATGTTTTGTCAATCAACTCTAGGTGCATCATTGATGCAAATTAAATTCTCAAAGTCTTTTACAATTACCAAATTGTAAATAATTGAAAAATGTTTAAGAATGATATGGAACCGAGTCAATTAGTATTTAATAATATCACTACACTAACCTTTAATAGTTCATTCAGCTCTGCCACTTCAAGCAGTGTCAATTGACCAATGTCATCTACAATGTTTTGGATCTTCGGAGAGTAGGATTTTCCTTCATGTGGACTAGCTAATGTACACTGAGATCTTTGTATACAACTAGTGCATGCCCGAATTACCCTCTCTTTGTGTTGTAATCTGCAATAAGTATACATTTTGTAATGTCTAATGTCAACTGCATTACTATAATTTGTAATGTGCTTAAAGCATTTACCAAAATTTACGGGTGTTTGTTTTCACATTAGTAAACGTAAAGCCGTTTGATAAATAAAATGTTGTAGAAGCAAGAAACGGGGCGGGGTGATTGAGAAGGAGAAGTTGGGACAGGATGACTCGAGCTAAACTGAAACTCTTCATCCCTGCACACGGCCAGTTATAAAACAGTTTCTTCGGGTTTAACGAGAAAGTACGTAAATAAAATGTCCTACATCACGGAAATTTTAAAAAGAAAGTATGCGTATCAATCTTTGTAAGAGCACTAGGAGTATATTTTGTTTTACCTGTGAATTTGTTTAGAAAGACGAGCCGACAAGGAGAGTATGCGCGACACAGCAGACATCTTGACGAGCATTCTAGTCAATGTTATGTCGACGCTTCGTTGTAAAAAGAACATGACAATAAAACAAAACATTTTGGTGATCTATATGTCAAGGTCCCGCCGCCCTCTAATGTAAAACGATTTTCCATTGGTTATTTAGCAGCAAATCTACATCCGGTAATAACACGTGTTGAGGACCTGTTGAACACGGCGAAAAGGTATTACTCTAATATTGGTTTCAAATGTACGAAAGTGTTAGACTTATGATTGCAGAGTAAAAGCACATCCTGATACTTGTTGGCTTACCCTGTGTTTGGACCAGGGGTATATTAGTTGAAACAGGCATCTGTATCTGGAACGTAAACAACGCCACCAAAAATCCAGTCTATTATATCATCATACAAATAAGCTATGATGGACTGGATTTTTGCTTGTGTTGTTTACGTTCCAGATACATGTAGATGCATATGGTTGAAATGAGAAATATCTCTTTAAAAGATAAACGACAAGAATTCTAGTGCTGATGGTGTCTTTGTGGATTTGGGGGTCTACATAGGTACATGGATCCATAATGGTTTATCAACACAGATAAGGTCGTTAGCGTGTGATGATTTAAATTACAAGTCTAGTATAGTTATAAAGCTTTCTTGATGTTGAACATTTCTCCTATAACAGAGACTGCTGGTCGGCCGATTGATTAGAGCTGCCTAATCTCAATGCCTTTTGGGATTTCGAAAAGGGACATTGTCATATTTTCGATATAAATGAGTCCTAAGGAGGAATCTCAGAAGGGAATAAGGACTGTTTGACGTGTGTCTAATGCCGAAGATACCTGTCACAAGAGTCTCGACGTGTAAACCTCAATCTTTTGTTGGCATATGTAGCTGTAGAACATGGATAACTATGCACCATGTTGCAACAATACAAATGCAGTGCATGTTAAAACGTCATTAAAATCATAATGAAAATTTCAAATATTATTATATCAATCAGGTTGGGCACACCCAGTCATATTGGTGGTAGTCCTGCATTTGAGAGATTGTCACTGCTTTAAGTAATCAGTGAGTTATGCAAATGCAGGGTCATTAAGAAGTAGAAAAACTAAGTTCCTTTTAAATTTGCAACAAACAAAGGCATCATCTTTTTCACATGACTGGGACTGATGGTTCTTTACCTGTCCAAAATCCTCAGACCAAAGACCTCAGGTGACCATTAAGGCCCACGGGCCCCTTGTGTACAAGAACATATTGAAATTTTAAATTGATATTGCTTAACGTAGGGTGGCAAAACAACATTTAGGTTGAGTGTGGATGCAAGTGAGATAATGAGTGAGAAAAAAAGTGTTTGCCTGTTTGAGAGAAATGGGGTGCCCTGCTGCATACACAGCAATGAACATAATTGTGTAGACATTCAATCTTAACCTCTTAGTACTGATAAATTTAAACAATCACAGCTTTGACAATATTGATGTGCTGTGTGCTTTTTTAGTTTGTAAAATTGATTAATCTATATTTCATTTTCTCTGAAAGGTATTCTCTTTTATTTAATAGATTTATAGAAGAAACATGCCAAAAGCACCACGAGCAAAAGTTGGTCAAGACAAAAAACCAATTCACCCCAACAGTAGGAAAGCTCAGCAATTGACAAGAAAAGCTTCCCGTGACCAGAGACTTGGAGTTAAGAATTTAAACACACAAAGAACAGAGTTGCTGGCAGATCGTTTGATGTGGTTTCAGCAAAATGTAGATTTAGAAAAAAAATGTTTGAAAAAAAGTGAATTGGCCAGTCTTTGCAAGAAATATTTATCAAGATTTGAAGATGAACTAGATCAGATTGATATTGTACAACACATTGGAAACCGACAAGGAAGGCAGCATGCAGCAAGGGAAGCAGCAATATCAATGACATTGAATAAAGAGAAAGACGAGTTTGCATCTAATGGCTTAGAATTACCTGACCTTGTCAATGCCAAAAATTTTGAATATTTCAAGCAGTGGAATGGAGAAATCAAATACTTACAAAATATTAAATTGAGAAAGATTGCTATTACAGACTCTGAAGAATGTGATGAAGACACTTCAGAGAGTCAAGACAAACAAATGGATGATCTTGATAATGATGATTCAAGTTAATTACAATTATAATATTTTTCAGACATTTTACAAGATGATATGAATTGTTGGTGATTATTAGTGTCCAGTTCATGTATTACATTTTTTACATCTGTCCACAATATTGACAGTCTGGTATGACTTAGTCCTTTCCTGATCAATCTATTTTAAACTTTTATTTGTCCAGCTAGACGTCACCTCCCAGGTTTTCATCCATTTTTTTCAAACTTTAGAGCTTGATCACCACATGAAGTATTACTGAGTGGCATTTTGATTCAGCTGTGAGTTACTGCCCCTTGTTTTACCTCCAACTAAGGTTAGTAGGGTGAGGGGATATAGTAATAACTTTGTTTGTGCTTCCCTCCATGATGATATTGTCTACCAGATATCTCATGCACACATTTAGTCAATATTCTAACTGTATTATCACCCCACTAAGGTGGTCATCAGTCAGGCTCAGAGGACAAAAGTCATCTTGGACCACTTCTCTGTTTGAAATCTTGTGTACATGTAGAAGATAAATCATGAACCCTTTTGCAGGTTTTTAGGTCAACTTGCCCAATGGCTACAGCAAGACAAATTGTGTGAAAAGAAGTTATCTTGACCCATATTGATCTCGTAAACCAAAAGTACAAGTAGCAGTATATTATGTGGAAAGGTTTCCAAGGTCAAAATCAAACAAATTTTAAGAAAAAAAGAAATGGCACTTACTAATAATCCAGGTTATAACTGTCACTGTTTAGAACAGAGATTTAGAAGCTTTTTGTTGTGGAAATTTCTTAAAATTAATAGATGTGCCCACTTTGAATGAAATGGTGTACATGTCAATATACTCCTGATATTCACAGATTCTAGTTTTGATGAACATTGAATACCACTACCAGGTGAGCAACACATGCCTCTTGGTCCTCTGGTTTATTTTTTAGTGATCATTGGTCATGGTCAAAAGTCACTGTCAACTCTTTATGAAATATGACTTGTGTTTAGTATATCTCAACAAATTTGATGCATGACCCAGAAAACTGATGATTAGCCAAGTCCACGACCTCAAAAACTGATGTTTAGCCGAGGCATTTTGAGAAATGAGAAAAATCATTTAAATAATCAAACATGTTGCCAAACATCATGTTTCCCATTTATCTAATTTTAATCTATGCTGTGGAAACTTATTTGCTGCAATCATGAAATGCATTAGGTGCCAGAAGGTCTTTACTTGTATTCCTCTATTACCTGCATAACTTTGTTTGATTTTTATATTTGAATGCTTATGGATTTTTCCTTTAAAAGGAGTAAAGTCATGACACGGAAGTTCCAACAAATATACTAAATGCACATATCTATATCTTCAATTACACTCACTTTTAGGCAGTGCTTACATCAATTTTCTTTTTGTCCTGATCAATCCAAAAATCAAACTATCAAAATATACCAAGACCACAGGGCACCTGCATATGAAATTTGAAATACAATTGTACTTGTCAGATGGTTTTTTAACTTGACCCTACATCCCCTAAAATTTGTTTTTATCAATACCCTGAAGGAATAAAGCCTCTAGAGCACAAACAAATATGGGCATTACTTTTGTATATACAGCGACATCCCTCAGATTTCAGTTCAACAACTTAAAATACAAGAAAGAAAAGAGAAATTCCACAAGGGAACACTGCAATGTTTCAATAAAGCATATTAAGTTCTAATGACATCAGTCAGAAGTGCAAAGATGTCCATAAATATAACAAGAGGCCCATGGGCCTTAACGATCATCTGACAAAAAGCAAGCCAAACTCTTAACAACTGTGTGTCTGCTGTTAAAACAGTTGGCTTTATTCATTTGAATAAACTTAGTAGCCCTTCCTCCCAGCATCCTACAGGCCCAATATCAGCACTCTGAGCCTTTTGGTTACTGAGAAGAAGTCGTTTACAGATTTTAACATATTTAACCCCTGTGACCTTAAAAGTGGGCCAAGGTCATTCATTTGAACAAACTTGGTATCATGTCATCCATGCATCCTACAGGTCCATTATCAGCACTGTTGGACTTTTGCTTATTGAGAAGAAGTCATTTGTATATTTTAATATATTTGACCCCTGTAACCTAGAAAGTGGGTCGAGGTCATTTATTTGAATAAACTTGGTAGCCCTTCATCCCAGCATCCTACAGGCCAAATATCAGCACTCTTGGACTTTTGCTTATTGAGAAGAAGTCGTTTATATATTTTCACATATTTGACCCCTGTGGCCTTTAAAGTGGGTCAAGGTCATTCATTTGAACAAACTTGATAGCCCTTCATCCCAGCATGCTACAGACCCAATATCAGCATTCTGAGCCTTTTGGTTGTTGGGAAGTTGTTTTAAAATATTAACATATTTGACCCTGGTGACCTAGAAAGTGGGTCGAGGTCATTTATTTGAACAAACTTGGTAGCCCTTCTTCCAAGCGTCTTACAGGCCCAATATCAGCACTCTTGGACTTTTGCTTATTGAGAAGAAGTCGTTTGTATATTTTAACATATTTGACCCCTGTGACCTTGAAAGTGGGTCAAGGTCATTCATTTGAACAAACTTGGTAGCCCTTCATCTCAACATGCTACAGACCCGATATCAGCATTCATGGACTTTGTAGGGCTCCATCCCAGCATGCTAAGGGCCAAGTATTAGCCTCCTAGTATTTGAGAAGTTTTTTGAATGAAAAGTTTACGGATGGCGCACGGCGGAGGACGGACAAAGCACGATGGCTATAGGTCATCTCGACCCTATGACCTAAAAAATATCTCAGGAAAAAGATCAATTTAAGTCCTCTATCATGAAATATTCTTAGTCAAAATGCCATAAAGAAAAAAATTTCAAGTCCTGGTGATTAAGTGTACCAAGTTTTAAAGACATTAGATAAAACCACAAAAAATTCTTCCACGATCTTTTCCATCATTCTTATGTCCCCAACAAGATCCCAGAGGGATCTTGGCGTCCACCATTGTTTAATCTTTATATGCCCTTTGAAAGTTGGATCTTTTCCCTTCTTTTCTCTGTTTTTGCTCTTAATGATAAGACATTTGAACATTCCTTTGCAGAAATAGTGATAACAGTCTTGACCTGCCAAATCAAAACTAGCTGTCTGGAAGGCATTTTGTTTCTTCTCCTTGCAAAATCACACATGCACAAGGAAAGACCAAAGGGAAGTAACATACACATGAAATGTGAGATAACAATCTTTACTATTCAAAATCTAAGATGGCTGCCTATCAGCCAATTTTGTTTTTCTGATCAGTCCCATACTCAAACAGGCACAAGGGACCTTACAAACCTATACATTAAATTTGAGAAACATCTATGCTGTAGTTCTCAAGAAATAGAGAAAATAAACTTTCAAGGTTAAAATCGAAGATGTCCTTCTGTCTGCCATTTTGTTTTTCTGATCAGTCCAAAATCAAATTACCTGGTAGCACAACTTAAGGACCAAGGGGAAGCTACATATGCAATTTGAACAAGATCCATAGAGTTCTTCCCAAAAAATAGCAATAACAAAACTTGTTTATGGATGGACAGACTGACTATGGATGCAGAGCAATTTGAATAAGCCTACCATCTGATGGTGGGCTAAAAACCAGATACCATACACAAGAAATTAGGACATATATCAAACGGTTTTCAAGACAAGAGCATCAGTGAAACTAATAAATGCTTCATGAAAACAACATTTTCAACAAAGGCCAGTAATTCTATTATCAAGGGATTTGCCGGCCCTAAATTTGGTACAGTGCAGTCTCCTAAGTATGACCAATGAATACACTTGTTTCATGACCCAAAGTTTTAACAAAGAGATCCCAAAGGGATCTTGATGCCCACCATTGTTATTTGCTTTGAAAGTTGAATCATTTACCTTCTCTTTTCTTTTTTCTGCTCTTAATGAGAAAACATTTGAACATGCATTTGCAGAAATATTGATAATCTTCAACTGCCAAATCCAAAATAGCAGCCTGGAAGCCATTTTGTTTCTTCTGATCAGTCCCAAAATAAAACAAGCACAAGGAGAGATCAAAGGGAACATACCCATGAAATTTGAGATATCCATTCAGAAATAGCAATAACAATCTTTACTAGGCAAAATCCAAGATGTCTATCGGCCATTTTGTTTTTTTGATCGGACCCAAAATAAAACGGACACGCGTGTCAAACAGGAACTTAGATATGCAATCGGAGAAAAATCTGCCACGTACTTCTGAAGAATTGGCAATAATTAACATTATGATGGTGGGCTGAAAATACAAGCAAAGCTTTACTCATAACACGAAATTCTAACAAAGGCCAATAACTCAGTACCGAGGCTTTACAGGCCCCAACATTGCTACAATGCATGTTGTTCTGGTATGACAAATGTATACATACCATTTCAATATTCCAGGCAAAATGCAGACAATTTAATGCTTAGGACGCAAAATTTAAGCAAAGGTCAATAACTCTGTATTTGAGAGGGTCAGAGGTCCTGAATTTCATACACTGCACATTCTCTTATTAAACATTTTGAACTCATCATCAGGTTGAGGATGGCCTAAAAACCCATCAAAAATGTTTCAAGCCATTTCCAGTCCATCAATTAGGACAATATCGATGATCACCGCCCAAAGGTTTGTCGATGGTGATGCTGACCAGAGCTCATCAAAGCTGGCTGTGATATGAATCATGTATACACATCAAAGCCACTTTGACGACTCCAGTACCATCAAATCTCTGCTCCAAGTTTCTTCCTTGAAAAATTACAAACATAAAGCAAGATGGTATGTTATATTACAAATTTAATTCTCAATTTACTTGTCAATACACAAAACAAGCACATCTACAATGTGAAACATTGTTGAAACAATGAATAACAAATCAGTCAAAACATAAATCTTTCATATGGCAGTTCACAATGAGTAATGTTTCACATTGATCATCTCATCACTTCAGTAAGAAAGTTTGTAATAAGATGAGATAAATTCCAAATCAAAGCCTTTTCAATGCCTTCAAGTTTTTGGTCTTTCCATCATTATAAATAGGAAATTCAGAGTTCAAACTTCATCCAAGGATATCCCCTCCCCCTTAATCACAGTGCTATCAATATCAATTTATTAGCAACATAGTCCATTTATTCATCTTGGTCCTCAATCTTTGGAGCAAGGTAAAATCTGAGGTAGCCCATATCTGCTATTTTGTACTCCACAACTGAAAAAAAAGAAGAAAATTTAAGTCTACAAAGCCATCTGTCATTGGCTAAAAAAATTCTGTATACACTAGTGAAAACTGGAAATATTACCAAAACCTGATAAAGGTAATCAGATTCTGCAGTGCTGTTTCCAATAATCAAAGTCAAACCAAAATACTTGTATTAAAAACAAAATAAGAGACTTCAAACTACAACACACAAAAAATTACCAAAACGCTGCTGATAAACAAAATAACATTCATACATACCTAAAGGGACATCTTGTGACATTGACAAAGTCACCTGAGGTGACAATGCAGTAGCTTTTGTAAAGAAGTTCAAGTAGCGAAGTGCAAAAGTCAAAGTTACAGCCTGGTTCATCTCAATGGTTACATTATCTTCATCTTTGTCTGCACTCGAGTTCTGTGCTAGTTTCACATTACCTAGAAAAGAGAATCTTCTGTTGAATTTGTGAACAATAATGCAAACCTATAGATAAATGCAGTTTACTAAAACAGGAAAGGGCCACTGAATCCAATATCCATATAAACCGACAGCATATTCACATACCGTCTTTGCATCCGCTCTAGTATTGATCACGCATAGTTACATATTCCGAAAACCCAAAGTAGATTTTAATGAACAGCCCTACTTAATATCAATCAAGTAATGAAAACATGTTGATCACTGTACGGAGTAATTTTTCTATTAACCTCTTATTTTCTAAAACAGCTTATATGTTGTGTGTAATAGTAAAATCCCCTACTTAATGATGCCTCATGTTGACTCGAGGACAACTTAAGTGGAGACCAATGTCACTATATCCTTTTCTCTAAATTCTCCTGCATATTCTTTACTGGTGGACACACAAAATGAACGCTTCAGGTATTTAGATTATAACAAGATTCTACCAAAGCTTAAGAGCCGAGGATAACAATGAAACATCTTCCACGGGCAACCACACCTAAAGACAGGAAATATCTAATAACCCCAGGGCTCTCACACCCCATTTTGGGACTGGGGCCCAGGGCCCTTAGAATTGGGGGAAATAGGGACGTTTTCCTTAGAATTGGGAAAACTTGGGGTCTAAATTGGGGGAAAAAAAACTATTTTGCATTGGGAATGGGGCTGAATATCGTCCCCAAATCTGGCAGATCGAGAGCCCTGAACCCTCATCGTCCCACATAACTAATGCATAGCACAGTGCCCCATTGCCATGTATTGTATATGTATACATCCTACTGCTAGAGTGCTTTTACGATTCCTCTTCATACAGAGAAAGTATCCAAATTTAAGTTCTGTATACCTGTGCCCAATTCTCCACTTGACGAGAACTTCACACCTTCTTTTGTACAACAGACAACAATAGATTCTCCAATTTGACTCAAATCTCTGCATATTCTCTGGAATTCTGCTGAAGGAAGCTTCACAACACAGCTGTATTCTGTGTCCTGTACAAAGTAAAACCTTATTCAGTTATAATTAATGACATATTTGCACAGACAAATATATACACGTTTAAGATGCCTTTGAAAATGTGTTTTATTAGACCCATCCCTCCCCCCACAACTACTTGGTCTAGTATTTTGTCCATGCAGTCATTAGGAAGGTCAATGCCATGAATGGATTAATGACCCTATTTTTTTCTGTCTGTCAATGAACCAACCAGTGTGGGACTCCACTAAAATCTTATATGCCTGAAACTTATGTATAAACATCAACAAATGTCCTAAAGCCTATCAATACACTTCTTATTCTTTAAACAGAATAAAGATGAATACTTTATACAGGACGTGATTGATAAGACTGTCTATTGCCATTATTTATTGTCAGGCTGTGATTAGGATTTGGTCAGCAACAATGTGTAATGAATACAGCATGATAAGTTAATGACTGATCATCTGATTCTGATGTATTATTTACAATCTTCATTTGGTTTTTGTGAGTGTGCAAACTTTATACAATTTCTTTTTACCAATTTCCGATTTTTTTTTAAAATGCACTAATGGTGCATGACCTTCCTAATCATGTTACATTAATTGAATGGAACACTGGCAACAAAGCTTTCAGGCACTTTAACCAATTCAAAACCAAACTTTCCCCCAGTTACTTCATAAGAGATACTTACAGGAATACCCAGTTGTTCGGTGTCCAAATCAAGCAACTTCATGGCATAATCTGATACTTTTTCATTATCTGGAAAAAAAATTCAAAATTAAATCACACAAGAGGTCTTTCATACTGTAAACAGTCAAAATATAACTTTCTAAAATGTTGCCGACAAGTGGTATTCAAAATACTGAATGAATATTCCAGCTCAAAACACTGAAGCCTAGAACTAAACTGACATTTTTCACTCATAATATTGAAAATCTGAAAATATATTGTTCTAAAACAAAAAAAAATAAAGCATATGAAAGAAAATGTTTTTTCATTACAGTGAAATTTTTTTTCCAAGACACACATCAAGAAAAATGTCCTTAAAATTCTTCAACTTCAAAGTGGTTAAAGTATTGCAGGTAGCAAGAAAGACGGTACTGGACAGTGATCTAAAACCTTACTTGAAATAGTTTACCATATACTTAATGCAACAAGGGGTAACAAATGTACTCATTACTCACTTGCAGACTCAAATATAAACATTGCAGTGTCTGGGTTGTCCTCTGCTTTTATTGTAATTATGTCATCATTTCCTGAACACTTCAGGATCTTTGACATGCTGAAAAAGAAAATCATTTTGTGAAAAACCTGCTATTTAATCGAGATTCATTTTGTTACTTTATACTTCCATTACCATAAGCTACTCTTCCATTTTAAACAGCAGCCAGTATGAAATGCATGCAACAGCTCATTTAAAATATCTTGTAATGCAGTGCTTTTTTTGTACCTTCATATCTTAATAATATATACATTATAAAACTATGATAACCCAAGATGCACTTTTCTTATGTCTTATTTTTCCTCTTGCTATCCATTGTGGAACTGCTATGGAATATACAAATATAGGCAAGACCTCTTTTCTTATCCATTGTATATGTAATTGTATATGACATTGTATTGTTGATTGCATTAGCAATAAAAGAGTTTGCATAGCAATTACTACAGCTTGCATTAATATACGGATTAGACAACGAGCAATGTCAAATTCGGCCTTCTGGTATTCCGGAACAATTTGGTTGGGTTATTTCATGTAGTCTTCAATTTATCTACAAAAGCTTTCTAGTATTGGTAATGCTAATTTATTCTCTCACTTGTACACAAACATTTTAAACAGCTCGTGTTCTTGTATTAATTGATTTTAACAGACTTTGTTTAGTGGTGTTTTTCCCCCCAAGTTCGGCCTTTTTAACAAAGATACTGCTGTTTACAATATTACGCGGGAAATCGAATTACACAAAGCGAAAGTTAATTTCATCATGATATACCAAGTCATAACTGATACAGAATCGGATAATTTGATGACAACATAAATCATACTAAGGGTATAAATCACATTGATAATTGTCAAAAGAAATATCAATTTCATGTAGGTTAATGTAGTTTATTATTGTCGGGCAGGGAAGATGGACCATTACATACTAACCTTGCAAGATTCATACCCATGGACAAGTTTCTATCACATCTGTATGTTTCGAAGCCATCTGAACGAAGGTTGAGTGACACAAGGCTGACATGTGAACTATCCATAGCCTGTAAAGCTATTCCAGTACTGTTGCAGTCCCATATTGCTTCCGTAAGTAAGTCTTTGATGGCGTCCAGAATTTTCTTCCAGAGAGAACCTTGTGCTAGTCGTGCCTCAAACATTTCCCTACACAAATTTAGTAGTTAACCTTTAGAAATAATTTGCCACAAACCTAAGTTGTGTATTACTAAAGTAATCTTTTAGCGTACTAAGCGATGACACGGATTATAAACCCAGCCTTTCTTTCTCCGTGACTACCTCCTCTTCGTTGTTGTGGTATATGAATGAACTGGCGCCAAATTAATAATGGCGGGAAATTGCTCGTTCAGCATTATTGGAAGACACGATCACATGACTACATCTCGAAATGCTTGGGATTATAGCGAGATTTGCCAAAAGTCGGAAGAATGTTTGACAGGAAAGAGCTATCTCCGAAACGGGAGTAAACAAATACTAAGGGGTTATGAAGGTATTTTGTCTTTGTATATCTTAAAACCATTTTATTGCACTACTTAACTTTATGCAATAGTTGTTTATAATATATCTCTGATAACTGCTTTTGAGAAACAGATCAGAAACTTAATGCATGACGCCCTATACATGGGACTTTCACTGACACTGTTAAGTTGTACAAATCAGTAAAGAGGAAACTGTGGGGGGTGGGGGGGTGTACTTGGAGGCAGATCTAGAGACAAGGCAATGAGAGAGTTACATTTTTATTGACCGTGACCATATGCATTCGATTCCTATCTGCCTCCATATAGCTTTGATCCGGAAAGGTTTTGCCTGCGGTTCCACAACTCGCATTCAATACACAGAGAAATGTATGACATTAGTTAATATACACATAAAAAATTGGTATCGATGTTTAATATTCATAAGAAATTATTAAAAATCCTTTGTGTTTCAATGAATGTATTGATATCATAAAATTTCCTGATAATGTACAATAGGCCTATATTGGTATATCAGTTACTTGTGTGAATGGGTATGTAAAGATGACCAAGTATATTAGAGGTTCATGACAAGATACTTTGACAGATGCCTTGCAACAGATAGCATAATAACATTCGAACATTTATTCTGTCTGACCATCAGCCTTCTATGTGAGAAATAATTAATTGTATATGCCCTTAATTCTATGATGATGAACCAGCTAAATTTTGGATTTTTTTTTTCTGTTGATTGTTTTTCTCGTTCATTACAAATTATATAAATAAGGAAACCATTAGCCCACAAAATCTTTATCCTCACATTCATCAACATGCTAATATCAATTTTCAGTATTGATATGTAAAAGAAATTTACTTTTAAATACAACAAAGAATTGTGCACGTGAAAAAATTCATTATGAAACAAGAAATATTCTATGGTAGTGAGCTGTTCAAATCTCCATTCATCGATATGTCTTCTCATTACTAGAGTAGCACCGGATGGTTAATTCTTAAATCTGACATATAGGTTTCCCATGGTCCTTATAGGGTTTTGGCCACAATTTTTGGATTTCATATGTTCTGTTACAACATAATCTGAATTGCGTTCCACTGATATGGTCCTGATCAAATAGGTCCCGATATCTGTTTATAGACAGTCAAAAGTACTTGTTACGCATGTGTGAGGAATCAAATGTGGTTACCTAACATGTGGTACAGGTGAGTCAACCTGTAGGTCTTAACATCTCTGAATACTTGATTATGGTAAGCTGTTACTACTATGAAATATCTTTTTGATATATAAGATGGAATATGATTATATAGGTGTTCAAGATATTTCAATGATTTCGGCTTGGGAGTTTTGGAGGTATAAATTTGTTTTGAGACAGAGGTATTTTTACTCGTATACATGACGCATGTTCTCAGTTCCATACATTTGTATGTGTGTCAACAATTATATTGTAAACTAGAGAATATTGTTGATATCCAGAACTAATTGATATAAAAAAATATATGAATCCCAGTGATAGTTCAGCAGTAAAAGCATTTAAACTAAATGACTCAAATTCCTGTACTTATTATCCCCTGCTAAACGCGTTTGCGGGGGTTATTAAATTGGGGTCCGTCAGTCCATCCAAGTGCTTTTCCCGGCTATAACTTCAAAACAGTGCAACTCAACTTCACAAAACTTTCTGCACATATTAAGTGGGTGCCCTATTTGTGCCTTTTGCTATTGGCGTCATTTCACTTTATATATGTTTTTTTCTGTTTCCATGGAAACATAGTCAGATAACACAAAAAGAGGCTTTTCCAGGCTATACCTTCCAAACTGTTCCACTCAACTTCACAAAACTTTCTGCACATATTAACTTAGTGCCATAGTTGAACCTTTTGCTATTAACAACATATCTTTTTATTATATATTTTTCAGTTTTTGCAAAAATATAGTTAAAAACCTCAAAAGAAGGCTTTTTTCTGAGCTACAACTTCAAGGCATTGGCCCCTCAGAGTGTGATCATTATCATTATTATTACATGTTTTACATCTCTTACATAGTAAATCTTTTGTTGCCTGAAGATAGCTGTTATACCTGAAAACGTTACTGAAACACATTTGTAGTGTTGATTCTATATTTTCAATTATATCTCTATATATATATATCTCTAATGTTGAAGTTGAGGAGATGTGAGTTTATTATTTTCTACAAGTGCTTTCACTGTAATAGACCTTCACGTGCAAAGTACTGATACATAAGTGTGTGAAGTCTCAAATTATTACAGTGCTATATATAGCATATTTGGGTTCTGACTAGGTCGCCATGTAACTGGATATAGCTGTGTCTAGCTGTTGCTTCCCTTAAGATTTAAGTAAGTTAAAAAAAAAGTAGAAGAAAACAAAAAACTTCATTTTTTGCTGTAATACATCATTATGTAAGTGATAACTATATACAAGGGTAGGTTTCACTTAAAAACAATTTTGAACATTTGTAAATATAGTTTTTGCTTTGTGTTTACTTGTCCATGGTTAGTGTTAAGAGCAAATGATAGGACAGAAGACAGTGAGGGAAAGATCAAAGTGATAAGTACCTAATAATGAATATACAGTGCTGGGTGCCAATACCCATGGTGATGTGAGTTTGCCTCCTTCTATTTGTGTGCTGTTAATATCTGCCTTTTACATTCTGATTATACACAAGCTTTCTGAAGTTTTATAGTCTATATTTTCACCTGTGATATGGCAAATTATCAATACACTGAGGGAGAAATTCTTAAGACACTCTTGTAAATCTGGTGTATTTAATAAAAGAGTTCACTCTATATAGTTGTCTGAAGTAGTATGGTCTTATGAAATGATATGCACTATATCTACAATAGTTCTAATAAAACGTTTAATTTTTCAGGTCTAAACAATGCCGTAAAGAGCTGCCGATAACAGAAGAAATTTAGAATTATGAGGCGAGAAGTACTAAGATGGTGGATGAATATAATGAGAGGGCAACTTTTCCACTCTCATTATACATCCAAAGCTGGGATTTCCAGCAAGCACTGGCATCAAGCTGTTTGTACACAAAACAGAGTGATGCTGAAGCATTATGGTAGAAGTTTTGCTTTCAGAAAAATGTTACATTCTAGAGGTATAACAACTACATGTTCAAAGTGTGTAAAAGATGAAACATATGCTCACAATGAAAGTGAACAAGGCGCTGACAGGGTGAAAATAGGAAACAAAAAGACCTATGGAAGGGCATGGCTTGGATTGCTGTTTGGAATTGCTTCTTTTATTCTGGTGACCAATCCGTAAGTAATTGATATATATTTGAACTTGAGTATTTTAATCTATTTTCTGTTAACAAATCACTGTATGCTTTTGCAGTTGCTCAAAAGTATGAACATGAAGAAGAATTGCTGGGTGTACATGACAACCTTGAATTTCAAGAGCAAAACTTGTTATTTCTTGGAATGCAATTGTACATAGGTTCAGTTTGGGTTCCATTTGATCAATATTACTGAGGGTAGAATATCTATATGAAATACGTTATGATTCTCTGGTTTCCAGTTTTATTTGCTTGTCAAAATTTTTGAAAGGACATATTATAACATTGTCTGTCCATCTCTCTATCTGTCATAAACTTTCAATTCTCCAAAGATCTCCCATAGTTTGTGTCCGATCTTTTTCAAACATGGTAGGCTTTCAGGGCTCTCACACCCCATTTTGGGACTGGGGCCTGGGGCCCTTAGAATCGGGAAAAAATAATGGTGTTTTCCTTAGAATTGGGAAAACTTCAGGTCTAAATTGGGGGAAAAAAGATACTATTTTGCATTGGGAATGGGGCCGAATATTGGCCCCAAATCTGGCAGATCGAGAGCCCTGACTTTTAACCACCATGACGTGGAGTGGTGTGTTTCTGAATGACAGTTTGCTTCAAATGTGTTTGGTAGAGTTACTGCCGTTTTTGTTTTCATTTTGTCAGTATGTCCTGATCTCTTCCGTTATTCTACCAATCTCTTTCAGACTTGATTGGCTGCATCACCATAACATAAAGTTGTGTTTTCCTTGAAGATAGTTTGATTTGACTGTATTTTAAAAGAGTTACTGTCAGTCATTTATTTCATGATGTTAAATATGTCCACAGATCTCCTCTATCAGTTTTCAAGTGATTTTGTTCAATCTTTCCAAGTTTCATAACTTAAACATTGTTTGATATAACAGCTTTTTAATGAGTATCATCCAGTTTTCATCTTTTTTTATCACATCAAGATATCTCCTCCCTCATGATCAGTTGTTAGCCAACTTCATTGAAACTTAGTCAGCTTTAAAACCACAACATGAGAAGATGTTCTCATGAATGGCATTCTGATTCAACAATTTTTGAAATGTGATTTCTGTTTGTTCTTTTTTTGCAGCTGTTATCTTGTCCAGAGATTGATTCTGTCAGTTTCCAATCAATCTCTTTAAAACCTAGTATGCTTTGATTTATCATACAAACAGATTTAACACTGGATTTTTTTTCTGAAAGTATTTATTAGATTTTGCTTAAATGTTCACCATGTTGGGACAGGATAAAAGTCCAAGGCAATATCTTCACTACTCTAACAGTGGTCATATCATAATAACCATAGCACTGTGGTAGATAATTGTTTTTTAGATACCTGACATACACCATATTATTTCATACACATAGAAATATGAAATTGTTGAACTGTTATACCTGTATTTAGGATGTTGCCCTTGAAGACTACAGTCCATGCCTCTACGGGAGAAGTAGAAAAACAGGATTCTGCAGAGGTAGTTGAAGCAAAGGAGGAGGAAGACGAAGAGGGGGGTGAACAGACCGAAAAGAAGAAGAAGAAGAAAATTGGTTTCAGGGACCGAAGGGTAGTTATTCATATACAATTCTAAATGATCCATCTTTAAACTGAGTTAAGAAACATTTATCTTATCAGAAAGTTTAATACATGTATAAACTGAGTATCAACAGCATATTTATCAGGTAGTTGTAGCTTTCTAGCTACTTATAGTTTAGTGTTGTTCTATCGTTCTTACCACTTCCTGTAAGCTTTGTGTGAAGATTTCATACATTAACATGTTATGATCAAAAGAATATTAACTGTTTTATTGCAGATTATAGAATATGAAAACCGCATTCGAGCTTACTCTACGCCAGATAAAATATTTCGCTACTTTGCAACATTGAAAGTTCACCAGGAACAAGGTGACTGGGAGGTGTACATGACTCCAGAGGACTTTGTACGTTCCATCACTCCAGGAATGAAACAACCAGAGGGTATGGTTATTTGATTTGAGATACTTCTATATCTAGTAATATCAATTGAGCAGCACAGTGGAAACCACTTAATGTTATGTCACTTTCCACTTAATATTACGTCTTCTTGAAAACTGATTTTTATTCTATACACTCCATTTATTTTAACATCTCATAATGTCACTTATTTTCATGTGGGTAAACCCTATTATCACTTCATTTTGATGACTATCACAAAAAACTACTGGTAAATCACATTTAAGTGAAGACAAGAACGATGGGATCATGCCTCAACGGCCATACGTCACACCTGGATGCGTTATGTAAACATCGTCACTGCCCTACTAGCAAACTTTTCATATCTTGAGTCACCTGAACAATTCTGATGTGCTGCGGAAACTTCCTGAAAATCAGTCTGTAGTTTTCATTCCAGGATCGATTTCAAAACAACAAGGATTTCTTTTCAAAAGATAAGATGTAAAAACCATGAACCATAATCAATGAATTGTGTTTGGTCTGCTTCATTTTACAATTACAGATGGGACACTAAATTGCGGCATGTCAATGTCGTAATTATGAATGTCACCATCATTAAATTTACATGAACACATTTCTGATTCAAAGGATGATATGTTAAGATATCTCATCTGAACTTCAAGTATCAGGAAAAGAAGTATGGATTTATTGAATAGAGAAGATTATCACACATGCCCTGAAAAGCTTCGCAGGGATGCTTATGTCATCTTTCCCAAATGATTCATTCAGGGAACACAACAAATCATTTGTTGTTTAAGTTATAGTGAGCACTGGCAAGGTGACCATAAAATGTTTTAAAACAGGGTTTTCCCTGTGCCATTTTTCACAACATCTGATTGGCCAATAAAAATAGCCACTAATATAACAACCAATGAAACATGTTTTAAAGGTGAACAGTTCACACTTGGTTGGCTCTATTTTCTCAGCAATTCTCAATCTTCAGAATACATTTTATCAAAGTTGCAGAGGTACACACTGTATGAACATCCACTTTGAGATGCTGTGAAGCCTACACAGTAATGGATGGATGAATCATGTGGCAAAATATCAGCTGATGACACTGTAGTGTCAAGTAAAATTTTGACCATGTGTAAACTGTAAATATAACACAATTGTTCACGATAATTTATGATAGCAGGTTAGACATTTTAAAGAATAAACAAACGAATGTAAAGGAAAATCACTCTTTTTACGGGAAAAGACCAATCAAATTACAAATTTTTGTCTTCAAACTATTCTGTTAGAGACAAGTTAGTTGGTGCATCTGAAAGTTAAATGTCATGATTAGACGTCAGAAAAAATGTGTCAACTATTAATGTCACATCACTCATATTACCACAATTCCCCCTGATAAATGGAACATGATATTAAGCTGTTTCCACTGTATTATTATTTTTTGGCTCGGATAATTGACAGCAATTACTTTAGTTACAGGTAAACTTTTGCAAAAACAGAAATAATGTAAGGGAGAGGAAGGAAATAAAATTTGTTACAAAATTAAACTGCTAAGGTATATTCTAGTTAAATATCCACAGTATTGAGGAACTCATGGTGTTTCAGAAACTATGAAGGAAAGACTGTTTCAAACTTTACCATAACCTGTAATAAACTACATTTTCTACTAGATCCTACCAAGCATAGAATTTATCTGTTGCTTTAATCCTTTCTTAATCTTGTAAAACAACCCTGATAAAATGAATCATTTCTTTGACCAAACAGAAAGACAATTGTGAAATTATGGTCTCAAACTAACTCAAAACACACTGAAAAATTATAGATAGAATAACCAGTATTTGCAAGGTCTAGAATATTGTTTATTAAACTAGATTAATTAAGATTTTAAAGGAGAAAAATAAATGATAACAGTATCATATCTGTCCATTCTGTTATATGTTATAGGTAATATGCACATGATTTATACTAAATAATATGTGTTTTCTTGTTAGGTTTGGGGTTAGACCAGTTCATGAAGTTTGATCCCCAGGTATGTAACTTCAACCATAATCTGTACAGGTCTGGTGGTTGGTTAGGATTCAGCTTCTGTAGGTTGTCTGTGTGTAAACATACTGATAACAACCCACACTGCTACACATCTATTTGACAACTTTTAATGCATTAGGATATAACTATCCTACATAAGGAATTATGGTTTCCAGTTAAAAATCACCAAAACTGTTGTAAAATTTTCTGAACCTATCTTTTTAATCATAGTGTCACTAGAATTAACTTTTGTACATTTTAACATGAAAATATATTTTGGAAGGTCAAGTAAATGCTTTGTGTTTATGACAGTATGTGTTGTTATATCTATACATTGGTTTATTACTATAGTGTACTACTAAACCATTCTAATACCTGTAGCTGTCATACTTAATCATCTAGATACTCTTATAGGATACTGAAACTGTAGAATTTTGTGATAACTTGAGGCAAGGTTTAGTTCTGGTTTCATACAGTTGAATGTCATATCTTTAAGGAAGGCTTAATGTAAGGACTTCAATATAATATTCCAAGGGAGGTAGATTTGAACTACGTTTATCACAGATAGAAACAAACAGTAGGAGTAACATATGCTGACTTTGCTGGAAATCAGTTTTTATTTATTTATTATTTTTTCTAAATGGAGGAATGATGTAAAAGCTAGATTTTTCTTCACTTTTATCATATGTCATTAAACTGTGAGCTTACCCATATTTTTATAGAATACATGCTTAAAAATTGGCATAAATATTTCAGTTATTCATGTATTTGGAGATATGTGTATTGTAAGCATTGGTTTCTGTGATTCACCTAAACTAAACATCTGCATGTATAGGGAAGATCAATGCTCAGGTTGGTAAAGAGACTTTCAGATTGTATTATATGGTCATAATTCAGTGTCAAATATTATGATGTGATGGACACATGCAAACATACATGTACGTATTGAAAAGGCTGTCTTTTTCTCCATGATTCTTGTATTACTTAGATGTTTCAAGGATTTTATTTTCTTCATTGAAGAATTGTGCTATAGTCGAAAATGAATTGAGACATTATTGAAGTGTAGTTAAAGAAAGCAGTAGTTCACCAGGCTTTAGGGGAGTGTGTACCATTTGTGTATATTAGACTTTGATGTTTACTCTCTATCTGTCAACACTGCCTGTAGAAGGACGATGTGCACAGCTTGGTAAGTGGTGATTGGTGACTGTAGCCTACTTACAACTACTAATAACAGTAATGGTTCTTCAAACCTACAGTATATGTATACTAACTTATTGCTTTGGTCTTCATTTATATTTGTTTGCAATTTTTTTTATTATGAAAATTTATTCTTTTTTTTTTTTAAATTGTAAGTGTTAATGATGTTCAGGATATTACCATTCTGTATGCATCAGTATATCTTTTGTGTACATATTATTACATATTTTCCTCTTTGGACCCTTAGCATACTCAGCTGTAGATAGGAAGCAGTGCCAAGCTTTCAGTTCTTAGATTAGGTTTGCTTATTATTTATAGATTTTACAATAAATTAAATAATTCACCGTTAGAATTGTGGAGCACTTTTATAAGATATTTGCGGTGATAATCTGTTTCAGGCTGTACGGTTTAATCAGAATATGGAAAGATTGGGTTATTTGGTAATACCACATTGAACTAGCAATAACGATATCGGAAGTTTTGTATCCCACACCTACCTCTTGTATATGTCAGTGATATATTATATAACATTTTATGATGTTTAACATACTTAATGCTGGTCACATATATGTGTTTGTGTATATACTCTCCTGTCGTGTTGTTATATCCTCCAAGCTGATAAACTGAAATGCTTAAAATGATGGGTGAAAAAGAGTAATCTCTCTTATCTAAATAAGCAAGTTGTCCTAATGATATGTATTCCTAACTTTCCAAAATAACATCAAAAGATAATTGTTGTTAGTTTACCAAATAGCAACTCTAAATTAATTTCTCTCTTGGTCTTCCTTTACTACTTTTAAAGTGTTTGTTTGAACCCTCCAAAGCACTGCTCAATGTTTGTGCAAGCCAACTGTTGCCTCTCCATTAAAACTGGTCTTTTATGATACCCCTCCATCCCTACCCTACTCCCAATAATAACAATAATGGTTTACACAAGCTTGTATACCACATAACACTCTCAGTCCAAGGGTCAAGGTCAGTTGCTAGTCTGAATGATCCTGACAAATCTTTGAATACAAGTCCAATATTAAAAAGTTGATAGAATATATGAATGATTTGCCTTGCAATTTCTTCTGAAACATTGCACAAGGTCAAGGTCATAAAAAGGGATGTGCTTGTTAAACTGTAACATGTTTTCAATTTCATAAATGTATTTATCACTGTAAAATACAGTGACAAGTGAAATTATCAAATTTTAATGAATTAATCTTGTGCTTGCAAAATGCATGCATATTATTCCCCACCCAATCCCAAAAATACCAACCCCCCCTCCAAAATGTTGTTAATAATAACAAAGATGTCAAACCTCAGTACCATTCCTGGAAGTTTTTGTTTTGATAAAGGACTTGTATTTGTCTGTTTTATACCCAACTAAGAGGACTAGCAGCACTGCTGCTGAGAAGAGGTTGAATTATGAGTTACGACTATAACTGATCATATCAACATTTAAAATATATATTTGAATAGAAGTGCAATTTAGATTGACATATTGTTCTGTTTTGTTGATTCCTTTAGGGGTCAAAGGTGAGTTGTTGACACTGTTAATGATTCTATAGCCTACTAAAAAGAAAAGAATACTTGGCTAATCCAGTTGTGTTCCTCACATTTTCTTTTTAACTGGTGAAGTTCTATTTTCTTCTTGCAGCATTAGATTATTGACCTGTTACTAGTATTGATTTTGTTGTTTAATTATTAATCAGAATTACATACTTTTAACACATATGAAATATTATGTCAGAAAGAACACTATATGCTGTATCATTTAACATGTACATGTGATGACTTGGTTATATGGTTTACAATACACACGTATACAATTAAAGATTTTCTACCAGAATGACAATTCATTGGAGGTCTATATTACTTTGTCATTTTCTAAACAAGTCATGTGACCTGTTATATCTTTTATTCATTAAAAATTCAGTAAGTATTCTGATTTGATCAGTTAAATTTTAGATTACATGGCTATAAATACACTACATACCTGGCATAACCTCTTGAATTTTACTGAGTTTTATTTTACTATTGATGTGTCTGATTTTTTTTAAAAAGGAAAATAAATAAAGATGCTGTAGTTTACAAAAAATAAGGATGAATGATTATACCTAACTATCTGTCATGTCATTTCTTGTACATGTAATTATTATGGATGGTGAGAGAAATGTTTGTGTAAAATTTCAAACAAATTATGGACATATAATGTTTTTCTATGAAACCTTTACCACTTTGAGAAGTTCCTTTGCCAAACTTATAAGCATTACTGGGGCATATCTAGTACACTGCTCACCATGACCTACATATCTTACCTCTAAATCACCCACAAGCCTTCCCTCTTTCCTAACTCACCCTTTCTTTGGTTTCTACATCCTTAAATGTCAATATGATGTACAATGGGACAAAAGAGGATACATTTTGGTTAATAAGTACAGTTATACAACTTCGTAGACAGCACGGTTTGCCATGAGTCTTTACAACCTGGGATGACAGATTTTTCTATAATATGTAACAGGTTAGTTTCATTATTGAATTGAATATCTCTTTAATTGACAAAGCTTAGAGAAAAAATCTACTTTTTTCTGGCTACAACTAGCCAATAGTAAATTGTTTTGAATAAACGGTATGAGATTTTCTGTACAATTTTCTCTTTTTTTTTATTTTAAGCAAATTTCATTGATTGTTGGTGTTTGAAAGTTTCTGTCATTCCTTTTTCACAACTTATTGCATGCTTGCACATTTTTAAAATATATTTTTTCTCATTAGAGACATAGAGTGTTATTCTAAACTATTGATAAGTATGTAATTGTACAGTGGTAATTATCCTTACTTTCCAAAACGGGAGTCATTTGATTTCCTTAACAAGTGTTAAGATCCCTCCTAAGTAGGCAGATCTCATTTTTTAAGTCGATGAGGATATAATCCATTCAATTTATTTTTAAAAGTGTGTTTTCATTTCTTCTTGTTAATGTCTTCCAATTGAATTTGATATTGTCTACTTCTCGTGTAAAGCATTATGTAAACAGTTATTTATGAAGGTGTACATATATTTTTCCTTTTTTCTCCCCACTAATACTCCAGGTTTAAAAAATTACCTGGTTTATTTGAATGAAATACATCCTTAGATTTAGATTGAGTGACAGGTTTGTTGTTTGCTTTTATTATTAAAGGGAATTAATTACATACACAAGATCCATCTTTTCAGTATGTAAATAAAGTGTTCCTTGTATTACAATTATCACTGTAAAATCTTGACTGACTGACCATTGGATAAGATAGATGATAAGAATCTGTATTTGATTGCATATGATTAATGGGAAATAAAAAGAATTCAACTGTCTTCATTTCTACCATTGATATTTAAAGAATTCTTTTCCTACAGTAAGTCATTCATGATATATACAATATGGTAGATACGAAACAGTATTTGCCACATATAGCTCTCAAATTGTTCAACATTCATTCTTAATTTGTATAGAATTTGAAATACCACAGTAACAATTTAGTATACCCTAGCAGTTTGAATGAATAAAGATTTTTTGTTTTTCATTGGCTGTATATCCTCTAGACTACCCAGTATTGTATACAGACCCTTCTTTGACTTTCCCAACGTTTGATGTCTTTGTTAAAGTCATTTTTTTGACTGTTCTTTACTCTTTTATTCTGCCCCCTACATATCAGTATCTTACCTGTGTCTTGTAACATGTACTATTAAAACTAAACCTTATCAACAGACTACACAGACACTTACACTAGTCATCCAGAAATAATGCAATCTACTCGGGTCTACCTGTTTTATTTGCACCACAGAAATATATCTGATATAATCATGGTGAAATCTAAAAGTTCACATTAAGACATTTTTATTGTTCTTGAAAAACTTTCAAGGTTGATAGCGGTTTTTTTTAATTGCCTGTTTATAGTCCAATCAAATGCAATTGATTATTCCATCATGCTGTTTTATGTTTACATTTCATACTTTTATTTTGTATCAAAGAGATCACAGGTATCAGGTATTCTCTGATCTTCTTCCCTATATCTTTGACACAGTGAACATATGGTATATATTGAGAGAAATATCTATAGATTCTAACACTCATAAAGTCACAATTTCACTATTCTCTTTCAGACACTTGTATTCACTAGCCCCTGACACTACACCACAAAAGTCATCTTTGACTCACTTCTCTAGACTACCCCCTGACAAAAACCACAGCAGTCCTATCTCAGTCAGTCACTCACTTTTTTAGACTATCCCAAAACTCTAACTAAAGCAGTCCTTTCTCATACTCTCACCCTTCTTGACAACCCTCATAAATCAACATCCTCTCCCTTCTCTCGACTCTCCCCAGACACTAACTACTGCAGTCCTCTCTCAGTTACTCACTTCTTTAGACTACCTCCAGATGAACTGCTGTAGTCCTTTTGCAGACTTGCCTCTCTAGACTACCCCAGACACTTCAGTTCTCTCTCTCACTTCTATAAACTAACCCTAAACATTAACCACTGCAGTCCTCTCTGACTCTCACTTCCTTAGACCAACCCAAGACACTAACCACAACAGTTCCCTCTTAGACTCTTACTTCACTGCAGTCCTCTCTCAGTGACTCACTCCTCTAGACTACACCCAGATACTTACCACTGCAGTCCTCTCTCAGTAGCTGACTCCTCTAGAATACCCCTAGACACTAACCACTGCAGTCCACTTGGTGACTCACTCCTCTAGAATACCCCTAGACACTTACCACTGCAGATCTCTTGGTGACTCGCTCCTCTAGAATACCCCAAGACACTAACCACTGCAGTCCTCTCTCATGGTGACTCACTCCTCTAGAATACCCCCAGACACTAACTACTGTAGTCCTCTCTCGGTTGCTCAGTTCACTAGACTACACCTAGACACTAACCACTGCAGTCCTCTCTCGGTGACTCACTCCTCTAGAATACCCCAGACACTTAACCACTGCAGTCCTCTCTCAGATTCTAACTCCGCTGCAGTCCTCTCTCAGTCAATTACTCCTCTAGACTACACCCAGACACTAACCACTGCAGTCCTCTCTCATTCACTCACTCCACTAGACTACACCCAGACATTAACCACTGCAGTCCTCTCTCAGATTCTAACTCCACTGCAGTCTTCTCTCAGTCACTTACTCCTCTAGACTACACCCAGACATTAACCACTGCAGTGTCCTCTCTCAGATTCTAACTCCACTGCAGTCCTCTCTCAGTCACTCACTCCTCAAGACTACACCTAGACATTAACCACTGTAGTCCTCTCTCAGTCACTTACTCCTCAAGACTACACCTAGACATTAACCACTGTAGTCCTCTCTCAGTCACTCACTTCTCTAGACTACTTCAAGACATTAACTACTGTAGTTTTTATTCAAAACACTTCAAGTCTCTTTCGAACACAAAATCTCACCTGACTGACTACTATCATTTGTATAGACAATGACTTCTCTATCCTTCATCTTTGATTCTTTCTATCATTGTTATACCTAATTTGCACTGCCCTACAGATTGAATCTTCACTGCCCTTCGTGTTTACCTTCTCCCCAATTACTACCAGATGACATTATATGTCCGGTTAAATTCTTTATTATCCTGTTTTATAAGAACTGTCTGTAACATTTACATACATTGTATCGTATCAGAACATTTGTAGTACTCTAGCCATTAATTTTGTGTGATGTGTGATACAGATTTTTTATACCGCAGTTCCTTGTTAACAAAATAGGGAAAACCATACTGATACTGACTCCTCCATAAAGTCATGTGTCATAATACAAGTTATAACTGTTTCTTATAAATATTTCCCTCACTCAAATCCTCACCTATCTGTTTGACATGAAAATTGTTTGTCATACAGAGTGTTGTATTGCTGTATTTTAACTAATCATCACCAAAACAACAGGTGCAAGAAAGAGGACTGGGTGATAATGTCATAAATGATTTTATTTATTTACATTTTTTTTATTATTATTATTAGACTCAAGTAATGAGAAATATGAAATAATTTTTCACCTGGTAAGCTATATGTTACATCCTCTCCACATTATCATATTCAAGACTTCTGCTTAATTCAGAATTAAATGAAGTTTGATTTTGGAATAATGCTGAAAATCCAGTAAAACTAGAATGTGTGGTTCTGGCTTTTAGTGTTAACTTGAGCTCCTTATTGATGTTTTGTTTGATATATCCAGCACAACAAAGCAGAATGGAAGATGGGAGAGGATAGCATCTTCTATCAGCTTGGGGAGAGTGGCCTCATTTCCTTCTCTGACTACATATTCCTTCTTACTGTCTTGTCAAGTAAGTAAATTATCAATAATATGAGATTACAAAGACCATTCCCATACCTCAATACTTCTCTGTACACAGCAAAAGGAATGATAGACGAAATTACTGTAGAATATCACCATACCTCTCTAGTACATAGCTGTAGGTATGATAGACTGACATACAATAGGTCATCACCATACCTCAATACTTCTCTGTACACAGCTTCTAGTAAGTTTTTAAATTCATGAACAACGAATGTAGTGTGGGTGAACAGATACAAGAAAGAGTTTGAAAGCCATGCATCATCTGTTGAAACACAGATCACATTTGGCAATTATAAATCTTTCGAGGGCAATAAGACTCCACAGTATACCCAATGTATTTCAAGGTTAATGAATGTGTCGCAAACAAATGTAACTGCATTACTGATAATGTGATGTATATTTGTATGATGTAAAATCCTTGCTTACAATATAGTTAGAATATTTTCTGATTACAGCACCGCCCAGGAATTTTCAAATTGCTTTCCGCATGTTTGATCTAGATGGAGATGGCAATGTGGATGTTGAGGAATTTCACAAGGTTGATATACAGAATTTCTGACATACTTGGCCATTTATGTGTTTGCACTACAGAGTTATTGCCCTTTGTTAAAATTTTGTGTCTGGCTTGCGTTGAAACTAGGATGGTGAACCTTGGCATGTACATTGATCTTATTATATAATCTCTATGACTGCCTAGTAACTATTCATGTTGTTTTGACATGATGTCATAGATACATGTCTCTGAAGTCAGGGCCTGCAACCCCATAATCACAGTTATGGTTCTTTATTAAAATTTCATGTCTGGAGCATAACTGAAACTTTTTATTTTAAAAAAACTTATTTTTGAAAACATCTTTAATGCCTGTAGTCTTTAAGTATTTGCTTATCTTCCACACAATTTATTCTAACAACTATCATGTTCATTGCTGTAAGTAACATAAGAAACAGACTGGGTGAAATATGCATAAACATATCGGACACAACATATATGTAACATAAAACATTATTCCTTCATTTACCAATCAGTATTTTAACATCTTTTGTCATTAATATGACCAAATACATGATTAGCAAACAAGGAAAACCTTCAGTAAAATTATTTTTCTTTGAGGATTTTTTTTTGTTTTGTTTTTGTTTTGAACATAAACCAAGATTTAAAACCTCTGAAACTATGTTAAGAAACTTGGAGAATCATTAGATACTGATACACAATGCAACCACTTGTTTGGATCAGTCTGTGACCTCTACTTGTCGATATTAAAGGATTGTACAATTTTGAATTTCCAGGTCCATCAGATAATCCGTAACCAGACTAGCATAGGCATGCGTCACCGTGACCATGCTGTAACTGGGAATGTCATGAAGGGTGTGAGCTCAGCTTTGGTCACCTACTTTTTTGGACCAGAGGGAAAAAAGAAGCTGACCGTACCAGTGTTTCTTGCCTTCCAACAACAGGTTCAAAATGAAGTGCTCAGAATCGAGGCAAGTGAACACCTCACTGATGTACATAAAGGATCTTAAATGAGTGGCCATGCCATATTGATTTTGTTAAACATGTTCATTCTTTTGATATTTCAGGAGCCTTTATTGGGTATTTAATTTTCAGATAGGATGGATGAAGTTATAGCCTGTCGACACAGCCCCAAGAAGTAGATGTTACTACCAATCTTAGCTCTCTGATTGGTTAAAAGTTTCCCACACCCCTAGCAGCATATGTATGCTATAAACAATCTTTCAAAACATTGTTAAGCATGCATGCAATGGCTATGAGACAAGCAAATGTTATACAAAAATAGTGAAATTGATTGAAATCTTCAAGGCATGGTGGAATCAACTATTCTTAATTGATGGAAAGGCCTTCAGAGGCCAAACCAAAATTGTAAAATTCATCAACCCAGGGTCTCACATTTTCCCTGGGGAGTTTACTGTGATTTAATATATGAAAAAGTCAAATAGTTATAAAGAAAAATTATATTTTTAACATAATTTGTTTATTTTCTATTTGAAATCGTTTAAATTTGGTTAGAATTAGTTTTAGGAGATATATTTATTGACCTCGACTGACCCATTAGGGCTGATTGGCAGGTCCAAAAATGGTTCAAATTAACTGAAATTTCAAAAATCATCTTCTCAATAGGTAGATAAAGTAGTACCAAATACTCTTCATGGATGGAAGTGTCCTACAGTGCTTCACAGGTTCACACCAGCAGTTGCCAATGTCACATTTTGTCAAATCTTAGTGAAAATGAGAGGATAGTAGTCATTTATGTAATATGGGTAATAATGGTCATCAGACTTATCCAGGTAAAAATACAACCCAATTAACAATTAGTGTCATGTCACGACCACTAATCCCTTCCAACCTGCAGGTTCCGGGGAGACAGTATATACATATAGTAGACAATAGACTAGGCCTCTTACAGGTAGCCCTGGGCATTGGGGACATAACAGATTTATATGAGTTATCACAAACAACCTACCTATTTTGATAGTTACATGTATTTCATTTAACAAACACTAGGTTTTTTTTTTCATAGATTAAGGTGTATGTAATGAATACACCTGCAATTTATGTAAGATGTATGATAACACTTACTGGAAAGCTTGATTTTACAGTTCTAATGCATTCATTTAATATACATTTTTCCCCTAGTTCTACCAAAATCGTAATGGTTGACAAACAGAAAGTTTGGCATCATTTTAAGACAGAAATCAAAGTTAAGTCTGGTCAATTTGAATAGGCAGGCAGTTCAAACACGTGATTTTTTCAGTAAAAGCAATGATTTTCTGTCAAGTGATAGTTTGAACCCTTTCTAGTCCAGGATTGTTTGTACCTATAAAACAGATGAGGATATTCAACATTTCTGTCGTACTACTGGCTGCAGTGTACTTTGTCTCTGCTGTCTTAATATTTATATATGATATATGTATCTATATACATGTATATACATCTCTCACAACTGTCAGCTTTGAAGAACCATGGCAAAGTCTTGATCTGCACACCATATATCAAAGTCATTTTAAACATGTGATACACATAAAGTACTACAGAAGTAGATGGGATTTTGGAATGGAATGTGAACACAAATAGTAATACTTCCAGCAGTGAGATGCTATTGTCACTGGTAAAAAAATGTTAATTTTTATAGATACCTTTTATTATTTCATTCTGAAAATGTTTCAGATTGATGAGTTCATTTTGTAAAGACTTATAACTACTATTGTAAAGAAGTGTCAGCAACATTAGTAAACCCACATAATCTCTTTGTTTAGTTTGACCGTTATGATCCTGAGGATGGGAAGATCCAGGAAAAAGATTTTGGAAGAATTCTTCTTACTTATGCTGGATATCCAGATAAGAAAAAGACACGCATGCTGAAAAGAGTTATCAAGAAGTTCAAAGAGGAACCACAGGTATGAAACACTGCATCAGCTAGTAAATACTTTGTTATTTCACTGATATCCTTATATCATATTGTTAAAGGAGCCACACCAAGCTAGCCTTAAAATTGTGATTTTTTTAAAGATTTTTTTGTTGGTCAGTGTATATCAACAATAGGCAAAGAGGGCCTGCACTGCTCAGCTTGGGTATGATGATAATACAAACAAAAACTATCCATACATATCTCTATATACAAATATTTTACTATGAGATAAAATTTATTGGCTTAAAAATCTTTCCCTGCATATGGAAGTGATATACAAAATCTTTACCTTGACCTAATTGCCCTATCCACCATGCTACCATGCTACCAGGGGGCCCAAGAGCAACATTTCAAAAACCCAATTTAATTTATTCTCCTGCATCAAATAATTTTACAATCCAGATTTTGTCAAAATACATTATATTTCAGATTAGTACAGGGCCTGATATTCTTAAAGTACAAATTTCCATTTGTAAATTTCTTATAGACAGATTTACATGTAGTCATGAAAAAGATAAGGCAAAGAGTATCATAATTGGTCGATGATATTCTTAAAGTACAAATTTCCATTTGTAAATTTCTTATAGACAGATTTACATGTAGTCATGAAAAAGATAAGGCAAAGAGTATCATAATTGGTCGATGTTTGTTGTCAGCACTGAACTCATAGGAATATGATCTGTTTGCAGTAATAAGGCAGAGACTCGAGTAATTAGTGAGAGCTTTACTTTTGTAACGTGCACCCTATGGTAGCGCGCGTGCACGCCGGGTCTCTCAATTTAGACAGAGCTACCTGCTCCGGAAGCGATTGGAATTCCTCAGCTACCTGGCTGAGCAGTTGAACAATTACTCAATTTAATAAACAATATATCTATACACTACAACAGAGAAGGACAGTACCTCTGTCCACCATGTCACCATACACGAGCCAACAATGTGTCCGCGGTACGTATCACGTCGCCTAGGCGTATGTTGCCCAACAAGGCTACCACACACCGCAACACTAACAGACTGTCAGCACTACAACACTGCAAGCACGTCCCTTATTACTGAGCCGACCACCGTACAGCTCCGACGTCGCCTGCCAGTGTCCTGTTATTATCACAGTACAAAGTGTTGTGCCAAGTACTCAGGAGATTCTGGCGTACCTGACACGTCAACGTACTGGCACCGACCACACGTAACAATAACTGTTACCAGAGCTGCCTTATTCAGGCAACCCCTTACTCAGGAGCTTCTGGTAACAGTATAATTGAACTGTGTGCTATAATACTTTATTACCTGTGATATATCCGACCTTCTTCCGTCTGTCAAAATCTTCTTTTTGTTTACTGGTTTCAACCAGTATTTACATAAAATCTTATGTATTATTCTGGGTGTCTCCAGTATTTTCCTTCTCAATTAATACAGCACCAAAACCCACAAATACGCAAGACAAATGTTTTTATTTATTTATACAGGTATGATTACACATTTAGTAAACACTAGTTTCATGAAAACATAAGTCAATCATCGATAATTAAAATAATTAGGTAGGTGGGGAATGATACAAAACAGGACGTATACAAAACGTTACATGAAGGGAGATAACTCTAACTGAATAAAATCGTCACACTTTCTATCTATAGATACATC